GTATATCTACTAGTTTAAGTATATCTACTAGTTTAAGTATATCTACTACGTACGTACTATGTACCTTCTTAATTATTTTTCAACTACGCGACTTCTACGCGTACACCTCCTGCGTGCTATATAGGTACTTAAATATTTTGCTTAGAGTCGTATTATGGTACTATGCTAGATACATAGTAGATTTTAGGGCTTAATATATAGAAAATAGAGTTGAAAAACATAAACGGTTCTAAGTTCTATACTGATTTAGAATCGATTCCAAACTAGGATAGAACGATATTAGATATAATAGATATTCGATTCTTAAACTATTTTGAGACTGTTTTAGAACCGTATTAGTTCTTTAGGGGATAGGCACTTATATATAGAGAGGTAATACGTAATATAAAATTCACTACTCCGAATCGATCTTAAATTAACTTCGAACCGACCTCAAACCGGTTTTGAATTGATTCTAATATTAATGGATAATATCGTATATAGTAATATATCTGGAAAAAGTTCAAGACCTTATCAAATCTAACTTAGTATTAGTGAAAGTACTAGTATAGTACTGGTGACCATACGGCTTCGAGTCGATTTTGATTATACCGAAACCCTACTTAGTACTTTGCATTACCAAGTACTAGTATACTATGTACTAGGTACAGTATTAGAAGTACATCCTATACTAGTATACAAGTGATCTTGATCCTATACTTAGATACTCGATACTTAGTATACTAAGTACATAGTATCTATAGCGGGTGAGCACCTTAGCACTAGGCACCTCCGAAGCTACTACTGATCACCCGAGAACCGTTGAGCCGGATGTTTCGGTACAGTTGCAAAGGGGACTTGCGCATCAATGGTTCGTCAAGATTCCACAACCAGACAATTTTCCTTCCGGCCGTTTCGCTGGAGCGGCGCAGTGGGTCCCAGAATGGTCGAGGCTACTTTCGAGGAGCCTTATTCGGCAGTTGAGCCGTCGAGTTTTAGTCAGCGAACGGAGTTGTGTTTCAGCCCTGTCGTCGGGAATGGCGGATCTCCACATTTGATGTCTCTCTGGGCCTCGGATATAAACGTCATATGGGAGCACAACATGAGGTACTTTGGATTCAGATTCAGATATATAGAGGACAAGCTTCATTTCTTTGGTTTCATCAAGACACGAGTTAAACGACACCGCATTAGACCATACCCTGTGAGTTCTGTGAGTTCTGCAACTGCGCTATAATATAAATCATTCCTTCACCATGTCGTCGGTACCCAAGACAACGGAGAGCTGGGTGATTGAGGGGAAGAATGGATTCGAAAGCCTGAAACTGCAGAAAGATCGGCCGGTGCCCGAGGTTGGCGACTATGATTGCGTGGTACAGATCCACGCCGTGTCTCTGAACTATCGGGATCTGATTATTCCAAAGGTAGGTTGATAGTCTAGTCAGCCCTGTCTCACTGTCTGCACGCTGTAAGAACCGTTCTAACTCCAGGTCCTATAGGGCATGTACCCCTTCGCGCTTTCACTCCCGGTAGTTCCATGTTCAGACGGTGCCGGAACCGTGATAGCCGTCGGCAAAAAAGTGACCGAGTTCAAAGTCGGGGACAAAGTATGCACTCTTTTCAACCAGCTACACCAGGCCGGACCGATCACGCCGCGCGCCATGCCCACGGGGCTAGGTGGTGCCATTGACGGAACGCTTCGCAAAGTGGCCGTTTTTCCAGAACACGGTCTAGTTGCTGCCCCGAAGAACCTATCACCAGTCGAAGCGAGCACATTGACATGTGCACCGGTGACGGCATGGAACGCCCTGTACGGTCTACAATCCAAGGCCATCAAGCCCGGCGACTGGGTTCTGACGCAGGGAACGGGCGGTGTGAGCCTTGCGGCGATCCAGTTCGCCGTGGCTGCAGGAGCCAAAGTGATTGCCACGACCAGCTCGGATGAGAAAGCCAAAAAGCTCAAAGACCTCGGTGCCACCCATGTCATCAACTACAAGACCACGCCGAACTGGGGCGAGGTAGCCAAATCTTTGACTCCGAACGGCGAAGGTGTCGACCACGTTGTCGAGGTCGGCGGCGCAGGAACCTTGGAACAGTCGTTGAAGGCGGTCAAACTCGAGGGCGTTATTAGTATTATTGGTTTCCTCGGTGGCACCAACAAGCAAGATATGCCGGGTTTGCTGGATGCTCTCAACAATCTATGCACCGTCAGAGGTATCCTGGTCGGCTCGAAGCAGCAGTTCCAGGAGATGAACCGCGCCATTGAGGCCAACGATATCCATCCGGTCGTGGACTCAAATACCTTCAAGTTTGAAAATGCCCTCGATGCTTACCAGTATCAGTGGGATCAGAAGCATTTCGGCAAGGTTGTGATTGAGGTATGAGCGACATATCAAAGGCAACGGCCGGCTCATGAATATTTATTGAATGCAGTCTGGTACAAAGCAGCTAGACGTATATATACTGTATATATCATTTAATACATCGACCGAACATCCTGTGTCCATCCCACAATTGCGCATCGACGTTCGTTCTAGCCACTGCCGTCCACAATGACCAAGGTGGCACTTGATTCTCTCAGCAAACGCAAACAGCCGGATGTTACCTATGATTCCACAGGCATTGATTTGCTGGCCGAGCTGCTCCATGCGCATGAGGCGAGCCCGGAGAAATTTAGCATGGATGATGTTTTCGCCGTTGCCCACGGTGCTGTGTAAGTGTTATCTGAGAAGGTTGTTCCTGCTGTATGGTGTGCTGACAAGCAACTCCTCATCAAACAGATTCGCCGATTCTGACTCGACCGCTTCGACGACGCAGTCCTTTTCCTATTTGTAGCTCAACTCTCCCCAGACATATAAAAACCTAGTGAAAGAAAATTATTGACGAGGCTCAGGAGGGCGGCCAGCTTTCGCCCATTGTCACCTACGCCAAGGCGCAGAAACGGGAATACTTCCAGGCCTGTCTCATGGAGGCCATGCGGATGCGTTCTGCCATCGGACTGGGCATCTACCGCGTGACGCCGGCGGAGGGTGCGAAGATTGACGGCGCAATCTATCCTGGCAACACAGAGGTCGCCGTCAACGGCTGGGTGCTGCATCGCGACAAGGCCATCGTTGGTGACGACGCCGACAAGTATCGTCTCGAGAGATGTTTTGAACGAGATGCTAAGTTGATGAACTCATATATGCATCAGGTATGCTGAACTGCGGTCCAATCGTGACTCTGTCGAGTGACATGTACTGACTGACCTGCTTGTGATTGATCAGTTGGGCAGTGGCAGCCATCTCTGCATCGGCCGCAACCTCGCCCTCCTCGAAATGAACAAACTCCTGGTCCAGAGTTTGAGGGAATACGACATCACCCTGGCGAACCCGGGCCGCCCTCTGCAGTACCGTACAACGTTCTCCGCGGTGCAACAAGTGCTCGAGGTGTGTTTGCGCAAACGATAGGGCCGAGAATGGTTGTAAATTGAACAATGGTATCAACGGTCATAGCATAATGCAGGCATTGCTTCGAGGTACGTTTGAGTATAGCGCTTCTGAATGGAATGATTCGAAATGTCAATATTAAATTGCTTGCAGGACGAGTTCATTTTCCAGCTTTGATGTCGGCTTGCATCGGTCTCACATCCGTACACACGCCGGGACATCAGCCGTGCTGGGTTTTGCCATGTAACGCACAACACTGTATCAACCGGCACGGCATTTGATCCTCTCGTCTCGAGTTCGGATGGTGTGGAAGCCGGCAATTGACGGTCCCATTATTCTAGAAACGTCAACTGTGAAGCGGTCCTCATATTTGGGTGCTTGGATCCAATTTCAATGTGACGCTGTAAGAACCACGGCCCTATGTTACAGTGGGTTTGACGCTTGGACTCATACGGTATGCGTCTCCATCTTTTAGGAATAGGATGGGTCAGGAGCCAAGATGCGGATTGTCCTGCATCATGTTGAGCCTTGGGAGTCTTGGTGTGTTGTTGGCAGGCCAGCTTGGTGGTGCCTCTGAGATCTCCTGTATCACACGTTAAATGTCCCTCAACCCGTTACGTCTGTCTTGAAGGAGGAAGGATCTTGAACAGTCGCCTTCGAGAGCAAGCCCCGAATCTGAAAACTCTCAACAAGAAACTGGTGTGGGCATGAAGCAAAAAGTGAAGAGAGCGACCCCGCCCCACTTGCTTCTGGTTCTACTTAGGGTTTGGCCAGCAGAGCCTCGTCCCCAGTTTGAGTTACGACCATACAACGTTGTACAATGTAGACCAGGCAGGTTGGCTTGGGTATCGCCGTGGTTGATAGGGTAAGAGGACATACCAGCACGGTAGAATCTTCTCAACGCTGCCAGTAGTGCTGTTCTGGCGACACAACGACATATGGGAAGGAGCCTTTCATGGACAAGTGCGCAAGGCTCAACAGGCAAGGGGCCTTGGTGCAGCAGCCGGACAGGCACTCGTCGCCGTGGTTGAGCCTGAAGCTTTGAAGCCGTGAGGCTAAAAATGGGTAAGGTCAAATTGATAGCCGGCATCGTCTCGAGCAAAACTCCACAGGGCTGCAGCAAGACATGTTTCTTCCATGGTTGTCAGTTCAACTTTGACTTGTACCGATAACGGCGGTGTGGTAATTTTCCTGGAAACACTCACCTGCTGTTGCTTTTCAACGATTAACAATTGCCGACACGCTGTGGACGGGAAATTTGAGAGGGCCCATTATTACTGTGGTACATATGACGAGGTGGCTGGCAGGCCGACCAACCACCCAACCAGCTGTTTGTTCAAGATGAGGAGCCAGCTAGTTCGAGGCCAACGGTTAAGCTAGAAGCTTGGGCAAAGCTTCGAGACGATCACTTCCTTGAGCCGATCGTTCTCCGGTGTGGTAGAACACGTCGCCTTTTTCCCAAATCGTATGCCACTCAAACAGGGGCAAGAGGTCCACAGGGTCCGCAACGGGCTAGATGCCTCACACGCCGTGGATCAGTGCCCACCCGGTCTTCTTTGTTTGGCTACAACCGGCAATTGAGTCCTGGCTGGTCAGTGGTTGCCAGCGAGACTTCCTCCGAGCGCATGACCAAGACCACCTTGACCAGGGCGATGATTGTTACAGTACCCAGGTAGTCATGCAACCGCCAACCCCATCTTCACGCTGACAATACGCCATTGGGCCAGGGGTGCTGTTGTACGCTGAGAGGGGGATCGAGCGATTTGCCCGCCCAAAACCCCACTGGAGACTCCGGAGGGGATGGGATATAAGGTGGGTGAGTCCACGGTGAGCGTTTGTGTGAGTCTTGCCGTAGCCACCCGATTACTGCCAAAGATACGCTTTACAGTCTGCCTGCCCGAGGAATCCCAGCCGGGCGAGAAGAGGAGGAGGTCTCTGAACTGCCAGCAGTATTGTCAAGTCCAGTCCGGCCATGGAATCAGCAGAGAAAATGGGCAGTGGGGACGCCCACGGGCCCGCGCACATCGAGAACGAGCATGATCAAGTCTCTCGCACCGGCCCGCCACGCCAGGCGTCCATGGTATCGCGGCGACTCAGCGAAGCGCAGGCCATCAAGCTGGCCGAGGACGACATGGCTGTCGTGGACGAGGAGATAGCCGAGTTCGAGGCGGAACTGGAAGCCAACCCGATCAAGAGCTCGTTTCTCAACCCGCAGCTCTCGTTCAACGATCCTCGCCACTTCACATGGCTGCTGGTCGGCTTTGCCTCGATGGGCGGCATGCTGTCCGGGCTGGACCAGAGCGTGATTTCCGGAGCGTTGCTGTACATGCCGGACGATCTGCACCTGAGCACATCGCAAATAAGTCTGACCAGCTCGGCGGTGCCTCTGGGAGCCATTGGCGGCGCCTTGATCCTGGGGCCGTGCAACGAACTGGTCGGGCGGAAGATGGCCATCATCATCTCTTTGTTGTTGTACACTGTCGGCGGAGCCCTGGAGGCCGGAGCCATTAACTTCGGCATGATCGTGGCGGCCCGTGTGATTCTCGGCATGGGCCTGGGTCTCGAAGGCGGCACTGTCCCCGTTTACGTGGCAGAGTCAGTTGAGAAAAAATACCGTGGCAACTTGGTCAGCCTGTACCAGTTCATGATTGCCTTTGGCGAAGTGATCGGATATGTCGTGGCGGCCATTTTTGTGAATGTCCCCAAGGGCTCTTGGCGGTACATGCTCGGCTCTTCACTGGTCTTTAGCACCATTATGCTTGTCGGTATGATATACATGCCCGAATCGCCCCGGATGCTCATGCATCAGGGCAAAAGGCTCGAGGCCTTTGCCGTCTGGAAGAGAATTCGTGGGTTGGAGCGGCCCGAAGCCCGGAAGGAGTTCTTCATCATGCACCATGCTCTAGATGCCCAGGGGGGCGCCCCGGAGGAAGGTGTCTCCACACGCCGCAAATTCGTCTGGCTCGACTTCTTTACCAACCCTCGAGCAAGAAGATCGATTGTTTATGCCAATATAATGATCGCTTTGGGGCAGCTAACTGGCATCAACGCAATTATGTACAGAATGAGTACGTTGATGGCGCAGATCGGGTTCAACAAGAAAGAGGCAGTGTTCATGAGTCTGGTGGGAGGGGGTTCACTTTTGCTCGGCACCATTCCGGGAGTGCTGTACATGGAAAAGTTTGGCCGACGCTTCTGGGCCAACACCATGCTGCCCTGTTTCTTCATCGGATTGGTCCTGGTCGGCGTGTCGTACCAGCTGACTTCGTTCACGGCCACCGAGGGTGTCTATCTGACCGGCATCATTTTGTACAACGGATTTTTCGGCTCCTACGCCTGTTTGACATGGGTCCTGCCCAGCGAGGTCTTCCCCACCTATCTACGGTCCTACGGCATGGAATCCACCGACGTGAACTTGTTCTTCGGCAGCTGGCTCGTCACCTACTTCTTCTCCGACATGCAGCGCGCCATGACGAAGACTGGCTTGACCCTCGGCTTCTACGGCGGCATCGCCGTCCTCGGCTGGTTCTACCAGCTTCTGTTCATGCCAGAAACGAAAAACAAAACCCTCGAAGAGATTGACCTCATCTTCAGCCAGCCGACGAGCGAGTTGGTCAAGCAGAACCTTAAGAACATCGCCGCCACTATGAGTGATCTGGCTCATTTCAGGTTCCGCAGAGTCTTTTCCCCGGTCGAGGAAAGCCACGAGCCTGAACGCCAAGTCAAGGATGTCAAGGTATAGATAGATAGATATCTGGACGAAGACAGACATGGTATATGGGGACAAATGGAAGAATGAAGCGTGTATAGTCACAGGGGTTACGCAAGGCTCCGGTCATGTGATTACTACAGATGCGTATCTATGTGCCTGGACAGGAGATGGCATTCAGGCTTAGCCGGGAGTGCTTAGGTGCCGAAGGGTCAAGCGGGTAGATAACATGACGAAGAGGAATGTCCTGTACTAGTACCTATACAAGGTCGATCTTCCGATGCACGTTACGCTACGAGGCCAACAATGACATGGCATTGAGATAACCCGAATACCGCTGTTGCGGCTCCTGCTTCAGCGGATAGACCAGGACCACCAAGCCCAGGCTACACGAGACATTGATATAAGACGGCTCCAGAGTTGAAGTGATTCCATTGTTCTTGTTCCAAGCACTTAGATGCTCTCATGCCATAATATGTTCATTTCTGTCTAGATCAATCCGTCACACCTACGGCTGCAGCTTGGACGGGAGGCTGAGCTGGGGCATGGTACTGAGAGACACCATCATTCCCTGCTTGAATCTTATCCGGGGTCGGTGCCGGCGCGGGTGCCTTGTTATAATACTGGGTGAAATCGTGCTTGAGCACATTGACGCCGTTCTGCATCTGGCGGGCAAACTCGACATCTGTCTCTGCACGTTTGCACATTTTGAGAAACTCGTCGTTCTCCAACGCCTTGTCCGGATCCTGGCCGAACAAGCGGACGATATTGTCGCTGGAAATCGGGTTGATGATGTCGTTGTATTTCTGCATTCGGATCTCCGAGTACTTGTCGAGTATGGAATCGTCCGCCAGGCCCTCGTAGATTCCCGCCAGACAGTCATATAGTCCTCCAATGTCGACGATCCCGCCTGTCAGTCCCATGCCTCCGAAGGGATTGCATACTGTGTGAAGTGTCAGAGGCGCCTATTGCAGTACGATCACTGGAAGCAAAAAGCATTGACGGGAGAGAGGTAAAGGGGTGCGGTGTAACTCACAGTGGGCTGCATCGGCAGCCAAGCAAAACCGCCCTACACGCATACTCGGAGCAAGACGCTGATGGATGCGATAGGGGCTGAAGTTGACGATGCGGTATTCATCGGGTTTCGGATGGCCGGGCAGCATGGCCTCGAATTTCCACGGTTGCCGTTCCCGCAGTTGCTCGTGCGTCAAGCCGGGCAGTTCACCATATGTGATGCGATAGAGTCCGTCCTTGCCGATCTTGGCCGCCATGTACCAGTGCTCAGGGTGGATGATGAAGTTTGAGTCGTGCCAGCCGAACCTTGAGAAGTCGTAGTATGTCTAAAAGATAAGTAGGAAAGATGGTGTCAGATACTGTAAGTGCAAGCAGGAATGAAGAGACACCGCAAGGCACGGCACGCTCGAACATTGTATCTGATTCTTGATGACGGGGAGAACCAGGAACAGCTTACTTACATTCGTAGCAACAATCTGTTCATCCCACGTCTTTCCTGGAAACTCCTTGTCGCCGAACAGAGACCTCCGGATCTGGCTGTTTGCACCGTCACATCCCACAATGTACGAGGCCTCTAGGGTCTTATCCCCTTCTGGCGTTTCGACATTGACCCATGCTTTCTCGGCGTCCTGGCCGATTGAAACGACCTTGTGACCCCACGATACGGTCGCTGAAGGGTACCTGCTGAGATGATCATATAGGATTCTGCCGAGTTTGTTGAGCGGCAAGCAGACCATCCGGTCAGGGTCGTCGGCATTGACGGTGGCGTCGACGCCGGCGATGAATGTTCCGTCCAACTTTCTCCAAGCTACTCCATTAGGCAGAAACCCAGCGGCGCGTAGATCATCTGTCACTCCTGCCCTGCGCAGCTCATACATGGCGGGCGGTCCATAATGAGTCGCCCGGGGCTGTTCGTCCAGTTTGTTGCCGGAGTCGAGGATTTGGACTGGAATGCCTCGCTTTGCCAGCAACAGTCCAAGGAGTAGTCCTGATGGTCCTGCGCCGACGATGATGACCCACGGGTTTGGTTTTGAATTTGATGCCATGATCATACGATTTAATCAATTTTCGTGCTGTCTCTCGTCAAAGTCTGTAGGTTCCTGTCCGACTGTGCCTTTTCTTCCTGCCATATAATGACCGCTTCATCTTTCAATGGTTCGAGCAAGACAACTTCCACTCGGGGAATGTGGGGTAATATGGGTTAGAATCTGGGGAACATGGGGTCAGTCCTGAGGTCGACCACCGCATCGGGATGGTGGGATTTCTCCGGCAGAATATGAGATCCATGCGATTTAGGATCGGCAAAACGTGGTACGCCAGCAGTGGAGGGAGCTCGAGGGACGACTGATATAGACAGGAAACCGTGCTGGGTGAGCCCTTAGCCCACTGCTGCGAGCAGGTGTTGGGAGCATACACGACAGCAAAGAGCGTGGTCCAGGCCAGCCTCAGCAGGCTTTTCGACCTTACTTATCAGACACACAACAAACTGGTCATCACCGTCCGCCGAACCGGGCGCTGATGCGATCCGAGCGATCGTACCAATTGTAACAAGATTACAAGCGATCGGGTCTGATAGACCCGTCTGCAGTCGTAGCGCCCTTGCTGATATAGTGCCGCATATTGTAGCAATCCAGTCAAGGCGTGCAGGCTGGGTAGCTCACCGAAGACGTCCAAACGTTAGATCGTCTACATTCATTGCCGTGATGTAAAAGCCGCGTCAGTCGAGTCTGATAGACTATACAGCCACTCGAGGGCCTGAGGAACGGACAACCGTCAGCGTCCGTTCATGCACCTCAACCGACTTGTGAGCGAATCACCCCAGAACTCTCCACAATTCCGGAAGGTCGGTGTCTGCAGAGCTGATGATGCTTCGTTTCCTCTTCCTGGACCAGAAGCCTCTTCACAACGCCTTTCGGAAGGGCCCTGCTTGTCGGCACTTGGTGGGCTACACCGTTGCTTTGTAGCCTCAGGGGTTCAACTCAAGTCGATGTAGGCGGCGCGAAATTTTGACCTAGTCAGCTTTACTGACTTCCAGGCCGCTCCCGCCGTCGTCATTTCAGCACGCATTGTGGTACAGGAGAGAGCTAGCGAGTGTCCAGATAGGAGGGCTCGTTTCCGTTACAAGCATCTTGCTCTCATTCTGCCATACTAGCACGTTTGCCAGCAATCCACGTGGCGAACCTTCCTCTTGGAACCCTCGGCCGTCACAGTCTTGCATTGAATGATTGAAATCCAGTCTGTATAGAGTCATATTTCATCGGGCCAGTTGTCGGCGCAGATTGCGAGTGGCAGCGTAATAAGGTTCGACATCCCGGAACTGTGAATGCATTGAGTGTGTGGTAGACTTGAACCAATCCAAAGGAAAGCATTGGAGGCCTGGGTTTCCCAGTGTGCACGACCAGCCATCTAGCGGGCTCCGGACCAAATAAGGCATCACACGCTCCGTCAGAAGTCACCAATGCTAGTAGAGAAGCTGGTTCAGGCCAGAGGAGCAGGACGGCCCTCGTGCGGCACTCGAATAGCATCATAACCGTCCAACATCAGAAGCTCGAGCGTGGAGAAGAGCGCAATTTGACTGCATTGATGAAGTCTACTGCAATGAAACTGATTCCAGGTCCCAGCAAGAAGCCAACGAGAATTAATTCTCCTCAACTGCGATGCGAACATCCTCGATCTTTTCGTGGGACATTAGGCGCAGGTAATGGGTGGCATTTCCTGACGCCGTAAGGGACCCCCAGGCCTTGGAAACAGGGGCATCTGACGTAGCCAAGGAGGCACTAGGGAGACCAAGGGGAGGCAACAAGATGCCTACTTTGAGATGCCATTCGGTGTGTCGTTTTGAAGGAACACATTGCAGAGAAGTGAAGGATGGTGCGAGGACAAAAGTCGAGGTTGGCAGCCATTTCAAGCCACCGGGTGGCCTTAAAGCGGCGCGGACAGAGTAACTGGAACCGTCTCCCTTCACGTTGTGCTCATGTCTCAAAAGATATTCCCAACCGTCAGATTGAGGCAACACCTTTCACGAATTCCTCACTACCGTGTGAACACCATGGCTTTGGGTTGCCTTGGGTTGGGGTATTTGCCTTACGGCCGGGACGTGGAGATGTGGACTTATGGGCTGCCTTAGACTGTAGTCCCACTTCCGCGGAATTTCCTTCGTGGTGTTGTGCAACCAAGCTACCACCAACGACAGACAAGCTTTTATGAAAAGCAGGCAAATGCGGATAAGCAATGACGAGGACTACATTCTCAGCCTCGATGTTGCATCATAGCCCGCCGCTGGACAATGCCCTCGCAACATCTCGCGAGGCTTGCTGGATTGAGTGTGTTCTATGCTGATCCGATTGGCCCGTATGAGATCGACGAGGCCACCAGCCTCGTGCACATTTCCCTTCCTGGACATTTTGAGGACCGAAGCCTCCGCTAACATCTCAACCGGGTCCACTTCTGACTGCGAGGGACCCTGATATTCATGTTGGGCGGCCAGTATGCCAGAGAACGTGTCTGGCTTGACCTGCTCTGTAGGTATGGAAAGAACCGCCCCATCTGATACTGCTATACCGACTCAGCAATGCGGTGAACCTAAAGGCCGAAAGAGCAAGCAAAGCAGTACGTATGGACAAGGCATATAAAGGCCGAATTGTCCTCCATGCAGCCATCATGGTTCAAACAACAAACCCGTTCCAAACCACTCTTCAACCGCCGTCGCCGAAACTGAAATCCAAAGCGACATGGAAATCAAGATGCACGCTTTCCACACCTGTTTCCTCATATTGGGTTGGTCTCCCGATGTCTCTTCGAGTCTGATACGCCTCTTACATAAATATAGGAATAATCTACAATTCACTGGCCTACGATCTCACAAGCTATGCTCCGGTGCGCACATCATGTCCCAACCGTCGGCAATGGGTCCGTCCGGCGCAAGGCTTGTCTTCGGAAGAGGCGGCTTGGGTGCAAGGCCGTAAACCTGTTGTTCTTGATGCCTTCAGCGCATATCTGAAGAGGCTTAACATCACCGACTTGGATGTCTCTGGATTGGTCAACGCCATGAAGAAGGACAACAACTCTGGCGTCCCTATCATCTCAATGGCTATCAGCGGAGGTGGCTGGGGTTCTGCAATGACAGGCATCGGCATATTGCGCGCGTTCGACGCTCGATTCGCAGACGCCATCAACGAGCAAACCGGCGGGCTGCTTCAGAGCATGACATATATTGCTGGGTTGTCGGGCGGATCGTGGCCGGTCATGTCCCTTTCTACCTACAACTTTCCATCCATCAACGACCTGGTCGCCAACTGGCATACCGACATTGATCGCTCTACTGCAAACAATAGAGTGTACGCCGCAAATACGACATCTCTATTCATGGACGTTGCGGCCAAGTACGAGGCAGGGTTCAATGTAAGCGTACCAGATTATCTCGGTCGCTCATTCAGTTATGAGGTTTTGCCTCCTCCCAATGGAGGCTTGAACATCACGCTTTCCAGCATCACCAACCTGAGCAACTTCAAAAACCATTCCATGCCTATGCCTCTTTTCCAAGCCAATCGCCTGACGGATGACGACATTGAGTTTTTCGGCATCAAGGTGCCATACGGCAACAGCAGCATTGTACGTCTTATGGATGAAGCTTGTGCGGACAAATTAGACCGAAATGGATGCTAACATGTCGATAGATTGAGATGAACCCATTTGAGTTTGGAGCCTGGCAAGGATCGGCCGGCTCCGCGACTGGGTTCATGCCAACAGAGTACCTGGGAACGGCCCTCCAGAACGGCAGTTTGAGCAATAGCTCCGAGTGTGTGGTAGGATATGACAGGGCCAGGTATGTCGCCCCGGAATTGACAGCAGCATCGAAGTAGCTAACAACAGGCCGTAAGTTTCATGATGGGCGTTGCAGCGAGTGCCTTCAACTTCTGGTACATTGAAGCGCGTTCAAATGGGACTTTGGCGTCCTTTTCCAAGCGAGCAGTCCAATTGGCAGATCCTGCTAAGCACCAGAATGGCAAACGAACAGCCATCTCCCCAGCCGAAGTGGTCGACGAACTTCTGGACTCGTATCAAGAATATCTGAACCTGTCCACCACCGAATCCATGTACCCGTCGGTCCCCAATCCGTTTGCCGGTATGCAAGAATCGAATGGCCCCGAGCCTTCCAGCCTCCAACTTGCAGATGGCTCTGAAGCCGGCCAATCCATCCCGTACTATGGGTTGATCCAGCCTTCACGACAGTCGGACTTTATGTGAGTGACCACGGTCCACCTGTATCCTGTGCACACTGTGCTTGAGTAGCAGCTAGCTAACCAAGATTCTTCTTCCCATCAGCATCTCATGGGACAGCGACAGTGACCAGCCTCCATTCAGCTGGAACAACGGCACCAACATCTACAACACATACCTCCAAGCTCGACGGAACGGCCTTCCGTTCCCCGAAGTGCCGCCTCCCTCAACGTTCATCAAGCGCAACTATACCAGCAAGCCGGTGTTTTTCGGCTGCGACACGCAGTACACCACCACGCACAACACCTCGAGTCCTATCGTGCTGTACCTCACTAATACCCCTTATAGCGCATACACCAACTACACCTGGTACCAGGACACGTTCACGCCGGTGCAGATGCATGAGATCCTCGTGAACTCGTTCGATATCGCTACGCAGGGCAACGGCACCCTGGATGCCGAGTGGGCTCAGTGTATTGGATGCGCCGCTATCGATCGCAGCATCGCCCGTCTGGGAATCCAGCGCGTCGACCAGTGCGAAAAGTGTCTGCGACAGTATTGCTGGGATGGCACCTATGAGAACGAGGCTGATATTCCACTCGTGGATCTGCCTTTGAAGCTTTATCCGAACGTCACTTATGCGGAATGGAATGCCACGCACGGATGGGACGAAAACTAAAGATTAAAGCTTCTGCTCTCTTGATCTGGAAGCAGTGGAGTGATATTATGGTTGTGCGGAGTTGGGTCGACACGGAAAGGAAAAAGGGCATAATAATCAAAGAATGGTAATTCAATGCAGGGAAATACCGATGAAACTGAATCGAGTTTCTAACACGGACGATAACGCTGGAGCACTGTGCCGATTCACTAATATCATCCCATACATACTGTACCAGCTACCTTACATCGCAACCATGACTTCAGCAGGCTGGTACGAGAACACCCTGAAAGCCAACCAATGTCGTTCCCTTACATTTGCACTCTAAATCCATGTGGTATTCTTTCAAGACCAACTCCACCGACAGGCACTTGTCATCCGCTGCTGCCACACGTTCACACAGGTAACTAGTATCGATACCAACCCCGACCATCCTAACCAATCTGCCACCAAAAGGCACGGGACGGTGGAAGAGCCGCGCTTGGACTTCATGCATGCACGCATGCTTGCATGTTTGCTTCCCTCCCTGCCAATAATAGTCACAACCTGAACCTCTTGATACTGCCCATCGGATGCCGATTGATGGTCGATTCAAATCCCCGGACCACATTGGAGAGTCCAATGGAATGCCCTGCCGTGCCATGCTCTGCACTCTGCTCCGGCTGCTTGTGGACTTTATCCGTGCGAGAAGGGCCATCAGCTGCTCAAGTCTCGAGCTGAAACAATACAGTACGCCGGAGAGTCGTGCCAGTACCCTGAAATCTCTCAATAGGACGCCTATGACCATGCTGTGATGCGTGACTTGGGTCTGAATCTCTCGCGAGCCAAATCGAACCTCGTCTCGTGCAACAATGCAGCCTTCGGAAGCTCATGACTGAGTCTTATAAGGGGCGCGATAGTGGTTTGGCCGGGAATGGAGTGCCAACCCAACCTCTCGCGGTCTCGATCGTCCAACAGCAGTCTTGAAGCCTTTTCAAGGAGACTAGAGGACATGCAACCGAGACTTCCACGTGTTGCACGGCAGCCCTCTCAGAGACGAGCAGTAGAGGGATGACTCGGGGTCTTCATCCAGCTTCGAGCCTTTGACTCAACTCGCCATTGCCTACTCGCTAGAGTCCTGCCGTGAGCTTTAAGCGGTTTTCTCTTTCTCCTTCTGCTTTTCCTTTTCCATTTCTTTCTGCTTCTCCTTCTCCTTCCGCTCCTGCTCCTCTTTCTCCTTCTCCTTCTTCTTCTGCTCCTCAGCCGCCGCAGCGGCCTTATCGGCATCAGTACCCGCATTGTCCGGATTATACCAACTCCTCCCGAAATGATGCTGGACATATTTCTCGCCATAAGCCGGGTCCCCAGCATGACTATGTTTCTGACTGCCCGCAAACCCATTAATAGGCAAGATTAGTACATCGCCATAAAGTTTCGGTTCCTTTTGATCGTGAAACGTGTCCCAAGTGACATTCTGCCCTTGCTCATTAAGGACATGCATGACCACATCAGTAATCATGCCTGGTCCCGTGGCTTCCAGGACTTCCATCTTGTCGAGCGTCAGCTGAGGCAGTTCGACCCGCTTCCGCCGGGCGATATACTCGAGATTACTGATGACGCGCTGGACAGCGAGTTCGAAAATCGGATGGCCCGGTTTCGACATCAATGTCCATTGACATAAACCGATAGGGCGCACGAACATCGGGTACGTGTGGTCATCGTACTCGATACCGATGATCGCGTTGACCGTGTTGGCACCCAGGTCGATGGGGATCCAGCGGTCCGGATGGACGAGCATCGACGTGTCAATGTCGCTGTAGACTCCGCCCGCAGCCAGCATTAGGAGATACCGTAGGAAATCTGCTTTTAGCACTGGCACGCCCAGTCCGTCCCAGAACTTGATGATGGCGGGGCGGGAGGCAAAGTTTTCGTGGACGAAGTCGTTGGCTTGGTCGTCTAGACATCAAAGAAACGATTAGTATTCTGCTATAAGGTAGCTGTGCAGACAAAAAAAGAGACAGGCCTGGCTTACCATTTAGAAAATTATACTCAAACCCCTGGACTTTCTTCCACGTCTCAGCCTTGCTGGCGTACTTCTCGCGTCCGTGTTCATTGGCCGTCTGCCATACGATCCGTGGAAATCGCGACGGGTATTGTTGGATCGGTACAAATGTCGACTCGAGTGCTTCGGCCAAATGCTGGCTCTCTTCCGCTTCGTCCATTTCCACCCGTGGCCTCGATAGTGGTAGGCTTTTGTCGACATTGGCTGGGGACGGTTTGTTGTTGTTTGGTTTCGGCAAATGTGACGACAGCACACTGATGCTGGACCTGTGTAGTGACCAGTATAGAACGCAGACCACGATGATGGTCGCCGCCCAGTAGCGGGTGAGGTGAGTGCCGGAAACCATTTTGAACAAGAAAGTCCGCGAGTGGAACACAAGCAACGACAACGACAACGAGTGATTGTGATAGACTCGAGAACAGAGGCGATGATCAAGTGACTCTGGCTGTGATCGTGACTGTGACTGTGATTAACAACGTCGAACTCCGAGGAGGACGATTCTCGCGCCCAAGGTTTCCAGATCAATCCACAATCTGGAATGGACTTGAGATGTCGTAGTAAACCCTTGTCCAAGGAACAGGATCGTGCTCCGTCTGGCCTGTTGTTAGAGCCACGAAAAGCAAATCGGAATAGAACTCGATTTCTTCTCCAGATCCTTGTAAACAGGCTTTTGCTGTTGTTGTTTGGTTTCCGGTACACGTGAGTTGAGTCGTAAATCAAGTCAGTCGTAAATCGTTGCGATGACCCATCAATCCAAAAGCCCAAAGAAAGGCACCGCGAAGCCTAACCCTCGAAATTCCACGTGAGCAGGTTTGGAGTACTGTAAGAGTAGCGGCGATAGTCAAGAATCAAGGCCAGCGAGGCACAGCGACACTGACCGCCACCCCAGGGGCTGTCGACAAGAATGGCCAGTGCTGTCCTCGTGCTGCCTGGATGGATTCAAGCTAAAAGCTTCAAGCTTCAGTCCGATCAGGGGCTTTGTTGTGGTTAAGGCTACCTAGGTACCTAGATATGGCACAATAATGTACAGTATTGTATCGTACGCACTCTAGTCTAGCCAGAGTACGCGGTCTGGGCCGCAATGGGCGGGCATGCTCATCATTTTTTCGACACACGGGAGCGTGGGAGAGAGGAGTCTACCTACCTAGGTACATGCCGCACCAGACGGGAGTAAAGCCCACTCACAGTACTGCTGCAGGTTACAGTAGCGTGAAGAAAGCCTATCTTTCTGACATCTGTCAGAAAAAGGCTGACCCTTCGAGCACGGACTTCAACCCTGTTGGACTGGCTGAGCAGACGCTCAGAAAAAGTCGCCACTACTGGCACAACAGTCTGCCCAAGGTACATTGCAGGTGTCGGGTGCCGTGTGTCTTGCACCATGGGGGAACTGCCACTGTGCTGTCAAAACCTGTAAGTTTGGGCGGGAAAGGGGTTGAATTCGGGCAAAAATGAACCGCAATTTTCGTGTACAGTTGTACGGAATTTCCCACAGCAAATGCGGAAAAAGGTCTTGCGCGCTGCGAAGAAAGACAGCACAGCAACTCGGCCACATGGTAGAACGCGTCTTGAGAGTCGAGAGCAGGGTCATTGCTTCTGACGCTCAGGCCAATATCAAGCATCGTCCGCAACTCGAAAGCCGTAGAGGGGAACGATGAGAACCTCCTGAAGCCCGGTTGTGGGGTAAAATGCCGCGCTTGTCCTGTCAAAGCTCAGATAGTTCTCTGCGCTAACCGGTTGCGGACTTTGACAGCCTTGCGTGATGGGTCTGCTCGAGGCACCGGGGCTGTCAATCCATCATTTACAAAGTAGTTGTACGACTGTGTGCCACTCCGTCCTCTTGGGCAACGCCATGTTAATTGCGAAGCAACCTTTTCTCCGTCAGCCACAATACACGTCAAATACTAAACCAGCATACAATGTGTCCAGACCAGTCCCTCTCCTTTACAATATCTCCTGAAGGCGGCGGTCCGGTCCACCTCCATGCACCATACCCTCTCGGATGCACGGTTGCTCTCCTCAGTTAGTAGTCGTAAGGCTCGATTACTGGTGACAGAACCCCTCCCAAGACAACTTCGGACTAGGTAGCAGTTACACTGGAATGATTTTCTCACCTCCGTTTCTTCGTGCATACCACTTTGCAGCAAATATTCCCACTTCACAAGCGCGCTTCATGACCAACGTCGCGACTGCGCCTTCGACGAGCGGCCTATCGTGAACCTGCCTCTAGTGTTTCTGTACCTCGATCGACGACATGAACCCGCAAACGTGAAACCATACCGGCCACCGCGATCCGGGATAAACAACGGTCACACGACTTGATATAAAAATAAAATATAGGAAAGCTATCCTGCCAAGATGATTACCCTCGGCAGCCTGGTGGGCAAGACGAACATCAAAATCATCAGCATCATCACCACCGTGGTGTTTATGAGCACCGTCATCACGGATTTCTTTGGCCGGACGGGACTGCCCAGCACAAGCAAGTTTGACGGTCAACCGAATTCGAGTCGTGGCCGCTCCAGCATCGGGAAGCTGTCCATGCTGTATGGCGAACCCAATTCACTTTACGAGCGAGCATTGTCGGCGCATTTGCCGCACAACAAGAACTTTGGATACAGCATGTACGTGCTCAGAGAAAAGACGCTTCCGGGTTATTGGTCCAAACCCGCATATATCCTGGATCAATTGCTCGCCGAGCTGGCGTTGCCACAGGAAGAACGTTTGAAATGGCTGGTGTAAGTTGGAATGCTTTCGTAGACGACGCAGGAAGTGCGCAGACTCACATGACATCAGATGGTTTGATGGCGATACGGTCCTGATGAACCCCAAAATTCCACTCGAGATATTCCTCCCTCCGGACGATGAATGGGGCCATGTGCACGCTTTGGTCACGAATGATCACAGAGGACTAAACAACGGAGTGTTTTTCTTGAGGGTGCACGAATGGTCGGTATGGCTCATGACGGCGTGTTTGGGGACGGAAATATTTGACCCGGAAATCGAACTGGAGTTCGGCGACCAGTCTGCCATGGGAATGTGGTTGAAAAAGGTGAGTGTTTGGCTTCCACAGTTCCCGTTGTAGCCAGTCCGGCAACCCGTAAGAAGGAATGCTGACATCAGGGTACTGTGGCAGGAGCGGTTTCGTAACAACACAATTCATGTTCCGCAGAGATGGTTCAACGCATATGCGGGCTACCGAGGGGAGAAAACCGATCTGTTCGCCGACCCGATGGCGCCTCAAACCAAGTTTAGACACAACTCGATCAAGGAGGGAGATCTTCTCGTGCACCATGCTGGTCACAAGTCCTTGCGGGCGCAGCGTATGGCCCCATGGATGGACGTTGCGGAACAACATCTTCCACAGTGGGAATTGGACCTCGATGAGACGACCTACGAACAAGAGATTCGCGATTTTTGGAAAAATGAGGCCCCTAAGGAGAGAAAACTGGTTGATGACTTGATCAAAAAAGAGGACCAGAAGGCGCGAGAAAAGGCTAAGCAAAAGGAGGCCGATGCACGAAAGAAGGAGGAAGAGGCCAAAAAGAAGCAAGAAGATGCCAAAAAGGCTGACGAGCTCAAGAAAAAGGCAGAGGCATCCAAGGCGGACGATGAGGCCAAGCGGAAGGAGGAAGAGACCAAAAAGGCGGACGAGGCGAAGCAAAAGGATCCTTCGACCTGACGAGAACTTGAAGGTCGGGGATAATGAGTAATGACCATTATTAAAGCATTTGTACAGGAATATGTATTAGCAGCGGACCGCGAACGTTTCAGACCTAGCATATTACCTTTCAGGTCTATATTATCTGCAATAGGTATTGTGGTTCTTGATATTTATGTGCAACCAAAGGTGAAATACATCAGTCTGACAAAATCGTTTCTCGGCGTACGCTAAGAAAAATTTGCATCCTACTATGGATGTGCGGTAATCCAGTGTCAGACCACTGGCATTTGAGATTCTGAGCAGCGGTCGAGGCACAAGCACCCCATTGCTTTCACGAAGACGCGTTTCTGCATCATTAGCATTTTGACTGGATATTACCATGGCGGGACGCAGCCAACGTACGCTCGTACATCCTATGTAGCGCGCATAATGTTCATATCATTACTAGGTGTCAGGTGCAGCCTTGGGATCGACCGCGTCTTGAGCGACGTGGAGGAATTTCTGGGGTTGAAAAGCAGAAGCGGCCGTAGATGCGGCAGGGATCCCGCTGGAGTAGCAAGCATGGCACTCTTATTTAACACGATGGCAAAAGTGCATCAACTCTGCAGTTGCTTGTTCAGTTGCCAAGATGTCATGCCGACACGAGGTTCAGAAACTTGAAGGGAGGACTTTCGACACGTCGAAGCATCACGGCACAAGTTGTCAAAGCCAGTACTAGGTAACTGGAGGTTAGAGCAGGAGTAGGGACAAGTACTAGTAGTACGTGTAGTGTAGCATAAGGTATCTACCAGCATGAGTCCTGTACGTGTTTATTTGACTGGCCCGACCATCGCCCTTGCCCCTTTTTGCCGTGGCCTTTCCCCCTTCAGCCTCCCCACATTATTTTTAAGATTGGGATCCATCAAAAGTGACAAGCAACTAACAAGGGGCTACCGACGGGCTACCGACAAACTATCATTTCTATTATTGCGGACGCTCGGCCATTCCAAACGGCTAGAAAGCCAACAGCCACATGCTGACCCCCTTGGACCGCACCCGCGCTGGAAATGTGAACCTTTGCCTGCACAGAATCCTCCCGGGCGCCCAATCATGAAATACGCTGGTGAGGTGATGCCCAATCCCTCGACCAGAATATCCACGGTGTCGAGATTCCTTAGCGAGATTGCGCGACTTTATTACCAACAACAATCTGCGGTATTGGGGGCGGAGAGTAAGCTATGCAGGGCTAGCTATGCCAGCCCATACGTTCCAGCCCCGTGTCCCTGTCTCATCTCTCTTCGTCGTTGCCTGCTCCCGCACCGTAACCGGAGCCACTACTACCAACTTGGACTTTACATACCATATTCAAGAACATCATTTCCACGCAAAAGCCGGGGGAGATCAGAAGAAGGTCCATACAGTGGCCGCAAGTGCAGCTTGGGGTAGAATAGGCGAGGCGGATAACAGGGGCCACTTCTAGATCCTCTCCTTACAGCGCCACCATCTCGGGTTCCTGCATAACATCCTGCTACTGGCTGGCTGGATTGAAACACTGCACGATCCTTGGCCCCTCATCCTTCCCTTGCTCGTTTGTGCCAGAAGACACCACTACTCAACATAACTAGGAGTCCTAGGCCCGTCAACACACCCGTCAACTATTGAGTTGAGGCGAAACCCGTGGCACGCGACTCACACGACTTCCACTCGATTCGCCATAGCGAGCAACAACCGAGTGGTATCGGACTGGGAGCATTGGACTTTTGTATCAATTCCACAACTCTACAACACGGCTACAATTCAGAGTAGTCCTACGGCTCCGACTCAGATTGTAACATCACAGACACAATCCGACCAAACATCTTGCTCCAAATCGAAGGCTGGCTCACAGAACGGTCTCCCCAAGTTCTTGATTTCGACCGCCCTTCCGGCATCTCGCCTCCTGCTGCCTCTGAAGTGACGTGCAGCGACTGATTATTGACTTGGCTGGGCAAGCTAAAGTCACTTGCTCACTTCGTATTGTGCACGTCTCAGTTTGCACACCCAACAAGCCAACCGACCACTTCAGGCCATCACAAGTCAGGGGCGCCATCATTCTTATTAACAGAATCAGTATCAAAGTGAGATGCAGAGATGAGAGTCGGAGTTTGACAAACTGGTCGTGTGATACCAAGCTTATGGGACATCGAGGGCGGGAGTTTCGACTACTCACTAACCACTGTTGGTATTAATCGCTTGCCACCCCTTACATTTCTCCAGGCTCCGTGCACGCCGCACTGGACATTACTGCTGTCTTATTCGGTCCCTCCCTCCCTTGAGTGAGACTGAGGGGCACCCCCTGCTGTACAGTCCATCATTTGCGGACAAACTGAAACTTAAGTACCAAGGTGGAGGATCTGTTTGCCAACTGGCGCATCAGACGCATTTTCTGACTTTGGGTTGAGGGTTGGCATTCCATTGCCCTACCTTTGAAAACCGTACTTTTGCTGGTTGGCTGACCCGCGTGGTGGACAATCTCACCCTTCTCAATTCTCATTTCCCTGCTTGTTGGGGTCGGTTTTCTGACCTGGATAGCCAAATATCACCAATCTTGAAGAGCAAGACTAGACAGGAAACTGGTGGAAGGACCAGAGGCCTCACAGACCATGGCGGAGCAACAGCAGCCGCAACAAAATCAACATCTTGACGAGTCATATGTCGATGTGGAAGATGAGAGCAACGAGAATGCTCCATTAAACCCAACCGGCGTTTCGACGACCTCGTCGGGGCTCTTGGGCAGTCCTTTGTCGTTGTCGGCGTCTCCCTCTCACAAGACACCAGTGTGGTACGACATCACGACGGTACGACGGACGTACGGACAATTCGACACGCTGGGCAGCGTGAAGCGGTTCTTCTATGCCCTGATCCCCAGCTGGATCACGACGCACTCGGCAACGACGCCGTCCAAATCGGGCATCTCGGCCCTCGACGGACTCCGAGGGATAGCGTGTTTATTCGTTTTCAACGAGCACTATGTCATCTGCTACCAGTCGCGCAACACGCAGGTGTGGATCATGCGGGTACCATTCATCCGACTGTTGTGGTACGGCAAGGCGGCGGTGTTCCTGTTCTTTGTGATCTCGGGATACGTCCTCAGCGTCAAGCCGCTGAAGCTGATGCGGGCGCGGGCGTACCTGGATTTCCACAAGACCATCTCGTCGAGTTTCCTGCGCCGCGGAATCCGACTGTACTTGCCGTGCATGATAGTCAGTTTCATCGCATGCGTGCTGACGTACATGGGCTTCTTCGACCACTCAGCCGAGATTTACAAGCAATACTCGCAGTTTTTGTTTCTGAAAGAGCCGCCGCCGCCTCGTCTGGCCTCGTTCCGCGAGCAGTTTGCGGGCTACCTGACCAACGTCAAGTTCATCTTCAGCGCCACCATCCCATTCGAGATGGACACGGACGTGCTGCACTACTTCATGTACGACGACCACCAATGGACCATCCCCAAGGAGTTTCGGAGCAGCATGGTCGTCTTTTCCGTTTTGGTGGCCATGTCGCGGGTGCGGCCGCTGCTGCGGGTGGCTGTCGTCTTCGCGCTCGGCTATTACGCCGCATACACGGCACGGCTGTACACGGCGCTGTTCATGGCGGGCATCGTGTGCGCTGAGCTCGACCTGATCCGGCAAGCATACTATGCGCGGTGCAACGAAAGATTGCCAGAGTACGCGGACAGTGCGACACCAGACGAAAAATTCCTGTCGACGTCGCACTACCGTGGCCTTGAGTCCCTGCTGCACCTGCCCAACATCTTCTACAAGGTCATGTGGATCTCGATTTTCACACTGGGCGTCTTCATGATCTCGTCGCCGCAGGAGATCCAGCGCACGCCAAATTACCTGCCTTTACTTCTGCGGCGATGGGGCGTCCACGACATTGACAACACGCTATTACTGTTCGGGTCCATCATGGTCGTCTGGAGCACGGCGACCTGTCCGTCTCTGGGTCCTTTATTCAACAACCCGTTCGTCGCGTACCTCGGCAAGATCTCGTACGCCCTGTACCTGATGCACGGCACCGTCATCAAGTCGCTAGGGTACAATGTTTTACCGTGGACACTGCACATGGGCACCTGGACGCCCTGGGAAGTCGAGCTCGACAAGGAATGGTGGGCGACGGTCCCCAACTCGGGCAAAGTCATGTCCCATATTTTAGGTCTATGTTTCGTCGCCACCACCTGTTTCTGGGTCTCGGATCTCTTCTGGCGCTTCGTCGATATCCCCTCCGTCAGCTTTGCCAGAAAAGTCGAGAACTGGATGACAAAGGGCGCAGACGATCCTGTGCCCCCGCAGGGATCCTTACCTGCTGCACACAGTCAGCCTTTGACTTTTGATTTCCGTCGCGCAAGGGCCGCTAGCCACGGCGGTGCCGCTGGTGGCCACATTAGAAATGTCAGTGGTCTGGGTGGGCTGCAGGATGGTGGTGGGCCAAAGAGGAAGAATGGATAGATACCCAAATTGCGGGAGGGAAGGGTGCAAAACTTGAAGGGGATTATCGAATTCGGAGGATTTCTTTTATTTTCTTTTCTTTTTGTTCGTGTTTGAGAATTCGTGCGCATGTATGTACCTATGTTTGTGGTGAGAAAGAAAGCGCAGTACTAGTACTACTTACTACCAAGTAGGCTGTTTGTCTCTGACAGTCCTACATTCGAGGTGCCATACATAAAGTCCTGAGCTGAGGATGGAATCATTCCTACCGAGAGGGATCGATGGAAAGAAGGGAAGAGAGGGACAAATAAGTTGAACTCGTTAGTATGGAATGGAAATACCTAGTCTGCCACTCCACTCATATCGTAGGTCTCATTCGTGTCTATCTGCTTGCATTGCCTTTCTACCAATAATGAAGTAAGAAAATAACCAACTGACCAAACCCACCTGTCCGCTCATCCGTACATATATTCATAAATATCTCAGTTCGATGCATGTTTGAAGAAAACCATCGTCCAGCTTTGGTCTGTCGGCTCGGCATCGCCTTGAGGGGTTTACGCCCCTTTACCTGCGAGCGACACCCTAGCTGATCCCTAACCTAACCTGTAACAAAGGAAGACAGAAAATAATAAACGCCCAAAAAGACACATCGTATATTCGACATTTTCGCTCTATCCGTCCATTAATCGTATCATGGGCTGCCTGTCTGCCCTGGTCCCCTGGCATTTTCAGCTCCTCGTCAGCGAGCTGCTGGGGTTGAAGTCTTTGGCTGGTTCTTGGCCTCGGAAGTCGTGGGGAAATCCTGGACTTTTTTGCTGTCGTCCTTGCTGTCGGCGGCGGGTTTGGTGTCCGAGTCTTTGATGTCCTTTGGTTGTTCCTTCGCGTCTTGAGGCTTCTTGTTGTTTTTGTTGTCGACGGATTTACTGCCGGTGTCTTTGGCTTGTTCCGACGCAGTCTTTTCCTGCTGTTGCGCCTCCTTGGCTTTCTTATTCTTTTCTTCTTCCTCGAGGGCCTTTTGTTCCTGCAACTTTTTGGCTTCGGCCTCCTTTTTCTTCGCTTCCTCCTCCTTGGCCTTTTTTGCGGCCTCGTCCTTCTTCTTCTTCTCTTCGTCCGCCTTGGCTTTCTCCTCGGCTTGTTTCTCGTCTGCTTTGGCCTTCTCCGCGGCCTTCTTCTTTTCTTCGGCCTGCTTGACCTTGTCTACATGGGAATTGACGTAGCTTATCGCCGACTCCTCCAGACAAGCCCGGACGTCCCATCCCACGGCGTTGGCTCGCTCGTAGCGGTCAAACGGCTCAAGAAGCGCCGAGTATTCGTTTTGCGCGGCATCATTGGCAAAAGTCGGGAACCCCTCGGTGGTACTTTCGACCTTTTGCTGTCCAAAGTAACTAGCCAGTGACGGCAAACCGCGGAGAAGATTCCACACTCCAGCCACCATCATGACCTGGACCGTGGCGTCGTCGACCGACAATGTCAGGGTCATGACGTCCATCTGCTTGCCATTGGCGTCCCGTCCGTCGAGATCCCATCGAGCAATGCTGTTGGTGATCATGATTCGGCCTTTGCCGCAAGGGTCGGCCAGAGCATCGGCGTCCATGACCACTCCTTCCCCGAAATCCAACGCCTGCGAGGCGTATGTCAGGTAGAAATGCGTCGTATTGGTGACCAGCACTGTCAGTTCTGGTCGGTAGACTGCCTGTCTACAGCCACCTGCCTTCTCGACATGGGTTCGGGGAAATGACACGAATGCTTGGACATTGGGCGACCCGAAAGGCGACTCCAGCTTCTCCTTGTTTGACAACGGGATCGGAATCAGCTGTGTGCCCCCTCGAAGACTGCCGTCATGGTCGTCATGCTGACTCGACAGCGCCGGCAGAACTTTCTGCTCAAACACCACGTCGCACATTCCCGTCGAAAGCCGACATTTCAGAACAGTCAGTGGCTCGAAACGCCAGATGAAATGTATGTGCTTGCTCGGTTGGCCGGCCGAGGTCGTCGTGTTGGACTCCGGGTCGTCCTGTTCAAGCTCCCGCACAAAGAAGGGCGCCCAGTTCTTTTCTTTCTTCGGTCGCTCCGTGCCCCGTACGGTGAGAATGTTGGACTGTTCAGAGAATGGCCGGAAGATCCACATGGCGCGCTTCCAGTTGGAGCGGCTCGTGATCATGTTGAATACAATGACCGGTTCGGCATCCTCGACCCCTTCTTCGATGATGATTCGCGCATCCTCGGGCCCGAACAGCAATCCACCAATCTTGTACTCAGTAGGCGTATCAAACACTTTGGGGAACTGAATCTCCCGCCCTTTCCATTTCAGCGTGTATCGATCGAGGTGCATCCAGTTTTCGCTGTATATCTGTCCTCGCAAGAAACTGATCCGACATCGATCCTTTTGGCCGCCAGGGTGGAAGATGATCCTTGACACGCACAGATGAACGCCGTGGTCAGGCATCCACACACACGCGGTGGCCAGGCGGTCCCAGGAGGCCGCCAGTATCTCGTTCAGGGAAAAGGTGCCCTCTTTAATCCTGTTCATGGTGGGCGCATAGTCGATCATTGGGTGTGCATCCAGCTCCGCGGCGATCTCGACAAAGTTGTCATGGAGGAAAAAGGATTCTTGCACCCCTATCTCGGACGAGTGTGCAAGAGTTGAACATGATAGGTTCTGGCCAACGTATTCTCCTCCTGGTATTGCGGTGTTATCGTATCCCTCCACCCACACCGCTTTGAACAGGCCTCGTGCCTCGTAATTTTGGCCGCTACCAGTGATGGCCTGCTGTTTGTCGTGCTGCTGCTGTGGCTGCTTTTCGTGATGGTTGGGCAAAAGTTCGACTTCGGATGATATTAAGGGCTGCAATCAATCGAACCGTTAATCAATCTATCACTTGCATTTCGGTATCACACATCAACGCTGGCGGCCACTCACCTCGGTCCCGCGTAGGTAGTATGTCTGATGAAACAATAAAGATAAAACAAAAAGCGATGCGCCTGCAATCAATGTCCGCCTCGAGAAGAGCGGCCGCATCTTTAAGCTGACAAGCGGGGTTGCCCATCGGGCAGCAGCACCCTGCTCTAAGGCTTGCACAGATGGCATTTTGGAACTTGCATCTTTTGCGGAACTCATGACAAGAACCTCAATAATATGGCTCACAACAAGGCCGGGAAAAGAGGGAGAGAAGAGAAAGGAAGGTGATGACGGTGAAAGAGACACACAACCCCCAAAAGCCAGGTGTGCCTTTCACCCAAGCGTTGAGGCAGCAGTCACAGTGTACCTATCTACTGTACCTCACCATGGGAAAAAGGCCAGAAACAGGGACAATTAATGCGTGCTTACCATGCCTTTCATGGGCTGGAACTAACAAGCATGACCGGTGTGCTGTCAAAAGAGCATTGACCGGTCTTTGACATGAGCGAAGTCTCCATGCATGCAGACCTCGCGAGCGCCGACCCGGCTTGAGCCAGGAAGGCAAAAGAGGCTTGCCTATAACCGTGAGTGTGTACGCGCACGGTCATTCTTTTCCGTTTCAAGCATCGCCACCAATAATGGCTATCTTGACGGTAAAGCCTTGCTTGACTGGTTGTGTGGTTTGTGTGTGTTTCTCCCCTCACACAATTGGGGCCCTTACCTATAATTATTGACTTACCGTCGATTCAGTTCAGCCCATATTTTGTGAGGGACAATAGGCCTCCGGCGGCAAAGCTGATTCTAGCCCCCGGGGTGGATGGCGATGGGTATTGTTGGCTAGGGCCGATAACCCACGATGGAGCCTCACCACTGACTGCTGGTGACGACTAACTTTCTCCTCCTGAAGAACGCACCGACCCCTGGACTAGCCTCGAACGGGTTTTCTCGCGGGCACGGGAGAGCAGAGTATCAAGAAATGGGCCCAAGGAGGAGAAAGGGGGCTTTCCGTTGAAGAGACGACAAAGCATGAGTGACTGGCTGGCCCATACACTGACAGCTGTCAACGGGTCCCCCTAAGCGACAAGTCGTCCGATAGGGCCGTTGAGATCTTCAGAAAGCCGTGTTGCGTGGGGCTCAAGTCGGTCGTCGAGAGGCACAATCATGTCGATGGCTTTTTGAAGGAGGTACGGTGTACCGTATTCAGGCTGTAAATAAAACTTTGATCGCAGGTAGTGTTAAAGTGGACGGGATCGATCATAATTTGGGCCTTGAGGCGGGTCAGCAGTTGACATTTTGACGCCGCCCCTGTTTCTCCTAATGCTAGATACAGCTCGATCGCCGCCCTTTCGATCAAACGAAATGAGGAGCGCACTAGGGAGGAAGTACTGTAAAGAGCATGTGTTAACGGATGAACGTGATGATATTGTGTGCTGTGGCTGGCTGCGGCGGCCTCCTTACCAGGTAACCTCCCACATCAACCTCCCACTGACACCAAGACAGCCAGCTACACAAAGCCACATGAGACTGCTTATTCAGCAACCCCTGAGGCTCGGAATCGTCAGCGCTCAGTCCATCGTCATGTAATACTCGATACACTCTGGAAAGATTGATCTACATTGTACTCAGCGGACTGACCGCTATGCTATCGACTTGTAGATCGGGTAACGCCAATGGAGTCAACCATCGCGCAATGGCCACTATCTAAGCTTCTGTCACAGACATGTCGGCCCATCAACGTGGCTAGCCACCACAGATTTCATATGCACACAGATCATTTTCCATGGCCTCTCCCGCCATTTGGAATCCTCCACACATCTTTCAAGCTCACCAAGCTTCACAAACGAAATGCCCGTCGGACCCGAGGGGCCTTGCGCACATATGGATGACGGGAGCCTTGCGGCACAAGAGGGTCAACTTCACCTGTGTTGATCAGTGCAGGGTCGGCGTCTTCGAGGCTCTGGAGCCCAGCGAGTTGCATGGCTGTGATTACTTCTTCTTTGAGGACTGTGCACGGTAGTAAAGTGGTCAGCGACCGGGAGCCTGGTTCCACACGGATCAAAACCACTTACTGTTCACCAGATGTACTACACCTTCTTTGCCGTAGTTGAGCGCGTACATAAAGGGCCTACCCATGCCGACACCGCTTGCGCCCAAGCAGAGAGCCTTGAGGACATCCGAGCCCCTTCTGAAGCCGCCGTCGATGAAGACTTCCATATGGTCGAACACTTCGGGACATTCCTTGTGCAGTTCCAGAAGGACAAGAATTGATGCCGGCGCCCCATCCAGAGCCCTTCCTCCATGGTTGCTGACCATGACTCCTTGACAGCCTACTTGCATGGCAATGCGGGCGTCTGCTGCTGACTGTACTCCTTTCAAAACCAGGGGCAGCTTGGTCTGCTGCCGCAGCCATACGAGGTCGTCCCAACAAAAACTAGGGTCGATGAAGGACCCTACATTCCGAGCGAGACCAGACGTTTGGCTGCCGCTCGTCGCAGTAGAGCCGCTCAAGCCGCTGGCCTGAAACGTTTCGAGCTTCAGCCGTTCGTCGGCCTCTCTTTTTGACACGACGGGGAGATCAACGGTGACGAAGATGGCTTTGATCTGCGGCTTCGAGTTGACGAGACGGAGTAACTCCTCGGTCTTGCTTCGGTCCTTGTTGATGTATAGTTGAAAGAAGAAGGGTTGGTCCTGAGGTGCAGCTTCCAGGATCTCGGTCAATGGAAAGGAAGCGTTTGTGGATATCTAGAACGGCGGGTCAGTCTCTGCCTGTGATTCGACTTCCCGCCACGACTGGGCATACCATTTGCAAGATGCCTGTTTCAGCTGCTCCTCGACTCAAGGCAACCTCGCCCTCTGGTCCTCCGGTCTTGCCCAGTCCGGCTGGCGAAATGAAAATTGGAAGGGAAACGTTGCAGTCAAGCATGGTGCCCTTGGTGGACACTGTCGCCACATTTCTCAAGATCCGAGGTCGAAACCATATTCTTTGCAAAAGCCTCTGATTGGCGTCGCGCGTAATGTTGTCGTTTGATGCTCCTGAGATGAAGGCCCAACTCTTCTTGGAGATTGATTGTCTGGCAGCGTCTTCGAAATCCTGCAGATTGATCAATGCATTCAACGGCGGCTTTCTCTCTGTGCGTTGAGGCGCTTTGCTCCTCGCGCCAGCGACGCCAGAAGGTAGCTTCGTAGCTGGATCGAGCTGCCCAAGCTGTTCTTGCGGCAACAGTGTAGCGGTGATCAGCTTCGGCTCGTGCACCTCGCCATAGGCCTGGGAAGCATCCCTGCCAGCGTAAGCATAAATGACTATATCTCTCGGTGAGCACGCTTCCACTACGAGTCCTTCGGGGTTTCTCACTATCTGAACCTCCTGGATGCTCAGGCGCAAAACGGGTCATATCGTAGACTTTCCCATCGACCACAATCCAGCAATCATTGACCTGATTGTGCCTTTGCACCTCGGATGCTGGGATGGACGATCTTCTTGACCCGTCCATATCTTCCAACAGCCAGACTGGGACTCGGATTTTTCGCTATCTCAATATACACGACATCTTGCGGCTTGCAGCGAAGCAACCGCGAGCAAAGGCCTCAATGTCCTATGAGTTCCCCGCATTCTCTTCCTCGGGTCTGTACTTTTCCTTCGTTGTCAGAAGATTGGGGTTGATCCGCATGGACCGTGTCGGTATACCGAAAAGGGAAGTCCGGCGATGGAGAAGGCTGCTCAACATCACATAACACAGAGTGGTATTATCATTATCTCCATCTTGATAGGTGCATACATACCTAGGATCTGTCTGCAATGTAAGAGCCTTGCCTGACATGATCAACATGAAAAGGAGGGTCCAGCAACCAGGCGCCGGGGTCTCCACGAGCTTGAGATGTGGTCCCTTGTCCGCTGATATGGGGTGTTTTTATCAAATGTGGTCCGGATCCCGGAGGTACCACACACGGTGCACTCCGTCCGCATGGACTTCATCCGCAATGACTGGATCCGTCCGGCCAGCGGAAGAAATACTCGTCTATCTATATGTTTCTGCATGGACGATGCTCGGCTGAATTCATGTCTCCCCTAAGAAGATCCCCTCGCTGCTCATACCACTTTTTTTGTCCAAACAGCGACTGATTCCTCAGAACTCCAAAATGACACAAGGACGGCTATCAGGCAAAGTTGCCATTGTGACTGGAGGTGCCAGTGGCTTCGGCCGAGGTATCGCGACCAAATTCGTCAATGAAGGTGCCAAAGTCATCATTGCGGACCTGTCTGCGGCCTCTGCTGAGGCCGTGGCAAAGGAATTGGGTTGTCAATTCACCGTTGCCAATGTCACAAAGAGGGAAGATTGGGAGGCCTTGCTCAGGAAGGCCCAGGAGCAATATGGGGGTCTAGACATCATTGTCAACAACGCCGGAGCGACGTATGCCAATAAGCCCACCCACGAAGTCAGCGACAAGGACTTTGAACTCGTCATGGACGTCAATGTCCGCTCCATATACCTGTCCACAAGTGTTCTTCTCCCGTATTTTCTTGAGCAAAAGAGGCCTGGAGCGTTCATCCAAGTATCGTCAACAGCTGCTCTCCGCCCTCGGCCAGGCCTCACGTGGTACAACGCTTCCAAGGCCGCAGTGAGCAATGCCACCAAGACGATGGCTGTTGAATATGGACCCCAGAAGATTCGGTTCAACGCCGTTTGTCCCGTGGTTGGAAGCACAGGAATGTGAGTTTTCGTCCGGACCTTATCATGACTCACGGAGTTCTTCTCACACCTACCCTTAGGACACATTTGTTTCTCGGAAAGCCAGATACGGAAGAAAACCGAGCTGGCTTTGTTTCCACGATCCCCATCGGTCGAGCAAGAACTCCAGCCGATGTTGCCAATGCTTGCTGTTATCTAGCAAGTGACGAGGCCGAGTTTGTTACCGGCGTCAACCTTGAGGTATGTCTGCCCAACTGCCCATATGAATCACCTGCTGATCAGCATTTGTCTAGGTCGACGGCGGCCGCTGCGTGTAATATCGTGGCAGGGCTTTCCCGGCGACGCTTGCGCCTCATGATCTACTGCACAGGGCCGGGACTCAGCATTGTCGTGGAAGGTTAGATAATCCTTAGCCAGCCAACCATCGCGAATCTTGATTTCACGCAATAGTTTTCTTCGTCTTTCAAGTTCGCCGAGCGGTCTGCAAGGCTGGAAGAGGACTTGAATTGCAAGAGCATGCCGTCGAAGTGTCCCTCACTGCCGTTGGCAATAGAAACCCCGGAATATCGGATCAGACCGCTTGATTCCGGCCATCTCTTCGCTCGAACCACGTAGGCACGATCCCAGGGTATACGCGGTGAGTCGTCTCTGAATGAGGAGAGAGCGCAGGCTCAACGATACCTCGACATGTTAGACTTTGCCGCGGGGGTAATCGATATCACATCAGCATATTATTAGGAAGGATTTGTTCGCCGCAAGTAGCGTTGTCCATGGGCCACCTAAGCTCGCCAGAGCTGGGAAGACTGTTGCTATGATGGCGGCGAGGATGCTGATCTCTTGTGTGCAAAGCAAGTAAGGACGGAAGAGTACCTTACGCAGGCACCGCTGCTGTCCACAAGCTGCTCGATCATGGATGTCTTATGTCAGCAAGGACTGGCCACACGTGACCCACCAGTACGTTGTAAATGGCGCCACTGGCACTGCAGACTGGCATTGCCAGGCACCGAAGAGTGCAGCGAGTGGCTCCGAGTCCCCTTCAGTTCCCCAGGTTCTGTTCTGGCGTTGGGGTCAATTTTCTGGGTGCCAGTTGCGGGCGCAGACAGACTCGTGCGATTTTCTGCACAACTGCGCTCATCATCCCACAACGTACAGAACATGATGATGTCCACACAACAACTCTTCACGGCCTGATCTACACCAGCTGGTTCCTCAGTACAGTCGTTACGGCTATATTCTTTTTGCTGCATATCTTGCTATTAGTGTTGATGCTAGCGGTGACAGCCTCTAACCCTCCACCACCTTGTCTCCTCCAACTCTTAATTGATCCTGATGAAGAGAGTGGGACAAGAGCATTCTTCAGTCTACTGGACTGACATCTCCTGCTAGTCTTAATGTCCAGAATGTTTTTGGTCTGCTCAATCTCCCAGCTCAGTGTTTGCCATGGTATGTCCCCTGCTACGATCGCTTCCACCATGCCCTCACCGTCTGGAGCCCAGAGCATCGCAACTGATTCTCCTATCCTCGAAGGCCACCACGAAGAAATCGCGAACCCTCAGTTGTCCTGAATGCCATCTGGTAGTGGCTCGCCCAAGTCATCTCGCTCGGCACATTCAGTCTCATCTTCCACCCTCTCGCCGGGAGCATTTCTCTTGTGGAGAGTGCGGGCGCCAGTTTTCTCGCAACGATGTTTTGCTACGGCATCTCCGAACGGCACACCAAGCGTATATTTCACGGAAAAAGTCGGCTCAGAAATCATGCTTTCGGTGCGTGCAAAAGAAATTGAAATGTGATCGTGGTCACCCATGCATTTCTTGTGCGAAGTCGTCTTCCATGTGCAAATATCCGGCTGAGGAGCCATTTGACGAACCAGACGTGAAAGAGGGAAAGATAGAAACATCTCCGAAGGCCGATCTTTCGTTGGAGGATAATGGCAGCGGGCAGCACAGCTCGTTTGCCAGCTCGGATGGCTTTGCGAATGCTTCGACCCAGGGACCTGACAACGTCCCTGGACTAGTTGGACATACGCACACTGCTGCACAATCTTCCTCAATATCTCAGACGTTCAGCAGCCACACAGCTCAGTTCATCCAGCCAGGTACGGATTCTTTCGCGCTGGGTATGGTCCATTCCGACCTGGCTGCTTTCCAAACCACGAGTCCGACCACCACTGTCCACGATTACAATCAATCTATGATGAATTTCGATAGCGCGTACCTGCAAGGGGACTTGAATTTCATGTCAAATCCACCACGAATAGCCGGGATGGCTGAAGGGGGAGTGGACTGGCTGAATCTAGAACTGGATTCGCCGAACGCTGGTGACTACGCTGCGCAGACTATCGGGCAGGTCTTCAACAATGGCTTGTTCCAACCCGTCCACGCCCAGCCCTGGGCATCAATTGGATCGGAGGGCCCCTTTTACAACAAAATCCAGAGTACTATACCGGCAAGAGTCGACCTGCCCTCCACTCAGGAGACGAACTGTCCTCCCAACAAGGTTGCCGAGTCCCAGACCTCAGCCCAACAGTGGCCCTTTGATCACACTCGCAACCCTGAACCGCAGAAGTATCGTTTGCCACCGTTACGCCAGATCCTTCAGGGCACAATAACTTCGGACGGGCAAGACAGTGGTAACACAGCCAAAAGCCTAGTTCAACTCTTGTCCGACCCGGTTCTGCCCGAGATCAGTCTCGTTCAGGACTTGAACATGATGTCTGCTTTGGACTTGTTGAAGAACTCTTTGGATCTCTACTTCTCAGAGTTTCATAGTGTGCTACCCGTGATACACATTCCGACGTTCAATATGGCCAGAGTCCCCACGGTCACGCTGGCCGCCATGTCGTGTATCGGAGCCATGTACTCGGACGATCGTCTAGGGACAGATCAATCATGGTCGTTGAGTGAAATGTGTCTCCAGATGATCGCCTGGCTAGGAGGTGCAGATAGCACAAACTACTACGATCCCTCATACCTCATAGCCTCTTGCCTTCACCAGATATATTCGCTCGGTTCCGGAAATCGACGGTTATACCAGAATGCTGATTGCTCCCGAGGCATCTTAATAGGTTGCCTCAGAGGTATGGGGTTGTTGAAATCCCGAATCAGCACAGAAATCGAAAAGGAGGATTTCAGAAACACCGGTTTCATCGAGAACCCGGCAAATGAATGGTTACGCTGGAAGGACCAGGAGCAAGATAAACGGATTGCCTGGTCGGCGTTCGAATATGACTGCAGTTTGAGCACACTGACATCCAGGAGAGCAGCAGTGGATCTTCCTGAGCTGCCTAGTCACTTGCCATGTGCGGAACCCCTCTGGGATGCACCCACTGCTCAGGCGTGGTCTGCATTGTATTCACGGTTAAGCCCTACCGCCCGCGGTGCGCCTACGGCGAAGATACTTCGCAATATTCTCGCCGGCAAAGCCATTCCGGAAGATCTGCCGGCATGGAGCAAGAGACTTTGTGCTCAAAAGATTGGTCGGCTGCTCTGGGACTTGAAACAACTTGATATCATGTCCACCACCGAATACTTGAAGCTTCCATCTTTGTCAGCCGCTCAAAGACAGACCAAAAGCGTCCTGCTACAAGGCCTGAACGCCTTATGTGAATCTATATACAACCCGTCTTCTACAGCAGAATTAATCCACTACAAGTAAGTTATCGTCCCCGGAGGCTGGGTAATATACTGACTTGAGCTCGCAGCATCACTTCCCTCACATGTCATTACTCTCATCTGTACAGTGCGGATGAAGTCATGGATCTTGTCGTGCATATCTTTCGCACTTCAGCGTCTCAAGGAAAGCAACCTGACTACGGGCTGATAGCCGCAAAGCGACGATTAAGATCCATTTTCATCCGAAATCCCGGCCAGGCTCGCAGGCTCGCTTGGCATGCAGCCCAGATGATCTCCGTGGCCAATGAATACCTGGTGTCGGCGCCTTGTGAGATCTTGCGGGTGTTCATGGGCTACATCTTCCTCCTGGCGTTTGCCAAATTCGGACCTCAACCGGTCCCCGAAGCATCCTTTGATTCTTTTGCCATACAATTAGATCTGCCAAACCGGATTCAAGGGCAACGAACCGCCATCAGCACTTGGATCGATGTCGGTGGTCCTGCCAGCATAGGTGGCGTCAAGAACATATATAGTGACGGAGGATTGAAAGCAATCAGTCGAGAAGCTCAAACCATGTTACGGAAAATGCGGTTCTGGGGATTGGCCAAGAAATTCACCCGGATTTTGGAAAGTTTCGACTTTGACAGCGATTGAGGAACAATGCCTCGTCTTATCCACGGCTCATTCTATCCATCAAGCTAGATGACAATATCCGCACACAGCATGGTCGGACAATTCGGTCAGCGTTGGCGCGATGGTGTTCTGGGAGCGGTTGATGCCTTTAGACTAGGCCATAAATGACAAGGAGGTCACGAGGCCAGCGCACGTTGATCTACCCAGAAGATTGATTTCCACCGGACAAGTCCTGGTACCGAGGAGCAGATGTTTCGCGCCACATCACTCTTTCAGAATCTCCAGGGGGACAAGAACCATGCTCCGCCTCGACGGAGTTCAAGTTGTGGCACGTCCGAAGCTCGATTGGCACATGCGGACCCGTGCGGGGAGACTGTGGAGAGGCCGAGTCCGTGAACGAAGCGAGCAGGACTATGTAGTGTGCGCTCTCTGGACGTCGCATTGTTCCAGCTGAGAATCTAGGCGGCTGCCAGGTTGCATTGGAAAATCTAACACTCGCTTGCAGCGGTGCGGTTCGTCGTCTCCTCGCGACTCGAACCTCGTCCGAACACTTTACCGAGCTGCGGGTAGTTAGGACACCCTTTCCGGATTCGGACGAGCCCAAACCACATCCAGTGCACACCCCTCCATCCGCACGGCATCGACAGCAATATCATACTTCGCGCCATTGTCACCCGCTTCAGGTTCGGCATTCAGCTTTCTCTGTGCTGCCAGCCATGGCCTCGACGTCACCAACAACAACCGGGGACCACGATCAAACCCAAATACACCATCTGCACTTAACACCATTTGACTCCCTGCCTGATAAGCGACAAGTATGGACTGGTGCACCGGGCTCACGCGAGGAAGGTCTGGGCCGGCTGGTGCTCTTGACGCCGGAGGTTGTTGCCTTGGCGGCAGCATCCTGCATCCGTAGCGGTCGACGCGTGACCGTTGGCTGGGAATTGACCAAGTTGGAGATTGCCAACTTCGGCCGGCAGCCCTGCAGCCATCAGATCGTGCCGTTGCTCAGTGGCACCGCATTTGACGACATCTACACCCTTAACCCTCAACAGAGCAGCCAATGGGACGGCCTGCGGCACTTCTCCCAGCCGTGCCCAACTGAAGACGACCCGGACAGAAGGCTCTTTTACGGCGGGACCACCAAGGAAGAAATCGTCCGTCCAGGCGACGGTCGAATCGGTCTCCAGCACTGGGCAAAGGAAGGAATCTGCGGCCGCGGCGTGCTGCTCGACTACGTCTCGTACGCGGAGCGCAAGGGGATTGAGTACTCGACTTTTAGCGAGCACGCGATCCCGTTGAGCGTCTTACTCGAGATCGCGGCCGAGGCGAACCTGACATTTCGGAGAGGCGATATCTTGTTCGTCCGCGTCGGCGTCACCAAGGAATGGGACACCAAGATGACGGCGGACGACAAGAAGGCGTACGCAGCCTCCAAAAACCCTCTGCACGCCGGCGTCGAGGGCACTGAGGAGATGCTGCGCTGGATCTGGGACAGCGGCTTTGCGGCCGTGGCTAGTGATGCTATCTCGTTCGAGGTCTACCCGCCGAAAAAGTCGCATGCGCGTCCTGACGGGCATGACGTTCCTGGTCTGATGATGCACGAGTATCTCTTGGCCGGTTGGGGCATGCCGATCGGCGAGCTGTTTGACCTCGAGGGGTTGGCGGAGCTCTGTCGTCGCGAGAACCGCTGGGATTTTTTCGTTGCTAGCGCACCGTTCAACATGCCTGGCGGGGTGAGCAGTCCGCCGAACTGTATTGCCATTTTTTGATCCTGTACGTACTGTACCACACGTACCTGCTAGGGAGGCAGCTTAGGAGGAGGCAGTCCATATACTCGATTTATATCATATGAACGCCGTGTGATGAAGTGTATTGATAGTGTAATTCCGGCTACGCAGAAGGATAAGGATAGATGTTTATATCATGCATATGCGGCGGTGTGGTCTGGATACTTACGTACAATCTGATTCTCCAACTTCAGTTGAATCAGTGACAGTAAGGTACAGTAGAAGTAGATAAAGCGCCGGATATTAAGGTACTAGGTATACATATATATAGTGTCTACTCGGCTTCGCTCCGTAGGACTATACCACAAGACGCCCTCACACACCGCACTCTCAGCCACTGCACTGGTGCACTTTGTACCACTCCATCTCAAACTCGAACACCACTGACAACACGGCTGGAAGCTTACAGCAGAGAGCAGCAGCGCAGCATGGCAGCGGAATACAGCCTCATCAAAGCCCATCCAAGCCGAAGCCCAAGCCAACAATGACAGTTGCACCCAGCAGTGGGAGTTAACCTCGCACGCGTCTCTTATGACCAACTCGCAGACTCACAAACATCAACCCTCCGTTCAAGTTGGCAAGCTCCCGGATCAAGGATCAAAGCTTGAATCAAGCTTCTTTCGACCCCTTCTCCATAACCTCCATTCGCTCTCCTCCCGCTCCCCCAGGACCTCCTTCCCCATCACCTCCACCAACACTCCCCAACCTCCCCGCAACAGCAACATCCTCCTCCGGCAACGAATGCACCACATCCTTACGTCTAAGAAACTCATCAAGTTCCCTCCTCTGGTCCTCACTCACATCATTAACATGGACCGCGACATCGTCACCAAACTGCTTGGAAATTTCCTCGAGCGACAGCCTTGCTGTTTCCGGCCAAAAGAAATAAATCATCGGCAAATAGACAATACACCACGCCACGATGACCAAGTAATATTTCCAGCCGACATCGTTGATTCCAATGGGTGCCGTTTGTAACAGAATAATTGTCGCGGCGAATTGGCCGAATAGCGAAAATCCCATTCCGATAGGGCGGATTTCGGTCGGGAAGATCTCCGAGACGTAGAGGTACATTGTTGTGTCGCAGAACGTGCCTGTCACAAAATAGATGGTTAGTCAAATGTATGCTCTTTCTGTTCCACAAAAGGAAGGGGTCTTTCTGCGGCAAAAGGGGTCTTTTCTTGTAGGTGCTTTCGCTGACGCTCGCTACTCTCTTCGCAGAAAGATCTTTCTTGCGAAAGCTCTCACGGACGCTCGCTGATGCTCGCTACCGCTGTACTAAACTCACCCTGTAAAGCAAGATACAAAAACACCATCGTAATGGCCCCACTGTTACCCGCTTTGCTGGTGGTGCCGCCGTAAGTGGCGATAAGAGCACATAGAATCGACGTTGTTACCAGACAGCCCGTGATGCCGATCATGTACATGAGGCGGCGGGAGTTGACTTTGTCGTGGAGCCATGCGCCGCCGGGGTTGTAGATGACACCTAGCAACAGAATTCATCAGCATTGGCAGTAATGGAAAGGAACGAGAGGAAAATGGAGGCTCGTACCAGCAGTAGTGAGCCAGACTGCCGACAACAACAAGGGCATGCTGCCTGTTTGGCCTAGGTTCGTGTATATGATGACCGAGTAGTTGTTCTAGGACGACGAGCAAAGGTTAGCATTTGTCTGGAGACATTCATCACACTCGCCCGTTCGCTCCCTTTCATTGGCACTGCTGTGGCAGTGTTCAATAACAACCAAACTACGCTTTCTTTCTGTGAGTAGGGGGGATTTGTTCCACTTACAATAACCAGAGGCCCGGCAAACTCTGCCCCCCATTGCGTCAAAAACCCAATGATCAACCTCTTGCGATAACTCTTCTTCTTCAGACACGCCATCCACGGCCCATACCCCACGGCCTTCAACTTGGCGGCATCGAGGGCCAGTTGCGCTTTAGTCTGGTACAGTTCCTCCTTTGCCGCAAGGTCGTCCGGATCATCCGGCGACCGACGCAAAGCCTGAATCACACTCCACGCCTCGTCGATCTTACCCTTCTGGAGCAACCATCTCGGCGACCGGGGGATCCAAATCGAAGTGATGAGTAACACCAACGGCGGCAGCGTTTGGATGCACAGGGGGAACCGCCATGCAAAGGATTCGTTCCTGCTCGTGGCGAAGTAGCATGCATACCCTAGCCATGCGGATAACATGTATCCAAACACGAGAAAAATGGCATGGTGGCCGACTAGCCATCCGCGATTTTCGGGCGGTGCCAGCTCGGACAGGTACATTGGGCAGGCGGTCACTAGGATCCCAATGCCTAATCCTGATATGACTCGGCCGACGTGGAACATCCTAAGAGAGTGGATGTCAGTCAATCGGAGAGCAGAGCCATCCTCGAAGAAGAGAATTCGTGCTGCTTACGCGAGTGCCGCCGCTCCACCCTGGAATGCACCTCCAATGATAGCCAATATGGCTCCGACCTGAATGCTGTGTTTGCGTCCTATCGCAGTGGCAGACCACATGATGAACAGACTGCCGACTGCCCCTCCGGCACTGTAGAGGCCGTTGGCCGTGGCGATTGCGTCCGTCGTTTTCCCTCCATAGCCTGGCTCGCCTTGCTGGGGCAGATCGAAGAATTCATACCATCCTGGTTGACCGATGGTGCTGCCGATGATAGCAGAGCAGTAGCCGTAGGTCTTGCACACAACATGAAAATCAGACTGAAATCGTGCAATGGGATAAGACCATACGTACCATAGACCCGAAGGCGACCGCAACTGTCACGAGTCTGTTGTACAAACTCGAATGTGATGACGATTTTCGTTTTCCTGCAGCCATGGTTGCTCGTTGTGGTTTCGCCCCAAAAACAGTGCACTGAGAACCTCCGCTGGCGACCTTCTGAAATTGTAGGGGTAAGAACAGTACGTGATGTGGGAAGAGTCTCAAAAGTCGTCAAGGTCCCCTACATCGACGAGGAGAACCAAAAGCCCCCAGGCTACGCTGGGCCCCTAAACCAAATATACAACATATAATGCCCGAGGCTGTAAACAGGAGAGACCCATGATGACTCTCCCAGGTGGACGGGTCTCGGCTGCGGGGACTGGGTCCTTCTCCGGGTTCGGGTCTGGAGAGACATTCTGGGGCACCAGCATCTATCAGAGTCCAATAGTCAGCAGTCGAAAGTCTTCGGCGAGTCAGTCGGACTCTCCATTTCCATTCGAGCTGCCTCTGCGAAAACAGACGGTCTATCCGCGAGGAAGCAAGATGGGGTTTCCGCCGGTCCACATCATGAGGAGATGCTAGGGCTGTTTCCTACACCGCCGTCGGCCGGACAGCGGTTCAGGAAGCACTATTGGATTGGAACCCCAAGACGCGGCCCTGGGGTTGGACTTAGTCCTACTAATCTACGTAGGCGATGGTGGAACCTCCGCGGGTTGTACCGCAACAATCTCCGGGGCTCCTGACGTCCAGGAGTCTTCGTTGAGTTGCCGATACCCCCGGGGCCTAGACGCACCGTTTGCTGGCAGGATATCAGGGCACATGTGTTAGTTCGGGGATCGGTGCTGATCTCCGGACAAGCCTTGGTGCCCAGCGCGTTGCGTTGCTCAGTTCAGCTTCGTGTCGAGAAGATTTTCTTGGCTCAGAACAAAACCAAAAGATTTTCAAGCTGCTAGTATTTACTGGAGCAACTCGAAATCGGAACAGAACCTGGACGAGTTTACCCAGAAGTCAGGGATGCCAGAGCCTTACCTCTGACTCTCCCAGACCGGTTGGCCAGAATCGCTATGCAGAAACTCCAATACTGAAATGTACAGATTGATGCCCAAAGAGGTAGGCCAGCTAGAGCTGGGTTGACTTCATAGCATGGATCCATAGGTGACCGAGATGCCATATGAGCAGCCTATGCAATCCCGAAAGAAGAGATCCTACAGTGCTGAAGAGGCAACTAATCGCCCGACGAGACACCAAGTACCGAAACAACATATATTGTTTATGCCAGAGCTGAGTGGGTATCGAAAGAAAGGAGATCTGAACAAACGTACACCGCGGACTCAGAGTCCGCCACATCACCATCCGTTGAGTCTGAGTGCCTTTTGCCTTCATGCTTCATTCGCCTGGTCCAGTTCAGGATATTTGGGGAGCTTCCACTTGGACTGCTTATTACTGAGACCGGCCATTTGATCAACTCGGAAATATGCCACTAGCCTTGCAAAGGCATGCAAAATGGCAATACCCCAAGTCGACGTGGGTGAGGCCAGGTTCTCAAACCACTGGCTGCCGCCGTGACTTGCAGTGGCTATGGGTCGAAACTTGTCCTCGTAGTTCTTTGCCGCCTGAATCACAACCGCGGTCGGCGACAACTTGTCTCTTTTCAACAGCGTGGCAATCTCCCCGGCCAGAATATAAGCGCCTACCATGCCCCATGTGGTTCCGTACCCGTCTGCGGTCGACGAGTGTGCCGCATCACCGATCAGAACAACCCGCCCTTGGGACCAAGACCCTTTAGGAAGATGGACCTCTTCCAACGGCGTGAAGTACAGGTCATTGGCCTCCGGGTCGTGTCGCAGTGCATTCATGAATCGCTCACATTGCCATCCGCCATCTTGATACAGATCAGCCAGTGCGTTCTTCAACTGGGACAAATCTCCCGACTTCATCGCCGCATCAAGGGCATCATCTTTCCCCCGGAACATCATATAAACACGAGTCAGTTCCGGGATATCCTTTCTCGTCATGATGATTCGGCGCACTCGACCGCCCGGCAACACGCAGACAGTGAGCCGATCAGAGTCCCCTGGCTCGGCTTTGACGCTGAAGTAACCTATGTAGCCTCCCAACCAGTGACGTGGATCAGGGGCGTCTGGGCCCAGCATCATTTTGCGAGTCCTTGAACCCGTCCCGTCGGCGCCAACGAGTAGATCAAAGTCCTCTTGGCGTCCGTCTGCAAAGGTCACATGGACTTTGCCGTTGGAGTCTGCCTCATCATCTTGCGTGAAACCCGTGATGGTCGTGTTGAACAAATGCCGTACGTTGGGTCGGTTTTCAGTGAGTGCGTACAGAATCTTGACCAGGTTGCCGCGCATGATCTCGTACTCGGATGTTATGCTCTGCCTCTCTGTGCCGCCGGTCGCGGCCGGGAAGAATGCCTTGACGTGGCCATGGATGTCGATGAGCTGCGTACCCGGTTCGCGCACAACTGCTGCTCGCACTGCCTCTTCGATGCCCATCTTCTTCATCATGGCCACCCCTTGACCGCGGAGGTCCACCTGTTGACCGGATGCTCGTATCTGTGGAAATCGCTCAATCAGAGTTACATGGGCGCCTATGCGTGCCAGCCAGTGCGCGAGGGTTGGACCAGCGACGCCTCCACCGACGATCAGGGCTTTGAAGGCCGCCATGGCTGTTGCCAGTGAAAGATTGTAGAGAGAATTGGAATCGGGATGCCTTTGGACTCCAGGGCCCGAAGTCCGAGCTTCATTTATACATGTATCAAGTACCGTTGTACCTGGCCCCCAGGGGTCAAACGTTGTATATAGGCGTCATCGGATCGGTGAAGTCGCAGGGGAATTCAATGTTGGTCCAGTCTCGGTCAGTCAGTGGCTGCCTGAATCATGTGATGATTGTGTATTCTCCGAGTCGGTCGAGATAAAGCCGTCTTCGACCCGAGATGTTCCAGGCAGTCGAGACTTCCCTTCATCTTATTGTCCCATTCGGGTCCGATTGTCTCTTCTACTACCGTCGCAGGCTGCGCTGCGGCACTGCAACAGACCTCCGTGGCATCTTCCCGGCGGATTCTGCCTGGCCGCACTGCATCTTTCCTCCGGGGCAGCCTGGATTGAGTCAACATCAACATCAGCAGTAGGGAGCCGCGAGACCAAGACCACAGTGTCCGTAGAGCTGTGCCTGTTAGTATTTACAGGGTGTCTTGCGCAGTGGTCAGGAAGCCACTCGCAGGCCTCCGCCGATGAAGCCAGTCACTGCAATCCGGCCATCCTCGCTACCATTACTACTACAATGTAGCCTGGCGTGATGCGTTCAAGTTGGCTGAGACGAATGCCACTGCAGCAGGTTCGATCGGGCACGTACTATCAATCATGTGAAGAACCGCACTGCATGAGGCTCTTCGCAGACCCGATTGAAGAGTGGACTCATTCAATGGATTCAAGTTGTATAGAATCTACTTCACGTGCTCGCATTCGATACGTGTATTGCCTACAATACCAGGTGACAGGTATCTTCACATCCTGCAGTTGCAGTGATCTCGTTGCTGCTGTACAATACCAACAGTGCAGGTTGTGACTTACGCTGCAGTGGTATTCTGTCCTGCGGTGTAGATTCCTGGCCTCAAGTTCAGATTCACTTCGGGTTCCTCACATTCCTCGCTCGCTTCCACGTCCAATCCCATCCCATCACTATTCTTTCCCTCTCCCTCCTTGCCTTCAACTATTCCTCGCTTATCACTGACTTGACTTCAGCCTGATTCGACTCCAAGGTGACACAGTGACATAATCATCCCCCAAAGCGACAATCTGCATTCGTGGCCGCTGGTGAGACGGACAAGATAGCGAGAAGCCTGAGGCCCCTCGATGCATCCGCGTCTGCGTCCGGATCGAGTGTCTCCTTTACCGGCTGAACCGATGTCGGTCCTGGATCCAACCTGAACCAACGTACAGTTAACCAACTCCAGTCTACCTACTATAGTCGAAATCGAATCGGTCCATCACCCGATCGGCCCAGTCTCGATTTGAACACACTCGTCTGTCGGAGCGTAACGGCTTATCCACTACTAGTACCGTCCGCTACACACGATGGAAGCTGGAGAAATCCACGACATCCGCTATGTCAGCAACGGCCACATCCGGCAGAAACTTGACCTCTATCTGCCCGCCGGTCGCAGCGAGCCTTGCCCCTTGCTTATCTACATTCACGGAGGAGCGTTCATGTTTGGGACCAAAGAAACAGACCTACTGCCGAAACACCTGACAGACAAGGGCTACGCCGTCGCATCGCTTGACTACCGGCTCAGTGGAGACGCCATTTTCCCGGCCGCCCTGGAAGACTGTAAGGCCGCCGTCCGTTGGTTGAGGGCACATGCACACGTATATCGAATTGATCCTGACCGATTCGTGGCTTGGGGAGAATCTGCTGGGGGTCATCAGGCTGCCATGTTGGGTGCAACCGGTGGGCAGACAAACGAGTTCGATGTGGGTGATTATCTGCACATCCCCAGCACCGTGCAAGGTGTCGTGAGTTACAGCGCGCCCACGGATTTTCTCAAGATGGATGCCAATGCACCGCCGAATAGTCAGAAGCATGAGGCGGCAAACTCCCCGGAGTCACGGTATTTAGGTGGCCCCATTACCGAGCAACCTGAGAAGGTCAAGAAGGCCAACCCTATCACTTACATATCTCCGTTGACCCCTCCGTTCTTCATCGCCCACGGCACAGACGATCACACTGTCCCATTCAATCAGAGCGAACTGCTTGTGTCTGCTCTAAAGGAGGCCGGCGTCCCAGTGGGTTTTCATCCCGTGGACGGAGCCGAGCATGTCTTTCGCGGGGCAACTGATGAACAGATCCAGGCGCTGAACCTCGCCACTGAGAGTTTTCTGCAGGATCTATTCGAGGGACTTCTGGTCAAACAGGTGCATGAGTCGCAAGCAGCAAAACAGGATTGATTCCATGACAGGAGTTTTGAGAACTTGATGCATAGCGCGGAAGGTGAAAGGTCGGAACGGAATGCTCAGGGGTTGAAAGGGATTAAGTTGCTCTCAGCTTCTGATGTCTTTGCACACGGAGCCAGTATATGATCCAGTTTTAGACCATGGGCTGGCTCCAAGTTCTCTCAGTATGCAGTCTATATGCATGAGGCCCTCTGTCTGCGGGGCTCGGATACCGTTTCTTGTCGATTAACATTTTTGCCTGTGCTCAGTCAGTTTTCCTTGTAATAATCCTCGAACTTGTCTAGTCTTGGTTTTGTCTCTCAGCTTCCACCTCGTGCAGGACTTTCATCAATCTGCCGTGGTGATTTTGGTCAGCATTCACGAGTCCAACCAAAGGAAGCAAGCAAGTAGTCCAGGATCTCATCCAAACCTTACCTATCTAGGCCCAATGTCAATTCATCTCTAGGAGTGGCAAATGTCAGCCGGAAATCGCCATTGCGCTCACTACCGAAGCTGGCTCCCATCGCCAGCCAAACACCCGCATGAGCCATGCGCCAATTCAACTCGAGCTCAGCCTCTTGCGTATCCTCTCGCAGATAGCGCGACAGGTCGATCCAAATAAAACTGGTGACACTTGCCGGATTGTAGGGAATATTGTTCTTGCGCAGCATCGACACAGTATACTCATAGGCCTCCGTCATGCGCGTCTGAAACAACGGAAAATACCAATCCAAAAAGGGCCGATCTGTGAGAAGATTCAGCCAAGCGTGCTCTGCAAGCTGGGAGGCCCGAGTGAAGCTGGCAACGGCTCGGACCGATCTCAGCAAGGCGCCCTCTGCCCCAGGCGATATCACGGCGCCGATTCGGGTCCCATTGGCGCAGAAGTCCTTGCTCATAGCATATATTACGTGCACGAGTTCCGGGTCGATATATTCCTCCAGCGGGAAGGAAAGTACTGACACAAACGGCGGCGGGTGCGGGATGTCGGAGCTAGGGAAATGCGAGCGGGCGTATACCTCATCTGAGATGAGATGGATGTTGTACTTGGAGCACAGCCTCAACATATCCTGGAGAAACTTGGTCTCGTACGGTCGACCTAGCGGGTTATGTGGGCTGGCAATTAAGATGGCGCGGATCCGCACACCTGCAGCATTGGAGCGGTGAAAAGCGTCCTCGTAGGCGGCAACAGCTGCAGCGGAGGTTGGATTAATGTCGCCAAATTCAACTAGGACGGGCTTGACTCTTGGACATGGGTGAGCACCTGTCATGTCTGCTCCAGCAATGCAAATTGGTTGGGGAAAAGGAACAATGGGCCAAAACTTGGATACCATGACCAGTAGTCGCAGCGGCTTCAGATGTGTAGAGGGGGAATTTCTGGTTCTGATATCGCGAAACGTGGCAGGGGAACAACGCACTTTGCACGAGCCTCGATGTCCGGAAAGAACCCGACGTACAACGGTCGGCCGACCAAGATCCCCTCTCCGGGCTCAGCAACGCAGAAGGACAGATTGTCCACGGCACTCCCGGCGCCGTTGCACACGCAGATGTGCTTCTCTGTGATCTCCATTGACGGACGGAAGACTTCGGTCACAAACGAGGCCAAGGCTCCGCGCAGGGCCGAGGAACCTGCTGGTCCTTGTCCATAAGTCAGGTGGAACGGTGTGATGTTCATATGCGTATTAATGTGTTGGACAATTTCATCGCGCATCAGCTTGTTTTCGGCCACTGCCAGGGCGACAATGCCGCCCGGGTTGACTTCGGCGTCATATTGGTTGTGAAAGCAGTGAGAGCGGATTTCATGAAGCTTGTTGGGGACGAGATTCGACGTCGCCCGGGGAGAAACATGAACCATTCTCGAGTGCGAAAGTCGTGACAAGGAGGGGCGCATGGAAGCTTAGAGGAGAAGGCAAGACGAAGTCAATGGTCGACAAAGATAAGGTATTGGTAGTTGTTGTACCGGAAGCAAGGCGATACTTGTAACGGATGTTACACCTGGGCAGTATCACCCAGGGGCAAGGACCTGATTGGATAACACCGTCCCCGCGACCAGGAGCAGATTATCTAATAAGCCGGTGCAGCTCCGTTCGAATTCACCGGCCAACTTGAAGTTGAACGTCGACTTTCAAGCTCAACTCCACCTTTCCCCTTCATTCAATCCCTCATTCCGCGCTCCCAGTCTTGTTGTCGCTCTCCCATGATGCGGAGAACATCGACCTCGGGTGCACCGGCGAAGAAGTCGTCGATCGGTCCCATGACAGCCCTCCGCCGCTACCAACTGTGTCCACAAGGTTACATTATTGTTCTACACGTACCAGTGCAGGCCTTTCGTGTCTGCTTCGGCATATGGAGTCTTTCGGCCATGGGCCGTCGCGTACCACGTCATGGACCATAAAATACTGGGGTTCATGTTCAAAAATTGGAGTGCATCAGTGTTCAAGAACAGGTAGGATCAGCTCCGTATAAATCGGGAAGCTTGCTGTTGAATGATACAGTATGCTGAAAGGCAAGTGAGCGACTTGGTCTCTAAGTGTGCTTCAAGCTGTGGACCGGGACAAGTAACATCATCATCTGTTTGCATTTCCGCGCTATCGTCAACATGGGCATACTCTCAAGCTCAATATCAATATTTCTCGTCTGTCTCTCATTACTGTCCTTGCAAGCCCAAGTCCTGGCACAGTCTCAAGATCAAGATGACTCGGTCCCACCCGCCGGAGCGCAAAACGCTACATTCAACGCCACCCATGGACAATTCAACCCGACGACTGCCAGAACTCGCATCGCGCAGGCCAACCTATCAGCGGCACGGTCGGAGGCTATTCTGACGGCCGTAAACTTCGAGCGGTCGAACTGGGCCGGGTTCTCTACGCGGCTGGATCCATTCTACGTTGACGTACCTTCCAATGCATCACACGCCCCAGCGGGCTCCGTGATCAAAGTCGAACAAGTCACCAATACATCGCTGTATACGCTGCCGGCCAATGTGGCACTATCCCGCATGCTTTTCATGACCAAGACCCTGAACGGCACAGCAGTCCCAGCGTCGGCATATATCCTGTGGCCATGGATGCCGCGACGGTTCCAAAATGTTTCAGGATTGCCCATCGTAGCCTGGGGTCACGGCACATCAGGGTGGTCTGGCGAATGCGGGCCCAGCCACATCCGCAACCTATGGTATCAGTACAGTGCGCCGTATGTGCTCGCGCTGCAAGGGTACGTGGTAGTCGCGCCGGACTATGCAGGGCTAGGACTCGACCACGACGCCGAGGGCGGCTTCATTGCACACCAGTACCTCGCGCACCCGGCCCATGGCAGCGACCTGATCCATGCGGTCCAGGCCGCACAGCAGGCCTGGCCAAGTCTTTTGGCCCACGAGTTCGTCGTCATGGGCCATTCGCAGGGCGGCGGTGCAGCATGGGGCGCGGCACAACTACTCGCCAAAAACCCAGTCAAGGGCTATCTGGGCACGGTCGCCGGGTCACCTTCCACCTCGACCAAGACACTAATCCAACAGTCTTGGGGCAGTTCCGCGTCCCTGGGCTCGATGTTGACCCGCGTTGGCACGGGGATCAACTCTGTGTTTCCGACGTTTCAAATGAGTGACTGGCTGAGCGCCCAAGGCGTGCGTGTCACGGAACTACTGCAGGATCTGCAGGGCTGTCAGTCGGTGGCGTACGAGATGACGGGTCTCCAAACGCTCGTCAACCCCCGCTGGAACGAGACATGGTATCTGGACGCGTTTGACAATCTGACGAGCAACGGTGGTCAGGCCTTTGCGGGCCCTATGCTCGTGTTGCAGGGCACGAACGACACTTCGGTGTTTGTGGACAGCGTGACGTCGGCTGTCAATGCCACCTGCAATGCCTATCGGGCCGGCCAGCTCGAGTATGTCACCTTTGAGGGCGTGGGCCATGTTTCTGTTCTCTATGCCGGTCAACAGATCTGGCTGGACTGGATTGCCGACAGATTTGGCGGCGTCGACGCCCCACGTGGCTGCAAGCGCGTCCATTACCAGCCGCAGTTCGCAGTCGAGGTATATCAGAAAGAGGCGGCCCTGTTCTTGGAGTATCCTCTGTACGGTTATGAGACCGCTTAATGGACACTGTTTACCTCTGGTGTCGACAATGAAGGGTGCGCTACTGATGGTCCGCTCGCATTCTACTGCTCGGACGACCCAGCTATTAGAAGGATAGGATAGTATTCCCTCCAATGTGAGGTTCTGCAAATGGTTGAAAGTGCCCCCTGGTATGTATTCCTTTTTTCATTTTACTCTCTGCTTGGCTAATTATAGGCAGATCAACGGGCCAACTGACAATCCATTTTGGACAATCCTGGCCACGCGGCATACCTATCAAGGTAGTGTATATATGTCGTCAAAGTGCAGTGATATGATATATTTTCGTGAACCGACGGTGAATCCGGGATCCTGCCTGCAGTGCTTTACACTGTACACCAAGGCAATAGTTTCCTTTCACTCGCCCCTAAAGACGCTATAAGGATGTGTATATGGATGCGATGCATCAATCAATACAACAACCCCAACAACTCCGTGACCGAAGCCTTCTCAATATTTTCGACCGTCTCACGGATCTTGTCACCCCTCTGTCTGCCCAGGACAGGATCGACAAGACTATAAAACTTCTTCTCAACCTGATCCCTCGTAAACGGATGCTGAGCCTCCCCCAGCGGGAACGGGATGTTCACCTCCTCGACCTTTCCATCCTTATACTCGACTTTAATCTTCGAGCCGAACTGCTTGATCTCCGTGTCCGCAACACAGACAATCTTATCAGCCAGTGCCCTAACTTCGGGATCATGCAGCCTCTCCTTCTCATAGCATTTCACAACATTATCAGAACCATAGAGGAAACTGTTAGCCGTAGTGAAATAGGCCGAGAACTGTGCGTCGACCATATTCTCCGGGTGGACTTTATTCGGTGTCCGAGCACCCACGACCAACAAGTTATTAGGACTCAAGGACAACGTAATTCCCTTCACATCGCTGGCCCTTGAGTATCCCTTGTCACGGCCCAGTTTGGCAGCATATTCAATAAACCCGTGCGTCATGCGACAGGCGGGAAACGGTTTGAGCGATGTCTCGAGGAACTCCCATCTTTTCCCTAAATCAGACACAAGATAATTGATATCTTTATTTTCTTTCGGACTGTATGCGTGCAAGAATCCGAATCTGGTTCCTTCGAGAATCTTCGCTGCGCCAATGACACCGGCTTCTGCCAATGCTACGCATTGGAATGCGTCGTGGACCGCGAATCCAGGATGAAGTCGTTTGTTCCAGCTGCCGTTTTCTAAATATTGCATTGATCCCGCGGCTTTGGAGCCCGCCAGGCCAAATGCGTTGGCGACCACTTCGACGGACAAGCGTTTCAGTACGCTGATGGTCGCGACGGCGCCGAAGATGCCCGCCGTCGATGTGTTGTGGAACCCTCGCGCGTACGCTTCGTTGCCCAGCTCGCGGCCCAGGCGACATGTGATTTCGTAGCCGACCGCCACGGCGAGGAGGAATTGATCAATAGACACAGATTCGCCGAGTAGTTCGGCTTGAGATAATCCCGCCCCGATCGCCGTCACGCCCGCGTGCAGGGTGCCCGGTGCATATGTGTCGTCAAAGTCGAGCGAGTGGCCTAGTGTCGCGTTCAGGAGGCCCGCGTACGCTGCTGTCCAGCCCTTTCCTTTGCCTACTACCGTGCATGTCCCTGTTTGTCCGCCGAGGGTTTTGACTGCTTTGATGATCGGTTCGGTCGAGTCCGACGACTGCGCTGCCGCAAGTGTCACGCCGATGTAGTCGAGGATATACTCCTTTAGGCGCTCGCGGACTTGCGACGTCAGGGACTCGGGTTGGACATTGCTCACAAAGTTGCTGAAGATGCCGGTCACGGGGATTTCGTCCGGTTTCGTCGTCCCGTTGACCCCGTTGGGCTCGCTGAGGCTATCTTTGGCGACCGACATGGGGGGAGCTCAGGGTCCGCGGAAACGCTGGTCGGGCAAGACTTCAAGTTTGGTCGGACAATAAATTTTATTCTTCTGAAGATGATCAGATTTCGAGACGCCGGCTCATTTCAAAGTCCAGCCCAAAAAAGGGTCCAGGGACGGCCACCTGGGTATTTAAAGATGATATCCAGTTCGGCATCTTCGTGCTCCACAATGATACAAACCCCTCATTGTCGTCGGTTGCGAGGTGCTGGCGGCCTCGGGGATTCGATCGAACATGTCCTCTGACAGCCCGTCCATTCCCGTTGGAGTAAGGTCGACTTCGTCTCGGAAACTTGAACTGCTGGACTCGAGATTCTCCAACGGGTCAGTCCGAGGGCCGCCGTTATCGGCCTTTCGAGGAAAAACATAAATATAGGCACGACACTAGAACGCATTTTCTTTGCTTCAATGCACAACATTGTGCATTATCGACTATTCTGGCTATCTGGAGGGCTCCTTATGTTTACTGGATTGTTGAGTAATCTGCAAGCGCCGTCTGATTGTAGTACAGATCACATGCGTGGGGGTGTTGAAGACAGTATTTCGGCACCAGGGGCGTGGCCTGGACACCGTTGGCGACCAAATATTCTCGGAAGTTCAAGATGCGCTGTGTCATCTGAGTCGTACGCTTGAGTCCTGTGGTGGGATCTCGATTACCAGACCATGCTAGCTCGGCCATGGCGGCGGCTCTTGGCCACAGTTTCGACGATATCACGGTGTCGTCGACCTGCTCAGACCAGAGAGCCACTTCAGGTCCAAGCACATGAGTCTTTTCGGTGTCAGTCAGATTGAGAGTAAAGTCGTAATCATATATGCGCTGCCAGGTCTTGTACGGAGCACACCATGAACCACCTCCTCCTCCATAGTTGAAGTTCGGCACGCTTGCATTGGGGTTTGCCATTTCGTTATAACGAGGATCATTGGTTACCCACCCACCAGACCCGCAGTCCAGGTAAAAGAAGTCCGAGGATGATACAACGACATCGTAGCCCTGGGAAGTCAGATTCTTTATGTTTGTCAAACCGCCATTCCACGACTGCAGAATGATGTTATTGGGTAGGGTGTGCGCATGAGGGGCCGACAACAGAATATCCTCCCACATCATCAAGGTCCTGTTGGCTGCGGCGGAGAAGGCCGGGATCGCTTTATCCACCCAGACTTGCAAAAGGTCATCGTATGTTCTGGAAGTGTTGGCCGCGAGCCATTCTTGGACGATGCTGCTGAAGTTGAAGCAATTGGGGTGAACTTCATCGGCGCCAACATGGAAGATACTGTCTGCAAAGAGACCCGAGAGCTCGGTATAGATATTGGTGACCACCTCGTACGTCTTGTTATTGAGGATATCGAGTTGGCCGGGGTTTGGTTCGACCGCGGTATGCAGTGCCCAGACGTCGTTGGACCACCAGGAATTGCCACAGGTCACAATGCTGGGATCTACACGTGCCCAGCCAGCAGACGCATGTCCTGGCATATCGATCTCTGGGACAATTCGGACGCCGCGGGCTCGAGCGTATGCGATCACGACACGGATGTCGTCGTGGGAGTAGACGCTCTTGGGTAAATATGCATCTTGAGTCATCTGAGGGTAGACTTGTAGTTGCACAGGCCAAGATTGGGCGTCAACCATATGCCAGTGGAATACATTCAACTTTGATAGAGACATGCCATCAATCTGCTCATAGATCTTTGGGAGGCTGATGAAGTTCCGTCCAGTGTCGATCAGCACACCTCGGTAAGGATAGTTTGGGTGGTCGGAAATCGAGACCGGCTGTTCAACGACGAGACCGCCGTTTCCATCCGAGATGATGATCTGTTGCAATGTTGTGAAGGCGTGAAGAGCACCCCATACCGTCTGTGCTGTGATATTGACTGCTTGGGACGTTTGCGTGATATCGATAGTGTAAGATTCATCTACCCCTTGCTGTAGGTCAGCTTCAGTGTCGGCAACCGTAAGGTCAACCTGAGTCAGGACCGGGTCTGCTCTCTTAATCCTTGATGAAGCTGTTGCAGTCGGAAATGGTTCGAAGGTTGAGATCGAGGCTTCGATAGCAGCAGGGGTCCACTTCAATTCATTGATGGAAGTCCAGGCACGATTCCACGCATCGCTGATGATTTGGTTTGGGATGTTAGCGTTCAAGACCAAGTAACCTGCCAGTTGCTTCGGTCCTGACGATCCCCAGGCAACCGATTGAGGAGCCGGAAGAGGGTTCACGGCGACGGCATCTGCTAGCTCATAAAGGAAGCTTGCGAGGAAGGTAACAATCTGAAGGCCACGGGGAACAAACATCATGAACCTGTACGGGGGTTGATCTTGCACAGTCGGTCAGCTCAACAGGAAAACGGGTAGGACCATGATTGCCTCTGCAGCATCGAGTTTGTTATTAAATGCACGCGGCTGGTGATATTCACTGCCCGCATACACTGTACTGCTACCGGAGCAACACCAGGCCTGTAGGACTGCGACGTTCCAATCGGGGTGCCGACCACGTCGAATGATCATCCTGAGTGTCTAGTAGGGGTGACGGAGCCGAGCGAAGTTGAATGTAACTCCAGGTTCGACGGAGATGGGAGACCGGTTGAGGTCGTGCTGGCAAGATAGAGGTAGCCTGATACACAGGATTGCTACCGTGACATTCAAGTTGCTCGCTCCAAACTTGAATGCATCCGATGTTTAAGTTGTCACTTTCGAGTTGGCTGCGCAGGGAATTGGCGGGGCAGTCGACACTAACGCGAAGTGGATAGTCTGTGGCTGGTGATGTGGCAGATATGCACGTGACTGAAAGTAATGTGTGGCTTGGCCGGGCTCTTCTCTGGCCTGCAACTTGCTCATCCTTCAAGTTTCCCTGGCATGCATTCGACACAGATATCTCGGTCCTGTCTGTACATTGCAGGTCTTTGACACTCGCCTGGATGCCAGTCCCTTAATTCCAGCTTGCCTCGAGTGTACTTTTGATGAGCATGATGTCTTTTCTGCGGAGTAACAGCTATGTACCCTTGTACACTGTCCAGACCCTCAACGAGACCCACCCAGCCCAGCCCCCAAAACGCCCTATCATGAACCCAAAATCATCGTCTCGTCTCGTCTCATACAATCTCATATCAGCACCTCTGGCTCATGCTTCCTTCAATGCGTTCTAGCATAACCACTTTACATCGCAATGGCGTCCCTTGACCGCCCTCACTCGGCTTGATGCAGTCTGACTCGGACACTCACCGGCGCTGTTGTCAGGCCATAATCATGCAGTTCTTCGTTCGAGATACCGCAATTCTCCAGCCCATCAAAGCGCTGGAGGATGCGGCAGATGACATAGCCCGCCTCGGTGAGAGCGAACTGCTGGCCCAGACACACACGCGGCCCGCCGTTGAAGGGGATATACTCCCAACCAAACTTGCGGCCCTGCCAGCGCTCGGGTTTGAACTCGTCGGCATCCGGCCCCCAGATATCGCGGCGTCGGTGCATCACGTATACAGAGTAATTGACCTCTTGACCGCGCCGAACGTAGACTGGGCTCAGCCCATCCGGGCCGCCGCCTCGTGGGAGTGTCGTGTCCTTGGTGGCCTCGCGGCTGTTGAGCGGGACGGATGGATACAGACGCAATATCTCATTCATGACGTACTGAAGGTAGCTGCATGACTTGAGCGCGGCGAATGTGATTTTCTTGTTGCTCGAGTCGTAGGCGCCAAACGTCTCAATGATCGTGGCACGCAACTTGCGGAATACGTCCGGGTGACGAGCTAGCTCCCAGAACGTCCAACCAAGTAGCCCTGCAGTGGTGTCTCGGCCTGCCAGGAGGATGTTCAACAACTGACTGCGAATCTCGACTTTGTTGTCCGTGATCTTCATCAGCTCTTTGAGAAATATATACCGGCCATCTTTCTCCGGGGTCGTATTCGTCGTGGCAGCTCGCTCAATACAGTAGTCTGCGAAGCGGTGGACGACACGGATGGCTTCGCGGAAGGAGGATGGGTTGTACAGCCAATAAAGCCTGGCTAGACGGGCGCGTTGACCGAGAACAGTGATACCGTGATCGAAACACTCTGCGACGTCGGTGTTGCTAAACGCGGCGGGCAGAGAGCCGTCCTGGGTCAGTGCTGCTTGCTGGGAGTTGATGCTTTCACCGAAAAGAAATTCCGTGGCAGAGTCAATCGTCAGCCGGAAGAAGATGGGAGCAAGGTCCGTCGGGGCGGTCCATCCAGTCGCATCAACAGGGAGATGCCTGAACAGTAGTTGCACGTGCTTTTCTTCAAGGTCCAAGTCGGCTACTTGGTCCCGAGCGAATTGTGGTCGTAAGGTAGCACGAGAGTGTTCCCTAGTAGTGTACAGCCATGTATAAGTCTCTCTCTCGCTCCGCGGCATGTTCGTACACCGCAAATCTTGGTGGACTAAAATACTTACCAGGTCTTGCCGTCCGAAGTGAAAATCCCTATGCCCAGCATAGGATAGAAATTGCCCTTTCGACGAGAGCCAAGCTCAAAGTCATGGAATTGAGTGGCAAGCAGAGCTTGAATGTTCTTGGGATCATGTGTGATGATGTTGATTGTGCCTGGCATTCTCTGAAGGTAAGTCGGTCGTCCGGCCTCTTCAAAAACCTTCATGGCCTCTTGTGGAACCTTATGCTTCTTGTCGGCTCGGATGAATCTCATGACATTGTCGACTCCGAGGGGTAACTTGTAGGCGTGCATAGGCGGTCGAGCCGCGCCCAACTCCTTAGCCTTTCTGGCATGATAGCGCGAAGTCCACAGAGTACTGATGGCAGAATAGATGACGGTCACGAGGACGAGAAGAACGGCAGCGGAGGGCAAAGATAGCATTTTGACGGCTTGATTCAGTGACTTTCACGACTGTGAGGAGATCCCAGTGATGCGCATTTGGGGGGAGGAAGACTGAATATCAAGGACAGAATAAGAGGGCTGGAATGGCTTGCCTGCAGTGAACCGAGGTCACAGGTTCTTGACGCTTACGCACTTGCATGGGATTCACCATCTCAGACTCGGAGTCTGTCGCATGTCAGTGTCTCACAAGAACTGCCCTTGAATGAATTGGTCAACCCCGCATCCTCAGCTGTGGATCTGAGGCGGTGTCAGGAAGTAACGGCCGGAGTGATCGAGAACAAGCGCCTCGTTATTGGCACATTGGCCGTAGGTATGTACATTGTAGCATTGAAATTCCCCGGGCTAGACGTCGATTGGCTCTAAGCGAGCAGATCAAAACCCAGAGTTACGAGATACGAACCGGAAATACGATGTCATTTGGGTCATCATGCACTCTAGTGGTTGTTTTCCCGCTCGGCTCGGTGAAAGGCCCTTGCTGAACTACAAAATTCCTCCGAAATTGAAGGAACTGATAAATGATGTGATCAGGCTACGAGACTACAATGTAAGGCAGGATTGTGTAGGGATCTGTCGGGCCGGACGTGTTGGTATGCGGTCCTTATTTTAGGCGTACCACTGTGGTGCCAGCGGAGAGCAATGACGGTTCGATTACAGTTTGGAAGCGTGGGCGGCCGATTGGGTCGCTCTTGGACTCGGCATACCTTCCGCATCAGTGCCGCCCTCCTGCGGCTAGATGCCTCTTTTCAGCAGATTCCGCCCTCGACCGCGGCCCCTCGCTCCCCGTATCTTGTGCGCTACACCGGTGGCCGTCCCTGTCCCTGTCAATGCAAGTCGTCTGGGAGGCAGATACTGCGGCCTTTGCCAGTCGCAAGAGAGCCGCGAGGGCCTGTTCCAAATGTCGCGCCGCCAAAAAGCGCTGTCATCATACCTTCCAGCGGCCCCCAGAGCAGCAAGCAGATTCTGCTGGGTTGGATAGGGTCCTTCCAAATCTGACCCATAAAGAACCAATCCGTTTCGTTGGCGACACCAACCCCGAGTCTATTCTGACTGACCTGTCTTCGCGGCCGAATGGCGAAACTCGCATCAGCAGGGTAGGGACCTGGGTCCAGCAACCTCGTACGTTGCAGGATGAACTTCCGGCGGAAGACCTGGGGCCCCAACCAAAGTCGGGTGACAAGACGCCCGTCAATGTTGAAAAGTATGGCAAATCCGAAGGTGGACGGAGGACCTTGACCGGCCACCAGCGCAACTACCTCCAAGCCGTGGGGGCGTTTCGCGTTCTGCCCAAAGCCACTCAGGATGCCCTTATCACGACGTACATTGCATGTCTTGATGGGCTTCTGCCAATCTTGGACGGCGTCAAACTATTGAAGGACTACACAGATGGTCGATGCTCGATCTTTCTTATTCAAGCAATATGTCTGGTCACTTGTAAGACCCAAGAAGCCGCGCCGTATCTACGACTCTACGACAATGGCCCACTACTGGATCCTATCCCGTTTGCTCGGAGTCTCCACACAGGACTGGATGCGGCCATGAAGGCAGACTTGGAGCCGGACAGGGTCACCAAGATACAGATCTTGACACTGATGCATTTGCACAACGACGGCCCAGGCGGCATTGAGGACTCTTCTTTACATCTAGCTCTTGCCATCCATGATGCATGGACGGCAGGTCTCCACATCATGACCCCCGGGCGCAGCAGCAAAGATTCGCATAGTCTGCTGTGGTGGACAATCTGGACTCTGGACAAGATCAACGCTTGTTTGGGAGGTCGGCCTATCATGATTGCAAATCGAGACATCGACATTACACGCCCACCGATGGAGGCCGGCTCACAGCTTCAAGTTATCAACCTTTGGCTTCGCCTTGGTGATCTTCTTGACCAGGTTATTGAGTTCTACAGACCGACAGCGGATCTCGAAACAACAGGATGGGAATCGGAGTTTCCGACATATGCCTCCTTGACTCACGATATCAATCTCGACCAACTCCCTGAAAGCGAGAAGAGTGAGTGAGATCCTTTGCGTTGCATTGTATGGAGTTCCTCCACTATCTCTCTCCTTGGTACTCATTTGGTCTTGTCCTTGCAATCCCTAACCAGCAGCTAGATATCCTCGAGCTCTGCTACCACGTTATTGCCATTCTCAGCTGTCGCGCCGGTGGGCCAACAACAGCCTCGTACGCGCGCCGGGTTTCGGCCGCCAACCGAATTCAAGAACTCCTCTCCAACGGCCGCCATAGCCACATTCCCCCGATCCCGCTGGTGCCCTATGCCGTTGGCCTCTCTTTGACCGTCGCATACCGCTGTCTGCGTGACAATGCCGATGTCGACCCGGAAAAGGCGCGGTCCGACCTAGCGACTCGCTGCGAAACCCTCGAGACCCTTAGTACGTACTGGTGGACAGCCGACGCAATGGCCCGACTGGGCCGCAAAGCACTCAAGAGTCTCCAGCAGCCCGGTATGCGGAAACACTCGATCGCCAACATTTCGAACGCCATGGACGCCGAGGTGGCAGTATGTAAATTCGGCCCTTTTGAGCCGAAGGCGCATACCGCTGGCAATGCCCAAACCACCAACCTGTCCACACCACACTTGGCTGGGCAGGATGGAGAGGGAAACACCGGCAATGCACTACAAGTGTTGTCTGATGCAGCGGCTAGACATTCAACACAGCCTCCTCATCAACATCACCCCCAGAAATATGGCCAGGGCCAGGCCGAAGCCTCATCAACAACAATATCAACTTCACCATCATTGACATTCACCCCATCGACAATTACGACCTCTGAACCAGCCGCCGCGGCTGCTGCTGCTGCTGCTGCTGCTGCAAACACTCGCGCGAGCAATAATCCAAGCCAACAACGCTCATACTCGGCCACAACACCTGCAAACATAAACAGCGCCACCAGTATGGCATCTCCAACTTCTGTCTCCGGCCATGGCCACAGCAATCCTCATTCTCAGGGTATTTTTGGCGCTGTTGCGTCGTCTACGTCTCCCGGCGTGTCCCCATCTACATTCGACGACCAGACCCAGGCCCAGAATCAATCCCAATCTCAATCTCAGTATCAATACCAATTCGACGACCTCGACAATCTCTTCGAAGGCTTCTTCGACCTCAGCATGCCGACTATCTTTCAGGACCCCTTGTTCGACGGCGACGCTTTCCTCAGCGCAGATCTCAATTTTGCCGCTGGTGACGAAGGCGCTGGCGCTGGCGGTATGCTGGACACTATGGAAGTCGATGATGGTGGTTCGGGCGTGGCCTACTCGAATTACGCCATTGCAGGACATAATAATGTCAGGAGTACTACTGCGGCAGCCGGCAGCAACACCAGCAACAACAACAATAATGCCCATCACCAAGGCAGCTCCACCACGAGCACGACAGCTGGGACGAGTGGTACCGCTACCACTACCACCACCACCACCACGGCCACAAAACCGAGAGGTGCCAGCGGTTCTATATTCCCAGACATCCTTCTCAACTGACAGATTGACTGACAGACTGACTGTGACGGGCCTCAGTCGGGCGGGGAAAAAAATTCACCCCCAAAGTTCTTCGGTCTGCTGGTTCAATAATGCCCGGGTACTACTAGTATTCTCTCACTTGGAAGGCGTGGAACCCAGATCAATTCGGCTCATGTTGCGGTCATGGGATTCACACGCACTTACCAACAACCAGGTCCACATACCTATAGTCTCACGTGCTCGGCAGATCAATACGGACCGGTAGATCGACTAGACAACTCCTCAACGCCATCAGAGTTCCCTGGGAAAGTTGTGACCATCACGTAAAGTCGCGACGCGAGAAGGTGATGTAACGGCACGATTGCACGGAGGCATGAGACATGAAGGCATGAAATGCATACCTATATATATGTACATACCTAAATCAAAACGACAAACTACCCTCGTGGGGGACAGAATAGGATACCTTAACCCTGACTCGAGGTTGGGTCCGGATCATGAATGATACAGGATAATACAGGATCCCTAGGCAATCAACGGTTATAATGCAAGATACAGTATCTATCCACATAAGGTAGGTAACTCCAGATATACAATGGCACAATGGGGAAAGTGGACAGGATAGTGTTCGGTGTTCGGATAACGTCAAGAAACATAAATTCACATTCTAGCCACCCACGAGGACACTTTCCATACCCATCTACTCGGGTCAAGGTAAAATTTTCTCTTGTCTCGTGTGCTTGCGTCTTCTTTCCTGAAAAAGGTAGGTAGGTACATGATACATAATCTTTTTTTCTGTTTTACAATTCATCATGTTCCTCTGGGCCACCGTCGTCGGTATCAGCGACAAACGTCTTGGCTGCCTCGGCAGCCTCGCTGATGACGGTCTTGACGGCTTCCTTGACACCCGACTTGGCGTCTTCCGCGACGGTGGTGGCGGCAGGAGCGGCTTTGGCCATGGTATCGCTGACGGCCGAGGACGCGTCTTCCATGTCGCTATCTCCATCCTGGTCCTTCTTTGAGGCCAATCCGTCAACGCCGTGCTTGCCGTTATCACGGATAAAAGCAGCAAGATCCTCCAAGGTGCGGGATCCAGAGTATTCGACGGGCGAGTCCTTGGCTCCAGCTGGGTACAGCTTGATGGTGGGGAACCCGGCAATCTCGTCGGGGACATCGTTCAAGGTTGCGTCGACCTTGGCCACAATCACCTCTGGGTTGGAGGAATACAGCTCGGCGAGTTTCTCGTAGGTAGGAGCAAGACTGTAAGAGTCACAGTTGTTAGTATCAAATGATCTATTCGTAGAGAAAGAACAGAACTTACGCCTTGCAATGTCCGCACCAAGGTGCGTAGAATTCGACCAAGACATCCTTGGCGTCATCCAGAACAATGTCCTTGTACGAGTGAGCCACTACGACGGTGACGGGACCTTCCTGTTTCTCGGGGATCGGCTCCGATTTGATGCTGGGCTCGAGTTTGCCCTCGACAAAGTCCTTGACGAATTTGCCAATGGTCTTCTCAGTGAGTTTGTTGCCGTCGAAGGGGTACTTCTCGTTCTTGACCGTCTCTTGAATCGCGAAGGCTGGGAACTTGTCGGTGGGCAGGTTCAGGTTGCCGGCATGGGCACCGAAGGCTTTGGCATCAATGGTCGCGAAGTTGAGCTTGCCCTTGTACTTCTCGGCGACAGGCTTCAAGGCCTTGGCCAATGAGGCACGCTCTTCAGGGGTTTCGGCGAAAATGTACGCGAGAGGGATACCGGCCTGCACAGCAAATATAAGTCAGTTTCTTCAGTTCGTTCAGACCTGGGGCAAGGTGTCACACGTACGCCCATGTATCCAGCATAGGTCTCCGGACCAACCTCGCCCACCAAGGGAGTAGATGCAGTCTTGATAAAGGATTTAATGGCTTCGTCATCGAATTTGCCGTCAAAGGTGTTTTTGCCCTCGTCGAAATCCTTATACAGAACAATAGCGGGCTGCTTGACGCCCTCTGCCTTGGCCAGAGACGCATCGTTGGAGGCGCCAAAGATGTATTCGTCTCTTAGAGATTCGGCCAACTTAGTGTAGGTCTCGTTGGAGGCTTTGTCGTCGGACGCGATGTAAGCGACGACAACGACTTTGTCGGTGGTCTTGAAGTCGTCGAGGTTCTCGGAGTTTAGAAGAGAAACAGCCGGTAGCTGCTGTTTGGTCATGTATGAAACGATCCTGGGCTCCTGTTAGGAAGGAGGACAAGACCTTCTGCTGACTGAGATACTTACGCAGGTGCTTTTCTGGCGCCAGGATACGGCTTGATGTTATCAAGGCCACGGAAAACCTTGACCGTAGGGTAGCCCTCGACGCCGTAGTCTTTGCACAGTTCACCTTCGGATGTGCAGTCGACCTTGACCAGGGGAATGTTCTTCTCTTTCAGCGTCGTCGCGGCCTCCTCGTACTCCGGTGCCAGGGCCTTGCAGTGACCACACCAGGGAGCAAAGAATTCGGCCAGGACCAAATCATGCTCAGCAATGAAATCTTTGAAGTTGTCCTTTTTCAGATCGTGGACGTCGCTTGCGGCGGCGAGGCCGGCAAGGGCCAGACTGGCCGCGGCCAGGGAGGAGAACGACCGCATGATGATCGTTGATCAGTATCGGATGCGCGATGAGAGTCGCACAAGACGAGATAGGAGAGGATGGTACAAAAAGAATGAACGGTCAGGGGGTGACTTGATTAATAAATAAGAGATGGAAGGGAGCAGTCTGTCACTGCACTGGACAATATTAATAAGTCCAGGTACACGGTGGCAGTATCGACACTGGCAGGATGGGGGCAGCATCCGGTGGTTAACACTCGAACCGCCGCGGGACGCGCTGCTGAGGAGACGGTGTCAAGATGTTCGATCGACTGACCTTACTTGTCAACCAACTGCTGGCGCCCCTCAGGCTCAAGCTCAAGCCTGCGTCAGGGTCTTTGGCTGCTCAGGAGGGTGGCACTATTCACGACTAAATGGCACAGACACCATCTTGAACCCCTTTTTGCTACGGTACTACAGCCTGAGGTATCTTTACCGAGAACCCCTTGTCCTCCCGCCTGAAAGGCTGAACCCCGGTTCCGGGCCTATCTTGAAAACACAACATGTCCATCGTAACCAATTATAGCGAGCAGCCTTTAGCAAATGATGCTACCTCCAGGCATATAGATCGGTTGCAATTTTTCCACCAAAATGCAAGTTGTGCAGTTCAGAATGAGGACACCGCCTTTGTGCTTCTGATTCTCATTATCCTTCATTACATAGTCAAGTATATCTTTCTACGACCGCAGCGTGCATCTTGCTCCGCTCGTCTCGATCCTCAGTCCTCTTCTTCCGAGAGAACTATCGTAGGGATTGCGGTGTATCTCGCGTCCCTATCAATTTCTTGACGCTTCCCTTCCAGCTCTAGGGACATCGTGGATGCCTCGGCCTTGCCCCGATCCACATCAACCAGCAACATCAGTGGCAACGGGAGAAAAATGAGCACTGCCAAGAACACGAACGCCGGTCTGATTTCTCCATATCGATCCGTGATTGCGCCAACAATAGCTGGACCAAAAATGCTGGAACCCTTATCCGTAATGGCATAAAGCGCATAGAATGCTGCTTCGAACCCAGGAGGGATTAGTTCACCGAAAAATGCTCGACAATATGAAGATAGTCCGCCGAGAACAAACCCATAGACGGCCCCCAGTGGGTACATCTCCCATGGCTGTTGCAGCCCAAAGACTCCATACCGCTTGATGGCAGGAATGAACCCGAGGAGTCCGTACAGCGGAATGATTTCAAACAAACATATACAAGCCACAATAGTCCGAGAGGCTGAAAGATTGAAGACTCGCGAGACAAAGCTCCAATAGAATGCGCCAATCACCCCTGCCGTCATTGCAATAACGTTGATGAGGCCTAGCGCTTCTGTTTTCATCCCGAGACTCGTCTTCGCAAAGAGTACCGCAGTCCTGGTCTGATTAGCTGTATGTCGTGGTTACCGAGTTCACTATGTGACTTACCCGCTCACGGTGGCAATACTGTCACTCAGTAAGAACCACGCGCAAAGAAAAATGACTAGGTCCTTGAGTCGCCGAGCATGTCCGATGGTCTTGAATAGTGCTTTCCATGCGTACGTCACGTAGCCGACCCATCCCGAATGTCCCGTTAACTCGGTGGGCAGTGGTGGCCCTGGTCTCGGCCGCAACCATAAGGCGGCCGGAATGCTGAAAACAAACCACCACAAGCCGACCACCATGAGAACAAGGCGTAGAGAAAACGTGGTCGATCCAGTCGCCACCACAATAAGAATAGCGACAGCTTGAACAAATAGGCCGGCAATGTACCCAATGCCAATCCCATTCGAAGATATTTTTGTCGACAGTTTCAGCTCCGGTGAAATCACTGCTGTGGAAGGTGTCTCATTTGACACATCGCGAGGCAACAGAGCTGAGGTGGAGCTGGCCAAGTTATCATCCTCCGGCTCATCATAGCCTTCATCATCCTCACGCCGCCTCACATCGTCAGGCAGCAGATCCCCACGACTTCTGCCGTGGTCAATAGAAGGGTGATACCGCACCAATAACGGCAAGAAAGAGTTGAGGAGAACAAAGGATGCGCCGAAGCACGTGTTGGCGATCATCGCAAGGAGGGCGCCAAGGAGATAGACCTTTGGGACCACTGCGATGAAGAGCGCTGTGGCAGTGGCTCCAGTAAAGGCGAAGACGAGCAGAAAGGTCTTTCGAAAGCGGCCATGGTCCGCTGCTGCCGACATGGAGATGATGAGCAGCGCCTGGATCAACACACTGATGGAGAAGGTGTACATGGCAAAGCTGGCTGTGTTGATCTCCGCGCCAAGAACATATATCACGCAAGGTGGCAGTTCGTTATGCCGGTGTTTGGGAAGATCGAAGACAGTGCGGCCGGCGGGACTGGTATCCCCTCCGTTCTGCCAACCTGCATTACACGGCGTCTTCTTGTCGCTCAATAGCACGCCCCGGTCTCTAGCGAGTTGCTCGAGAGTGATGGGAAGGAACGAGCCTAGATGATACTATCAGTCCATGGCGAACAATATCATGATATCCCGGAGCGCGTTTACCCATAGCGCAGATGGCAAAGACCTCTGCAGCCCAACCGTAGGAGTACCATCCCCACAGCTCTTTGCGGCTGGTCGGCCGTGTGTCCTCATCTTCATAGTGTCCTTCTTCCGCAACCTGGTCCAAATCGTCCATTTCGGAGTCTGAGTTTGAGCCAATGGAAGACGAATCTCGCTCGTCATCCGCTTCGACCGAGGGCGTCGGCGAGATCAGACTCGCTTTGGAATGTGAGATCTGACGAGGTAATGGAGGGCGAGAGGGAGGTTCCGGCTCCCCATATCGAGGCACCTACAACATATTAACGCAGGAATGGGTAAAGCTCTGAGCTTTGAATGCTAAGTAGGGTATTTGACTGAATGATTGATGTTGATGATGGGCATGATGAAACGTAACATGGGCAAGGGACAGATGACTTCGGCGACGGAGTTAGGCACCGATTGGTTGGGGGAACAGACCATCTTTCTCTCTCTTCTCTCAATAGTCGCGCCAGGCCTCAACCACGTCCCTACCAACAATAGCGGTATACCATCGTCCTTCCATTATCGTAGAAGAGAACCAGATGAGAAAGCGATCGTGTTTCACGACATTCAAGGCCGTTGAGTTACGTGTTTTCCCCTTTCCACCCACCTCGAATGGGTCTAATCGTTGTGGATGTTGCGGGTCGGGCCAGATGTTCAGCACAACATGAAGGAATCTGTACAGTGTAAACGCGGCTGCTCCAGAGACTAAAAGAGTGGCCGAGGGTGTTCCCGTCTACTTAAGCCCCAGGCGTCGCGTTTTATATCGTAGACAAGCTTCCTTTCCCCCTCTGCATGTCAACACAAGACCGGATACTTATCTTATGACCGCCAGAATTGCGTACACTATGGCAATAGAGGCTAGTTCTGGTCTTGTTCGGCATGGCTTCGGGGTGCTTGGCTTGTAGGAGTTTCGCAGATCACACGCTTGAAAGGCACACTTAACGCCCGCGATGGGATGGCGCGGTCGGATGGCGTGCAGAAGGGCAAATCGGTCGAAAAGGCTAATAATCCAATCAGCATCTTGGACTGGAGACATCCGGGAGTTGTTGTCCGATGTGGTCGAGCGTGTGGACATGTGCACAGCGAAGAATTGGAGGCTTGTTGGTACAGCAGGACGAAGGATCGAGGGATCAACTGGCATCGGGGTAATACTCTCGGGACACCTCAGTCTAGTGAACTTTGTTGGCTGCTGAGGATTTATAGGCGTGGGGTGACTTTGGTCGTCCAGTTTGGCTTGTAAGAAGCATCACGTCCGGACCACCTCGAAGTTTGGCGCAACAAATGGCAAGAGTATCGGCATTGTTGAAGAGGGACAACTTCGAGGTTCGGGCTGATAGTCCGCAGCCCAACTCGGGGTGGTGATAGTGCTAGTGCAGCGCAGCCATGTGCATCCAGCGTACAGTAAAGGTACATACCTAACCTACCAGGTAGATAGAAGCCTGCCGTCTACCGTACAACTTGAACGCTGCACAGTGCATCGGAAAGTCTCGCCGCTTTTGCTCCCCGACTGCGGCTGGGCCATTGAGCTGCACCAGACATCATCCCGCCGCTCTGGGCGCTTCTTTCTCGCAAACTGCGCCCGATGAAATCCACTCTGCTAACTGCGCCGTGACCCCCAGTCACCTGAATCCTATCCTATCACTCCTCCTACATCAACAAACTCCATCCACTGCACCCATAGTCGCCGACAAACGCTCCTTACACCTTCAGCGCCCTCCTGCGACTACTGTATTCCTGTAACACCGCGCTTCGTCTGACCAGCAAACCGCAAAGTCGGCATTCCAGCCCTATAACAGCCCGATCACAGGCCTACTGGTCAAACCCTGCTTTCTGCCGACGTCCGCGCGTGTCATTATCCGCCTCGACTGCAATCATCCATCCCTTCGCGATCCCGGCTTTGGCACCACTACTTCACCATCCCTCCATTTCCACCCTGCTCGCCTCATTAACCCGTCACCACTCAGTGTCGCTTCTTGTACAGTCTCAGCGCATCGCTTTCGCATGCCGCAAGCGCCACCTTTACGATCAGTCTCTCCGACAAGCGGCCGCAAACGGCTCGACAAACGCTCGCATTTCTCGGCCTCTCCGTGCGAAATCACCTTGTCATAATACCACACCCTCGTTTGGATACCCGACTCAGAGTTTCTCAAGACGTACACGACGATTTGAACGGCGATCGACTTGCGCCCTCACCAGTCTCCGACTGCTAGCTTACCCCCGGATTTTTTGTCTAGGGACGTTTCCACCCTCGGCCAAACGACATTGCGTGAGTCGGAGCTGCCAGATATTGGTTGGTGGTAGGTGTGCGCTGTCGGTGTGCCGGCCATGCAGCACTTGATGGTACAACTCGTGACAATATGAACGGGGAAAGGCCCACGGCCAACGGAGAACATTTTTCAAATGGCATTCAACAAGACACCCTGAAGGCGGAGCAAAGTGGCGGAGAAATAAAGAAAGAGCATTACAGTTCGGGCTTTTCTGCTCCTGGAGGCGAGCAAACGCCGCAATCTCATGCCGCCAATGGAGACACTCACGCAAATGATCCTTCCAAGGACGATAGTAAAACCGGAGTCGATGAGGCGCCCACGGACATTTTGAACCTCATTCCAAAAGACCATTATCTACCAATAGCCGCTTTAATAGGCCGAGCCGCTCAATCGTGCTGGAATGGGTTGACAGAACTTGTGGAAGAACTTGCATCGATCCAAGTTCCAGAGCAGCCAGCTGAACAAACCAAAGTTCTCCCCAACAATCTGCCCAACAACCAGACCAGGGAAAACCTGGACAAAAAGGAAAGATTACTCCGATTTGCCAATGATCAAAAAGCCGATTTCATCAAGCTCTTGGTACTTTTACAATGGAGCAAAAATGTGGAAGATGTCAGCAAAACCATTTCGATCAATTTCTGGCTGATGAAACGGCGTCAAGCCTACTGGGATGTCATAGCTTCGCTGGCCGCCCTCAAACAAGAATCTGCCGGCTTTCAAATACCCAATCCTGACCTCAAAGGAGCCGCCGAGGTACTTTCAACAGGTCGCATGCGGAACTTCCCTACCTTGGGCTACATCCCACAGAAAGATCTGTCTGACAAGCAGATTCTCCGAATCTTGAGAACTCTAGACCGATCTCTCAGCGTGAGGTTGACGCTTTCGGACGATTTGCCTCCCCAACTTCGAAGGTACCGGGTACATGATGGCCGCGTTACATTCACCGTGGCCAACGAATTTGAGGTGGACCTGTCGGTTCTAGATGACAAACCGGACGCGCCGTTCCGCATGGTAGATTTCCGCTTCGGCTTCTCACCATCACCTCACATTCCAGACCATTTGCGGGCCGAGATCGAGTTATATGCCAACACCAACATTGACCGCGACGGATTGCGAGGGTGTTACCTTTTCTTGCATGAATTGACACTGTCCTACAAACTGGCCGAATTCCACAAGCAAGCTGTCGAGCTGGCACGAGGCCAATGGACCGGGAACCTTCGTGTGGAAATGATTCGTCGAAACCTGGTCATCCAGTATTGGCCCGAACGACCAATCGGTAAAAGCTGGATTGAGATTGGCATCGCCAGTGGGAGGACGAAGAAAAGTGGGCAAACACAAGATGCCATTCCCTTCCTTGAGATCAAATCCATACGACAGGGCAAGCGGGCGGAGGCATTACACTTACATCTGGACGACTCGGTCGTAAGTTTCGAGGATGTGCTCCGTCAAATTATTGCACAACATTCTGTACAGATTTTGAACTCTATTTACGACAAGTTGGTTCCTACGCCACTTTTCGCAAATGCCGAGCTGTTACTGGAACAGACTAGCTCGGAGAAGGATCCAGAGGAGTGCCAGTTGACCATGCAAGTATCTCAATCTTCGCGTGTGCAGATCAAGGTTGAGCCAGTTACGGGTGTGCTTCTGATAAGCCCAGTGAGCGAAAGAAGCGAGCGTTTGCAATATGAACTCAATCGGATACAAGGCGTGCCTGAGGAGATTGTGTCGAAACTGCTCAACTTCAGATGCAGTGTGAGGGAAGCTTCAGTTCTTGCAGGCATTACAGCTACTAGCTGGGAAGCCTTGAAAGCGTTCAAATTCAACCAGGCCGAACTCAAAGCCTTGTTCGGGAGCCCTGTTGTACGGATCAACATGTTTCGGCAACTTCCATGGGGCTTGGATTATACTCTGGCTGTTACCCATGGTCAAGCTGGTGATCATTGGTGGTTGTTGCAACAATTATCTTCCTCAGGAGTCAACCTCCAGCCACGATTCCGTGTTATCCGGTCGCAACGGATTGAGATTGCGGAAGAGCTATCAGCAGAACATTTCGAGCAGCTCGCAGAATATGCAACCGGGTTGATCTGTCTCCAACGTAACGTCGACTATCTGAAGCAGAAGGGAGAGAAAGTTGAATTGCCGCCACTTCCCACATTTGGACGGACATACACATTGCCCGAGATCTCATACGACCTCGACCTATCCAGGCCGGCATTCGCTGGTAAGGATACATCTGCGCCCAAGGCTGCCCATCCGGAGGCTTCAGAGCCGGCGATGGCTGCCAATTCCTCCAGGAGCATGAAATTGCGGTTTGGTGGGCTAGATCGGGCCATGAGCAAGGTGACCATGATCGGGCAGTTCCAGACTCACGCAAGCTCAGCCGTACTGAAACACATTGACAGCTCTATTCTGGACCCTGATGTGACGCTGAACTATGAAGACCGAGCGGTCAGCATTCGAATCGACACTGCGGTGGCGGAGCCTGGTGTTCCCGAGATAGTGGCCAAGGCTGTGGACGTTGAAAAGACGGTGTCCACAGTCGAACAGATCCATCGTCTACCGGGATTGCAGTTGAAGAATCTCTCGAAATCTGCCTTCACAATCACCTATCACGCGGATCCGCCGAAGGAATATGGCTTGACCATGACTTTCACACGAGGCAGTGATGTTCCTCGCCTTGAATTCCTGCCTCCTGAAGATAACCCACATACTTTACTCAACGAATTCTATTCGAAGCATTTCGCAGCGGGCCGCTCTTCGTTCTCGAGTCAAGTTCGAGATTTCTTCACTTCTCTCACGGTGACACTTCCGCTGTTGACGTTTCTCTGCAGACTTCAGGATCGACATGGACTGGATTCGAAAGATACACAGGTACCATCTACTGCAGACGGCCAGAAGAGTGCGCTCCGGGTGCACGTTCTTCCCAGGACTACAACGGCTTTTGCATTACAATATTTTACCGCGGCAGGTCAAGCCCCATCCGACGTTGCCGGGCCTGGTTCTAATCCGCACATGCTGGCTCGACTGGAAATCTTGCCACATCTCAACGTTCCCGAGAAGCCCATGTGGCTAGTGCGGGCGGCATTGGAGGACTTCCAGTCGTATTCTAGGCCGTCGTATTCCAGTCCGGCGTTGCGGAATAAACTGCGTCAAGAGATCTTTTCTCGAACAGACAATGGAGGGAAGTGGTTGGCCCTTGACACGGCTGCGGTTTGCAAAGCTGACGCACCGGAGACGTTACTTCAAGCCATCCACGACCTGTTCTGTACTTGGGTCAAGGAGAGAATGGCAGGAGAAGGCGAGGTCGACAATATTTCCAACAAGCAGCAGCAGCAGCAGCAGCAAACAGGTCGGCCAAACAACATGGCCCCCAACAACTTGAACCTGAATGCTGCCACTACAGGTGGAACTATGCCCAACCTGAGTCTCCCGGCCAAGTTTAGTCAGTCGGTCAAGGCTCCTTTATCGGCTGCAAATAAAATGCAGCAGGCGCAGCAGCAGCAGAAACAACAGCAACAGCCACATTTTGGCATGAACATGAACATGAATGGTCCTCCGCCCAATGGAGCCATCAAGGCCACTCCTCATCAGTGGCCGCCTCCCAGTGCCAACTTGATGAATATGGGAAGGAACACTTCTGGATCCAATAATGCTGCTGCAAAGGGCAATTCCAGTAGTGGTGGTGGCAATAATCCACAGGGCAACAAGGACGTGATTACGATTGACTAGCTTAGCTTAGCTTAGCTGGACTTATGTTGAAGCGGAACTTGAATCCCTGCGAGCTTAGATACCAATGTTTTGATTATGGAGAATATGGAGATTAGTTGTGACTCGATTAATGAATTGTGTGACTTATCTGCCACTGCTACTTCCACTACTGCTGAGACCCGGGGAAGGGAGGACTCGGATTGCAGTGCTTGACATGACAATTTTAGGATGAGAGTGGAATGGGATCACTTTTTGATGATCCATAATACTGCCTCAGTAGTACCTAGGTACTGTACAGTACTACATTAGTAGGTAAGGCAGGCATGCTCTTGTTCAATTGGAGTTCCAATCGAGAATTGAATCCAGAAATCAATCAACCGTATCTTATCATTTCAACATTGCAGTTCAGTGAGCGGCCTTTTAGCTTTGAGGCGAGTCTTTTATATTGGACCAAGTTTTTGACCCTGGTTTGCAGCGTTTCATTGGAATTGTTTGTGCAGTGCAGTGCATAGATAATATATACAGCGCAAACCAACAGAGCATAGGTAGGCATAGTATTGACATTGCTATTGAGCAGCAAATCGATCAACAATTCTCATCGTCATCATGACCATGACCAAGCATGCATTGCATGACCCCATGTCAGCGGTTGCGGTTGCAGTTGCCATTTGATACAGCTTGTGCTGTCAGTCCGGACCGTGCCAATGGTTTAATGACCAACGGCAATCGTCCTCTCCTTATTCTTCAACCTCTCCTTGATTTCCGCCTTCCGCTCCTTCCTCAACTTGGACGCATACCTGACCCCAAAGCCATGCTGGAACACCTCACCGATCTCCTCGAGCGTCAGACCCGAAACCTCGGGATAAAACAGAATGATCAGCACCCATCCAATACCGCAGATGGCCGCATAAAAGGCAAAAGCACCCGAAGGGCTCATTCCCTTCATCATTGACAGGAAAGTCGAGCTGACAATGATATTCGATCCCCAACAAGAACAAGTCAACCACATTGTTCCCATGGCCCGGACTTCCATGGGGAAGAAATCGGTGCTCATCCACGCGGTGTTTCCGACCGAGACACCGTAGAAGAAGACGAACCAGATAATAAACACCAACACGACAATGGCGGGAGCGGAGACTTTTGCGTTTTCAAGCGCCAATGTCTTGCGGTCGATCGGGATGAAACTGAATGCCACAGCCACGGCGATCAGGCCCGCCGACATGCCCCAGACGGTCGCGATAAGCACCCTACGTCGGCCCACGGGGTCAACGAGCATCATGTTCACCCAGGTCATGAGGAAGTTCGTGCCTGCGACCACGAGCCCCACGGCCACGGGGTCCGAGAAGCCGACAAGGGCGAAAAGCGTGGAGGAGTAGTACATCAGCGTGTTGAAGCCGGACATTTGCGAGATCACCATCAGTCCACAGGCGCAGACTAGCGCGCGGAAGTTGGCTGGGTTGGTGTGTAGTTGTTTGATCTTGCTCCAGCGCGATTGGTCTTCGTTGAGTTCTTTGGCTTCCTCGCAGGCGGCGGCGATCAGGGCCGTTTTGGCACGCACTTGTTCGGCTGATGCGCCTTTGTAGATCTTTGCGAGGACAGATTCGGCCTCGGCGATGCGGCCGTGGTAGACCAGTTGACGAGGTGATTCCTGGAAAGCGATGTTAGTACATGTGCACATGCGACTCAAAAGGTTGGTGGTTGGTGGGCCTTGCCCGTCGGGGCAAGAGAGGAGTGAATCTTACCGGGCAGAAAGGCAATAGACAAGCCAGAAGAATAGCGGGCACTGCTCCGAGGCCGACCATGTCTGTTTTTGGGAATTCTGTTAGTTACCGCGCGGACAACAAATGGTGTAACCCTCGTCAAAGGGTAGGCGGTCGAACTTACATCTCCAGCCGTGGTCAACATGTGCAAAGGCTGCACCAATACCGTAGGAAATCACCTGGCCACCAGTAATCGACATGTTGTTCAGGCCGATGAGACGCCCACGGACTTTGGTCGGGGCAATCTCTGCAATGTACAGAGGCACCACCATGGCAGCCGAGCCGACACCGAATCCGACGACCAGTCTGCCCACGGACATCTGGGCGATCGAGTACGCGGCAGCTTGGAGGATGGCTCCGATGGTGAAGAGCGCACAGCCGACGTAGATGGCGATTTTGCGACCGAACTAGACCACCGAAAATGTCAGCATCTATCTGTTCAGCAAATACTATTCGTATCTCTCTTACCTGGTCAGCAGTCAAACCAGCAATGATGGCACCGATAAAAGCACCACCGGAGCAAAGAGAGGTGATAAGTTCCTTTTCGTTCGACGAGGTTGGCCGGTTGTTCAGGTCGTTGTGGAGATAGACCAGCACGGCGGAAATAATGCCCGTGTCGTAGCCGAACAAGCTACCAGCAATAGATGCCGTGGCCGCAACCAGCCAGACGAACCAGGACGTGGCGATGTCATCGATAGAGTTGGCGCCCATGTCGTCGTCGCTCATTTCCACGTGCGTCGAGTCCGGCATCACCATCGCCAGGTTGGTGTCGTCGAAGCTCTTGCGGATGCTGTCGCGGCGGCTGCGAGGCACCGACGCTGAATGCCGCCGGTCAAACGAGGCTCGAGTGACACTGTCGGCTCGGAGACTGCTTCGTCCAGGACCGCCACGGCGCCCTGTATCGGCATATTCATGGTGGGCGGCTTTTTCTTGAATCTTTTGTTCAATGGAGATATGGTCGCGGTTGGCCATTGTTGCGAGATGAGACTTGACGTGGTCTTTTGACAAGACAGGAAGGGGAAAGGGAGAGATGATCGGGCGCTGGAGTGCTGGCTCTACCGGAGAGATAGACGGGGGTGAAGGGCCAGAGATATGTATGTCCCTGGTGAAGTAAAGACAAACGATCCGTAGGACCGTGCTCTGCAAGGCTCTGGATGTCGTATGTGTTGTATGACCCTGCACTGCAGTTGGGATGCGAGAAGGAAATGGAGACAGGTTGGGAGGAGACGGTGAGGTTATATAGACATCAGATTGAAACCTAACCTGGGAACAGAGCTGAGCTCGTACAAAGCATCAGATGCCTTTTGTGTCGCTTGGATTTCTTGTCCCTGGGCCCATCCATCATCCTTGCTTTCTCTAGTGTTTTAGCTTCGCTTGCCCGGGGTGACAGTGTCCAACGCCAGCATTCGAGAGTCAGACGACGGTGCTGGTTCCGAAGAGGGCTACATGGAGAAGACTCGGACGCCGACAAGCACCAGGGTGGCGCGCGGCGATGCGGAGTGGAATGGGCTGGGCCACTGGCCACCCGATCGTTCGATGACCGTCTCATTGGCCGGACGTCAGTCTCGAGAATTGGCGGCCCATTGATCCATTGATCAGAAAGGATCATGTATCCAATGGGGAGTGGGACAATTCCCTAGTAGCAATGCCAATCAATACAGTCGCCGTGATGGGGAACCCAAGCAGCCTTCTTTGTCAGATTGTGAGCCACTTTCCCCGGACCCCTTGTCCGGTGCAGTCTGGGGGATGTGGATAGAAAAGGTGTGGAGGGAGAATGGGCGGAAGGCCGGGGTCACTTCAACCCTTTGGGCAACATGCGGCGGGAGGAATGGAGAGCAATCAACAAACGTGGAGAGAGAGTCCGGGGGATCCGCCACCAGCGCCATCTTCGTCTCGAGCTACAAACGTTGTCGAGCGACGCCATCCCCCGTGTCAAAAGAGGGTCATTCATCGCCGCAATCTTGCCTCGATGTGCCAGAATGGACCCTTTTGCCCGCCACACACCTCATCATATGCTCTTTGCCCCCGTTTGCAGCGTTACATCCTATGGGCCGGTCAGGTACCGCTCGTCGGCAATTGAACGAGAGCTGTCTCGGTGGACAACACTACAACATGATTGTACCTCTAGTCTGCACGTTAGTACCTACAGGATATCTAGATTGCCTTGGTACACAGTGTATACATTGTACAGTGCCCACTGGCAGGACGCATCATCTACCCGGGGCCAAAATGCAGCCTCATCGTGCCGTATGTGAGCAGATTGATAGAGGAACAAAGACTTGAAGGGGTGACTGATCTCATTGCATGTCTGTACGTTCTAATCGTGGTATTTGAATGCTTATTCCATAATACTGTAGTAAAATCATTGAGTGACATATTCGCTCATCTGGTCTAAATTCATTTTCATGCCTCGCTTGCATTCTTCCTCCGCCAGATCTTGAGCGGCATGGGCCCTGGAGACAGGTTGAAGTTTTCTCTTCTTGTCGGCTCCCACTTGGGATGTGGCAGGGCAAATTCGTAGCGGTGCAATACTGAAGCCAGCACCACCATTTGCTCCAGGTAGCTGATATTACGTCCGATGCAGCCGCGTGCTCCTGCCGAAAAGGCAATAAAATAAGGCTGCAATTCCTTGCCAGCATCGCCCAGCCATCTCTCTGGCCTATACTGCTCTGGTTCTGCAAAGATGGTTGGGTTGCGGTGGGCAATGTAAGACGAGATCGACACTGTCGTGTTGCCTGGCACAAAGTCGCCGTCGACAGGTGCTCCTTCAGGTGGGGTGCGTCGAGGAAGACCAAATGTAGTGGGTGGGAGAAGCCGTAGAGCCTCGTCAAGACAGGCTCGGAGGTAAGGGAGATGCTTGACCTTGTCGTAGGGGGCCACCTCCTCGTCCTCGTCCAACACGCCGTCAAGCTCTTCCCGGAGTTTCTTCAAGCATTCGGGATGCTTCAACAGCAAGAACATGACGTTGTTCATGGCAATGGCCGTCGTGTCAGACCCAGCGTTCATCATGATGCTGACCTCGGCCACCATCTCACCCCATTCCAGATTGTTGGGTGTCCCTGACTTGTCGTGAAGGATGGCGGTGAAGAAGTCGTCCAGTTTCTCGCCCGCCTGGTATCGCTTGAACCGGGTCGTGGCTCGGTTCCGCACAATACCATCCCAGTCTTGGTTCAATTGCCACTTCTTCCGATATGTCGATGACACGAGCTTGCTGAGAGCGGCAAATCGCTTGTACCAGTCGTAAGACCATACCAGATTCGACTGCACCCAGGCAGTGGCATGTAGACACTCTCGGAAATGTACCTGCTTCAGGGTGCCATCCGCAGCTTCAGATGTGATCAGGTCGTCACCGCGGTCAAGAAACCCAAGATCCTCGCTCAAGCCAATGTTGGCAATGGCCGCAACCGTGAAGAGATTGGTCCACTTGCGGTAGTCAATGGTAAGGTCCTCCTCCTTGGGATCTTGTCCGGCCGGGAGGGGTGCGGTGCAGCGAGCATCAAACGCCCGGATCAACCGGCTGGCCATATCTGCCACCTTGTACTCCCATCCCTCCAGGTTCTTGATGGCATAGGCGCTCGAAAGCATCTTTCTCTTGCGAGCATGCTCGGACTTGTCAATCACATCCGCCAGGTGATAATGTGATCCTGCGAGCTCTTGATAGAAGATGTCTTTCGTGCATGCAGTGTTGTGGCCATAGATGTCTTTGATGGCCTTTGGACTGGAGAAAGACAGGGCATTGGGCCCAATTCGGATCACCGGTGATTTCTGGTGTGCTTTGAGGAGGGCATTGGATCGGAATCCCTTGTGTGCCTCGTAGATGAAAGGGAGGTCGGAGATGCCAGACCAGAAGGTCAGCTTGGGGTACTTTCGCAGGCCCTTAGGATCGCGGAAGTAGTTGACGAAGGGTATCAGGATAAAATAGCAGAAGGCGAAAGCAAGCGAGCTGGCAAAAGCTGCAACTCCCAGCATGGTTTCAAGTCGTGGACGGAATGTCTGCCTCAGTAACAAATGCTTTGGACAGAGAGACGTCTTCAAGCTTGTGAATGGCAATGGATGAAGAGATGTTGGCAAGGAAGATGGGAGTCAATAAATGTGTGAAATGAAATTGCTCTCAATGCTGTGGCAGCAGTGTAGTACGAAGAACCAGATGTCCCTCGATCTGAGGTTATGAAGAATATCGGACACCCTTGTTTTCTTTCACTCTGCACGTACCTCGAGTTCTGTCGACGGAAACGGGCGGTCCCATCTTGTGCATTCTTCGTGAGCTGCCGAATCCCGAATTCTGAGGATCCACGATGCATGGCCATCCTTGCAAGGCATGGATTCGCCGACGATGCATGTCGACGCATGGAAGCTGGCGGAGCGATCGAGATGCCCGTCAAACTGAACTGCAGTTGTGGTTTGGACTGTAGTGGGAATGGGTGTCCATGTGAAGTATTCCTCCAAAAGAGGAAAATTCTCGCCGCAGTTTGCTATCTTTAACCCGCACTTCAACTCCCTCGCCGTCTTCTTCCACCCTTGAACACTTCATTTCCCCCACGGGGTCCCCCGGCGCTCGCTTACAGGCCTCGCCCCTGCAAGACATGGAGTCTTCTGATCGACTGACAGCTGCAGTAGTGTCCTTCTAGAACATGTTGCACCGTTTCGCACCGCCGAGCAGCGTTCTGTTCAGGAAACCTTGTCCCGAACCAGCACTTGGGCCAATTTCTTCGACTTGTGGAGATGGTTGGCCGTGATTGTACGGGACTTCCACCGGCGATGCCTCATGACTTGCCGGCGAGGCCAGTCGTGGCGAGGCTGGACCCAACGTAATAAAGAGAAAGACATGCTTTAATCCTCGACGCTGCCCAAGTTGACGAGAGATGGCCGCATGAATAAGAACTTCAACGGACCTATATTGAACAGATATCTTGTTGGGAAGGTTGCGTAAGGGAACTTTGTGAGGAGAGAGATCAACGTGATCGGTTAAAGTCAATTGTTGCGGCCGTCGAAATCTGCATTCACGGTGGTAAACCATCGGTTTGCACCATGTCGTCTCTACAATCATCCATCGTCCTGCCAAAACTCCAAAACATCTCTGATTTTCAACAACTTCTCTCGAAAGCATCGTATGATGATTTTCTCCTCCTTGCCGTCCTCTTTCTAGGAGGAACGGCCTACATCACCAACGGCATTCTCTGGAACAAGCCAGATCCTTACCACTACCAATGGTTCGAGCGGCCTCAAGCCGCTGTCGCAGACTTGCTCTCTGCCAAAACGCAAACCCGGGATATTGCTCAACGGCTCGAAGAGACCGGGAAGCAGGCTGTCATTTTCTGGGGCTCCCAGTCAGGCACGGCCGAAGGGTTCGCGCACCGTCTGGCCCAGGACTTGCATCGCCGACTTCAACTCGAAGCCCTCGTGGCCGATGTATCAGACTACGACGAAGAGAGTATCGCCAAACTCCCGGGTTCCAAACCGGCCATTTTCATCATGAGCACATATGGCGAGGGAGATCCCAGTGACAACTCCGGGCATTTTGTGCAGTGGCTGAAATCTGAAGTCAACACCAAGCCCGAATCAGAGGCACTGTTATTTTCCAATCTCAAGTTTGCCGCGTTCGGTTGCGGCAACAGCAACTACAAATACTTCAACGCTGTGATCGACGCCGTTGTCAAGGGTCTCCAGGACCGCGGCGCAACCATGTTCATGCCAGTCGTGGGCAAAGCGGACGAAGCGAAAGCCACGACGGAAGAGGACTTTTTGGAATGGAAGACGGCCCTGTTTGCCCAGCTGTGTCAACAGTTTGGTCTGACTGAGCGTGAACCCGAGTATGAACCCGCCATTTCGCTTGTTTTTGACGATTCCATCGACGTCAGCGGCGTGTATCTCGGCGAGCCGTTTGCTCCTGCGACGGGCAGGAAAAAGAAGTCACTCAAGACCCCCTCGACTCCCACGGTGCATATGCCAGTGGTTGCGGCACGAGAATTGATCAAAACAAACACTCCGGCACAGCCATCACGAGGTCAGAACCAGCAACCCGACCGAAGCTGCTTACATCTTGAGCTGGACTTTTCCGACCTCCCTGAAATCAGATATAAAACCGGAGACCACCTGGCCGTGCAGCCTGTTAACCCTGTCACCGAAGTCTCGCGACTACTAAACGTCCTCGGTCTTCAAGAGCAAGCCGACACCCCGATCATGATTCAGCCACGATCAGACGAGCAAAATACTGGCTCTGGCGACGACGACAACACCAGACTTCCCTCTCCCACCACCCTCCGCGCCCTGTTCCAGCACTACTTGGAAGTATGTGCCCCTGTGTCTCGTGAGACGGTTTTATCTCTGGCCGCTTTTGCCCCTACAGCAGCAGCCAAGTCGTTCTTGCTCGAGATTGCCTCCGACAAAGCCGCATATGCCGACTTCGTCTCCAAGCACCATGTCACCCTGGCTCGACTTCTGCAGCACGTGGCGTCCGACGCCGTGGATCCCTCCGTCACTTGGAAGACGGACAATGACGAGGGGAATCTTCCGCTGTCGTTTGTCGTCGAGAGTCTCCGACCCATGGCACCGCGGTACTACTCAATCTCCAGCTCGTCCATCATCTCGCCCCGCCGAGCCGCCATCACTGTCGCCAACAACCCAACCACCATCCTAGCACCAACGACGTCAACTCAGATCGTGATCCCCGGAGTGGCCAGCACATATCTATCTTCGTTTGTGCAACCAAACCACGCGGATGTCCAAAAACCAGCAATCTACGCCAGCATCCGACGGTCGACATTCAAACTCCCCGCCTCGGCCGCGACGCCATTGATCTTGATTGCAGCTGGCACGGGCATCGCGCCCTTCCGCGCATTCTTGCAGGAACGCGCTCGTCTAGCTTCAATCAGACAGAGCCAACAAGCCCGGAATCAGACCCAGGATTCCCATTCCCCACAAACACAAATGGGCAAGATCCTCCTGTTCTTCGGCTGCCGCCACCCAGACCTGGATCTCCTCTACAAAGACGAGCTGGATGAGTTGGTGCACAACTCCCCGCTGAAGGATTGCTTGGAGGTCGTCTATGCTTTCTCGCGGTACAGTGATGGTAGTGATAATGATGACAGCCAGAAACAGACCAGAACCAAACCCGGCCACTATGTACAGGACAAAATAGGCCATCGTGCTACCGACGTTGTCAAGCTGCTTCTCGATGACGATGCCGCCCTGTATATTTGTGGTTCGGCGAGTATGGCGCGCCAGGTTGGGGACCGTATCGGCGACGCCCTGAAAACGCATCGCAGCATGGACGACGGTGCCCTTAGACAGTGGAGGGAGGAGAGGAAGCGCGTCAGGAGGTGGCAGGAGGATGTATGGTGATGAGATGACTGATCTTTGGACCGAATTCAAGACCCTGCCAGTTTACATTTCAGCTTGGAATAGATCATATATATCTAGATATATATATTTATACACGGCATATTTTTATCGTATTCGCTGATCCATTCTACAACCGCCCTTTTGCAATGAAGTATCAATGCTACAGTACACATCCGGGGATTACCGGTTCGAGAGTGGTTGATTTTGACGCAGCATAGCATACCAGGTATGTACCCAAATCAAAGTACTTGGTTACCTACTTAGGTACCTAAGGCAGGTACAGAAGGTACGCAGTGACACACTTGTAGAGCGATAAGCATCACTCGAAAAAGGGAGGTGCTGTGCTCCCTCTCGTATCATTCCATTCTGTCTTTTCCCAAGTTCAATGTGGCAAAGCTTTGTGTTTCATATTCTCCCACACTGCATGTTGCGCGCACTTTTCGACCTTTTCAAAGGTGACACTTATTGTTGCCGTCACTATATATACCAACCAGCACTGGACTTCCTGCCAATGTGTACATAAATATGCTGGTAGTCTCCGAAAGGGCAGTCACCCAGTCAATCAATCCATCATTCCCCATGCCTCTTTCAGCAGATTCCGCGCATTCCCAACAGGCCAGGCAAATACGCCTTCCAGCTCATCAATAATACTCAACAGCGCCTGCTGCTCGACCGGGTCCTCGAAATGATCACCGCAAACGACAATGGCCAAAAAGGCCGTGACTAATCCGGGCGGACTGTCCCGATTACTCAGGGCGATCCCGCACAGTCGGAGGACGATGGTTCGTAATTCCCGACTCAACGCTCGCATGCCTGCGACGTGGCCGGGGCCCAATCGGGTGCGTGTCGGGTCGAAGACGGCCAGTAGTATCTTCGCCAACTCGACGTGCTGGACGCCCGCGACATGGCAGTCAGATAGATAACAGATTGTTGGAAAGACTTCGCCTCGGGTTCGGTCCGGGTCGCGGAAATAGATGGGCTCGAAACTTGCGGGGAGGACTTGCGCCCATGTGGCTTCTTGTTGCTTGAGCGAGAGCCAGTGATCCTTGGCCATGGGCGATGCCGACGCAGGCAAGGATGAAGAAGATGAGGAACGGTGTCTACTGATGGGCGGACCGCCGTGGCCGTTGTTACCGTTATTGGTGGTGTTGCTATTGCCGTAACAATACTCCAAAACATCGGCACAGAAGATGATAAGCCGGTCAGCCCAGACGGCATCTTCGGCGGGAGAAAAGGATCGGAAAGCTTCGCAGCGTGCAAGGTCGTGGTTTATAGGCCGCTGTTTCAGAAACGCAGAGTATATCTCTTGCCGAAAGGCGACCCAGAATCCTGCCTGACAGAGGCCATCGGTTCGCCAGCGTACGGCGGGCGCCTCGGCAGAGCTTCCAAGAACGCCTCCTTGCGAATGAGCGGTCGTGGTGTCGGACGCGGTCGGAGAATGTGTGAGCTCGGGAGAAGGAGGCATCCCCGCTGTATATCGAGCATCCGACAAGCTCCCAACTTTGGGGCCATTGATAACGGGAGAACTGTGCGGTACTAGAGGAACCCGGGGAATCTGGGCGTTGATGAACACATTGATAACCCGCAGGAACAGCTCGTTGTCCCGGTCGTCTTCACGTAGCGGAGCATCAATTTCTTCGTAAAATCGCAGAATGATGGCTGCGGCAAGGAGATTCTCATCTCTTGTCTGGTGTGGTTCGAGACTCTGTTTGAGAAGATCTTGGATACACTCGCTGTGGTAGCGAAGCGCTGTTTCTTCGTTAAGATCAGCAACCGCACGACCTTGGTAGTAGTAAACACCCTCCGGTCCAGCTTGTGCCCGTTGAACCAGGCAGAGATGTCTCGCTGAAGCAACGAGCATGGCGTTTCGCAGTGGTGGACAGTACCGTGCCCTTTGGGGGACAATCAACTGAAAGTGCTTTTCCGGATCGCAGAGATCGAACCATCGAGCAAGAGCGTCAACAAAATACCGAATTAGCAGTACCTCCAAAGCAGTATGGACTGGTTGTGTAGATGAGGGCTTCTTGACCAAGCCATCGATATAAGGGGATGCGGGTGTTTCCACGTCGGTAACCCTGCTTTGGGCCGGAGACAGGATAGGAAGCGAGCTATGAGTCTCCCAAAAGTCCGGGAAGGGGCCGACGGTGTCTTGGGTTGAGGAGTCGACAACACTCGTTGTTTCGGGTTGGTTTTGCTGCCAATTTTCAACTTCCGGTGGTAAAGCATTCCCGCGTGAGTGATTGGAAGTGTTTTCCGTACGAAATCGGGAATCCAAAGACCCTGTCGAAGCCTGATGGTGAAGTGTGGAAGCGCTATGGGCATTCGTCTCATTACCCCGATGAGGGTTCGGCTCTTCCTCAAGATCGACGTCTAGATCATCATCCTCCTCGATGCCTCGTCCTTGCTCTTGATCGTAAATTGCTGTCAGTTCGGCAGTTTCATCAATGAACATCAAATCTATGCACGCATCTGATTAGCGACACTGGTAGGGGATGGCAAGGTTCAAGAGCACAATCACCGGAAGCCTTTTTCGGCTTCAACCAAGTCTGATCCTTGGAGAAGCTGTTGGTGCTGTATCTGGATCTTGAACTGTGTCGAAATCTGATGCCCGCCCTGCTGCGGACGCAGCGTTCGCCGGACCGCTGACATCTTTTACAGGTGGAAGACGCGAAATCACCTGTGGACCATCGGGACAAAGAAGGTCAGTCTCGCCATGGGTCGCGAAGGCTAGCCTTGCTCACACTTCAGGTGCCTCTGTGTGCAAAGATGGTCAGTATGTTGCGGCGCAAAGAAACCTTTCCTGCGAGGCTGAACACCTCATCAGGAGAGGGAGTGGGACCAGATTGTCCCAAGAGAACAGGCTAGACGTATCTGCAATTGTCACACGGTGCTCCTCGTTTCTTGCTTCTGTCTCTAGTGTTCGTGGAAGCCGCATCGGTTTCCTGAACGAGCTGCCGCGTCTTCTCACCCTCTTCTTGCTCGGCTCTAATCTGGCGCGATGTACTTGGAGGGTTCATTTGGGCCGATGGGGTGAGAATCAAATCATCGGAAAAGGTGATTCAGCCCAGGGCTGGACTCGGCGAAGCTCTCGTCAACGAACTCAAAGATCTCAGACCGCCAAAATCTAGTGCTCGGCGGTAAGTTGCCTCACATTTGTAGAGTCCCTCTCATGACCATCCCCCGCTTGCGGGACTCGGGGTTGCACCCGCATAGTGCCGGGGCATCAGGGTCAAACGTGGAGAAGGTCACTGTCACCCCTGGTGTAGAGGCAGCCACTGGGAGTTGCCCCAATGGTCAAAGGGGTAAAAGTTCCCCGGGTGAGGCCTGGACCGCCAGTTGCACGCGCTTCACTGTTTGCGTCGAATGATCTACCTCGAGATCTCGGGATGGAGTACGATGTTGCTGGTGCGCCTTCCAGATTTGTCCCTTTTCCGAAGGTGTTCTGCTACGACACACTCGTCGCCGCGCCAGCGATGTATGTGCGCCCAAAAAATGTACAGTGGTATATATGGCACCCACTGCAGGACTTCTTGATGGCGGTGTAGTCGTTGTCACTGTTTCGGAGATCCACCGATTCCCATACACTAGCGGAGCGGCGGAGAACCAGCGTCAGAGATAAAAAGATTCTCAACAGCCACTACATGGCTTCCTCTCTGCGCTCTCCATCATCTCTTTTCTCGTCCTCATTGCAATCAGCCGACGAAATGCCTGGTAGAAAGCTCAAAGTCGCCATTGCCGGTTTGGGCCGCATGGGCGCGCGCCATGCACTCCATTTTTACAACTTGACTCCCCGCGCCGAAGTGATCGCCGTAACCTCGCCAGAACTGAAAGAATTGGAATGGGCCAACCGGACCCTGGAGGGTGTTAGAACATATGCCGACTACGATGAGATGCTGAGAGAAGAGAAGGACCTCGAGGCAGTGGTCATCTCCTCAGCCACCATCGTTCATGCCGAACAGGCCATCAAGGCCATCAACTTGGGGCTGCATGTGCTCTGCGAGAAGCCGCTCAGCACAAGCCCGGAGGTGGTAAGTCAACCATATGCCTGTTATGTGGAGCCATTGCATTAACTTGTTTGTCCGCAGTCCCAATCCGTTCTTTCGGCTTATCAGAACTCGATAAAACGATTTCCCAACCAGAAGGTCATCTGTGGCTTTTCGCGTCGCTTCGATGCCTCTTATCGGGATGCATACCAGAAAGTGCGCTCTGGAGTGGTGGGAAAGCCGGCGGTGATCCGCTCTCAGACATGTGATAAACTCGATCCTTCCGGCTTCTTTGTCGAGTATGCCCAGTTCTCTGGGGGTATCTTCGTCGATTGCTCCATCCACGACATTGATCTCGCTCTGTGGTTCTTTGGGGAGGACTCGGTGGTCAAATCAGTCAGTGCTGTCGGAATCACTGCCGTGTCTCCGGAACTGAGAAAGTACAACGACCGGGACAACGCCGTCGGGATTATTGAATTTTATGGTGGCAAGATTTGCCAGCTGTACTGCAGCCGGATGATGGCCGCTGGACAAGAAGACTGTAAGTATCACTGCAGTGGTGGTGATGCGAGCGAATGGTGCAAGATTCTGGATTGCTTACTGACTGGGAGCGCAGGCACCGAGATCACCGGCACCAAAGGAAAAGTGTCAGTCAACACCCAACCCACTGGCACTCTTGTCAACATTTATGAGCCATCCGGAATCCGTCGTGAGATCCCTCAGGACTATTATGGCCGATTCCGCGAGGCCTTCATTACTGAGGCCAACGAGTTCACCGCCTGCTGCCTCGACAACACCGAAGTACCCCTCCGACTGGAGGGGGCCGTGGCTGCGGTCAAGATCGGAGGCGCCCTACAAGAAAGTCTCATCACGGGCAAGAAGATTGAGTTCGATGAACGTGGCAAACGGATAGGCGCTCCTGCTCCTCGAGGCGGAGGTCAGGCACCTCTGTCGGCCAGGCTGTGATTGTGATAGAGTGGTTGGCAGCCCAATCTCGATAGAATATGGACGCATATGAGCATTGCAGTGACGGGCATAGAACAAAAGATAGAGACGGTTTACAGGTAGACTTTTCGGATGGAACTTGAATAGGGTCAATTACAGTGCCAGTCTAATCACATCTTGCCTATCACCTACTATGTCTACCTGTGTCACACAAGATCGAAGCCCTGCAGAAGATTGATTCAAAATCCATCGGCTACACCGGTGAAGCCAGTTGGTGTGCAACAGACCAAGGTTACTTCAGGGATGCCAGGGGCCTGGCTAGGGACCTACTACTTAGCTATTCTGGGGTGGCTGCAGGTGCACTTGGCTGGAGCTGAGCCTGCAGCACGATTCCTCCAGCTGGTACTGCAACTACAAACAAGGTCCCCGGGGCTCCGCGAGCCTGTCCAGCATCCCCCGAGTGCCTCGTTAGCCCGAGGGGCCCCCTCGGCCCTGCACTAGCGACGCCTCCCGCCCGACGCGTCTCTTTCTAGTACAATGTAGGTCGTGTTTGAAGCGCGTTTAGTGGCAGCCCAATGTTCATGCAACTTGAACCACCGCAGCCTGAGATACACCGTCAACTCATGCAGTCCCGGTCAGCTCTGTTTTCCGTTGAAGCGTTGACAATAACGATCTGACCGTATCTGACTGCCTTGGGGTTGTATGTTGTGGCCTCGGACCGTGAGCCGTGTCAATTTATCCACGCGTAGTCTCCCTCCGAGACGGCACACCCATCTGCTCGTACTAGCATACCGTCATTCCCGCGCAATGTCTTCTCTAAAACGAAAAGAACCTCCCACCTCCGCCAGCCAACCGAAACGGAATGGCGACCTCACGTCCTTCTTCGGCCCTCCCAAAGTCACACCGTCGGGCGGCGGGAAGCCTACGTCCTTTACCAGCAGCTCAACAGCAAGTGATGCGCCCCCATTGAAGTTCGACAAGGACAAATGGGTGGCCAGCCTGACCGAGGAGCAGAGGAAACTGCTGAAGCTAGAAATCGACACTTTGGACCCGAGCTGGCTGGGCGCATTGAAAGACGAAGTCACGTCGCCGAGTTTTCTGGAACTGAAGCGGTTCTTGCAGAAAGAGATTGATTCAGGACAGAAGATCTATCCTCCGCTCGAGGACGTGTACAGCTGGTAAGCCAGTCACAAATGTCTATTCCACATGACAATGCACTTTCCCACGAAACTCTGTGCTGTATGCGCGCTCATTGGAATTCAAGCTGACCGGTATCTGTTCCAGGTCTCGTCACTGTCCTCTACACAAGGTGCGCGTGGTGATCCTAGGACAAGACCCCTACCACGGCCACAACCAAGCCCACGGCCTCTGCTTCTCTGTGCGACCACCTACACCTGCTCCGCCATCCCTTAAGAACATCTACATCGCCATCAAGAAAGATTATCCCGATTTCAGCCCACCGCCCAAGAACTCGGGGCTCCTGACACCATGGGCCGACCAAGGCGTGCTCCTGCTCAACACCTGCCTAACGGTGCGTGCGGGCCAGGCCAATTCGCACGCCAACCGCGGCTGGGAAAAGTTCACTCAAAAGGTCATTGACACGGTTGTCAAGGTGCGGACGCGGGGTGTTGTGTTTTTGGCTTGGGGCATGCCGGCCCAGAAACGCTGCGAGAAGATTACCGGAGGCCGACATTTGGTATTGAAGAGCGTACATCCGTCCCCACTGAGTGCTCACAAGGGGTTCTTCGACTGCGGCCACTTCAAAAAGGCCAATGAATGGTTGGAGTCACGCTACGGTCCGGAAGGTGTGATTGATTGGAATCTGAACGTCCAGCATCCGATCAAGGCGCCACCGGTCCAGGAACCAGTCAAAGCCACGGCTAGTCAGGAGAAGACGCCCGAAGAAGACGGGCCAGTCACAGAACTCCCGGAGAAGACGGATGGTGAGAAGGTCGTGCAGAAGGATGAGTTTGACGGCGAGGACGATGAAGATGCCATCGCCGCAATGGAGGAAATTGCCCGACAAGAAGACCAAGCGGAGGCAACTAAGAAAACCAATGTCGAATCTGGCGGTCCAGACGATGGTGGTGAACCCAAAGGCACTCGAGAAGAGACCAAGTCTGAGGCGACCGATGAGAAGGCTGTCTAGCCCTGTTATGTTATTCAGCATGGGTGCAAGCACTGGTGTTTCCTCGAGTCAGCTTTCCGAAGTTGATAATTCTATTGATGTTGATGTCGATACCATGTCTGGTCGACATAGCATGGTTTCAACACTGCTCCCAGTCAGTACAGGGATGTCGAACTCTCGAGCCATGGATTGTTGCCTTGATCTCGCAAAATGTGCAATTAGAGGCTCCGTCAACTGAGGTGGTTCGATGTCATCTCAAACTCGGCGGCTGTCTGCGGTCCACAGGATCCGCTAGATACAGGAAAAGTGTTAAAAGACTTTTTTTTCCCTTTCGCGTTTTCCCAAAAAGAGCTGGTCGTCAGATCCAAGGAGTTTGCTGCAGATTTGGCGAGGGAACCATAATCAAAGCTTAATATGAGGCTCTGGGAAAGAGAGAGCCTTGCCAATGTGCCATACCTTTACTTTGCGGTAAATGTACAGTCCTCCTGAAACACATCAGCCTTGCTAGTAAGTAGTCAACAAGGGGGTCACAAGGGAGTCACAAGGGAGTCACAAGTGTCTTTCCAGCACTACGGGCAGCGTGGTCAAGGTCAGTGGTCACAGGGGCACCGATACATTTACAGTATTTCCTTCTCTCTCTGTATGAACAGACACACAACAAAGACAGTTAGTCGAGTAGTTCAAATCGCTCCTTTCATTTCCAACACTTGATAAGTGTGTAAGTGTGTATATATATATAGCTAAATTGGCCATCGGGTCCATCATCGGGTTCATCCGTCGCTATGTAGCTTGTTGACCACAACAATCACTTATGGATTATACTTCAACAGCCCCTCCTCAATAGCCTTGATCTGCAAGGCCAGGATCTTCGAATAATACCTGCACAGCGCAAGATTGCCACCCATGAACCAGAATCCCGGATGGCCCGTCTTCTGCCAGATAGTCCGCATCTCTCCTTCCTGGTTATAGCCCCAGATATCGCCAACACGATCAGCAAGTTCATCGCCGAAAATCTCACGGGCCTGGGTGCGCATGTTTTGGTACCCAGTGGCAAAGATAATTTCATCGGCCTCGAGCTCGGAGCCATCGGCGAAACGCAGACCATGCGGGAGGACCTCGTCGATTTCCTGGCCCTGCTTGATCTTGATCTTGCCATCGATAATGAGCTGCGCACATCCGACATCGATATAATAGCCGCCTCCGCGCTGGAAATACTTCATAAACAAACCAGCACCCTCTGGACCTCTGTCCAGTCCAAACCCGGCCTTGGCCAGTCCATCGAGCGTCTTTTTGTCATATTGTTCTTGCAACTCGGTGATCTTGATCTGTAGTGCCTTGAGGACTTCGCTAGGCAAGCTGTGCAGCCACAAGTCGGCATCGTCCACTGGAGGTCCACCTTCGGAATATAATCCCTTGAGACCGATTTCCGTAATGGCCTCGCTGGAAATGACGCACGTCGTCGACCGTTGCACCATGGTCACATCGTAGCCCTTTTCGTAGAAATCCTGTGCGATGTCGTGGCCTGAATTGCAGGATCCCACCACGACGGCCTTCTTGCCTTTGCCGTCTAGTCGGGCGCCAGGGAACTCGGACGAGTGGCACAGACGGTCACCCTTGAAGTTGTTGATTCCCTTCATGTGCGAGGGGAAATTCTTCTTGCCTGAGTGGCCTGTCGCTTGGATGATGTGCCGTGGGTGCAGGGTGCGAGTCTCGGTCGTGCCGTCGGGTTTCGTCCGCTTCACGGTCACGGTCCATTGTCGCTTGTTGTCGTCCCAAGACGTAGACTCCAGCGTTGTCTTGACCCATACGTTCAGCTCCAGCAGTGTCGCGTACGACTCGAAGAATTCCGCCAGTTTGTCCTTGGGCGTGAATACGGGCCAGAATTCGGGGAATGGCAGATATGGCATGTGGTCGTACCAGACTGGATCGTGCAGGACCAGCTGGTGGTACCGGCGTCGCCAGTTGTCGCCGATTCGGTCTTCACTGTCGATCACGAGTGTTTCAACGCCGAGCATCTTGAGCCGAGATGTTGCTGTGAGTCCGCCCTGGCCGGCACCTGGACAAAAAAGCGTAAGTAACTGACAAAAAGTAGATGGTTGAGCTGTTCGGTCATACATACCTAGAATCATCACCGTTGGCTCTTTATTCTCAAAGTTGATTTCGGCCCGTCTCCTCTCCAGCCAGTTCTTGCGATCCGGCTTGCCACCATGCTCGACACCCTTGGACCGACGGGGCCCAACGGCTTCCTCGTGGCCCTTGAGCTCACGCAGGGTTGTGAACAAAGTGAAAATCTTCCATTGTCCGTCTCGCTCAGCCAGCCGAGCGACACCCTGGCCTGCGCCGACCTTGGAGGTAAAGTTGAAGAAGAACTGGATCCCCTTGACGTCGCCGGTGCCGTCAAAGGCTCCCAGCTGGGGCGAGCGGTAGGCGGAGCTTCGGTCGATCTCGATCTTTTGCAACGGACATCCGACGTCGGCGAGGAACTCGGCAATCTTCTTGGGCCCCTTCAGCGTCCGCAGGTCCCAAGAGACACCGAGGTGATCCCGCCAGTAGCCGTCGTCTAGGAACAAGTCTGCAATCGCCTGAGTGTCTCCGTTGGCAAGAGCGTTGTTGAATGTGTCGACGATTTTGTTGGCCACGGCATTCGCATCGACCGAGGTCGTCTGGGCTGTCTTGGGCCACTTGGCCACAGGGATGTTAACGGACCCAGGCTCACATCGGTCCTTGGACAGAGTGAGGCCCGGGTCCGTGGCCGATTGGACTTTGACGCTCATGTTGAAGAACACGAGATAGGTCTGAAAGCTGTCTTTTCCGGGTCCCTTGTATCTGCACTCTTGTGTAAAGATATGTGAACAAGGCGCAGGTAGAAGAGCGAGGCAAAGTCCAGCTTGATGGTTTCAGGGAAGAACTTCGGATCGGACCACAGAAGATAAAATGTTTTTAAATACCTGCCAGGACCAGGACCCTTGAGGCTGGCAGCCTTCGTCACCCCCCTCTCTCCGCGCCCCCGCCCCTCGCCAAAATTGCCACGGGGAACAGGGACACAGACCGGGGAGACGCGGGGCAGCCAGGAGAAATTAAACTTGCCGTTTGTCCAGTTGCGTGGAGGACTCTGAGCCCCGGAATACTTAGTTTGGTAACCCTGGAAGCTTCCCCCGTTGGTTATCTCGACAGCGAGGCGCGGGGGCAAGGACCCGCCGTTCAACAATAATCACTTGTTGGTTGGTGTTTCTCTTCCTGTCCTCGTTGGCCAACCGAGGGCTGAAGCCCCTGGAGCAACGTGTCCCTAACAATGTTGTCATGTCCTCAGATAGTCGGTATCGGTGCCGCCGGGACCGACTTGCTCAGTGGCCAGAGACAAGTTGTCCTTCAGCTTTACTACTATATCAAGTTCCAAAGCCCGCCGCATCTAATACTGAGCGGGAAATGCTGCTGGGCTTTTGGCACGAGTAGGCGTCTACGGCGAAGCTTGGGCCCGACATGGAGGTTCAGAATGCGTTCATCCGCCGGATGTCCTGACCGCTGATACAAAGCAACGAATCGGATGAGACTAGAGAGGGGGTTTTGGCGAGAACCGAGCCATCGGAATGGTGCCGTGCTTCGAGCATCTCTGGTCCTCGCGCGACTCGTTGGCATCGATTCGTCAACCGTAACAGAAGAACGCCAGCGATGTGTGATTCTCCCTCCTGTTTTCCTATTCGCGACCGTTTCAGCGCCGAGGCAAATGGAAGTGTGTTCCTTTCGTCCCGAGTCCTGAAATGTGATAGGCAGGTCGTGCTGGAGCCTCCTTTCAATCGTTATCGCGATGAGTTGGCCAGCCTTGTCGATCCGCCGACAGAAGGGCAGGAGTTGCGCTAGACTCACAGCCCTATGAGATAGCATGCCAGTTGCACGTCTGTCAAGTTGGAGACAGCATTTGTACCTCCTCATTCTATCCGTGTCCCCGGACTCACTCCCAGAGACCGTCATACCACTCTTGCAACACACTGCGAGTTACTCGTCAGGTTATGATCGCATAGATCGCTACAACATGGCGTGCAGTCGGTCAGGTCCACTTCGGTATACTTAGAAAGGAAAGTAAGCTGTGACAGCCTCGAGACGGGGTCGGACATTTTCTTGCCCCTTGTCGCAATCCCCAGAAACATGGGGTTTGCAGAGTTGCGTTATGCGGGATGATAACAGTAGTTGCCACAGTCACCCTGTCATCATGGCTGGTACCTTGTTGAGCCTTCCTTGCCAGGCTTTGTACACCCTGTCTTGGATTGGAGAGAGCCTTAGCCAACCCCCAAGGGCTGTGCATGCAGCCTTGCAGCCGAGAGGTAACTTTCCGCGTCCTGGTTCTTGACCAGTGGTGATCAACCACATCCGTTCAGCCGGTACCTGGGGCCACGTTGCTGGTGATCACTGCTGAAAGCGAATGAAACACACTAAAGGTTAGCAAAGACCCGAATGACAGGCGTAATGGCCAATAGCCCGTTGTAGTTTCTGGGCAGTCGCAGCCACCGAATCTGACGACTTGCGGGCTGTTGTTGGAGATTGTACAACATGTTCCTCGTCAATGAACAATAGGGGAGCCCTTGATGACCATCGCCTTCATGGCGGGAAATCCGTCTTTGGCTGTCGGTCCATCTGGATTGCGTCGGCACAGCTTCATACCTCGGCAAGATGGTACAACGTGGACAACAATTCAAAGTCCTGGGCGACAGTAGGACTTAAGGCGACGAGTTCAGACATGAACCTTAACATCTTGGTACACCATACATCATATCCCAGGGGTAGCGTGTCCCGGACACGAGGGTTGGGTGAGTTCTTGAAAGCATGAAATATGAAGAGTTGACCAAACATTTGGCCAGACACAAAGTACTTCAGCGGCATGAAATCCTTCATCCTCACACACACATCCAGAGCCAAAGGCCAATCCATGGCGAATTGCAGAGCTTCTGAACACATTTTCAAGTCCGTGTCCGAGACAGACATGGGCTTTTGAATGGCTTTGTACAGGAATGGCCGGCCGAGGTGGAACCTGGAGATGCGATATCGGGCCTGTAGGAGGGTCAAGACAACGGCATCGGCAGGGCTGCCAAACACCTGATCTTCACCTTCGCTGGTCCACTGCAGCCCCGGGGGCAGATTTTCTCGCCACTGTTCGAGCTGGTGCCGCAACTCGTCCGCCAGGGCGGCCGACGGGTTGCTGTAGTATAGCTCTTCCCGGATGCGGCTGAGGATGATCCGATGCGCAATCTGGGCGAGGAAGTGGTAGTGGTAGTACGAATCATCCGAGTTCCATGGGCGTGACTTGTCGGCATAGGGATACGTGATGAATTTCGGAAGTGGCACGACGTCCTCGAACTCCTTCAGTCGACTCGGAGGCAGTTCCAATTCTTGGACAATTACTGTCTCAAGCACTAGAGCGGTCCAGAATAGGCGGGATTGCATGTCCGCCGACCACTCGTCATGCGGCATCGGTGGGCATTTGAAGAATGCCGTACAGGTCATGGCGGCGCGATTGGTCATCATCCATTCGTCGACCGGCCGCATGGTTTGAGCAAAGAACACAGCGGACACCAGGTAGTACTGGCAGCTTTGAATGTCCCGCTCACAGAGGCAGAATCCGACCCGTTTACGGGCCTCATTGAAGAAGCTCAATCCGGGGATTTCTTCGTCTATGATATGACGGATGATCGGAGATAGGGATTCCGTAAGCGAAGTATCAAAACCTCCTTCCTCGTAGGCTTTGAGACCCATGCATCCCAGAGCCATGACATTCAGTACGAGGCATGACTCCATGTCATAGCCGAAACCTTCCCGTACCACAACGGCGAGGGTACTCAAGAAGTAGAAGTCGCGGTCAATACATGGGTAAACGCGGTTGAAGGTGTCGAAATAAGCGTTTGATAATTCTTTGACGCAGGATAAACTGAGTGAAGCAAGCCAGTCTTCTCCTGTAAGTCCCGCTTGCGCTGGTATCATCGGACTGAGCTGGGCTCGTCCTGATTCCAACAGCGTAGGATAGCTTTTTTCAAGGTTGCCTGCCGCGCTAGAGAGACTGGGCGGGAGGGTTGCTACCACGCCCGGCCAATGCACCGTCTGATGAGCACTGAACGACAGTAGCCCGGGTAATTTGGTCGGCGGTACTGGGGTAGGGGCCTGAGGCGAGGTTATGGACCTGATTGACATGGCGGATTCCATGCGACCCGGGCTCTCTGTCGTATGGCGATCATGCTCACTTAAAATTGCTACCGACTGCTGTCGGGATTTTGAAGGAGGATCTTGGTCGGAGAGATGGTCGATCTTAGACTCCATTCGTTTCAACGTGTTGAAAATCATGCTCATGGAGATCTCATTTCTTGGAACTGTCGTCAGCTGAATAGGAGGTTACTCAGAGACAAACGGGGCTCACTTGGTCGGTTTGCGTTCCGCGTAAGTACACTCGATTCCTAGAGTCCTGCAGAGACTGCAGGGCATGTCCTCGTCGCATCTCGTCTTCTTGGCCCGACATGCTTCGCATGCCTTGGGAAAATATCAGCACGACGGCGCTGAAAATAAGCTGGCAGCAGGGACGCACCTGACGCGCAATAAATGTGCGCTGTCTCTTTCCCGGTCTGAAGTCAGCCTCATGAGAGTCCTCCCTGGCCAGGACAGGATCGTGCCCTTCATCGCCCATGTTGAGTGCGCCGTGGTCAAGACACCATAGTTTGGAGAGTCGTTTACGCCGCCATATCAACTCCCAATATGCTTCTGTCGGTATCCTGGAAGGAGGCAGTTATAAAGTAGTACATCACGATGCGGGCGAAAAGACATGAATCCCTCGAGCAACGTTGCATCGGATAAATAAAAATATTGCTTATATAAGATTTTTCCGGTCATGCTGAACACGATTATTGGTGGGAAGGCACAGCCTTGGTTGTCAGCCTTGCCGTTCACCTTCAGATCTACTATGTAATTTCTCAGGGAGGCTTATCTTATCGATCATTGACACGGAGCCAGAATTCGTTGGACTCCAAATGCATATCCAGTGGTTCTTTCATGATACACGGTACCAACAAGGTTCCATTCCAGAAGCATTCTGGCATTTTTCTTTAGGCATGTCACATTGAACCCTCACTCGATGCTCCGACCCCCCATCTGCCGACCTCCAGCATGGCCTCCTGGCCTCCTTCGGCCAATACACCGCGGCCATCGCCTATTAGGCCCTCCAGGCACAGCCAAGGGTCTCTGCCACCACCCCAGCGCAGAACCTCCTGCTTGAAACGCTCGCCAGCGGCCCTGTCCAAAGCGGCGTTGCTCTGTCCATCTTTGAATACGGTGCGCCAGACCTGCCGAGCAATAGCCCTATCAAACAAATACGAATAATAACTCGCGCCATAGCCGTACAAATGGCCGAAGAAGCCCTGCCATGCTGTCTCTGGGGGTTCAGGTACACTGCCATACTTGTTCCACACCTCATGGTAGACGGCTGTGGAGTTGTACCGACCTGTTCGTAGAGCCTCGACAGGCCCTGTGGAATGATAGACCTGGTCGAGGATGGACATGAGGATTTGGGCTTCATTATTCCATCCTCCGGATCTTTCAGCCTGCGTTGTCCTCTCATCGGCGAGGGCGGTCAGCAGCTCGTCCGGGATAACGGCATCCGTCTGCCAATGTCGAGCAAAACTCTTTAGCACAGCAGGATCGGTCGCGAAATACTCCATCAGCACAGACGGAAGTTCGGCAAAATCTGTGGCGCATCTAGTTCCGGAGATGCCTTGCATCGATGTCCGACCTAGGATGCTGTGGATTGCGTGGCCCATCTCATGGAACAATGTCGTCACGCTGTGCAGCGACAACAGCGATGGCGCTGGACCTACACTGGTACTTGGGTCTGGAAACCCGCATACCAACGCGATGATCGGGATTTGGTAGTTCGCACGGGCGTGAGGATCCCTTTTCAAGACACTGGGGCCCATAATCGTAGGCATGCCGTCATTCAAAGGCTCTCCTCGTTGTTGGGAGTCCATCACTTCCTCGTCCGAGATCTCGCGCGAGCAAAGAAGTGTAAAGTGCGCTGGGTTAGGCAGTTTTCCAGGCCTGGAAAACAAGTCGCAGTACATGGTCGCAATGTGCTCCTCTTTGTCGGTATAAACATCCAACCTCCTCACCTCTGGGTGCCAGACTTCGCCCTGGCAAGTCTCTTTCGGCACCAACCGCACTCCATAGAGCGATTCAAACAGGTTGGACAACCCTTGCATGACATGACCAATGGCGAAGTAGTTACTGGCATTTTCGCGTAGGCGAGACTTGGACGTCCGAGGTCCCGCGGCCGCCTGAAACTGCGCCAGCTTCGCCAGCAGATAGGAATGATCCCAAGGGTCTATTGATGACGCATTCGGGTCGTCGAGTTTTCGCTTGAGCTCTAGAAGTGGCGCGAGTTCTTTCTGAACCTGAACTCTGTTGTTGGCATTCAAAGACTCGAGGAAATCACTCACAGCGGCAGGAGTCTTGGACATTTTGTCGGCCAATGTCATCTGAGCGTAACTGTCATAGCCCGTGAGTTTAGCCAGCTGCGCCCGGCGCAGAAGAAGTTGTTCCAGTCGGGCAATTGTTTGTCGCGACGCCGTACGCTCGGCCACATAGACAGTTCTGCGCGTAGCGGGACTTTTGGCCGAGTTCAGAATCACCTTGGACGCCGAGCTATAGACTGGAATTTGCACTCGTTCCCAGGACTTCATGCCTTGAACTAGAGTAGGATCGACGCCGTCAAGCTGCTTCAGCGAGAAGGTAACATGATCCTTGGCATGGTCCATCTGATTGACGAAATCCGTTCCTACCTGAGCAATATCATTGGAGAGAGAGACGAATTGTTGTCTCTGCTGTTCGGGCAGATCGATACCTGACTTTGCAAAGTCCTTCATCAAGAGCTGGGCCACCGTCTTCTCTTCTTCATTCCAGTGAGACAGGACTTCCGGCATGTCCCACGCCTTTTTCAGTTGCTGATTGAGGCCCGTAGTCGTATTCAGCTCGTTCATGTATTGGAACATCAGCGAGTACGACGCCGAAGCTGCGGCCGCGACCGCCGAGTCTGGGTGGATGCTCCTGATGAAGTCGGACAGATCTATGACCCGGCACAACAGATCACTCAGTCGATCAAGGTCTCTAGGGATGGCTCTGTACTCTTCGACCGTAGAAGCTGCCAGAGTCCTCTCCACCACCCTCTTACATTGTGCCACTGCTGTCTCTGCGAACTTTTGAAATCCTCGTGGAGTGGTGAGATGTTTGTTCCCTATTAGCCCCGAGCTCTTCTTCTCCGCAGTGCGCCATTTGCCTTTTTTGTTAAAGACCTCGCGGAGCAGAGCATTGTCACTGCTCCGGGCAGGTGACGCGTGGAGATATGCAGACTCATAAGAGGAATCGAGCGTGGCTGTTGCTGTTGCAGCTCCGGTGGCCGTAGAGCGGTATCGTTGTTGCTGGCGAAGACATCTGGCACAAGTCCATGGCTGCCGCCGCACCAGTTTGTTCATACCTTCCTAGGGCAACTAGTAATGTACAAGTATGCCCAATGTGTCGCGATCAAATGCTTGTGCCACAACTCGATGCTTCTTGGCTGTTCAGGCGAGCAGCGCAGCAGTGGTCCGTCCGAGTCTTTGTGCAACGCCAGCACCACTCAGAGCCAACACCAGCAGCTTTGGTGGTATCCAGCTCGGTATCGCCCCTCGACCTCACCGCGACAAAGATGTGAATTAATGAACGTACAGCAGCAACACCCAAGTAGCAAATGGCATGAGCTGGAGGTACAGTCTGTGGCGTAGGGTTCAAGTTCAATTGTAGGGCCGCACGGCACCGTGATGAGCAGTCTTTCCTCCGCCAAGCCCGGTCCGTCGCGAAGTTGGAGCTCGACTTCAAGTTGAACTTCTGCCCGAAGTTCAATTGCAGTGTTTGCGGGCTCTACTTCAGTTACTTGTTTTCCTTAAACCATTTATCCTCGTCAGTCCAACTCGTCGCTGCTGCCATTTCCTCCTCCTCCTCCTCGCAACCATGGCGCGCGCAAGAATATTACGGGCTGTACGTGACCGTCCCTCCCGTTGAACCGAGCACAGAGGATCCTTGCTGACACTGAACGATGTGATAACAGTCAAGACAAGCTGCCGGAGCAGCAGCATTTCTAGTTCTCGGAGGAGCTGCGGCCACACAAGCACCTCGACACCTGGACACCCAGTTTTTCCGCATGCGAACTGCGTTTGCAGAGGCACCCTCGAAAGACACAGTAATTACAACCCCAAGGTCCCGTGTATTCCTCTTGCCTGCTAGGATCTAACGACATCGCCATCTTCTATATTTCTAGCTCCCTGATAAGAAACCCATATACTCCTCGGAGCCCGAAATTGTCACGCCGATTCCCGAGCAACCATCCACACCATCACCAATCTCGAAACCGTCACACCACCCGCGCTCTCCGACCCCAACCGACCGATTGACCGAACAAGTGAAAAGAGCCCGCCTGTTTCTGTACGAAAAGTCGCTCGCCGCAGAGAACGGCGTCAATGAATTCTTGACCTGGGCATTCCAGAAAGAAACAAATTTCACCAGCACGATTGCCTCGTTAGCGCCCGCGCCCGAGACCGGCGAACAACTACTGCCGGGAGCGATTTATGTTTTGGTGGCCACGATGGCCGGGTCGATTGTGACTCGGAACCGGGGGATTGTGTTGCGAGCCACGTTCCCGCTGGCCGTCGGCATTACCGCTGGGTGGTTGTTGATCCCTGTCACGATGCGCAACACGTTCAATCTGATCTGGGAATATGAGAAGAGAGTCCCTGCCATCCGAGACACGCACGAGCGAATCAGTGGTCTGGTGCAGGATGTTTGGAGACAGGCCAGAGTGCATGCCCAGGTGGCTACGGAGTGGGCGGATGAGACTGCGACGGAGACGCGGAAAAAGGTCGAAGATTTGGTCTCAAAGGGGAAATAAACAGCTCTGGCAAGAAGGACAGAGTTGTTTCGTTTGCTCTTTTCCCGGACAGGCTGCGTGTATGGACTGGCAAAGCTTGCGATTACCTGTTTGTACAGAAAAGAAGAAATGGCATTTATATTCTAATCAGAGCTCCCGAACTGATCCGCCTGATTTTGCTCCGGCGATGCTACCCGCGGCTATGGCACTACCGTGCAGACATACCCTGGTGTAAGAGTTCCCTTTGAGCGGCCAAGAGCCTCGAGTGCCAAACATTATGGCGAGGCTGAGGCTCCTAGTTGTGAGGCTCCCCGTATGTGCTTAGTCATCCGTTTCGGGCAATGTGTACCTACTAGGTAGATATGATCAACTACTAGTATGTTGGCGAGGCTGAATCGCCATTTAACATTAATCAGAAGACAAATCGTATTGCTCCCCGGTTGCAGAGCTCCAACGTAGGGGGGAAGTATACCCGTAAGTCTGTACGTAGGTCGATAGAGAGATTGGATGATTAGATAACTACCAGGGCGACCGTAAATAGATCAGCAGGATCTTTTTCTTTTCGTCGTCAGCCTCAACCTTGTCTTTTCTTCTGTGCTTTCTCCTTCTCTTCTGTTGTCCAGTCTCAGACTTTGTTGCTCGTCTCCGGAGCCGCCATCTCAACCTGCACAGCCGTCTCCTTCTCTTCCATGACAGCCTCCTCAACAGCCAAATCATTCTCATTGACCAGAACAACCTTGTCACCGAAAGCGGCGGCGATTTCCTCGAGAGACTTTTGTTTTGTTTCTGGGAAGTAAAAGTACGCCACGACGAGGAAAAAGGCCGAGCACGCCACAAAGACGTAGTAGTAGTTTTCGTGGATGTTGGCGAAAGCGCTGGGACCGGCTTCGGTGACTGGTGAACGCACAGATCGTTAGTCCAACAAAATAACATTCTAATAATCAAAACACGTTTGTGTAGACGGTGTAGTATACTTACTGCCGACATTCACAATAAAATGCGAAGCTGCAGCCAAGCCCATGACTTTGGACCGGAGAGCAATGGGGAGGACTTCGGCGCCGTAGAGCCATGTTGTGCTGTTGAGCATGCCGTCTAAAAACACGAGTTAGAAGAGAAACACAGGCAGAATGAGTTTTAGGTGTGTGCGGCTCACAATATGTCACGACAAACAAATAGATTCCCAGGACGGCGAATCCCTTTCCGACTTGGTTGTCTGTGTTTTGGAATTTGCGCTGCATGATGGCGGCGTAGATTTCGATGACGATGACACCAATTAGACCGGCGAGGATCATGCTAAATAGAATTGTTAGCTAGGGGTTCATATAATGATGGAATTGGTACAAGTTGCGTGGAATGTTAAGTTTCCGTGCCATGGGCCAAGGTAAGGGATGATGAGAAACGTACTTTCGTCGACCCCATCGGTCAGCGAGGAATCTTGTGGTCAGGACGTTGGAGAGGAAAGCCAGAGTGCCGTAGACGGCGGCCAGAATGAGGATCATATGGCTGTTGATTCCGAGGGATTTGAACAGTATGGCTGTATTTCATGCCATGTTAGATAGATATCCATCATGGTATCTTGTGCTGATGATTGAGTTCAAAACTTACTTTGGTAGTACTGTGACAGACAAACACTGTTAGCAATTTGTTTTCCCGTTTCCCGTCGGTAGGCAGAAAAGCGGGCGAAACTTACCTGAATGACATTGACACCCGTAAGACTGGTCATGGTTTGGACGGCAATAGACCTGGTACAGCAAAGTCAGCATCGATTCCAGCAAGACACTCTCATCAACACCAGAAGTGTAGTACATACACCAGAGCACGTCTTCTAAACAACCTAAACACCTCTTTCAACGATTTGATCTCTCTGTGCATTTCGAATTCAATCTGATTGCGCATGAGGGCAAACTCTTCATGCATCTGGTGGCTGTCGAGGTCGCGACGGATCTTCATGAACTGACGGCGAGCCTCGTCGATCTTGCCGCTGCGAACCAATTGACGCGGAGAGTGTGGCATGAAGGTGACCAGCCCAATGAACATAAGCACACCCCATGGGATCTGAATGCCAAGAGGCAGACGCCATTGGGTCGGACCGTAGGAGGCGTACGAACACGCCGCGCCGACCCAGTTGGAAGCCATTGTGCCCAAGGAGATACCGCAGCCCGAAATACCACCGATCAGACCACGGTTGTGAGGGGCGGAGATCTCGCTGAGGTAGATGGGAACAGTTGCCACCATGCCTCTACAGACACAGATTAGCCTTGTACAAACAGATCGAAAAGGTCTTCCACTTACCCAACAGCATATCCGGCAAGGATACGGCCAGCAAGAAACATGCCAAAGTTTTGAGCAGCTGTTTGGATGACCGTTCCGATAGTGACGATGATACACAGCAACTGCATGAATCGCAGACGACCGAGTTTGTCGCCGATGAACGTTTGGGTCAGGGCCCCGCCAGCCTCGCCGGCAATGTAGACAGCTACAACCTTTTTGTCCTTGTGTAAGTCGCTAGTCGGCTCAAGGGGAACGCAAGATACACCATACCGATCCGGTCATAGCCTTGGAGGGATGATTCATGTAGTCGATCCAACTCTGATGTGCGATTGCTAGACGAACGTTCAATCAGTATGGGTTCCCGGCAGAATACTTTCTGGGTTTCCACTAACTCGTTGTTGCAATGCCGGTATCAAATCCCTGGTCACTTGAGATCAGTCTTCTGCGCTCCAGGAAAAACAGACCGGAGACGTACGAATAAGAACGTGCCGATGGCGGCAAAGAACGATACCCCGAGGGTATACCATGCTGTGCTGCCCGCCATGGTAACTGCGAATGTGGTCTGGTCGGTACCGAGTCTCAACCGCAATGTCAGTGTCTAAAGAGTCGTGATCTGGCAGAAAGGTCGTGAACCGAACATGAGGGGACCGGCCAGCACGTCCACGAGGTGGCCAGGGTTTGATATAGAAGAGACCATCCAGACCGGAGAGAAGGCGACCACAGTGTCGGTGGATCGCCGAGGGGCTGGTTGATGAACCTGATGCCAGACACGGAGTAGCAGTATGGGGTAATCCGCGAGACCCTCCATCTTGTCTTGGCTCGGGGCAATGAGCAGCGACGCCTTCAACAGTCCGGGGAGGCCTCGGAGTTGAAGGACGCTCACGTAATCCATGCCGAGGCCGTGGAATCGAATCAAGAAGTCGTCTTCAAGTTGAGAAACGCTCGCCCACGTGCGGAAGCTCCTGTGTCGAGCTTTGCTCTGTGTACATCACACTTCAGGCTTCTCTTGCAGTGGCGGATTATGACTACAGCCCAGGGTGAGAGTCAACTATGACAGCGACAAACGTGGTGCGCTGGAAGCCTCCTGAATCCAGTGACAGACGCAAAATTGGTACCTCTCTCTTGGCGGGGGACGAGTGTGGAGGTGTGGGGGAATCGTGGGAGCAGAAAATGGGGGTGAGCAGCTGGAGAATCAACCCCAAGACCGGTTAGTCGCTCGCGTAAAGAAGCACTACCGGTCACTAGGGAGGCTCTTATGGCCAATTAACAGGAACGAACTTGACAACCTCCGCTGCCGCACATCAGCAGGCTCATGGTAGGCCGTCTCGGTGCATTTCCGCCCGGCAGAGAACGGCCTCCTTAGTACAACGGGGCGGAATTTTGCATCGGTGCACAGACAACAAGGGCGGAGGGCAACCAAGGAGTAGTAGGGCGGTCATGCATCTTTCGACACTTCCAGGACTAACTTAAGACGTCGACTTATCTTGCACATGCCCTCGGTTACCGAGGTCAACGAGGAACCAACTGCGCCGGTTCAACAACTGACACCGACGGAGTAGGAGAGTTTGTGCGGAATCATGTCGTAGTTTGAGGTCTATGCCTCTTGTTTCTTTGGGCCTTATTTCTTTGGACTCGAACCCGGCTCCTGACCGGTCCCTCTCGTATCACATACGTTGAATATACCGTACCACCACTAGATACCACCATTTTTCTCTTGTCCCAACCCAGACTGTTGAAGTACTCTTGGGCACTGACAAGACAAATAGACTGCACCAGCACGCTCTTCAGTGTGCCAGCCACACAAACAGACACCAGAAGTTCGAATCATGTCACACCACAACAAAAAAAACTTTTCCACTCGCTTTAACCACAAATCACGGCTCTCCCCAGATCTCGTCGGCAATCTCCCGGACCAGCGCGAGTTTAGCACTCTGATCCTGGTCGGACAGCGGATACCCGGACTCGTGGGTACTGAACCCACACTGGGGGCTGATGCCGATCCTCTTGAGGGCCTCTTCCCGAGTCTGATTGGACCCCTCGGCCACAAAGTCGGCGGCCTTGTAGATACGCTTCTTCATTTCTTCCTTATCTTCCAGATCCCGCACCTTGGTGCTGATGCAGCCGACAATGACATTCTTGTTCTTGGGCAGGTACTTGAGCGGCTCGAAACCTCCTGCTCGCTCGGTATCGTATTCAAGATAGAAAGTGTTGACGTTGAGATTTTCAAACAGTTTCTTCGCAATAATGTCGTACGCTCCTTCGGCAAAGTGTCGCCCGCCAATGAAGTTGCCTCTGCACAGATGCACGCCCGTGTGCATGTCCGGCGGACATTGGGAGATGGAATCGTTGTATAGTTGAATGTAGGCGTCTAGCAGATCGTCCACGGTTCCAATGTTGTCCTTGTCTTGTGCCCAGCCATTGCGGAAGTCGTTGGAACAGAAATCTGACCTTCAGTCAGCATTGATTGGTTTCACAGGGGGAAAAAGGAGGGAAATGAAATGAAACGAAAAGCAAAGCAAAGAAATGAAATGAAAATGAAAGAAGAAGAGAAAAAAATTCAAGATTGCAAACTTACACGCAAGACCAGGGTCATCAAATTGAACATTCCGAAGTCCTGCATCATACAGAATCTTCAGTTCGTCCTGGTACGCTTTCGCCACGTCCTTGAAATAGTCGGCGTCGTTGCTGTATGCTTCGGGAGTGTATGCGCGACCTTGCTTGTATCGCATATGGAACCACTGACAAACACCAGATCAGTACGAACACTTTCCTCTAAATCTCAATTCCCATGTTGTTCATGTTCAATACTTACCGCCGGCGTAATCATAGTCAACTTAATATTCCCCCACTCCTCCCTCGGCGTAGCCTCCTGCACAAGCTTCAACTCATGCAAATTCGACTTAACCTTCTCCGGCCCCGGATGGCGGATCTTCGATCCCGCAATCACCGAATCACCAGGCATGACTTTGCGATCCTGTTCGATCAAAGACACAACATCGGGATGATACAGACGAAACATGCTGGCATCGGCATCCTGCAATCTGACCGTGCCTTCGAGTTCGTCCCAGAACAGACCCCAGAACCGCGTGCGGTTGTACTCGCCCGACGTGACACCCTTGAAGCCTAGGTCTCGTTGCGTCTTCACAATCTGTGCAACGGCCTCCTTTTCGACGGCAGGCAGGCCCGCTTCCTCGGGCGTCAAGTTTGGGTTGTCGCGGATCGCGCTGCGTACATCCAATAGCTTTTGTGGTCGGAGTAGGGATCCCATTTGCTCGGCCCGGAATGGGGGCTGGACCGTGGTGGTGGAAGTCGTCGTAGCCATGATTGATACAAATAGATCCTTCGGTCTGTATGCTTTCAAGTTTCTCGCTTTCCAGAAATGATTTTCAGTCGTACTAGTAGTACCAATGTCGATGTCAGGTGTCAGTTTATATCCAAGTCAACAGTATATATACTGCGATTTTAATAAGATATCTCTGTACAATTCAAGATCAAGACCCAGGTTGTAAACAAGGTTAAAAGTTGACTGGTAGACACCTGAATTATAGTCGGTGGCGAAGTCGTAATCTGCCGCTGTAGTAGTAGTAGTCGATACGATATTTTCCAATATTGGCCCCACCGCCTTTTCTTTGCCGCGTACAACTGAATCACGATGCACTACAACTACTGCATAGCCCGGTATATTTCCAATTTATCATCAGGCATCTAACAAGTACGATTGTACAATGTTGTATACCCTGCCGCAATGGTATCATCGAAACATGGACACCTGGTTACATCCCTTCCAGACCGGCCTTGCCTTCGAAACGCACGATTATGGTCGTGGCCGATTTCTCAACGAATAATTACTACGAAGTGTACAGAACATGTACTACTTACTACATCTCGTGGTCCCGCCCAGGATGACCAAATATCATGTGAACCGTGTAATTATGATTGATGAAGATTATGATACACACGGTTTGGTGACCTTGATCACTGGAATGAGATGCTTCCTCGCCGTAATCAAAACATAGAATCCCCTTAGCTGAAACTTCTTCAAGCCCCCGCTCCCGTTCCATCACGGCGCCCATTCTCGCCCCTACCGCCTGAGGCTAGATCAATGGATACCTGCGTCTCTAGGCAGTCTCCGCTACTGCCTCTGCTTAAGAGAAGTTGAAAGTGGATGCTCCTGCACGACGGGGGAAGTGCTCATGCCCTTATTCCCGCTGTGCACAACCATTGCGTTCGAACCACGGGTTCAGATCGAGGTACCTACCAAAGACATTCTCGACCCCAGCTTCTAGATCCGATGCTTTTCACTCTCTGTATCATTGGTCAGCACTGCTTATAGAGCCAGCTAATCGATCTGCTCCAACTTACCCAGTCGCGAATACAACATGTACAACGCCATCTGGTTGCATTCTTGAGTTCCGGTAATCGTGACCAATCGCTCGTTGCTGTTGTCCTGCGGTTCGTTGATTTTGATGACACTGCCACTGAGGTGACGGATCTCGTTGATCTTCGCTCCACCCTTACCGATAATGGCGCCGACCATATCATTAGGGATGAAGATCTGTTGAGTGATAGGCTGTCCAGGCATGCCATGAGCGGGTTGGGCAGGTTGACCATGGGGAACAACAGGCTGAGGCGGCACTTGGCCGTATGGCCCGGCAGGTTGAGGCACGGCGGCACCGTAACTTGGCGTACGGGGAGTGGCGGCGTAAGGTTGAGGATACGGAGCGTACGGTTGTGGGGCAGCTCCGTGAACCTGAGGGGCACCATAAGGCTGCGCAGGAGCGCGTTGAGGAGGAAGGGTGTTGTGCCTCTTGTAGGTATCTGGATGACCATACTGTCCTCCGGCCGGTTGAGGGACGTAGGGCACAACTTGCATACCGCCAGGAATCACTCCTGCAGGACCTCCGCTCCTGGTGGCGTAAGCAGATGCAGCAGGACCACCGAATCGCTCCGTCAGTTGCTCAACCAGCGTTACAGCAACATAATACGTGGCAATGTGGACTGCATCAGCAACTCCCAGAACAACCAAGGATCGCTCAGTCGACAGAGGCAAGCATGAATCCGACGCATTGAGCCGAGCCCCCGAAGCTTCCTGTATCTCTCGAATGCGCACACCTGACTTGCCAATGATGGAACCGATCAAGATATGTGGGATGAGCAGGCGTAAAGGATAAGTCTTGGACTGGGCAGTAGAAGGGGCGTCGAGCGGTTCGTTGTTGAGAGTACGAATGATGAGACCGAAGGCCTACCTGCGGGTCAGCATCAGTGAGCCTAACAGAAGAGAGATAATGACATACCTTGGAGACAGCTTCTTGGGATCCGCTCACGGTCAAAATTCGTTCCACGGCACCACGAGAGTAGTCACTAACAGTGCATTTGGCGCCAGAAAGCTTCCGAATCTGAGTGACATTTTCACCGCCTTTGCCAATGCATGTTGCAGCCTCAGCACTGGAGATGACTGCACGGATATGGATCCAGTTTGTCTCATCCTGAGTGGGCGCAGAATGACCCTGAGAAGGCAATCGATCGGTTTGGGGTACGGCGCCAGTGGCTGGCGCTGGGTGAGGGTCTGGGATGGCGACCGGTGCAGTGCCAGTGGCTTCTTCAGTTGTAGCGCCTTCAGTATGTGCTTCTGTGCCCCCGTTTGTCACAGGTGCAGGCAATCCGTGCTCTTCACTGGTCTTTGTACCGTCCACCGCGGGCGGCTCTGTTGTCGCGGCATCTTGAACCGCGGTGTCGTCGTCTTTACCAAGCTTATCTAGCGCAGGACGTTTGGCATCTGGCAGGTCAGTGGGAGCGGAGGGTGACGAGGGGTCTTCCAAAGGTCGTTTTGCCGAAGACATTGCGGTGGTAGAGGTAGGCGATGCAGACATATTTTCGTGTGATTCGGGGAAAAAATCACCCAGAGACAGTTGAGATTTCGGTTTTGAGTTTCAAGAATTTTTTATTATTGTTTTTCTCGATAGGAGTTTTTATCTACACCAGGACGTCGAAGGAAAACTTGCTGGTGTAGAGAGGAAATCGGGAATGCCAAACGGAGGGAGACGGTGAGAGAGGATGTTGGAGTGACTCGTGCTGGGGTTGCGCAGCGGGATTGACACAAGCTGGGTGTTCTGCAGGTTCCGAACAAGTGCAGGAAAGGATGTGAGGCTGTGAGCGGAGGTGTAAAATGTTCAACGGAGGAGTCGTTGGAGGATGGGTGAGATGAAGTTGGAATAAAGCAACGCCTCGAAGATGAACCCAATTTCTCGATCCCAGCCGAACCAGTACTTAGCTCAGACTACCCGCGTCGAAGGAGGAGTGAGAAGAGGAAGAAGGCTGTTGGTGTGAGGATGGAGGGAGGTGAAGGTATATCTCAGGTGTGTGGAGGAGAAAGGAGCTGTTTTGACAGACGCGACAGCGTGGACGAGGCAGCGGAGTGCGTTTTGAGGTGGAAGTCAAACTCTCAAGTTTGTCGGGTGGAGCGGTGAGGTGGGAACAGGCGTTCGCAGGAGATGGGAAGTGCTTCTTCCAAACTTGAAGAAGGTTTATTAGAGAAAGCAGAGAAGCAGGAGATGATAGACTGCGGCCGCCAGTCGATGATGAACAACTCTTATTAGACCAGAAGCTCGATAGAAGCAATCTGGTGTTGCACTTGAGGTTGAAGCTTGCGCAGGGGAGGAGATTGCCAGGTGAAGGCTGCAACTGTGAATGTCGCCTGTCGCTGCTCAGAAATGAGGAGATTTTCAAGGGTCAAGCAGCAACCTCCGAATGGCACTTCTGTCAAGTGCTTTCAAGTTGGAGTTTGGCGCGAAAAGGGGTCGGCGTGGGGTAGCGCACGTGATTTGCAGTGACTGTGCCACGTGATGCACCGCATGTCTTGTTAACGGGAACGACACCAACTCTACATGCGAACCATCGACGACAGGATCCAGAGACAACAGGATCCAGAGACGACAGGAACTATACGCTTGACTCCAAGCAACAAACTTGACCTAGTACTAATTGTACTTGATAATACATGAGCCTCCATTCGTTCTTCTGGCCTGACTCATTCATTCCAACTATCTAATACACTTCCGCTCAATGAAGTTTGCAGCCCTCACTTTCCAACCCTGCATTGGCATCATTTCCCAGCCGCTGGGCAATAAAACCCTCTCATTTCTTGTTGGCTCCTTTCTTGCGTTTCTCCCTCAATACATCCTTCAATACACTTGCGGCTTCTTTTCGACGACGTGCCTGTGCCTGCCACCGCTCCTTGTCTTCCGCCGATAACAGAGCCAGGCCGCCATTCTGGCTGACACGGAGACTTGCCCGCGACCTCGTACTGCTGCCAAACTTGGAGTCTGGCGTATGATAAATACTTCTAGTACTTCCTGGAGTTGCCCCGTTGGTCGAGTTTGCGGACCGTTGTGGTGTCGCCACAGCCGGCTGCCCATTCGAGCCATTGCCATCGCTCAACATCGAAGATGCCATTGAGAGGTCCAGCCGCTTGAGTTGCGCCTCTAGGACGTCGACATCGGCGCTCTTTTGCTCTGCCATCGACAACATTTTGTTCACCGTCTTGGTCACCGCTTCCACGGTTGGCTTTTTCTGCGAGGACGTCCTGCTAAGAACGCTGGACCGCCGACCTGACTTGTCTGCTGGTACATTCTGTGTGATTTTCGCCCGTAGAATCGTGATCGCATCTTCCATCTCCACGAGCTTAGTCTGGACCGAATTAAAGGCTTTGCGAAGGTCATGCTGAATCGATGACTGTTCCGCAGACAGAGGAGCTGCTACCGCGGTGTCATTGGACGTCAAAGCATGTATGGTTTTGCGAAGGGCCGTCAGCTTCGTCCTGAGCTCGAATAGATCGTGGCCCAAAAGAGTCTGACATTGCTGGATTTTCTCAGCATAGTCTTCAATGTTGTTCTCAGTAAGCAGTTCAGAGAGAACGGCTTGTCCTTCGTGCAACCTCGAAATGTCGTTCAAAAACCATTCGTCATTGAGAGCATCCATTGGTGTATCTGATTTGAGCACAGATGGCCACGACTCATTAGTTGCTTCCGGTTGCTGATAAAGCATAAATGCAGACAAAGAGCGGGCATTGATGCCCAGAGTATACACCATAGAGTTGATGTCCGAGTACAATCTTTCGATTTGAGCCGGTATACCGCTTTTCCGGATATCCTCTGCCGGCTTAGGTTGGTAGGTGACAAAGTCGCCAAGCGACTGGTTAGGTGAGACGGGGCGTTCCAGTTCCTGGCGAAGAAGCTCATCTTCGTCGTCTTCTAGTGGTTCAAGTTGCTCCGCTTCAGCCTGTGCTTTTTGCCGAGCAATGCCTTCACGTCGAGCTTGTTCTTTGGCGACTTCTTCTGTCCTTGCCTTTGCAGCCTCGACGGCCAGCGAGGACTTCTGATATTCTGCTTTTCTTTGATCAATGATCGACTGGGGATGGGCCGGCGCACTGACGGATCGGGAAGGCTCAAGTCGCAGCCGCTCTGCAGGAATGTTTCTCACTGGACTCGGCGATCGCGGGCTTTCGTGGGGTTTTGGAGGAGCAAATACGGGCCCAGCGCCAACCTCGCCGAATAGCGGTCGTGATGGTTTTTGTGATATTCCCCTAGATGATACCTTGGTGAAAAGTCCGCCTGTTGGGCTCGTCTCCGTTGTCACTTTGCCGCTCTTGAAGGAAGACTCAGGGGAAGTCTGAAGCTCTTCGTGTTGCTCTTCTGTAACATCTTCTTCTTGATGGTCATCCTCGGTGATTTCGTCACCGCTCTCTTCCACGTCTGAGCTAAAATCATCCACCTCATCCTCTTCTCCCTCCTCCTCGTGTTCACCTTCGTCATCACTTGGAAGCTGTTGTACTGGCTGTTCATCATGGCCTGCACTACGAGATGGAACGAAGTCGGGAGGTAAAGGTGCATCATCCGGAGGAGATTTGGATAAAGTGGAGGATGCAGGAGTATCGGCGGTGGTGTAGCCCGGTTTGCTCACAGGATCGGGGGGTAAAGGAGCCTCGGGGATATTTTTCAAATTGACAGACTCGTTGTCACTCGGCGGTTCTTCCTTGATCTTGGGCGTCTCGGACAGAGCTCCAAATGTGCTGACAGGCTCGCTCTTCTGCACCGCCGCAGGTGTTTCATCCTTGGCTGTTCGGGTACCAAATAGAGTCATGTGGGAAGGATCGGGAGTTTCTTTGGGTGTGGTGGAAGCCATACCGCCAAATGACCAGCCGGGAGTGGTTGTCTGAGGTTGTGGAGTGGTGGAAGCCCGGCCAAACAAGCTCGAGACAGGTGGTGCGGGAGTGGTTTTGGATTGAGTTAAAGTAGAAGGAGGAGTGACCAGTGTTTGAGGAACTTTCGGCGCACTCTGTGGCGCAGGTTCTGTTTGACGGGCATCTTGAGTTTTATCTGAATCGGCTTCGCTGGCTTCACCCTCCTCATCCATCTCCGCTTCCTTGTCATGTGTAGCTGACAACGTACTTTGAGGACCTTTCAACATGTCGTCAAGAGATCCTCCAAACCCAAACCCGCCAGATTCTTTCGGTGCTTTCAGGTCGTCTTTGGCGCTGCCATCGCCCTGGAAGGACGACTGTAGCTTGAACGACCCAGTATTGCCGAAGATGTTCTTCCCATCGGCTGGTTTTGCAGACGCAAAGGGAGAAGTAGTGGGCTGCGCTTTGCCGAAAGTGCTGGCTGAGGACTGTCCGAACACATTAGGTCCAGAGGCAGCAGCAAAGGGACTCTGAGCGGGTTGGTCCGTCTTTCCGCTCGAAGACTGTCCAAAAACACTCGGTACGGAGGCAGCAGCAGCAGCAAAGGGACTCTGCGCAGGCTGGTCCATCTTGCCACTCGAGGACTGTCCAAAAACACTAGGTTTCGAGGCAGCAGCAGCAAAGGGACTCTGAGGGGGCTGGTCTGGCTTGTTGCCCGCAAAGGAAGAGAATCCACCCGATTTGGAGAATGAAGCGAAGCCTGAGTCGCCGGGTTTAGTTGCTGCACTCGCAAACGGACTAGTCGTCGAACTAGCCCCGAATGCAGATGGTTGCCCAAAGGCAGGCTGTGAGCCTGGCGCGGAGCTCTGTCCAAATGGTGTAGGCCGACTTCCGAGAGCACTTGCTGAGCCAAATGCAGGCGTTGTTGAGCCACCGCCAATGGTACTGGCCGAACCGAACGCCGGGCCGTTCGTCGCTGGATTGGCAGCTGACCCGAAGCCAGAAGTGGCCCAGGATGGCTTGCTAGCACCTATAGGCGAGGAAGTACCGAACGCCGGCGCACCTGGGACGCCGAACCCGGACATCGCAGGCTTTGCGAACGGGCTGGGGTTGCTATTCTGGCCAAACGCATTATTCGAGAGCGCAGGGGATGGTGAAGCTGACTGAGACACAGGTGCAGCAGGTTTCGTCGTATCCTGTACAGCGGCGAGGCCCGGGAAGGTCGTCTTCTCACGAACCGAATCATTGTAGATAACCCACCACGCCACCAAAATCCCTTCGTTGTTCAATATCACGAGGCCGGGCACCGGCCCTGCAGTCTCCAAGATCTCCGCATCTGCTGGGATGGGATTTGGCACTTTCTCCTGACTTGAGAGATCCAGTGCCATGCCAATGGGAGAAGTATCTTGCATATCCGACGATAGCGGAAGTTGTGCGCGTCTTGTGTCGTCCTCGATTGTGGTGAACGTGAAAGCTGAAGTTACCGGCTCTTCCTGCGACAGCGGCTTATCCGTTTTAGAGATAAGGCCAACATCCGTTGAAGTCGTGGCGCTGACAATCAAGAGGTCTTGCAGATGTGGAGGGAAATTCCTGAGTCTCGAAATGAAGTGTGAGGATGGTAGTCGTTCTACACCAAATGGTGGCAGAACCTCTGGCAATTTCTGAAATGTGTAATTGGTCGTTTTGGGCTCCCGATTGACAATGTAATACTCAGAAGGCGGGATTCCATCACTGGTATCATTTGGCGTGTAGATGATGAAGAAGGTATCGTTCTCGAGCCATGAGATCCCAGAGACATGCATTCCAGCCGGGACAGAAGTCGACTTGGGAATTTCCGCAAAAAGCGCGCCATCAGGTCGGACCTGGATTGCGGTCCCGTCGGCCAAGCCAGCAACCAGTTGCTTGCCTCTGTTGCTCCATGAAAGGCAGCTTGCTCCACTTTTGAACACGGCACCGTTGCTTCCAGACACCATACTTCCAGACTTTAAATCAAGCATCATTAGATCACCATTGCTAGTAATGAGGGCAAAAAGATGAGCCGACTCCGGAACTGGGTTTGGGACCAACGCTCGCAGACTCTGCCCGTTCGTTGATATCCGGGCAGCCGGCTCCGATTGGCCTTGTTGGATTTGATTGACCTGGTATGCAAGTATCTCGCCTCCTTTCTCTGTGGCAACGACCAAAACACTCTCATCCGCTGAGAATACAACATGAGAAACTCTTGGGACGGCGATCTTTAGCTCCGGCGTGAACGGTCGGATGGTCTCGTCGCTTGACGGTGCTGGCGAACGAAAGCCGTCTCTGACCTTGGATGTGGCAGTGATGTATAGAGCATCCGGTCCGGCAGCAGCCAGGAGCCCTTTGACCGACGCGATTGCGAGAAGCGAAGAGGATGGAGGAGGTAAATTATCAGACGGCCATGGTGTAGGAAGCAGTCGGACTTTTGCTTCGCCATTGAGCGCTGCAAACCCCAATTCGTTGGTTTGAATCTCCTTCAGTTCATCTCCATCCTTAACGTTCACGCCCTGCTGCGTTGAAATTGTAGCCGCTCCAAACCCAGGCGTGCTCGACGCCATATTTGAGAAACTAAAAGCCATCCTGAATCTGGGAAACTCGGCTGAGAGCGATCGTTTTAGGTTGACGGGGGAAGTGCTGAAGGAGACATGCGGGTTTGACAGGCCGCGAGTGGGTGTGGAAAAGGCAAAGGAACGTCGAGGGAGTGCCGTGGGCCTCCAGAGAGATGGTGGGCGCTTGTGATCAGCAATCTTGAACTGCGGGCATTAGAAACAAGCTTGAACAGCCTTCCCGACCCAAGAATGTTGAGAAACAATGCTGGATTTCAAGTTGTTGTGGTGGATGCAGAGAGGTCAAGCCCAGCAGCGTTTTTGCGCATTATTGTCCATCGCGACTTGCTGTAGCCAGTCCGCCGCCTGAACATGACGCGCCCGGGGGTGTATACGGCGAATCTTATAGTAGAGTTACGCAGGCACCAATACTAGTACGGCGAGCCATCTCAAGCACGAGCCGCAGCCAGCTCGCCAGTAACTTGAAGCGAGCAAGGTATTGAATTAGCAAACAGCCTTTCGGAGCCCGATTGTGCTCCAAGCATTACCTGGGATTTCATATCTTGCCAATACATCTTGGACAAACTATGTCCAAGTCCAAGAAGTAGCTCAACGGCCCACGGCGCATGGCAGGTTCTACCAACGCCATACCAACTCGGCCTTTCCCCCTGCAGCAGATACATGTGCTATGTACCTAGGTATATTGTTGCTCTATCCGGAGCCAGTCGCGCCCGATGAGACATGTGGCATGGAAGAGGCCTTTGACACATGATCGCCACTCTGAAACTGCCAACATGGGAAGTCAATTGCAATTGTAGCCATTGGGTAAGAATGCTCGACCAGTGTATTCCGTTTCATGGCTCGAACTCCTCGAACGGTCGGACAAGCAATCCAGCCTTTGCAAGATGCTCTTTAACCTGTGCAACAGTGTACTCTCCGCGATGGAACTATAAGGAGTGTCAGCTACCCTCCTCACCAATGCAGTTGTCTCTTTGAACAGAAAGGGATCAAGGGCGCGCGTGGAGACGAAGAAGCACAGAATGGTGGGATAGACGATTGAAGGAATAGAGAAACTTGGAGCAGGCACTTGAACTCACCATTCCCGCACCCAGGGCGGCATCAACATCCGTCTTTCTAAACACTTCTTCAAAATGCCCAGGGTTCCCGGCACCCGAGCTAGCAATTACAGGCACGGCAACCACGCCTTTGACCATGGAAATAAGCTCAAGATCGTAACCCTTGTTCTGACCATCGCGGTCGATGGCGTTCAGCAAGATCTCGCCAGCACCCATTGCCTCGACAGCAGTGACGAGCTGGACGACATCAAGATCGCGAGTCTCACGTCCTCCTTTGATCGTGCAAGCAAACCAGACGAACTCTCGGCCCTCGGCGTCAGGGGTCGCTGTTCGAATGACGTGGTGCGATGTCTCGGAGGGCGAGGAGACATATACACGTTTTGGATCGACACTGACAACGACGGCTTGAACGCCATACGCAGCAGAGATAGTCTCAATGCCCGTCTTGCCAGACAATTTCTTCCCGGACGCGTAGTATTCCTCTGCGGCGAGAACGGCATCACTACCGATCGACACCTTGTCGGCGCCGCTAGCAAAGTACAGTTTGGCCACATCGAGCGCCGAGATGGGCCTGTTCGTCGCCGGATCTACCATGTCCCGGATTCCACCGCCAATGGTCAACGGCACAAAGACCGTCTCACTGGTGCGTCGTAGAATCTCGAGCATCGGAAGATCCGCCACAGGGCAATCACGGAAGGATGTGATGTTGAGGAAAGTCACCTCGTCGGCACCTTGAGTGTAATACCTTTTCGCCATCTCAACCGGCTTGCCCAGATTGCGCACCTGTGATCCAGCGGCCTTCTCTCGCACATCGTACTGGTCGCCTTTGGTGACGACCAGATCCCCAGCATCGTTGGTTCGAACGTCCAGACAAGCGATGATACGCCGTGTCAGGCCGTTGGCACCCGTATCCTTTGCTGTTGAACTTGCACTTGCTGGGAGTCCGGCGGGTACAGAGTCCATCCAGACTCGACCTTCGAGAAAGGCCTTGATGACTCTTAGGCCGGCAGCGCCGGACTTCTCTGGATGGAATTGCGTGCATAGGACATTTCCCCGGCCAATTGCGCCCACATATGTCTCGTCTCCGTAACTGGCTGTCGCCACCGTCCACCCTTGCTTTTCGAGCTCCCCAGGTGTGTAAGGGGCGAAATAGCTGTGTACATAGTAGTACTTACTGGTGGGATTTAAGCCGTAGAAACTGTTCGCTCGCGCTGTGGCATCCTGAGAAGGATTCGATTGCTGGTGAAGAGTAGAGGCGTCGTTCCAGCCTATGCATGGTACCGACTTTCGCGAGCCATCTTTGTTGTGGGCACTGAAGCGGCGAAGGGATGTCGAGATCAATCCTAGCCCCGGCACGGTCGGCGCTTCTTCTGAACCTGCGAAGAGGGCTTGGAGACCCACGCAGATGCCGAAGAACGGTTTGCCTGAGTTGATGTGTTCGGTGATGGCGGGAAGGTATCCGGCCGAAGACAAAGAGCTTAGGCAGTGCCCGAAATGTCCGACGCCCGGGAGGATGATTTTCTAACTGTAATTAGATTGGGAAATTCTAAGGACAACAACACGCAAGGAGAAAAAGGTCCAAAAGCAATAAGGCCGCGATCGAAGATTGCCATTGGAATACAGCAGTGTGAAAGGCTTTGTTGACGCTCCAAGGCATATGGGATCGGTAGATCTCGGAATCTGGGAGACTTTCATCTGCCCTGCCATAGCGATACCTGTATTGGTTGGCGATGGTAACGGTTACTTACATCTGCATTCTTCACCTCTTCCGGGCTTCGAATCCATTCAACTTCATAGCCGCATTTTTCGATGGCGTTGACAAGGGAGCGAATATTGCCTGCCACGTAGTCGAGCAGGTGGACTTTCGGCATATCGACTGTAAAAATTTATTTGATAATCGGCGCTGATGCCTGTGGCAGATGGAGGAAGAATAATTGAGCTTTCTTAGGGCAAGGCCATAGTCAGGACTATCAAAATCTTGGTTTCTTTTGCAGAGTTCCGTCTCAGAAATGATTCAAGGGCGTAAGTACTTCGTATGATTTGTGAGTCAAGGCTGTAGAACGAGTTTTTGGTGGATTTTTTGAAACCCAATCGGGAAATGCATCGCGCCCAACGATTGGCTGTGGGCCGACGACTACAGGACCGCAACTGGAACAACGATATCAATACAGGATTCATGAGCTTCAAAAATAATTTCAACCGGGCAGTTGATCACTGCACTGTGCATGTCAGCCTGATGAACAGTCTGTTGCTGCGCCACACTTCAACAGCTGGTGGTGTCCGAGAGTGTAGCCATTGAGAACGGCAGCGGATTAACCTCCAACGCCATAAGAAATCCAAGCCTTGTGGTTCTATACCAACACTCGCTGGTGTCGTTTATTCTATCATAATAGTATACATTGTCAACTTCCAAGTCCCCCCCACAGTCATAACCCGTTCATGTACCGCCGTGTTCTTCATCCTAATCATACATAGCTTCTGTTCATTGTGTTGCAGCTCGAATGGCCTGCAACAGCAGCGCGAATATTAAGCCCCGTGCCACGGGCTCGAGTTGAAGACAATCAAACACCTTACCCAGGGCATCCCCGCTTGCAGCCGCTCCCATCACACTTGTCAGGGCTTGCGGCATACCGCGCTCGACCAGCAACTTCCTCGCTTTTACACGGAGGGTCTCCTTCTCTTCCGCTGTCATCTCTTTCGGCCACTTTGCCCGCTCTTCTTCAGTCGGAAGCACGTTTTCACGTAGTTTGTTGATGTGTGCTGCGCGGCCCCTATCAGTGAAATTGGCGTCAATCACACTTTCCTGAATGAGAGTCCGGATCGACTCCAACTGCGGATTATTCGGCCTCAGCAGGAATGTTCTCGCTGCACCAAGTAGCGACAATCGAATGGCCCATGCCCCGGAAAGCGAGTATAGTTCGGTCAAAACGGCAAATATCAACTCGATCAGAATGCGTGTCTCTTCCTCTGAGATAGGAACATCCTTTTTGGCCTTCCTCGGAGGAAGTCGCGGAGCACTGGTGGAAGGAGGGGGGGTTTCTGTGCTACTTGCTTTGACTGCCGGAGCGGGAGTGGATGGCTTCGCAGTGATCGTGTCTTGCCGTGGCCGAGGAGGCGTCTCGGGCTTCGGCAATGGGCTGGGCTGATAGTCGTCGGAGATAGTGCTCGGTGGCGGTGGCATTGACACTATTTCCTGCGACTGACGGACTGATTCATCGAGACTAGACGATGTCCGGGGTGTCGGTTGATGCCTTGAGGGGCTCTGGTTAGGTCTGGTCGGAAGCGGCGGCGGCCTGCTCTCGAAGCTCTCCGTACTTTGTCTCGGCAGCTCTTGACTTTGTCGGTAGCTAGGGGTGCTTGATCCGGTATTTGTCCTTGATAATTGCTGAGAGGGCCGGGCAGCAGGCATCAATTTCTTGGGGGCACCGCCCACTCCAGTCGCCACAGCACCGAAGACACCCTGCACACCACCCAGCACTGCCTTACCACCACCAGCGATATTCTTTCCACCCTGGCCCAGTACGTTAATGAAATTCTTTCCAACGTTCTCCAGAGCCACGCCACCCTGCGCCAGAACATTCTTGGGTTGGGCCGGCGCTTTTTGCAACCCAGTCTCCTTGTCGAGGAACTTCTTCATGGCCTCAGTCTCCGCCAGTGGTTCAAAACCGAGACAAAAGCGCAGGTATGTCTCCAGGTCGTGCAGCAAGGACGCACTTGTCTGGCCCTTCCAGCTGGGAAGCGCAGGATACTTCTGTCCAAACTCCGGGACGCCCGAAAGGCGAGCAATGGTAGTCAGCGTGTGATGAAGAGGCTCAAAGTCTGCATATCTCCTAGTGACCATCCATCCTGGATACCGCTGGGAAGCTGGCTCAATCTGCAGCAAGTATTCGCCAGTGGGCTTTTGCCTAAGGACCGACTTCTCGTCACCATCACCTAGATCGATGATTGTGATGGAAGCATTGTGTAACGTCAGCGGAACGGCAACCATTGCTTCCACGGGCCCCGGGGCGCTCGACACAGGCCGCGGCGGTGTAAGAACAGCCTCCGGTAGTTGGTCAAAGCTTGTGAAGGGAGGAGCAGATTCCCTGACTGGACTTGGAGCGCCAGAATTGACGACATTACCATCAATGTCGAAGACAAGGGAAGACTCCATCGATTGCTCCCCACGTCTGTTTCGATCGCTATCGGACGAAGTGGGAGTGGCAAGACCTGGCTCAGTCGTGGCCACAGAACCAGTGTCCTCCACCTCGCTGGGAGGCAATCCGCGTTTCCGTCGTGCATCGTCTTCTGCAATCATCTCATTGAGCCTTTGTGCCTCCCTCATGGCCTCTTGCATAGCCTCTTCCGCCCTGCTGACCCTCCTATTATGACATTTCTGAGCAGTGGCCTCTGTGTCCCCTTCCGAGATTGCACTATTCATGTCCTCGACCCCGGAGTCGATTACATTCATGATTTCAGGCTCGCCATCCTGCAACAAGTATACAATCCAGCCGTTGATCCACTCCGGCTTGGAACAACTGTCGATGGTGGTTTCGAGCACCAGGCCTGCTAGAACCTCCTGTAGGAAGGTCCGGACCGGAGGGCAATCATAAGATTTCGAGTCCAGAAAGTTCTGCAAGATATCGTCGGCCACCAAGCTGAGTTTACGGGCTTGCTGTTCTCTGCTTAGCACGTTGGCAAGATTGCTCTCCGGTTGGTATTGTAGGTATGTATTGATAGCTGTCTGGGCATCCTGGTTCTGCGATGCCTTCAATGCCGAGCCGAGTTCGTTTAGAAACACGATGACAATTGACGTCGAGTTTGAAAAGAAGTCCAAGAAGGGATCTGCTGGCCGTTTTCGGGATAGATGGTTCGACAGGGAGACGATGAAAGCCGTCAGGGTTTCTCTGCAAGCGGCAGGGAAGCGTTGGTCTTTCGGGAGGAGTGGACTGTACCACCAGGCAACATAGTCTCTTATAACAGCATCGGTCAGGCTTGTCAGGGCTTTTCTTGTTTCAGGCTCAAAGTCGGAAAAGTCCAAGGCTTTCGGAGCGGCATCAGCCTTGAGTCTGTTCTCATTTTCCTCTTCTTTTCGTGATTTTTCCCTCCACCCAAGGACCCGGTGTGCTACCTCCAAACCCAACTCCTTTCTCCGGCGGTTCCCATGTGTCTCGGCAGTGTCCGACTCGCCGCTATATTGACTCTCCCAGGTGGCATGCAGAACGACACCCCCAACAGCGCCAATCAAGACGAGACCGACCCGACCGAGAACGAGGTAGGTAGACGCGCAAAGACCAGCCGCGCATGCTCCCAAGGTCTCATTGCTCGCGTTGGCGAAGAATCTCAACGTAGCGTCAATCGCCGCGGCTGCTGTAACTGGAGGTGCGGTCGTTGCCGGAGTGGACTTAGGGGGGCTTTGGCTTTGCGCATCCGGAGTAGCACTTTCGGCCACTGAGTGGTCAGGAACTTCTTCCATGGCTGCCATGGCTCATGATGACCCTCAGAAACTCGAACAATAGGGATGAGTAGGTCGGTAGATCCGGTATTTCTGTACAATGTTGTATGTCCGGCGCATGGACTGGCCTGACGCGCAATGATCCGAAAAGGACACTGCACTCCGCGAACGTGCTGGCGCCGCTCTGTCCAGAACATGAATTATCCTGCACTAAAACCTTTAGTGTTATCTTATCGACGCCTCTACTCACCGCCTACCGTTTCCAGCTCCGCAGAAACACTGCGGACCGCTTCAAGTTGACATAACCGACCGGCAGAATTTATTTCCCGGATGTGGACCGAGTCAAAAAGTTTCGGAGGCGCTCTCAACCTGAAGACAACAAGTTGGTGGCCACGTTACTATATTCTTCACTACGGTACCCTATCTTGATATTTCGAACACATACGAACACATTACACCATTGTGACCTGACCATGGCGACCGAAGTATGCGCAAGCTGCCATGACCCGCTCCTCATTGACGTGGAGCCGGACAGCGACGTCGAGGACAGCAAGGCTGTTGCGCAGGTGCAAAGCGTTCCGGACGACGTCAACCTGAGCTGTGGGTGCCATTATCACTGGTAAGAACTCCGTCAACACTTGGACAGCAGGAAAAAGCTGTACCAAAAGCGGCGTACTAATTATCGATTAGGGAGTGTTTTCTAGATGCCTACACGATTACGCAATGCCCGAATTGCTCCAAAGACATCTCGTCGCTTTCTCCAAGCGGCTCCCAACGGGTTCTGGTGACGCTACGAAATGAAGGCGGTGTACAAGAAGGATATGACATTTTGCCAGCTGCCACGGAGGAGGCGTATCTGCGGGCATACCCAGAGGAGCGGAAGGGCCATGCATTCCTGGAGTTCTGTCGCGAAGGGGATATCGACGCCATCATACACATGATCAAGGATGACGAAGGCGGGGAGCAAGAAGACGAAGAAGAGGCCGGCCACACCGACTTACTTCGGTACAGCGGGACGTTTGAGGGCATTGAAGGGTCGGGACTGCACGTCGCCATCCGCTACCAGCAGCAAGAGGTAGCGTGGCTGCTACTCGCCCTCGGGTCTCAGCTACCGTGGGACAAATTTCCAGACATCGTGCTTCAAGCCATGCAAGGCTTGGGGCTTAGCAAGGAGGACAGAAACGGAGATCCTGATATCCGGACAGTGTTGGATAGTGAGGGTCGGAGCCCGGCAGTTCTCGCGCAAGAAGTTGGAGGTGTCTGGGATGAATGGCTTCGTGCAGGACGACTGAATCCTTGAAATCGTGGTGGCAAGCTGTACAGTAGGCTCAATATCTATTGTCTTGTTTTGTCCTGTTCTATCGTGTCTCACACCCAGAATTCTCTATGCAACCAAGGAAAAAGGTCGCTAGAGATCTAAAGCAATAGGGGTGAAAGTTTTGCTCTCCGACATCCGAGTGAATCATAGCACCATGGTGGTGTTTCATGCCTGATGCAAAGAAGATGCCGGGGTTTGATTGCGGGAAAAATTCAAAATGCGTACCTCGACCGACGCCGCCATTGTATGCATAGCATAATGTGGGTATCAGAAAACGCTGTTGGTCTGGGACAGCAGCTATATCACAGCCGCAGCACTCAAGAACTCTTTGCAGTATTATTTTTGCTGGTCGCGCAGAATGTATTTGGTGTGGGTGCCGTGCGCGACGACGGTCTTGTTCTCATCCCCACCCTCTGCTGCGGCCTTGTAGATCGTCACGGTTGTGAAGCCCATATTCCTGCCCACCTTCGTCACGTTGGCCTCGATGACCAGGCGGTCTCCCAGTTTAGCAGACGAGACGTAGGAGATGTGGATGTCTGTGCTGACGCCCGTCTTCTCGAGACCTGTGCTGGCGATGGCCATGCCGCCTGCCCAGTCGACGATCGTCGCCGAGACAGAGCCGTGCAGCACGCCTTTAGAGTTCAAATGATCCGGCGAGACTGGCAGCGTCGCGACCATCGAGCCGTTCGTGGCACTAGTGAGGACAACGTCGGAGAGTAGGAAGTTATAGATCGGGGAGTTTTGAGACACCCGCGCCCAGCATGCCTGGACACTTTCCAGGGGAGTCTTGGTCGCCGTAGTCGAACTTGAACTCATCCTTACAGTCCAATGATACAGGACCACGTTTCCGAACTGAATGTCACGACAAGATAGCAGTGGGGTGATAAAGATGGAAGAAACACAACAGAATAAATTGAATGTGTCCTGCAGTGTGGCATTCCGCACACCGCCTGCAGAATTGGAATTGGTCCTTTTCGAATCCGCTCAAAAAGTCGGCAGAATTGCGGCTCCACAAAATAATCGTCGAAATTTTTGTGGCGCTGCCGCTGGCACGGTACCACTTCAAACGCATTCATTACTTACCGTACCCCTACTATCCCTGCGTTTTCACTTCCCTTTCCCAGAGCCGAGTTTCGTTCAACTGTACACTGGCATAAAGCCTCAAACGCATTATCAACATGAGCAAACATAAACTCGACGACCCAGAGGCCCAATTGGCCAAGCAGGAGAAGAAGCGGAGAAGAAAAGAAGAGAAAAACCGCAAGGAAGCGTCACGTCTGCAGGACATCACGCCCAGTTCGACCGATGCCACTGCGCAATCGACACCAGCGCCAGAAAATACAAATGAAACTGCGGACGATGGCGACACCTACAAGCCTGACTCGTCGCTCGACGCACTGCCCCAAACGGCGGTGGACGAGTTCCTCAAATCCGAATCCGTCCAGATCGAGGACCCAAAGAAGAGCGACCTGCGGCCCATCCTAGCCTTCACGCAACTGCCATCAAATCTCAAGACGCAATTTTCCAGCGTGTTCTCCTCGTTCGAAAAACCCTCGTCAATCCAATCTGCAGCATGGCCATTCTTACTGTCCGGACGTGACGTCGTGGGCGTGGCCGAAACCGGCAGCGGCAAGACGATCGCATTCGGCATGCCATTGATATTCCGTCTTTCAGGCCTAAAGAAGAAAAAGGGGATCCGAGCGGTAGTTGTCGCCCCGACGCGGGAGTTGGCGATCCAAGTATTCGAGCAGATCGACAAGCTGTGCAAGACGGCCACGAGCGCCGGACAGAAACTGAAGCCGGTCTGTATCTACGGCGGGACCAACAAAGACGAGCAGCGCCGCAGCCTGCAGGGGGCAAATATCGTCGTGGCTACTCCCGGTAGACTCAAGGATTTCATGTCCGACGGGACGATTGACGTGTCCAAGACCCGATATCTCGTCCTGGACGAAGCCGACCGGATGCTCGACAAAGGGTTCGAAGACGACATCAAGCACATCATTTCGCAGATGCCCTCGTCCAGCAAACGACAGACGGCCATGTTCACGGCCACCTGGCCCAAATCCATCCGCGACCTGGCTGCCACGTTCATGAAAGAACCCGTCAAGATCACCATTGGACGCAACGACGCCGACGACTCGGGCGAGCTGCGCGCCAACACCCGCATCGTCCAAAAGATCGAGGTGATGGACGGCTCGGACAAACAGAACCGTCTCTTACAACTTTTGAGAGAGCATACTGCCGGCAAGAAGCGCAATGATCGCATCCTGGTGTTTTGTCTGTACAAGAAAGAAGCCCTTCGGATCGAGAATTTCATCCGCAGCCGCGGATTCAACGTCGCTGGAATCCACGGTGACATGTCGCAGTCTGCTCGCATCGCCAGTCTGGAAGCTTTCAAATCTGGGTCCGTGAGCCTGCTGGTCGCCACTGATGTTGCGGCAAGAGGACTGGATATTCCCGAGGTCAAGTTGGTCATCAATGTGACCTTTCCCCTTACTGCCGAAGACTATGTGCACCGCATCGGCAGAACTGGTCGCGCCGGCAAAGAGGGTTTGGCCATCACCATGTTCACTGAACAGGACAAAGCCCTTGCCGGGGCGCTGGTCAATGTTCTCCGTGCGGCCAAGCAGGATGTTCCGGAAGATCTGTTGCGGTTCGGCACCACCGTCAAGAAGAAGCAGCATGACGCGTACGGTGCGTTTTATCGTGAGGCAGAGGAAGGGAAGAAGGCCACCAAAATTACATTTGATTGAGTTGGAGATTGATGTCAATCATTATCTCACTACTTGATGAGCATGCCACAAGTGATGGGATGGCAATCCTTCCTCATGGCTTTTCGGTGCATATTGTCGGCGTTTCACGAGAGGTCTCATCTATATCTCATTATGATGGTGTTCTATGATTATGGCGTGACTGTTTCAGTCCTGCAAAACCTGGGATTTTGGCGGCAAGGCGTTGTGGCAAGATAGAATCGAGCATCTGGACCAAAAAGTCTCGTTCGGCCAATATACTAGAAGTGCAAACAATTGGACAAAATTAGCATCAGCTTTCTTCACGTTCAAGCATAACATAGGGTATATCGTCCAACTTAACGAAACACAGAACAAAAGACAGATCAGAACTCACATAGTCGAACCCAACAAGACAGTTGCCGCCACAACCAAACCCAACAACTGACGATCCAGTCCTGTGCCAGTATACGTCCCTGTGCTAGGAGCTGTAGTGGTAGCCATACTCAATTCCAACCCGACCAAAGCAGCAACCACCAAACACGTCTTTGCAGGAAGTGCTTCTGCCAGTATTTCCTTCTGTAGCAATGTAGCTGCTGCTGCTGCTGTTCCCCTATCACTGCCACCCCTCCCCGTGTCGCTGTTAGCTTCAACATCATTCCGTATCCACCGCCGAATAAACCAACGACTCCAAACGATCCTCAAGACCATATTGACCATATTGGCGCCCACCAGCCCCGCCGCACCCATTTCAAACTTTTTCAGCAGTAGCCACGCGGCTGCACCATACAGCGCCGTAAAGAGCATCATCCAGCCCGACTGGGCACGCAGTTGAGCGGGCGTGGCGACCGAAGTGACGAACGCATCGAGGATCCCGTTCACCGCCATCAGGGGGATGTAGTAGCAATAAGCGGACAAGAGAGAAGCCGTGGAATCAGTGTACCAGTCCGCGCCGATGACTTGGCGCACAAGCATGGGGAGGATGTATGGTGCGATGGCGAGTAGGGGTAGAGCCATGAGGAAGTAGAAGTGCAGAGTGGTGGCTAGATAGGACAAGGCTTGACGGTGCTGGTTGGGGATGGGGATGGGGATGGGGATGGGGATCTTGGAAGTTCTTTGCGTCGTGGTCTTTGGCTTCGTCTTCGTCGTCGTTCCGGTGTCGGTGTCCTTTTCGCCAGTGCCGGTTCCTTTCTCCTCGGCGGATCCGGTCTGGTTTCTACCGTCACGGTTTGCGGACGACGGTGCTTCTCCCGCTGCCGCCGAAGAAGATGATGATGCCGATGTTGGTGACGACAGCAATTGTCCGAATATATTCCGACTGCTCTCCTCAACAGGCTGAAAGACCAACCTCGCCAAAAGGCCACCGTAGTTGGAAGCCAGTGCGAACGCCCCCTGGTCAGCAAGAGTGGACAAGAACGACAGGATCAGCGCATCGCCCTGCGTGAGGACAAGTTTGAAGATCGACTGCATGTACATCGTTGCGGCGAGACCCAAGGTGTCGACATGAAACAGATTGATATAGTATTCTTGTTGGCTGCTGCTGCTGCCCAGTTCCTGAGCTTTAGCTTCGGTTTCCAGTCTTCGAGGAATCAAGCTGAACTTGTCACGCTTGGATATCTGCACAACCGGAACAAAGTAGAGAACCAACAACACCACAGCATAGGCAGCCTGGCCTACCGCAAAGGGCAGGATAGAAGGATCCAACCCTCTCCTGTGTCCAAGGACAGCTGCCAAACAAGCCGCGAGACATCGTGCAACTGCAGCACTTGTCTCTGCTCGTGCCCGTTCTTTGAACAACGCTTTCTGCTGGATCACCACAAACGCCGGCTCGGCAAGTAACTCGACCAGCGTAGCGACCGCGTATATCTGGAACGATATGTCGAAGTAAGGGCTTCGAGTGACTTCCGTAGGAGCGCTTTGGAGATACGAGATGCCGAAGAATGTAGAGATGCCGAATCCGAGCAGCACGGCTAGGTATGATAGATTGATTACCGTCTGGGCCTCTTTTGCATGAGTTGCAGTGGAGTCTTTCGTCGAGCCTGATGTTGAGGAGCTTTTGCTGGAGTCGCTCGTATCAACGACACCTCCTCCTGGCGGCAGCACTGGCACAGTCGTCAACGATCCCGTCCGCTGCAAAGCCACTCGTAGACTCTCTCTGGCAAAGTATAAGCTCGTGACTGAAACGAGTTCCAGCTGAACCGCAATGCCGAGCAGAGACGGTGACAGAAACCGAAGCAGGAATTGGTTGCCGATGAATGTCAGTGCTCTTGAGGCAACTTGTATGAGAATCAACAGCACGGCGCCGCTTCCGGAGAGGGCAGATTGGTCAGTCTCCATATCTTTTGTATTCAAATAGCGATGTTCAAGTTATGCCCGGGGCCGTGGATCGTTTATCTCGGCATCAACGATTGCGGGTGTACACTGTCAGGACCATGGATCAATTCGTCTTTACCACGGTCAAACGCCTGAACTCCGTCCCATATCAGCAAAGGACCACCTCGATACCGTTGTCGGCGGTCAAACACTCAGACCCGTTTTCATACCTTCCAGTTTCTTGAGGTGATGAGATATCAAGCAACCGCCCTGGTCCCGCGAGCATGGGTGGAACCCTCTTCCAGGCCACGTGTTGACATTTACTTCATCTGGGGCCAGCGTTCAGGAAGTCAGTAGTAGATAGTAACGATAGCGTTCTCCAAACCCCCATTTCAAAGGTTACTTGTAGTCCTTGGTAAGATACTGAAGGGGAACAAAGGTCTGGGTTGTATGAATGAAGGTAGTCCCAAGCTTTCGCTCTCGGATTCAGACGTATACTACACTTAAGCTGCCGCTTGAACAAGGCGAGAGAAAGATATAGCACTCCGTACTTGTAAAGAATCAAATACCAGTGCCGGACTTAATTGTCCTACTAAGCATGATGAGCGCAGTGCCGCCGTTTTGGTGAAGATGGCTCGCCATAACCATTTGCATTGTCCTAAACGCCCCCCTTCTGAACGCGGCTTTAATCCTGTTCTAACCCGACTTGCGAGGGACTCCCATGCCAATGCTGCAGCCTGGATGCGGAATGGGCAGACGAGAGAGTCCGTCCTCTCGTCCACACACAGTAGTGATGTTACATGCTTGTTGTCGGTCTGCCCGATCTGATTCCGGAGCACTACACATCATCAACGTCCATCTTCTCCACCACGACCAAACTATCCGAGTCGCTCCCATTGCCGATTTCGTGTACAGTGACATATCGACCAATCTCCTCCTTGGTAATCACCTTCTCGTTCAGCACCGCAGTCGTGCCCCGGGCAAACTTGTAATTGCGTTCCTTCTTGGCCCGTTCGTTCGGCTTGATGTAGTTGCGGAGTAGTTGCGAAGGCTTGTCCTTCTCGATCACACAAACGTCGACGTTGCTGCCGGAGCCCAAATCGTTGAAAATACCTGCCAGGATGGCTTCTGAACAGAGCTTGATCGCCTCCTCTCTTGTACAGTCTCTCTTCCAACTTGATTCGAAGACAGCCATGGCCGCCAGAGATCCAGAGCCCATCGTCACGTAGGGGAGTTTATCCGTCGAACCGTGCGCGTGGACAGTGAACAATCCGACACCTGTAGGGTCCACACCAGCCACGACTAAGTAAGCCCCAATGTGCCCTTGGTATCGGAACAAATGTTGCTTCAGCATAGTCATAACGGTCACCACGCGAGGTACCCGACCGGTTGACAGGGAATGAAGCTCGAGGTTGGAAGAAATGAGGGCGGTGGTGAACTCGGTGTCGGCAGCGGTACCGGCGCCGGCACACCAGATGTTGGGGGAGATATAATGTAGTTTTTCACAATTCTGTAGAGAGTCAATTTGAAGGATTCTCCTGATGCGAGTCGCGCCGTAGTCAACGCACCTTATCGGCTACTATGGGGCCGCTCGTCGCTCTGGTGTCTGCTGCAATCTACATAGCCCTGTTGTCAGCGCGATCATATAGTACATTGCGCGCCACATACCACAACGCCATTGTCAAATATGCATCCCACAATCGTTGTACCGGTACTGGTAGCCTTTGGTAATGGTACTCCCCGTGCGTGAAGAGCCGCATTCCGGTTGTAGTTGCTGAAGTCGAAGCCGGGCATGGTTGCGGCAAAGGCCCGAAGCCTTGAACAGAAGCGTGGGTGACTACGTTGCTGAGATGATGCTCAAAGGTGACTCGGGGCAGTCAAGGCTCCTTGGGACGTTGGAATGGTGCTGAGAACGAGCGGACAAGAGAAGGGCGTTGTAACGAGAAAGGGCACGGTATTGATTAATGGTCTCCGAAGTTGCAAGGCAGCTCTGAGATGCGCAACACTTGACATCGTGACGAACCGCAGGCACTGCACGTGAGACGCGGCGCGCCGGCTTGGCATTGGTCAAACCATTTCAGGGCAAGGCTGTCGGATCGGACAAGGCTGCGAGTCCCCTAGGTACCTAGGTACTATCACGATACGAACATCGGTACTACGACCAGGCATTCTGCTAGGTGTAAATAGGCAGCGTATATAATGAGCCGTGGGATAAAGAAAAGTCATGTATCGTACATTCCAAGTCCAGACTGGTTTGGTTGTCATATTTAGATATGCCTGAACCCTGTGAGCTTCGAGAGGCATAAATCCGTTAATGGCTGGTGAATCCCGTTACACCTGAACCGAATCCCATCACCAGCCCTCTCTAGGTACGCCCACTGTCCGGGCACAAACCCTACTGCATCTCCACGTCTATTTCCACTTCCATTCATTGGGACGACCGCTGCTGCAGCCCTCAGACGCATGCCAGCTCCAAATCTCGACTCCATCTGCAGGCCTCGCCTTTACCTGGAATATCGAGACTAGTCCAGTTCAGCAGCCTTTCCAAGCGCCGTGCTCACCATGGCCCTACAAGACGGGACGACCTGTGCAGGTTATCCGGCGTGAGCCCACGGTCTCACACGGAAGGCTTAGCCGTCTCTGGGATCGGGTTGAAATGGGCTATCCGCTCGAACCATAATCCTGCCAACGATATCTGCATCTACCGCGAGTCTTTCTACCACTGGAAAGCGAGAACTCTGCATATCCAGAGTCTGGTGATTCATGAGTCCTTTTTGTTCTGCTCCGTTTGCGCGAGTGGGTGTTTGGCCATTTCCTCAAGAACGTTCAGCATCTTCTCTCGAGTATCTCTGGTCAGATGATCAACATCGGCGGCTGTGAGGCCCTTGGTGGGTATTGGATCAAGGACTAGTCCAAATGTCAGCTCAAGTCATCATTTCAATGTTGTCGACATACCTTTCACCCTGATAGTCCCGCTGTTGAAACGTCTAGCCTTGACGTTCAGGACGTGGCTGTAATTCTCCGCCACAACAGGCACAATAGGGACACCAGCCTGTACGGCGAGGTGGAAGGCTCCCTTTTTGAAGGGTAAGAGCATGGGCTGAGTCGAGTAGCTCCTTGTGCCTTCGGGGAAGATGACCACACTTTGCTGCTTCTCCCGCATCGCCTTGGCTGCACTTTCAAAGGCCTTCAATGCCTCGCTCCTGTCCACCCGGTTGATCCACACAGCACCAGCAAGTGTCATGAACCAGCCCAAGAACGGGACGTTGCGCAGGGACTTCTTCGCGGTGATTGAACAATGTTTTGGCCAGATCCAACCCAACAGCAGCACGTCAAGTTCGGTCTGGTGATTGGCAATAATGACCACAGGCCGATTGTTGTTAAGAATCTCCTCCCCATTGTCAAGAATCTGGAACCTCACGCCCATCGTGTATATTCCCAGCCATTTGAACGACTTGGCCACCGTCCAGAAAGCATAGGGATAGTGTAGTCCCAAGAGCTTGAGGATACCCGACGCAACCGTTCCGTAGGCCGCGCAAACAATGAGCGTCAAATATGCTGACATTGAGCGGGCCACAAACCCGAGGATTGGAGGCGGTCTCGGGAGGTAGGTGTAAAGAGCGAAGCAGCTCAACATGGTGAATGTATAAAACCCCAGGAAGTAGAGCAGGTAGCGGAAGAGGACGAACATGGCGGCTAGAGTTCGCAGACGCTCCAGCGGAGGGAAGTTAGGAAACGAAGGGTGCCGTGGAGGAACACTTCACTGTGCTTTGTAGCTCAGACAGAGGAATAGGATCTAGAATGCGAGCACTGCGAGGATAGATCCCAGACCAACGACATCCGGTCCGGGTTGGCGGAAGGATGGAACGGCCACCACGAATGTCAAGTTGAGGTCTGAACTGGTGGGATGTAGTGGCAGTGGACCTAGGCACACTGCGGTCTACAGATTTGGAGGGCGCATCCATTGGGCATCTGGCGGTGATTTCTCTGACATTTCTCCCCCACGTTGGCGGTTTCGCTGTCTCCGTGACCCGACAATTTTTTCTCCGAATCCAACCAACGTCATGTCACGTGGCCAGCCTCGCCGGAGTAGTCAGCACTGCCCTTCAGCTCATTCGCTGCATCTTGCTTGCTCAGGGGCTGTTGTTGAGGCATCAGGACAGTCGTGGAACTGCGAGCATTCCTAAAGTAAGAGCAACCTATTCTGGGCAGTTTTTGGCTATTAGCTTATGAGAGCATGCCTCAGCGCCTGGAACGACGTCGAGGCTATGCCACTACCTAGGGTGGCCTACAAAGGTTTGTCACCGCCGAAGAGGCACCTCTTGTCAGCGCTTGACGTGCTATTTCCTCATACCATGCGGAAGAAATAGATGTATGCGAATTTCTTCATCTCGTCGATGTCAACCGCCTTGACCACTTTCTCGTCATTGAATAATACCCATTGTTTCTCCTTGCCTTCGCCAGGAATCGGCTTCCGGATGAAGGCGACATAATGTCCAGCATGGATACTGGCTCCCTTGTGACACACGATGCTTTGGAGCTCAAAATTTGCAGGTAGTTGCTCACTGCCAGGAAGCGATTTTGGTGCGGCCGGTGCCGAAGTGGGCTCCTCCCCAAAATCCCCTTGATCGTCCGGGTGGCTGAATACCCAGTCTAGAGCTCTGTTAACGTCGCCATTGCACTCACGCAACGCCTTGCGAGCTTGTGGTGCGCTGATACCCATGTCTCCCAGTTGGGCAATCTTGTCAGCGTCGTCCCCGGAACTGCCAGAGCCGCTGTTGCCGCCACCAAGGTTCAAGGGCTCATCGATATCGGGATCATCCATATGTGCGAACAGCCAATTCATGGCTGCTTCAGCATCCGCATTGCCAGTGGCGTGGAGTGCCTTTTCGCATCGTGTACGTGGGAAGCCCATCGACTCCAGCTGGCCAAGGGCTGCCTCATTGGGTACGAATGCTCCAGGAGCGGATCCCGAACCTGCAACATCTGCATCCTCAGGCAGTTCCTCCTCGTCCGGTTGTAATCCATGTGATTTGTAACTGCTCATTTCGAAGATGTCATCAGGTACTTCCAGGGGAATGTCGAGTTTCGTGGGTACCCAATTGATGATCTCAAATCGGAGCGGATTGATGGCTAGATTTTTGGGGAATGTCTTGAACTTGGATGATTTCGAGAATCCATCTTTGGACCCACAGGCCGGACAGGTTAGTTCGACCGTGGAAGGTGCCGTGAATATATCGAGGCATTCTTTCAGTGAGATTGGTTCAAATTCAGATCCTTTGGCAGCATCCGCGTCTGGCCGAACGCCATTGGACAGATGCTTCCGCCGAACTGGAACTGGGATCGAGATATTGTCTTGTTCATCAGTTCGGTAGCGAACACGTTTACAGCTTAAGCACTGAAGACGCTGTTCAAGAGCGAACCGAAATGACTGGACCGGGTCGTCGGCAGGACTGGCATTGTTTGAGACACTGATGAGTTTGCACAGGTGTAAGAGGAATTCAAAGGCATCCTGTTGCCTCATGGTCGAGAACTCCTCATGTCCTCGGCCGATTAGATGTTTGAACATAGCAGGAGAGAGGCCCTTCTGATGGGGCACCTCTGGATTATCAGGAGTAGCGTGAACATTGCTATCTGGATATGAATACCGACCGGACAGAATCCCGTCAGCAAGCTTGCGCAGTTGCGTCTCAATGTCCTCGGCAGGAATGTTGGCTTTTGGAGGGGCTTCATCCGGACGATAGTATCGCTGTTGGAACTCTGGAAGGGAGAATAAACACTGAACAGTACTGGCCAGATAACAACTGTTCCCAATGTTCTTCAATCCCGTAAAGCCCGGACCGAAGATGGGAGTCAGCTCCTTGCCATCCTCGGTCGTCATAGAGAAGTCCCATTTCAGGTTCTGTTCCACTTGCATCTCCATCAAACTCTTCTCGGTCTTCTCCCGTTCGGCAATGTTGATGCCCCAGTGAGCGAGATGTTTAGCCAGCTCTGTGTCAATTCTTTCTTCGTTGCACTTGTAGCAGTAGACATCAGCATTCCCCTCAGGTGTTATCGAGCCGAGCTTGACTGCGACGGCATGGCTGCTCTCTGTTGCATGAGCCAGGCCATGAGAGTTGCCACCAACGCCTCCGAACTGCGCCCGCCCGCATCCCAGATTGCCGCATTCTAAACAGAGCCAAAGGTTCTCCTTCAGATCGCACTTCGAACACGACCCCAAGTTCTGAGACTCAATCTGTCTGCTGGGTTGTTGCTCAAGGCAGAGTGTGTGTTCACAGGGTGTAAATTCCTGCTCCCAAGCCTTGACTTCCTCCTGTTTGGCGAAGGTCATAGCCTTTAGAACCCCATCCACCACGTTGGGCAGATTGCCCGATGTCTTGTCCACATCCTGTAACTCGCATGCGTAGCACTTGACTCTAGTGATCGTCTCGTATCGGTCTTCTTCTGTTTCGGCGGCGATGGCAAGTTTGGTCAACTTGGCTGGTGGTTCCTCCCGTTGAACATGTTTTCGGATGCGTCTGATGTTCAATACGAGAGGGTGACCGGTGGAGGAGTAATGCAATAGGGAATGGTTCCTCTCTCCTGCACAGCCGCCGTTAAAGCAGTGTAGGCAGACGTCTAACCCCGCCTCGTCGTCTATGGAGTCGAAACACTGCGTGCAGTCCTCTCGGTATACGCTCTGGTTGGCTCGTGGAGGTCTCAGGTCGTCTGAATGAGCATGAGGGCACTGCATATTGGGCTGGAAGGCTAGAATGAGCGTGAGATGGAAATGCGGGTTGACAAATGCAAGAAAAAGAGGAAGCGATAAAAGCACACGAGAGGCGCAAGACCATTTGTTTGCCCGCAGCCTGACGAGGCTGTTGGAGTCGATGTCGTAGTACTCACTTTACTAGTAACGTGTTAGGCGAGAGTCAACCCCGATTGGCTTGACGGCAGCCTCTCCGGACTTCATCCTACTACCACACTGGCACTGCAGTACTAGAGCCCTGCTTACTTTCGCAACATTTAAGTTGTAAGTGCCAGCACTTAGCCAAATATCAAGTAAACCAAGAGAGACACTGGCAGGTCGCTTCTCATCTACGCCCTAGACGCGTGGGATCAAACAGCGTTCATTATGTCACGGAGTCTGCTTCTGCAACAAGGCGTTTGAGGAGTAGGCTGCACTCGTCGCGGTCAGCCTCCCTCCTTCTGATATCCTACCTAGTCTCATACGGATTTACCTCCTTTCATCTGGTCGGCTGGTCCGGTATGGCGCTTTTACAGAACGAAGAGTGAGTCAATCTCGTCCACATCTTGCGGTTCCTCGCACCTAAGGTGCCCCTGTGCGAACCGGAGGTTGCTAAACGTGAGCACAGATTTGCCATTTGGTATCTACGCACCTCCTTTCTTGCCAATGTCAAGGATGGTGTTGCTGAACGGCTGATCAATGTCAACTCATCGGTCTTGAACACCGCCGAGTTCCGCGCTGCTGGCTGGTCTGCGGAGCCTGTTCAAAGGACGTGCTCCCCGCCCATTCCTACATCCATCAACACGGAGTACTTTCAAAACGGATCAGAGCTTCAGCTCGTGAACTCTCATGGCGATGAAGAAGATGAAGGGGGGCTTTTAACCGGTAGGACTAGCAATGACACGATTGGCCCTGGCTTCAATGCCAGACGTAGACGGAAAAAGGAACATGTGGAAGATGATGACAGTAGCGACCTGACGGACGAGTCCGAGGAAGAGGCCGAAGGCGCTCAGCGTGCTGCTCAACAGATCCGTTTTGCAAAGATGCCGGCGCGGAACCGTGCTGATTCATCCCCAACTCATGGCCCAGGGCCTGAAATCATCACAACCTCACCTTCAAGGCCTTCCACCGATAACAGACGTCGCACTGGGTCGCTTGGTGCTGTGGAGGCCGTCAAAGCCCGCGCAAGACGAGACACGACAACCAGCAGCGAGTTGTCCTCAGAGAACGAGGTTGATCCTGCTTACTTCCAACGTCGCCGAATTCGCCCAGGGCAGACGTCCAAATCCGTTCCGCTTCCAGATCATCATCCCACCGGGTCTCATACCGTGCACAGCCGGCCTGAGCAAGACCATGACCAAGATGAATCAGACGCAGAATCGGTGGGCTCAGCAATGTCCTCGGAGTTGGGCGGCACTATTGACTCCCCTTCGTTACTGAACCCTATGGGGGAGACGAACCTCACCTCCTCACCTGCACTTCTAGGAAGCCTCAGCGGTTCCGAGCCTCGATTCGGTACACCGGACCTTGCGAGGAAGCAGAGACCGCGTCCGGCATTACAAGAACTACCTCCTCCTCGGAGGCCTATCAGCATGGTACAGCCCAAGAGCTTACTATCAGCTGCCTTGAACGCACAGAGAAAAGCTCCGAGCAATCCCTTGCAGGCATTTGCAGCCTTGTCAGGCAAAGGATCTCCCAACCCGCTGTGGATCAAAATATACGCGCCATTTTCTAAAGACCCCGACGAACCTTTCGAAATGCCTTTAGCGAGAACTTCTAAGGACGGCAATCCAGTCACAGTTGCCGAAGCAATCGGCCTCAGTCTATGGAGATACACGGAAGAAGGGAGAGAGCCACCGCTCGCTGAAGCTCAACTCGATGTAAACAAGTGGACCTTACGAATGGTGGAGGATGGCGAGGTGGACTATGATTTCCCACCGCTAGTCCGCACACGGCCGGTGACCGATTTCACATACAACAATAATCGGGGCGCTCGAGGGCGATCCAGAGAACGGCCGTTCGATGAATTCGCTCTGGTCGAAGCGACACCCGCCCAACTCGAGACCAACAGGAAGGAAACGCCGCAGTACGCGCCAGCTGCCCAAGAAGAAGCTGTGCCTGTCGCGGCAGAGTCTTCGTTCCAGCCAATGCAGCCACCTCCCATCTTCAAGGCGCCATTGCCCAAAGGCAACATCCTCCTAGCCGGCCAGCCATTCACCTCGGCCTTGACCAACACCACCTTAACCCCAGCAGACTTACCCGCACCAGCTGGGCCCCAGGCAACTCCGCGTCTGGGCAGGACAAAGACAATCAGGGTACGGTACTTTGATATCGACATGTCTGCACAAACGACGACTTTGGAGGTACCTATGGATAGCTATATTGCCGAGATCCTCGATCATGTGTGCAAACGATGGAATTTGGAGAAGGCTGGTTTTGTGTTGAAGGTCGCTGGAACAAACACCATTGCGCCCTTGGACCGGACGGTCGAGGCCTTGGGTCCGCGCTCTGATCTTGAGCTTGTACGCAAACGGTTTGGAGCAGGAGTCGCCAGTTTGACAGGCTCGCCGGGCAGTTCTTCGCCGAATGCGCCGCTTCTTCTGGACATTCAAGGCCCTAGGAAGGTCAAGAAAGGCCAGCCGATGCATCCATTAGCGCAGAAGCAAGACTTGATGTCGAGCGCGAGCAACTTCAAGAAATATTATGTCACGAGGAAACAATTGGCCCCGTTTGCGCAGGGAAGTCAGAGAGTCCTGGTGTTCGATGGAGACCTTATCCATGTGATGCCTGCAGACAACACGTCGAATGCCAAATTCAGCTCAATCGCCTTTGGAGATATTCTGCGGTGCAAAGTCAGCACGAAACACCCCAAAATTGTGCGGCTCGTGGTCAGAAGAATCAACGAGTCCAAACGATATGACTTCGAGGCGCGGACTGCAGGAGAAGCTCAGGAAATTGTGGATGAGGTGACTCGTGAGATGAGACTTGCACGAGCATAACGAACTTGAACTGCCAGTCTGCTGGGACTATGGATTCTTGGCTTCCAAGGGTTCCAGGTTGCTACTTTATGTACTTGTACCGTTCTAGCCGTACCATTGCACAGCGTATGGACCATGATTATCGTCTTCTGCTGTCACCTTAGTTGCCGGGTGAGAAACAGCTTACACAGCACCAGGAGTACTGTACACAGATAGATGCTGTTCACACCCCGCCTGCTCCGATCATATAACCGGGACCATCGGCCGCGGCGGTCGAGGCTCTCAAGCCCGATGAGGGGCGGGGCTGCGTGGTGGACCGTGACATACGTGGCTGAAGGACTGGATGATGAGCTTGAAGTGAGTTCAATTGTACCTACGCTGTACATGTTCAGAGGTATTGCTAGCTAGTAGTATCAAGTTAGCAGTAGCCCAGTACATCGCGGGGGTGTTCTACAACATTGTACAACACTGTGGAACTGCAGCGAGGCAACCTGAGTTTTGCACTGCCAGGTAGCTGCTGAAGTACTAGTACTTCGTACGAAGCCCGAGAAACTAAGTGCTTACAGTGGTATGTTGATCGTGCTCTGAGGAACAGAAGTTAAACTCGTTCTCCCCCAACGGCCGCTGAGCTACCACCCACTACTAGTGCTACACATCCCACTGCAGGCCGCGTTGCTCACTATCACTGGCCACTGGACGCCGTGCATCGCCAATAGTCGTCCATAAAGCTCCCCTGTGTGCAGTGTCAATCGTTGCAAGGACCTCTTGTCGTCTGGGCTGCCCGTATATCCTTTCTGTTGAGGAGGGTCATGCCGTCCCCAGCTGCCAGTAGTAGTGCCTGTGGTTGTCACTCTCGGTCACTGGTGCACCGGTGCTCCATCCCATCTGCGGCATCTCTCATTCGTACCTGTAATCCATTCGCTACAACTACTGCGAGGACTGGAGATACTTGCAAGAGCTTGACTTGCTGCTTGTCCCTCACTCCTCTGCCCACTTTCTACTAGTATAGCATCAGCATCACATCACATTCTGAACCATCTGCTGCCCAGTGCACTCGACAACTTCTGTTAGCTACATCCTGAGTGCCCAACTTCAAGTACATACTATACGATTATTGCGCGAAGCTATTCGTGGGACTGGAGCTTATCGGGCTGCACTGCATTGCAGCTTCCAGACAGGCCCAACGACGACCGGAGCGCTTCCTCGCGCCCTCGCTGGGTCCTTGCTCCTGCTTGCTACCCCTCCCACTCTCCGTCTCCCTTCCCTCGCCTGTCCCACGTCGACTTCGATTGGCACTTCGACCTTGAACGGGCCTACGAGCTCCTTCAATCCACCCTGTTTGTAGCATTCCATACCTGGGGAACGTGCGCTTCCCTCCGGCGCCCAAATGCCGACTTTTGGGGGCCTGCTCAAGAAGAAGAGGACTAAGGAGTCTGCTGAAGAGAAGTCGACCGGCGGCGGCAGCAGTGGCCCTCAACCGATCCAGTACAAGTCTTCGCAGAAGACTGATGCCTCATCACACCTTTCGTCATCCAAGACTGCGTCCGATGCACCCACCCAGTCGACTGCAGCTACCACCACTACCGTGACCTCGACGTCGGACCCCAATGCCAAATCCAACGAAAGCAACGGCACCCCCGACATGAACATTGCGAACATCGTCAGCCCGGCGGCTGGCGTCGCTGACTCCAAGCCGGTAGCCAGACAGACCAAGGGCAAATACACCCTCTCCGACTTCACCATTCAGAGAACGTTGGGCACCGGCTCATTTGGGCGGGTGCATCTGGTGCAATCCAAACATAACCAGCGCTTCTATGCGATCAAGGTCTTGAAAAAGGCCCAGGTGGTCAAAATGAAACAAATCGAGCATACCAATGATGAGAGGAGGATGCTGCAACGGGTCAAGCACCCTTTTCTTATCACACTCTGGGGCACCTTTCAGGATTCGAAAAACCTCTACATGGTCATGGACTTTATCGAAGGTGGCGAGCTCTTTAGTTTACTCCGGAAGTCACAGGTACCTCTCCAGACCCAACTCCGCCGGCAGTTAAATACTGACAACTCTAGCGTTTCCCTAATCCAGTGGCCAAGTTCTACGCCGCGGAAGTGACATTGGCCCTTGAATATCTTCATAACCAGAACATCATCTACCGCGACCTGAAACCCGAAAACTTGCTGCTCGACAGACATGGCCATATCAAGATCACCGATTTCGGCTTTGCCAAGGAAGTCCCCGACATTACGTGGACTCTTTGCGGAACTCCCGACTACCTCGCGCCCGAGGTCGTGGCCTCCAAGGGTTACAATAAATCAGTGGACTGGTGAGTGGCCCTCGAAGCACGGCCTAGTTTGGTACCTAACTCTCACCCAGGTGGTCCCTCGGAATCCTGATTTTCGAGATGTTGTGTGGATTCACCCCATTCTGGGATGGAGGCTCTCCTGTCAAGATCTATGAGAACATCTTGAAAGGAAGGGTCAAATACCCCCCTTATATCCACCAAGATGCTCAGGATCTCTTGGTGCAGCTGATCACGAGCGACTTGACTAAACGACTGGGCAATTTGCACGGCGGTTCGGCAGACATCAAAAATCATCCTTGGTTCGCTGAGGTAACGTGGGAGAGGCTGCTGAAGAAAGACATTGATGCTCCTTATGTGCCCCCAGTCAAGGGTGGAGCAGGCGACGCTAGTCAGTTCGACAAGTACCCCGAAGAGACGGAGGAGTATGGGAAGAAAGGGGACGATCCGTAAGTCACGCATAACCCAACTTGTTCAAATTGTTGCCTATGTACTTTCGTACTGACATGATATTAGATTCGGTCATTTCTTTACCGATTTCTGATAGCACCGCCAAAATCGTGGCCGAATGATCCATGGGTGGCTGTGCAACGGGGACACAGCAATGGCCTTGCGCAAAGGCACAACGTGTGGCACAATGGCGAGGATATCCATCTAGTATTTCACGATGCAGGCAGACATTTGGGTATCTTATGAATTTACTGCTCTTATTAGTACGGCACTACGGCAACGGGGACAAGCTGGCATGAGACAAATGGATGAGGTCGTTTCCCCTTCACGGCTGGATGATCTGTGCGGCAGGAGGAATGCTTTTGTATTGCTCATTGTCAGCTGCCTGTCGTATGTACTTACCTACAATTGCCGCAAGGCGTTACATTATGTGATTTGTGTGATTCAGCCATTTTAGAGCGAGTTCCATTGATCCTGATTACCTATGTGAAAGCAGTCCCAGTAGTAGGCAGTATTTGTAGGCATAGAACCGGGGCGGAGTATTCCTGCGATACGACATGGAGAGAAGGAGAAGAGAAATGTTAATTTTGTACGTTATAGTACACTGCAGTACACTGCATACAGACAAAGGTCGGAAGTTTGAATCCTCTCCTCTTTGCCCTTTTTATCAGGATACACCAAATCTACCCGTAGACTGCATGAATCATTTCCAGACCCATCACAAATTCCCTTTTTCTCCTTTTCAGCCCGTTCATTTATTTCACAGTAGAAGGTCGGTTTTTGCCACAAAATCGTGCTCTGTGGAGGCATCACGCCCGAAGCCACTGATACACCCAATGCCAATGACGGCTGGCCACAAGCACAGATGGACGAAGAGGATGGATGCCGCTGAGGTGAGAAGCGGAAAAATGTTGTGGTAGCAGTGCCGCATTTGGAAAAGCCAGACCGATGCTGGACGAAAAGGCTTGGTGATTGATATGAGCGGCACCGTCTGGACTGCACGCAGAGAGCTCCTGGTGGCGTCGGAGAGCAAGTTGAACAAGAAATGGTCGAGTACACCCGGCCTTCGCATTGGATCTCAACCAGGAAACTCGCAGGCGGCACACAGCACGCAGTACAATCCACAGTGGCGCAACTAGGCCAGCTCAAGCCAGCTCGTTAGGTCCCCAACAGGAGCTTTCCTCCGCCGGGTTCTCCTTCTCCTTTTGTACCTCCCATACGCCTCTGAAAAGTAAAATCTTCTTAGAACAACTCTCTCCCACCCGGTGCAGCTCCCGCCGCCGCACCACCCAACCCAGGGCTTTCCCTCTGGATTCTGGCAGTCAAGACCCGACTCGTCACGTTCCAGGCATCAAAGTACTTCTCCATACAGGCGTTGATGCACTTATTCTCCGTAGAACTCAAGCTCGAGCCTGGGTTGGTGACGCAGTGAGAGAAACAGACCTCGTTGACCTTTGAGATCAGCATGCGGGCGTTCGCCATGTTTGTCTGCTCGGCGACTGTGGCTTGTAGCTTTTGCAGGGTTTCAGAGCCGCTGGAACTGGATGCGACGGGACTGCTGAATGTGCTGCTGCTCGAGGGCGAGGAAGACGAGGATTTGTCGGAGCCGCTGCTGCTACTGCCGCCGCCGAAGAAACCGCCGAACGACATGATGGATGTTGTTTTGCTGTGTTTTGTTTTGGTTTTTGGTTTTATTGGTGGATCTGAGGAAGGGATATCTGGTGAATGGTATAAGAGAGGGTTGCGCTTCTTTGTGCGGGTGTGGTGGAAGTGTGTTTGTTGAGCTTCTCTACGTGTGAAGTGAGTGAGTCTGGAAGAATTTGAGACAGCGTAATGCTAACCGCAGCCTGAGTTCATCTTTATGGCAACTCTTCCGGGGAGCCGGGGCGTCATTATTTATTAGGGCTCGCGGTATCGGCTACTGTATTGTTTTAGGCGATGGTTCACCCCACAGGCGTCATTTACAACCCATGCTCAAACTGGCCACGTTGTGGTAGTACAACAATACTATAATCAATCCACCGCAGTGTGTTGTGTTCAAGTCGCAGTGTGTATAGTCCTCAGTTCTCGGCCACGGCTTATTCTTCAGTCCACTGCAGTGGTGCTTGCCATGCGCCCTCTGGCTCCAAAAGTACTTTTGTCTTCTTGAATCCCTTGCTTCTTCACGCTGCATCACCGCATCATCCTCGTCGGTTCCGAGTCAGGGGGGACTACACTACAGTAATACGGCAGCAACTGCGCTGCGCTGCACTTTGCACGCAAACCACCGCGCAAAGATGTGGCTCTCTAATGCTGCGTCCTTAACATGGCTGCTGGCGGCCTTCACATTAGGCACGCAAGCAGCAGTCGAGGCGGATACTTCGATGAAAAGCATACCGGTAAGCGCCTGGTCAGACAGTTGAACGGACTTCCTCTTCCTCTTGCGAAAAAGTTGGCTACAGTTTTGAACGACCTTTTGGGAGCTGACAAGGATGGAATTCACAACAGCTGCGCACGCACAGTCTAGCACCTCCATACCTCGATTCCGACATGTCCAGTCGCTGGTGGGATTTTGGTGGCGACACCATCATTCGAGCAGACCAGTACATTCGGTTGACTTCGGACCTGCCGTCACAGTCTGGCTGGCTCTTCTCACGGATACCGCTTACGGCGACCAACTGGGAGGTGGAATTTGAATTCTCAATACACGGAAAGGGACATCTGCACGGAGATGGCTTTGCCATGTGGGTTACGACAAAGCGGGGCGAGCCAGGGCCAGTGTTTGGCCACGCAGACCAGTTTGAAGGCCTGGGGATTTTCTTCGACACATACAAGAACAATCGGCCTGGAGTGGTGTTCCCTTACGTGATGGCCATGCTTGGTGATGGCAAGACCACATACGATGCCGCGAATGATGGCAAAGCCAATGAACTGGCGGGTTGCTCGGTAAGCATGACCGCACCGCTGGAGACGAAGTGGTCGTCACAATTTGTGTGTCTGTTGTGATTCACGGACTAACTTAAACATTGTGCAATATATAGGCTCGTGGGTTGCGCGCCGCTTCCGTCCCAACAAAGGCCAAGATCACATACTTTCAAGATAAGTCGCTCTCACTACAACTTCAGTACAAGGCGGCCGATTCATGGATCGACTGCTTCACGGTCGAAGCGACGGATCAGCAACCGCTGAGACTGCCCAGTACGGTCTACCTGGGCTTCAGCGCCCATACCGGCGAGTTATCTGATAACTTCGACGTCATCAGCGTGGAGACGAGAAATCTATACAACCCCGTTGCGGCGAATGTGGGCAGGGACTCTCATGCTGCGGCGCGGGCTAGCGCCCGAGGCAGGAGGGAGAAGAAGAGCGCAGGATGGGGCTGGTTTTTCTTCAAGTTGATCTTCTTTGCAGGCTTGATCGGTGGCGGCTATGTTGGCTACACCAAGTACAAGGAGAAGGAGCGATATTCGTCTTTCTGAAAGATGGTGTTGAACTCTGCTTGGAGTGGTACAATGAGTGTGTCCCTACCTTGACTACATGAGGATCCACTTCGCCAGTGCACGTACAATTACAGAACATCAAAGGTCCCAATGTGCGAAACTGTGAATGCTGTCAACCCAATGGTCGTAGGATGTAAGATACTACTAGTAGTTCTCTAGTGGCTCTATTCGACGTACTTCCAACCGTCATCAGTTCTAGTACTACAGTTGTATTATGGATATTGAAGTGATAGCCCTAATCCGGTTAGATCACTGCCTACCGCTACTATAGACCAATAGTATCCTGCCAATCAGCGGATCCTAACCCAGGTGCCGGGGTGATCTATGATTCCGACCTGCTACTACCTAGGTAGGTAGCAATAATCCCCGCACGTGATCTTCGGGCTAGCCCAGATCATCATGCGACGAAGAAGCTGATTCTCACAGCCAATCAGCACACCAGATTTCTGTGCTGTTTGAAGCGACTGATTTCCAGCACTTCTTTCGCCTGATTCTGAGCACTGCGATTATTATTGCGCTCACAGATCATTGAAACCGCCAAGCCACGACCTGATCTGCCGTTGTCACTGCCTGACCGCCCGCCGCCTGCTTTTGCTTATATTTCCTCTTCCTCCTTCCGCGCTTTCTCTCCTTTCCTCTTCTCTCTGTTTTCGCACTCCTCCACCACAACCCGTCTCTCTGCCCACCGTCAAGCTTTTATCAACAACTTCATTATCCACACTCATCTTATCAACTCTACCACTCAGCAAACATGACTGGACGTAAGTATTTCCATCCTGTTACTTTTGTCATTGTTGTCGCTGTTGTCGTGGCGAGTGCATGTTGTTGTCGCCGTCGATTTCAGCTCAGCCGATCTGGACCACAGTTGCGACATGGCATGCTGCACGCCACTTGACATCACTTCATCTTGACCACAGTGATACAACATGTTGGACGTCGAGTATACTAACACTTGTTTCTCACAGGCGGAAAGGGCGGCAAGGGCCTCGGCAAGGGAGGTGCTAAGCGTCATCGCAAGATTCTTCGCGACAACATCCAGGGTATCACCAAGCCAGCTATCCGACGTCTCGCTCGTCGTGGTGGTGTCAAGCGTATCTCTGCCATGATCTACGAAGAGACTCGTGGTGTCCTCAAATCCTTCTTGGAGTCCGTCATTCGTGATGCAGTCACCTACACTGAGCACGCAAAGAGAAAGACCGTCACCTCTCTGGGTAAGTCAATTCAACATCAGCGAATGGCGACACAGAATGCTGACAATTGGATCCAGATGTCGTCTATGCTCTCAAGCGACAGGGCCGCACCCTCTACGGTTTCGGTGGTTAAACTCGCCTCAAGAGAACCAGTCAATTACGGGTACACCGCCTTCTAGAGTCTTCTTGATGGTTATGGGTTACGGAGCTTACGGAATGATGATATGGCGCTTGGGTCTTGTATTCACATTACTTGAGATGGGGATTCGAATGGGTCTTGATCATAATGGTGTCTGGTAGACAGAGCTGGAGCCAGCAACGTTGCGCAGAAGCCGCACGACCCATGTGTACCACAATCAAGCAGTTAGATTGCACCTGCTTAGGATGTTCTCTACGTAATATGCCTCTCCTCGTAGTCTGCAGTGACAAGACTCGTGTTCGACTCGTTGTCGCCCAGAAAATCATGGCTCGTAAACTCGAATGTCAGTGGCAATTCTCACGCCCGCAGCTCCAAGGTGTCTACCATAGCCATCTCACACACGTTCAAATCAGGACGGAACCTGCATCAAGCTACTGGCAGTAACTACTACCCGCTCCCACAGATTATTTGATCCAGCCGCGCGAGACCCGGATCCAGGGGACACATCCAAGGAGCGATCGGGATCTGGCAGTTCATTATAGGAGAAGGGGCCTAGCACCGGCAGGTACAGTACTGTATAGGTATGCAGAAGGCGGCAGGGTTACACGGTTTGGGGTGCTGTGGCTGAAGCCTGTTGCAGGTGGGAACACGGACGCCGGCAACTCCAGGCATCCTCGTTGAGCAGCGCGCATATTGGCTCCGCTCAGTCGGGACTGTGGCGAGTGAGTCTCGCTTCGTCGAATGACAATCAAGCAACAGGCAGCAGGATTTCGGACTCGGACCCAATATACGCGGCCTGTCAGCCATCAAAACCCCCCGCTCTACGATCAAGGGTTCCCTTTCTCTTCAGCCTTCACTGCACGCATATCCTCGAGTACGCACGACTGCAGAAAGACCAAGAACAACGACGGTCAAGCCAGACTGCAGCGATGCCGGCGATACGTGACCATTCCACTGTCTGAGAACTCCCGACCTGCGTCGAAGGCACACTTCGGCCGTCAAGCCAGACGGTACACACTTCCGCCGACTAAATCAGAGCCATCATGTTTCACCGCCGTGGCACCTATTTGCAACGCTTGTCCAAGTTGTACTCGGACACGAAGCAGTCCTGTGAGAGCGCTAAGGCTACTGCCACTGTGACCGACCTGCCAGAAGTCCGCGACTTACGGCGCGATTTCCAGATTCAGCAGGATAGGTTGCTGGCATGGGGCATGCACTGGACCGATGTGGGCGCTCCCTACTCCGGCAATGGCGACGTCGACATCGACAAAAAGATTGACCAGGCTGGATTGGGCGAGGTGGTGGCCAGCGTCATGTCCGAGATCAAGCGATTGCTGGAAGAAAGTGGCCGACTCGAACACCCTGAACGGTATGAAATGAAGCAGACGGCGAAAACGATGCGGGGACCCGGTTCGAGTCCAGTCGTGCCGCGCAAGGACTGGACAGCCTACGAGGTCAAGACTGGAAGAGCTCTGCTTGACCAGCTGACCTCTTGTATCGATCTTCTCTACAGTCTGGAGGAATCAAGGATGGCGGACGAAAAGGGCGACGCCAAACGAGTCAAGCATGGACACGACTCTCCTGAGAAGACAGCCCACGGCCAACTATTCGAACACCCCCTCCATATCGACTTTGCGAATCTGGACTTCAGTCCGTATTCCCTTCAAACAGCTGATCCACCGCCGTACGATCCTGCCGAGGGAGGTTCGGTGACATCTACGGAAAGATCCATCGCCTACTGTCGCTCGGCTGGTCAACATGTCCTCGTGGACTACCTATCAGCCGACTGCCCGTTCTACGTTGTCGGGAGTGCCGACGACGTGTTTGAGATCAACGAGCTCGGGGAGAAACTTTGCAAGAACCGTTCCCTCTCGTGGTGCGGGCATCTCAGGCTCCTCGGATTTACCGTCGATCCCAATGGACCACGATACGGGATGGTCTATGCTTTGCCTGATGGACATGATCACGCAAGCCTACAGCAACATCGGACACTGGCGTCGTTGATAGCGGCCAGCAACAACCAAGAGACATCACAGCCGGCTTTAGAGGACAGATTTCGTCTCGCATACAACCTGGTTCTGTCTATCCTCGGATATTTCTCTCACGGCGAGACACACCAGTATCTCAACAGCAGCAACGTCTTACTTATCGGATCGAGTGAGCACTTGCACCGCTCGGATCCGCCAAAGGAATTAAGGCAACCCTACCTCCTGCAGTCATGTCAGGACTTCCTTTCACGGTCTCAATCCGAGGCGCCGTTTGCCGTTCAGATCTACCGCCACCCAAATCATGACAGCCATGCTCCTGAAGTCGTCCCTGCCTACGACATATATAGCTTGGGCTTGTTGCTACTGGAGATAGGGCTGTGGATTCCCCTTTCAAAACTGTGGAAGCCCAAGTATGACCGCAAGATTTTCATGAGCAGAGTTCAACAGATATACTCTCACAAGCTTGCACCAAAGTGCGGCAGCAAGTACATGCGCGTTGTGCAGAAATGTCTACAAGCGCCTTCGGAATTGAAATTCAGAAACAACTACGAAGATGCCGGCGCGCTGATGCTTCAAATAGCAAAGGACCTACAGCAATGCTGCGTATTGGACGAGGCAGGACCACCTCCAGCTTCGGACATTGAGGTCTTCGAGCTCCTCATCATCGAGCAGATGTGCAAGGCAGAGGCGAGAGCGGCTGAAGATAGCCAGAAGGCCATGTTGCAGGGCGACGTTGTCAACCCTGAACCGCCTTCGAGGGCAATTTCGAAACGCAAGGCCATAGCCATTCAGGAATCCCAACCAGCCGAGCAAGCAAAATTACGAAAATGGTCAGAGGTTGATATCCCTCAGGAAGATTTGGATCAATGGAATACCTTGGTAATGCCGAAGTTGGGCAAAATCCTGGAGTCGGCACTCAGGGATTCGCCGGAATCGTGCAGTCTTAGTCTGATGATGTTTGGCTCTGCGCCGGAGAATGCAAAGACCACCATCTGTGTGCAATGTGCACAGATCAACAAGGTCCGCGACGTACTGAGGAAACGCTTCAGACCCAAAAAGGGCTGGGGCGTCGTCATCCTCAATGGTGAGATTCGACGGAGTGGTAGAAGAAAGCAGCCGAAACGGGCGGGATACAGCTCAACTCGCACGGGGCGCCGAGCAGCGGCACGAAAACCGCGAGAACAGAAATACCAAGAACGCCCGACGAATGGAGCGAGTATCGGCGCGTTCAAAGACAATGAACACCTGCCTCCAGTGTCTTTCGGTGGCACTATTCTAGTCGACGGGGAAGCCTTCGGAATGACAGTCCATCACATGCTAGATCCCCCGAGCGACGATGATGACGATGAAGAAGCAGCAAATGAGAGGGCTATCACTGGTGAACGACCGCAAAGGTCTGCCGCGCCTCGCATGATGTCCATGCCAGGACAATTCGACAGTGTCGCTGCCGACGTGCGATGGATGCAGTCTGACGAAGAGGATATCTCACGGTTGTCCGATTTCGAGATTTCGGACGACGAGTTTGAAGGCAGTGACGAGGGCAGCGATGCCAGCACTATCCGTCCAGACTATGCGATCATGGATGCCGACGGGAACGAGTTCTGGTTTCTTGAGGATTCATCGCTTCCTGAACTTGATGAAGACGTTGGTTCTGACGGTGACGAGGCGTCTTCATCGTCCTCCGACGATATCGATGATGCTGCCTCCATAGGGGACAAGATTGGGATCGCGCCATACTCGGACGACGACCTGACAGTCACTCAGCCCGCTCTCGACGACGTTGATGACGATTTCTTCCCCAATGAAGAAGACCGCGACGACGACCATCTCGCCAGCCATTCGTTCGGCTACGTGTTCGCTAGCAGCGGCATTCGTCGAGTCGTTAGAGGCGACTTGAAGCACGAAGTGGACTGGGCTCTCATCCGAATCAACGAGGACCGGTTGCGCGCCGAGAACCAGATGGTCGAGCACATGCAGCCGTGCGAAATGTCCGCGGCCAAAGCTCAGGCTCGACAGAACCTCGTCACTGGGCTGCAGTCTCGGTCGTCGAACCCGAACTCACAATACGACAAGATGCTGCCTCCCTTGCCTTCTCCTCCTGTTCTCACGACCATCACTCCTCTCACTAAGCTTTCTGGCCTCCAAGTCCACTGTCATGGCCGGTCGTCCGGGTTCAAAAAGGGCCGCATCTCCCAAGCCATGGCGCTGGTCAAGATGCACGGTCGCAAGTCGTTCTCTACGTCCTGGTGTGTCGAAGGTGGATTTGGAATCCCCGGCGACAGCGGCGCGTGGGTCTACGATCCTTTGACCGGCGGTCTGTGTGGCCATGTTCTCGCCTGGGGCGATAAGAGCAAGACCGCTTACATTGCGCCAATGGAGGTGTTGTTCGATGATATCCGAGGCCGGCTGGGTGCTCGGTGTGTAGAGTTGCCTGTTCCAGAAAAGATCCGTCGGCGCGTTGACAATACTACTGCTGCCGCTGCTGCTCCTTACTCTGGTAAGGACCAATTCGGAGCTGTTGGTAGAGAAGTTAATGGGGTGGATGATGGTGTGGCAATCGCCCGAAAGCTGCAAGGGCTGAGCATCACCACCGGTCCCACTGTTGGTGGTGGTGGTGGTGGTGGTGGTGGTGGTGGAGGTTGTGAAAACCCCCCTCAGCATACAGGTTCCGGTCTCCTCTCCAACAGAGAAGCAAACATGACCGCAAACACCTCGAATCTCAAAAAGAAACAAGAGGTCGTGGGTGTAAGGCAGCTCGTGGTCGCTGCTGGTGTTTCTTGACATTGCGATATATTTGACATTGGTGTTGGCGTGGATATTGTTCGATACCACGACTGACTTACAGTACCCTGGAAGTTTTGGTTGCCAAGTGGGTGGACTTGAGCATTCTACAGTGCATATAGCGTACCATGATACCAATCTTGTTGATATTGGATTCTACCTACCTTAAATGATTGCCTGGTAGCATTGATATAATTGATACAGTAACTTAAAGTTGCTACCATGCAGACCCCGGGTGTTACTCTGACAGTCATTGTCACTGCCTTAGGTATTCTCTTTCCAGCTACCTATACACGTACAGTACAGTACCTAAGATAAGTAACAGGTGGCGGTCTTTGGGTGTATGACTGATGTCAATCCGATTGTCCCATCTTCTCATCGTTCTGTACTTGCTCTTCCCTTCCCAGTACCCACCCTTCGCTCCCTTCCGTACACTGCTCGACGCGGCGGCTACAATGGTGTGTGGTGATCCAGTCCAAGATGTAAGAAGATCCGATCGTGACTCGTTCCACGCGGAACCGTTTGGGAGACAGGTCGTGGTTGTGGCTTCCTTCTCCTTACTTTCTATGCATTATTGAGCGTTCAATTTCTCAACCACTTGGTTCTGTCCTTGTCTGTGCCTCTGTCGTCCTGCGCAGAGACATGTAAGTTAGATGGCCCGGCTCTCTCCATTGAGCTATTCGAGCCCATGCCTGACAATCAGCACGCCGTGGGCACGTGGATGTCCGGTGTGATGTCTTGGATGCGATGCGTAGTAGACTGCTAACCCTCGATCTGTAGATATGTGCTGCTGGGTGGCTGAATGATACTCTGGTGCTCGGTCAATGGGAACAAAAGACCTGTGTCAAAATAGCAGGACAGCGTTCACTAACAGCTGGGCTTTTGTCAAGTCGGGCGTTGCATGCATAGCCTAGAAGTTGAGCGATAGTGCGGCCCCGTTTTCGAGGAAAGCTATGCCCTTCAGCATTCCTGGGAGCTCATAGGTGCACTCCACCAACCGTAGGGATCGTTACTTCCCCAGTCGAGGAGCACATGGATTCAGGAGGGCTTGTAGCTGGCCAAGAACATCGGTCTTATAGCACTGCTCGTCGCCGCACCGTGAACTGGCCAGAGTGTATAGCCACTGGCCTGCTGATCGCACTTGGTTTTCGACATTGGTCCATGGCCTCCCTTGTCCTATTTTACACGGACCTGCAATCCAACAATATGCGGAAGGGTGACTCTGGGACTGAAATGTGGTGGCATAGTGTTTGTGCATATCATCTCAATTTTAAGGAGGACTTTCCGGTGCAACTGGAGTGGTCGGCGGTGCCGGTGCAGACTGGGAGCGCCTCTTCGGCTTGACGAGAAGTAAGACGAACATTCCAATGACCAGCAAGAGCAGGAGTAGCAAGATCTTCCGCTTGGTATTTCGCCTTTGGTAATTGGTGGCAACGGTCAGCTCTTTCTCCGCTCCTTTCACGTCTGTTGCCATTCGCTCGACATTGTAATCGATCCGGTCAAGCATGGTGCCCTGATCTATGACCATAGCCTGAAGGTCGCGGAATATATCGGCCAACTCAATGATACCTTTAGCGATGTCATTGATCTCTTGTTCCCGTTGTGCGATGGCCGTGTCATTGCTACGGAACCGTTTCTGGGCCGTCTGCTGAAGGGTTGACTGGCTGAAGCTTTTATCGGCGTCGGACTCCATCAAGGCCGGATCTGAGTACGGATTCTGCACCGGAGTTGAAGATCTCCCTATAGGTGACTCGAATCCGCCAAGTGCTCGAAGTTCTGGATTGGAAATTAGAAACATGAGACAGGCAGCAATAGAAACCATTCGTAGAACTCACTGTTGAGATACAAGCTTTGCTTCTTCCTGAACGTCGCGCTCACTTCTTGCACTCTGGATGCCAATGCGGTCTGCATATTCTTCGCCATAACCTCCTCGCCTTTCTGTAAGTTGCCGGTCTGCTTGGCCTCCCTGACCATAGTCTCGATTCTCTTGATGGCTTTCTGGCATTCCTGAAAGCCCCTTGTGATCTCTTGCGTCAACTTCTCAATTTCGCGCTCTTCTTGCTGCTTGATCGATTCGTCGTCGAATCCTGGCAGGACATGTTTCGCGTGCAACTTGTCGAGTTTGGCAGCTTTCAAGGTAATGTCCTTCAGCACGTCGTCTACCTCCTCTTGCACATCCATCCACCGCGGTGGGAGGAGATCCATTTCGATGACGGCGTCTCCATCGTTCTCATAGGCACTACTCGACATGAGACCTCTTGTCTCCTCGGAGCCTTGGTCGGCGAAGCCATTGGAGCCACCTAAGTATCGTGGCTTCTTCGTCGGATGATGACTGTATGACTGGCGGTATGAGATATAACTAGACATCGGTCAGAAAGCATCCCTGCGTTGAACGAAAGGGTCCCGTACAGATTGGTCCTATCTCGCCACATCTTTACAACTAATACACTGTCTGCCTTCGAACGCTCTCACGCACGTAGGAGCCGTTCGTTGAGGGAAGCGTGCGATCGGCGTCGTTCATAATGATCCCAGAATAATTGACATGTACTGGGCACCCCTAACAGGCGAAGCGGTCACTTCTCATGTCCTGCAAGAATACTCGTAGTAGGCAGACTGTCTTGTGCTGGGCATACGCTGCGCAACGAGATATATTACGGAAGACATATCACGGAGAATCAGTGGTCCTGGGATTCTGGGGAGCCTGAGTGACGGAGGCACGGGTATGGGAAAACATTGTTCCGAAGAATCCTCCTTGCAGGCTGCGTGGCTACTAAACTGCTTCGAGAGAGTGTTACGGGCGACTTGTGTCTGGACTTACAACATTCAGCTTCCTCGCAATCTGCAACTTGCAAAGACACCCACTCTCTTACCCTAGAACTTCATTCTACCAAGCCTCTCTAGAGCAGCCGCTATCCCTGAATACAACTATCGCTAAAACCAGATCGCGCAAAGGTCTTTCAACATGGTAAGCTGCTTACGACCATTATTACCACGTGCGGCTGCGCCTGTGGAACGTTGTCGTGTACTGTTCAGCGACTGACGAGTTGGATCACCAGGCCGACTCATTGACTGAAGAACAAGTGTCCGAGTTCAAGGAAGCGTTCTCGCTCTTTGTAAGTCTTATAGTGACGCTTTTATCAGTTTCAGGCTGACAATTATCCCTAGGACAAAGATGGCGATGGTTTGTTTCCCTCCTTGTTGGCCGTTCTACAGCGCCGCGATCCAAGTTATCAGCACAGCGACTAACGAATCGCACGTAGGCCAAATCACTACCAAAGAGTTGGGAACCGTGATGAGATCGCTGGGTCAAAATCCTTCAGAGTCCGAGTTGCAAGACATGATCAATGAAGTGGACGCAGACAACAACGGCACCATTGACTTCCCAGGTATGAAATGGAAAGAAATCACTTCTACGGCCTTATACTCATTATTAATGACAGAATTCCTTACAATGATGGCTCGCAAAATGAAAGACACAGACTCTGAGGAGGAGATCCGAGAGGCCTTCAAAGTGTTTGACCGTGACAACAATGGGTTTATTTCAGCTGCCGAACTGCGCCATGTCATGACCTCTATCGGCGAAAAACTCACCGATGATGAAGTTGACGAGATGATTCGAGAGGCCGACCAGGATGGCGATGGCCGTATCGATTGTAAGTGGATCTTCCAGCCACTTCATATCCCATTACCAGCACGATGTTAGAGCACGAACTGACTTTTTCTGTCATACAGACAACGAATTCGTACAATTGATGATGCAAAAATGAGTGACGACGAGGATGCGATCAGACATGGCGCACAATAGACCAATTGAAGGTACCGGGAACTTGCCAACAGGACCACAGCAGTGTTATAACCGACTCTGCGGTAAAGAACCTAGCACTTAGCACTGAGCAAGCCAAACCCTTGTTCATCTTCAAGGATCCCATAGCGGGTTTAGCACGTTGATCGTAGAGGAATGAAATTTGTGCCTTCCAGGGTCCACCATCTATAAGATTCTGTCATTCTTCGTGCTTCATACTTCATGGGTATCACTTCATTCTTTCATTGGGCAATACTGCTCGGTTTCCTTGCAAAAAGAATGCCCTCGAAAAGGCCGGTCTTTGCGCGGTTTGCTCGCTGTATCCCCTTCAGTGTGTTTTGAGCCAAGTAAGGATTTGTTGGAAAGCCGATTTCTGAGCTTCTTGAATTGCCGGCGAGTCATAATCGCCATATACTGCAAGCCCTGGCGGACAGTGAGCAGTCGGGTCATTGGAACGTACCTGAGTACTTATGGGCGACGCGACTTACCATGTGGCACGCCTTCGTAGACCTTGATCTCGTGCTCAATGTTGCTGGCGGCGAACTGTTTTCTCCCCTCTTCCAGAATTTCATCGGGGAACAGCGGGTCGTTTTCTGTAAATTGATCAGACGGGTTCTGGGAGTTCATCAATTTTAAACAAACTCACCAACGCAGACCAGTGTCAATGGAGCTCGAACAGCCTTCAAGTCCTCGCGAGTCACCAAGGTAGCATGGGCTACAGCACCGGCTTTGATAAGCGGCCCCTTCTTAACCATTCCAGATTCTTCATCCTCCTTCGCCTGTGCTGCACCGGCATTGCTTGGTTGTCCACCAGCCAGCATGATCACATACTTCCCACCGAAGCAATACCCAGCAGCATAGATTCCATCCCCATGTGCAACCGCGTCAGCGTACTCATCCTTTATGGTATCAATGACTTGAAGCAATATCGGCATGACCTTTTCGGGTGTCTGTCTTGCTAGCCACATATCCACCAAGAAAGATTTGGCGGTTTCGGCAGCTCGCAGCTTGACCTTCTCCAGGAGGCTGGGATGCTCTTCAGCAGGAATGGTCGTGGTGTTTGGTGCTGCGTCGCCCTTGAACTGATCGGGCATGACCACAACGAACCCTTCAGACGCGAACATGTCCGCCTGGACTTGATTGTTGGTGGAATGGACGCCTGTGCCTGGAGTAAGGAGCAAGAGTAGTTTTGCAGGCGAGTTCGGATAGTCGGCCGGTTTCGAGACGTAGACATCGATGTCCCCAAACTTGGTCATCTCACCTGAGGGTTGACGGCCGGCTGGATTGGGCCTGTCAGTTACGCAGTGTTCCCCCATACTCGGGCCACTCTGGGCTTTTGAGTCCTTGGACGAGATGGGCGACTCTTCCATGGCATCAGACTCTGGCGCCTTGGTAGCAATCTCGGGGTCGGACATGTTGCCCTTCAGTCAGTGATGGCTACCTGGGTGAACTTTCGGGATAGAAGATCTGGTCGCACGGTCTTACTCGACTTATAGAACGATACCTGTCTAACCCTGGGGGGATATCAAGGGATTGTTTGTGCCAAGTGTTCGAATATGGGGAGCGATGATGATAGACGGGGTTGTTTGGGCGACCCTGCGCATGTGACGCCGCTTTAGTTTACAACATGGCTTGACTGTGGTGTCCAGCCTCGCCTCTTCAAGTTGCTCGCCCAAATATTGATACAGAGCCATACACTTTTAGTTTAATCTGGCTTGCCGTTGCTCAGCTCACGACTACATCGTCTACTACCTGCACTAGTAGCACTCCTACCTGGTAGGTAGTGCCCCGTTCGGTGAGATCACGCCAACCCGAGCCGGGCAATACAACAACAACCACGTGACGCCAAGTAAATCCACTTTACGCGTGAAACTTGAACGCGTCGAGGCGGCGGAGGCAACAGGCCAGGACCCTCTTTCAAGTGGTGTATTTGTGCCTCTGCCTGCGCCTTTTCGCTTATCAACATCCTCCTCACAATAACCACTTCCACACTCAGTTCGCCGTTCATCATGGGTAAAAGTGCTAGTGAGGCGCTCCAGCGCATCGATGCCGGCTGCCTTGCCGACATCTTCGAAGACAGACCAGGGCGGGTGCAACACCCTGTCGTGCAATGTGTGCAGATCAAGCCCATTGCTGCTCAGCCAGGTGGCCAGGAGCGACACCGAGTCATCTTCAGTGACACCAAAAACTACATCCAGACTATGCTTGCAGTGCATCAGAACTCTCTAGTTGATCAAAAGATACTGCGAAGAGGAGTGCTCGTCCAGTTGGTCGGCTATTCAGCAAACAGAGTCAAGGGCAAGCGGTAGGTCGTCCGCCTCTTTTTCCCGTCATGGCTCTAACATCAAGGTCGCAGTATCCTCATAGTAACAGATATCAAAGTTCTCGAAGACTATGGCGAACATGACAAATTGGGTGACCCCAAACCGTTGGAACTCAAGACTGAGGAGGAAGAGAAGCCTGCCCCGAATACTATCACCAGCAATGGCTTTTACGGAAATAAGCAAGAGCAGCCCAAACAGAACAGATCGATGCCTAGTCACACCAAACCCTCGTCCTCTAGCGCTCATGCAAACATTTATCCCATCGAAGCGATCTCGCCCTATTCCAACAAATGGACAATCAAAGCGCGTTGTACTAGCAAGTCGGAGATCAAGACATGGCACAATCGAAACGGCGAGGGCAAGTTGTTCAGCGTAAATCTTCTGGACGAGAGCGGCGAGATCCGTGCCACGGGATTCAACGACCAGTGTGATCAGCTGTATGATGTGTTCCAAGAAGGCCAAGTGTACTACATTTCAAGCCCCTGCCGAGTGACATTCGCCAAGAAGCAGTTTTCCAATCTGGCAAATGATTACGAACTTCACTTTGAAAGAGACACAGTTGTCGAGAAAGCTGAAGAGCAAGATGGCGTGCCTCAGGTTCGGTACAACTTCACCAATATTGCAGACTTGCAATCTGTCGAGAAAGACACCACGATCGACATCATTGCCATCCTCAAGGATGTCGGGGAAGTCGGCCAAGCCACGTCCAAGACCACCGGCAAGCCGTACGAGAAGCGGGAACTGACCTTGGTCGACAACACTGGATACTCGGTACGGATGACCATTTGGGGAAAGACGGCAGCCTCATTGGACGTCCAGCCTGGATCGGTGGTTGTTTTCAAAGGTGTCAAAGTGTCGGATTTTGGTGGACGGAGTCTGAGTTTACTGAGTTCCGGCTCGATGACAGCGAACCCTGACATGCCTGAGGCCCACAAGCTGAAGGGCTGGTGGGAGTCCCACGATCGCCCAGGCAATTTTTCTACGCACGAAAATGTTCAGGGGGCCGTCTCGGGGGTGGGCTCTCGAAGCGATCCTTTCAAGACGATTTCTCAAGTCAAGGAGGAGCAGCTTGGCATGTCCGAAAAGCCAGATTTTTTCTCCATCAAGGCCACGGTGCATTATATCAAGCAAGAACCTTTCGCCTACCCTGCGTGCTTGTCCGAGGGTTGCAACCGGAAGGTTGTGGAAATTGATCCTGGACAATGGCGATGCGAGAAATGTGACACGACCCATCCCAAGCCGGAATATCGTTATATCATCTCTGCGAACGTCAGTGACCATACTGGTCAGCTCTGGGTCAACTGTTTCGACGACACAGGAAGACTTCTTTTGGGCAGAACGGCAGACGAACTGATGGCAATCAAAGACGAAGATCAGAAACAAGTGGAAGAGATCTTCTCGGAAGCCAACTACAAGACCTGGAATTGGAAATGCAAGGCGAGGTTGGACAACTTCCAGGAGCAACAACGGTAAGTGTTCTCAAGGTCCGTCGCCTTTCGGGTCCAACGTCTAACATGAGAGATAGGGTTCGATACCAGGTCACCTCCGCTGCGCCACTTGACTTCGTGACGGAGTCCAACAAGTTGATTACTCTGATCAAACAATACAACATCGACTAGAGGCATGCACAGGCCTTTGCGGGTTGCAGCTTCTAGGGAACATGGTCCAAGTGCCCGCTGAGGGTCTGGCAACAGTTGCTGAAGGGCGCAGCAGTTGGCACTCCAGCCTTGTTCCCTTGTACTACTGTACTGTGTATATCGACGAGAGGATGTTGGCAGGTCGTTCAAGTTCAAGTTTGCGCAGCCAGCCTGCTTAGTCAGGCGGTTATGATACAAAGTGCGCGGCTGTGAGAACCGTGGAGATAATGAATGATTGCGTCATAACGAAAAGCCAGTCCATGCCTGAGCACCTGCATCTTACTTTCGTTTTCCAGTGATGGCGATAGTGTTACTATTACTGTAGTGAACTTAAGACTGCCTTCGATTTGTCGCGCCGATTGTAGTGCCCATATTCGGCGTGGTGGGCGAAATACTACGAGTTCGAAGCCCCGAAACCGCTTTGGAGCTCTTCTACAAGTGCAGCACTACGATTAGAAATCAGCCATCTGGGTGGGTTGCGATCGGACGTTTGACGCCGGCTACTAGTGTATGGACCGTTCTTCTTCAACCTTTACCAATCTCAAGAACCAGGCCGGAATTCTGCACAGCGAACGACCCCTCCTTCTGGCGAACAACGTCAACATGGCCACTATGCGCGCAGTAGACATCCAAGGAGGCAAGGGCCCGGTCTCGGCCTTGTTCATCAACTCGGAAACGCCCAAGCCGGTGCCCAAGGGCAGCCAGGCTCTCGTCAAGGTGAAAGCTTTTGGTCTCAACCGCATGGATCTCCTACAACGGGAGGGCAAGTATCCTGTGCCGCCGCAAGCACCCAAGACCCTGGGTGTTGAGTTTTCCGGCACCATTGAGTCGTTTGGAAGCGAACCGGAGCGCGGTTTCAAGATTGGCGACGAAGTATTTGGACTTGCCTACGGAGGTGCATACGCCGAGTACCTCACGGTCAGCACGCACATGCTGGTTCACAAACCTAAAGAATTGACCTGGGAGGAGGCCGCCGGCATCCCCGAGACATGGATCACCGCGACCCAGGCATTGTATCTAGTCGGCGAGTTCAAGCCAGGCAAGAGTGTTCTATGGCATGCGGGAGCCAGCAGTGTGAGCATTGCCGGGATCCAGCTCTGCAAAGCAGACGGTGCCTCCGCCATTTACGTGACGGCGAGCACGCAGAAGAAGATCGATTTCTGCAAATCGCTCGGCGCGACCGAGGGCTTCAGCTACAAGGAGGGCGACTGGTCACAGGCACTGTTGAAGTACACGGGTGGCAAGGGTGCGGATGTCATCATCGACTTTGTCGGCGCCAGTTACTTTAACCAGAACCTTGACGCTGCAGCCCAAGATGGACATATCGTAAATCTCGGCACTCTGGGCGGAGCGGTCGTCAAAGGAGATGTCGACATCAGTCGTTTCTTACGCAAGCGCATCAGATACGAGGGCAGCACTCTGCGCAGTCGCGATGAGGCATACCAAGGTCGCTTGAGAGATATGCTGGTGGAGCACGCTTTGCCTAAGTTTATTGACGGGTCTTTCAAGGTCGTTATTGAGAAGGTCTTCAAGTGGGAGGATATACAGGAGGCACATAAGCTGCTCGAGTCGAACCAGACTATGGGCAAATTGATTTGTACCATAGATTGAAAGACGAGCTGAAAATCAAAATTAAGTGATTATCCCTCGCTACATGGAGGTATCGATACAGATTCGCCATCCACTTCATCGGCATGATTTGGAGAACATTCCCAGTCAGCAATACAGAAGACATTTTGCAGGAGAGTCGGAGGATCCTCGAGCCGTCCTCCTATGTTCCAATGCTTCTCAATAATAAGTTACCTACCTAGGTAGTAGTAGCGAGCATCGAAAGTACCTGGTAATGTGAGGACGGGAGACTGTTGTAGTTTCGTGGTCGCCGTGGAGATGAGGCCATACCCAATGCGGCCACGTAAACAGTGGTTGGGAGTGCGTCACTTTCAGAGGCTCATCAGCCTGCGCGACTTTAACCAGCCTCCTACCTCCAGCCTCCAGCATTAGGTATTCACAGCAATCACCGCCAACTTGAACAGCACTGTAAAGTCGAAAGTGAGTCCTCTCCTGCATCCTGCAATAATCGTACATCTGCAAATACTCACAACCGTTGAAACTTCCTCTATAGCTTAGCACGCCGGAAGCAGATAGCGCAGACGCATCGGCCATCTTCTGTCCCCATCTCAGTCTGATCACAGGCCGCCTTCTGCACACTGCGCGAACTTCCAGCGTCAAACCCCAGAATTGAGCCCGGGCCAACGTGCTCCAACCCGGCCTCATGGCTCCTGTTCCCGCACATCTCGATATTCCTGACCTCATATATTCCTCTCTCGAACTCGATTCCCGCTCATCCACACCTGCACCATCACTGCCGGCCAGCCCTGTGATCAAACGAAGTCTCCTCTCTGACTCGTTGGCTCATAACCCGCTAAACCCTATCAATGAAGATGCTTCACCAATTCTGTCGCCCATGGACACATTCAACGTGCTCACTGCTCGTGATGCGAAGACTACGGTCGACCCAAATCCTGGAGCGGGCTCAATCGACCCAAACGACATCAACATGAAAGGTATTCAGGCACTTTTTGCTCTCATTGGAGCTGCATTTGTCATCGGAGGGATCTGGTTCTTTTTCTGGGCCAAGAATGGTGGCTTCAAATGGCGAAAGGGCGACTGGGAAGAATACAAGTCGACAGTTTTGCGGCGCAAGGGACCCAACGGTACTACGCTCAGCAACGCCACCAAAAGCACCATCTTGGGAGGCGGCAGTGTGGTAGGGGAAGGCTACTCTGACAAGGACGCCGCCACGACCATCGACGGCACCATGACCGAGACCATGACAGATATGTCTTCCGAAGCACCCATCATCAAAGAGACGCGTTCGAAGAAGAGCAAGGCAAAGAAGGAGTCGGCCAAGGAGAGAAAACTCCGCGAAATCAATGAAGCTCAATGGGAAGGAGCTCACGATGACGACGTCCGTGCGTATCGACATGAAAAAGCTGCTCGGGTCGGAGGCATCAACAAAGATTCCGATGCTTTGTTCTACGGTACAGATTACACTGAAACCGAGCGCAGTGCTAGTGACATGGCGAGCAACAGCAACCGACAGAGTTCCGCCTACGGTGGTGAAGCCTATCGCAAGTCGTCCCGGCAGTCTAGCCCTGAAAAGCGCCAGAGCCGTCGTGATTTCTCGTTCAGTCAAGAAGAAACCTTCAGTGTGTCGTCGCCCCCACCTGCTGCCACAGCCGCGCCGCAAGGTCCTCGACCAAGTCGCTATCAGTCACCTAGCAAAAATCCAGGTCCCCAACGTCCTATTCGAAATGTCCCAGGCTCCTTCACCCAGCCCTTGGACTTTGATGTCCAAAGCCAGAACACTAAGAGCTACCATCACCCATTGCCAAGCCTGAACGGTCAGGGAAGGACTGGCGGATACAGACGTGATAGACGCGACAGTCTCGACGACTGATTTTCCCCAAGCAATGCGCTCGAACCGGCAGGGACGACTGCAAACGCTGAGAGCAGAGGTGCCTGATTTCAAGTGACATGGATTGGTACGAAGTGACGAAATTCAGATTGTACATTGACGGAAATGCATGGAGGTTGAACAACCTGGCGTACTGGTGGGGCAACGGCATTGAGCATGGCGGACTTGTTGACCGTGGACAAATCCATTGCCACAGCGAGGAGAGATTGTGGGTGGCTCAAGAGAATCACGCTTCACGGCGGAGGACAGGGCATAATTCCATGGCATGGATCTGTAGATAAAAAAATAAATAAAATCATTGTCCAAGTCGATGGAAGACTCAGCCTTGTCGAGGTATTCCCACAAGACTGCTTACAAATTGAGGTCACGTGTCGGGGTTTTAGTTAATGATTCTTCCACCGTTTTATTTCTTCATCTTCTCGCTGTTCTTGAACGGGCAGCGACATGTAGACACACTGGCGGTGAGGGTATCTGCTCGGCACATTAACTACGTTTAGTTGCGGACAATCTGTCGACTGTTCTACAGGGGAAGGAATGATTTCTGAAGTTGTGCGGAATGTTCACCTTTTCCACGTCCAACGTTTCACTTTTAATTATTCGAAATACCAGGTGACACTATATTGGAGCCCTGAGTCAGGGTTTCCCTGCCTACTGAGTCCAGCAATATGGCCACGGAAATGGTACCTTTGGCGCCACGGAGCGATGGACCCTCTGAGGTCTCATCAATCCGGATATTAACTTTGAACTGCTGGGGACTCAAGTACCTTTCGAAGTACCGAGTGGAGCGGCTCGCCGAGATAGGCCATCGAATAGCCACCTACTCGCGACAGCTCGACATTGTCGGCTTGCAGGAATGCTGGACATTCTCCGACTACTTGACCATTCGTGAACGCACAAGATCGATTCTACCATACGGCAAGTTCTACCATTCCGGTATTTTCGGAGGCGGACTGGTGATCCTCAGTCGATGGCCAATCACGGACTCGTCAATGTATAGATACCCTCTGAATGGCCGTCCAACGGCTTTCTTCAGAGGTGACTGGTTTGTCGGCAAAGGTGTGGCATGTGCCACAATCTCTCTGCCGGATAGTCTTCGGATCGAAGTGTTTAATACCCACCTGCACGCCCCTTATGAAAGGGAACCGAACGACAGTTACATCTGTCATCGCACTGCGCAAGCTTGGGAGATATCCAAGTTGATGCGGGCAGCTTCGGACCGGGGCAGCCTAGTGGTGGGCCTTGGAGACTTCAACATGGTGCCGTTGAGCTTCGCCCACGTCCTTATAGAAAGCCGAGCTGGCGTTCGAGATGTCTGGCGGGTACTGAAACCAAGCAGTAGCATTGGTGCGAGTATTGACCCGCCTGAAATGGAACGAAGGAGGCGCATGGGCGAAGACGAGACTCCGGACGTGGACGCCAGTCTGCTTGCACATGGCCACACCTGTGACTCCGTGATGAACACCTGGCGGTGGAGCAAGGATCAGCGCAAACTGTTGGAGAAAGGCCTGGATCGACTCATCACAGGCGATGACCTGGACCCTAAGGCGAAGAGACTGGACTACATTTTCTTCAGTGGCATTGATAAGGGCTGGAAGGTCGCCGATGTCAAGGTTACCCTCACCGAAAGACATCCAAAGCTGCTCTGTTCATTGAGCGACCACTTCGCCGTGTTCACGGAGGTGAAAAGGACCACAAAGGACCCGAGGACGCCAGCAGTGCTCGAAGTTCACGGAGCGTTGAACGATTCGAAAAGTGTCAACCCCAGTCTCGAAGTTGCAGAATTCGAAGACGGAGATTTCGACAAGGCCGTTTCCAAAGCTCCCACTCAATTTCAGCTCGGGCAAGACTTCTACAACGACATACTTGCCATGATCCACAAGTACACTTTGCGAGAGAGAAAGCAGCGAAGATACCGCGTTCTTCATTTCGTCGGGTCTGCTTTGGTTTCGATCGGCTGCTTCGTTGCTGTATGGTGGTCACCGGGCAATTTCGTGTCTTTCATCTTGATCTTGCTGAGCAGCTTGGGCCTCATGGCAGGCACTGTGGACGGGTTGATCGGTGGCCTCTTCGTAGGGTCGGAGCTAAGAGCCCTGGCAGAATTCGAATGGGAAATCCGAAATGCATTGAGTCAAGCAGGCGGACCAGTTTTGGAAGACCGGCACTTCAGAGACTGGTATGACTGAAGACCAGTCTCTTGTCATTGTATTGCCGCCACTGCTGAGCATGCCGCTGGTTGAAAGCGAAATAACGAATCCATTGGGCGTACCAGACTTGGGGGTTGCTTTAACAGGCGCCCATCAACAAAGGCGCTTACAACAGCGCGCGACATGCGGCAGATTTATTCGCTACCAGCTAAAGTTGCTTCCTCATAAATGCCACGTACGATCAATGCGACAAGTCAGCAAAGTGAAAGCAGGAGAACAAACCAGTTGCAGAACTCTGGAGGGTGGCTGGTGCGAAAAGGAGACATGCCGATGGTTGTTGTGGTGTTGTCGCATCAGTTGATCTCGCCTCCGGGGGTGAAGTACAAGTTGTTGGCCTCTCGCCTCAACCCTGGTTCAGAAAAGGCTGACTTCCAACCCGCCTCGACCGCGTCCAACTTCATTCCCACCACCTTTTCCCATCACCACAACACTCGATCACTCTTGCAAACAATTGCAGTTTGATCGCGTACCAACAATCAACTTGTCTCTCCATTTTAAAACGGTTGCGACACGTCAATTCACAAGGTATGTAAATACATTTCTCTCCTGGTTGACTGCCAGTGCCCTGGACCGCTTGGAGTGCGACAACAAGCCTGGCTGCCTACACCACTGCCTACACCACTGCATTTTACTGCTTCTTTCTTTTATTTCCCCTAACTTATCTGTTGTCGCATGTATTTATGTCTTGAACTTCTGAATCTCTTTTCATTCTACCTGGCACAGCAACCCATCACCAATCTGCACATCACCCCCTCCTTTGCCGCGTCAACAATTATAAAGTTAACAACGCAACGAACAAGACTGACAGATAGAGTCGCATAGTCACTCACCTGAGGGTACCTACTACCTCCACCTTGCGACCACCTCATCGAGTCCAACAGGACAAACTTTCACACTAAACTCTCTCCAAAACAATGGCGCAGACTCGCGGCGCAACCGGCAACTCCAAGCCACGCATCTTTGCCCCCATCTCCACCGAACCAGTTACCAAGCGAAAGACCACCACCAAGAAGCGCACCACCGCTGGCACTGGCACTGGCGGCACTACTACCACCACCACTACCAACAAGCGCAAAGGCCCCGCTGCCGGCAACACCGGTCGAGTCACCAAAAAGGAAAAGCGCGCCCCGGCCACGCATCACAAGAGAAAGCCAACGGTCGCGGACAAAATCGAGGGTGCTGTCGAGAAAGTTGTCGGCACTGTCGAGAATAAACCGGGCAAAAAGGCGGCTGGGACAAAGAAGATGCGAGGCACTGATGGCAAGAACAACAAGACAGCAGCGGCCAGTGCGGTTGCCGTCTAAGTTGATATCAACGACAACAACACCTACGGGACAAAGGTGGCTTTACGGAAGCTGCAAACTTGAACTGCAGCAGCCTGCTATCCTGATAGTATCTTAAGCAGGGGGGTTGCGAATGAACAAACATGACATGAAGTGAGGTGTTTATCCTTTCCATGGTTGCTCTATGCTGGTCGATCGATTGATTTTATCAGTTCTCTCCTTTTTTTTTTCTTTTTTTTTTTCTTGATTTGGTGAATGAACATGCGGGACATGGACGCGGGCACAGATACGGTGACTCTATTATTGCTTAGGGAGGTTATGGAAAGGTCCTGGCTATGGCTATGGCAATGAGCATGTTCTTTAGTTATCTGGAACGAAAAGGCATGGTTTGCTTCCTTGATTCGGGTTGGAGATTACACAATACTAGTAGGTGCCTTAGTAACGGAAAGCGCACATCCACCTGTAGGACAGGATAGGAATATAGTAGGAATTTCGTCTTGGGGAGTCGGAATTGAAACCCCCCCCCCTTCGGCCAAAAAGCAATCGCCACAGATACAATATTTCCTAGAGCCGGTCCCACTCGAGTTCAGCTTTATGTTCTTGCCTGATCGTGCGCCCAGGCGAGCTTTATCGGGAGTAGGGTGTGAGGATGATAGAATTTAGCAGACACAGGACACGAGACGCAAGACAGGACAAGATAAGACTGGGTCAAGATAGAAAGACAAGAAGTTGCTTCTCCGATTCGATTCCTCACAAGCTGTCAGGCAGTCATTCAATAAATAACGTCATCTTCGCGACCTTGTTCCAGCTCTCCTTCGCCCCCATGGTCGTCCGTCTGATCTCGGTTTGCTGCTTCATCGGGTCTTGGTCCACCTTTGTCTCGGCCGGGATCTGAAGTAGCAGATTCCTTCTCTTGTCCATCCCCTTCGCTTTGGCCGTCTGTTCTACGCTCTGAAGCTGAAGGCCCTGGTTCGCCAGCCGTATCAGAAGCGTCAGGAATACTTGCCTCATTATCAGCAGCATCAAGAAAGTTAGTTGGGGCTGCTGTGTCTGAAGCAGACTGTCCAGCACCGCCAGTGTCAGGTTGTATCTGGGTATTCTCTGTTCCAGCGCCGTTCTGCGTTCGCCTACCCGAGTCCTGCCCGTCAAGACTGCCGTTGGGCCTTTCGAGGTCGTGGCTCCGAGTCGCCTGCTGGTCCTCGTGATCCTGGTCCCGGTTCCGATCATGGTTGGGATTGATATTGTTGATACTTGGACTGGTATTCGGTCGCGGAGCATTATCCTCGCTTTCTTCTTTTTTGACCCCGTCTTTTTGCGTCTGTTCGTGCTGCTGCTGCTGTTCCTGCTGTCGTCGCTTCGCATTAAATTCATCGAGTTCGCGCCGGATTGTCTCCTCGGCTTCTTCAATTTGACGCTGGATTGTTTCTTCCTCGTGACGCCGTAATTCCCATGGTTTGTAGTACTAGAATACAACAAGACTGTCAGTATTTGACCCTGGCAACAACAACAGGGGCAGGGGAGTAACTTTGCGTATCAAGTGTCATGTTCATAGTACACGCAATTCCAACGGCAACGCCAAATGCAACAACTGTGTTTCTTTTTTTTAGCAACAACTTACCAGTTTTGGCTCCGTAACCGTCCGCAAAAAGCGAGCAGTGGCCCGCAGATTCCGGTGTCTGATATACATGCCCTCCTCATCCCAGTGGGTCTGCTCTATCCGTGTGGCACGGTTGAGATCTTCTCTCTTTCGCCTGGCCTGTTCCGATAACTCCTCGGTCTTGCGCTTCAACCGCTCTCGTTGTCGGTTTTTGATATCATCGCGGCGCGAGTTGCGCTCGATTGTTGCCGCAGTACCACCACCCACACCGCTCGCCTTTCTCGATGGTCTTGCAGGCTGCGACGCCTGCGACAATGTGCCTAGCAATGCGCCGAACAGGCGTCGGTTGCGCGATTTGTCCTGCTCGAGACTTGCCCCCGGGCGACGTCTTGGTTCCGCCTGGCGCGGCGGTGGTGGTGACATAGATTGTCCATGACTCGATCCAACCGCTGCTGCTTCTCGAGAAGACCGTGCTGTGGAGGGAGGCGACGACAAGCTTACTTCGTGGCTTGATGGGCCAGCGGCAACGCTGTCGAAGCGAGGTCTCTTGCTCGACGCTGATGAGAGCGATATCGTCGATTGACGCCGCTTGAGAGGATTGCTTGGTTCGGCATCATGGTTGGTGATTTCCGGCGATCGTGATCGTGATTGAGATTGAGATTGAGATTCAGGCTGAGGCTGAGGCTCTTCTGGGATAACCACGGCTGAGGAGATCATTTGTGTTTATTTCGTGCTCTCTCGTAGAACTTCACAAGCAAGTCAAACACAGTATCATAAGGTGTACAATCAATATTGCGACGAAGAACGGTAAAAGGTATTGAGATTGTTCATGATTTTGTCGCGGTACTAGTACTGTACGACAATGTCGACATGCGGCACCACAGTCGAATCGGGGCCAGAGAAAAAAGCTCCGCATCTTTTGGTCCCGGCTCCGACATGCACGTGACTGTGGAGAACAGGCCTCCAGACTCAGTCTGGACTAGTGCAAGGCTTAGCAATCATCTTGCGCAAGGCTGCACTAGTCCGCATTACGTACGATGTTTCCAGAATGTCGCCTGCAGTGTTATAATGCCATATCCTACCACGAAGCAGTCAGGATCCACGACGATCGGCAAACTTCCGAGGACCGACCCGAAAACAGCGGATTGTAAGGGCTTAGGCTTGGTGACAAAAAGATTGGCGGGTTATCACCCCCATACCATTCTATAAAACGCCAATCTTTTTGTCACCAAGCCTAAGGCACTGTACAACGTAGAGTGACAGCCATCGATGCGGCCCAAAGCCACCGCCACCGTGGTAATTGGCGCATGCAATCCTTCAAGTTCCCCAGGAGCTGCTGCCGCCCTAAGTCACCCGCCACGAGGCTGATCTGAGCTTAAACCAGCGGACACTTTCCCCGTGACATATCACGCATTTACTGTGGGCAACCGCTGATATCTTGCCCCCTGTCGAATCCACTCAACGACTTATCCAAAAGGTCAACTCAAAAGGGCACGCTCCTGAGAAACAAGACTCCTTCTGTTTGATAGGCCTAGCCCTAGTGTCAGAATCCTAGTCAGGTCGTCGATATTTCCTGAACTTAAGGCGGCTTTATCTCGAAGGGGTCGAGGGGGCCCCCCTGTGCAAAATATCCAGGGGTCCACAGAACAGAATTTCCGCCTCTAACCTGGATTTGCAACTACAGATTGTATTCAATGCCACTGTATTCGAACTGGTTGGATGATTCGAACTGGTTGGATGATTCTATCCTATTCTACGAGTAAGAGAACCTTGTTACACCTTTGATGTATTCACCGTTGTTGTCTGTCGGCGTTGTTTTGTTCTTGATACAGTTACACCATTCTCTGGGCCTGTGGAACATCCGAGTCCTCCTTACAGCTTCCGATGCCACAATGGCTCTCTCCCCACAGTCTTATGATACGGCCCTAGTCCATATCACTCTTGCTGTTGCTGGCTGATGTCCAGTCGCTCGTTGCGGACGATCCGACCAAGGATTGTTGCCAGCTCCTTTCGTGACTCGAATAGCGGCCACTGGTAGTCAAGCATGAGTCGCCATTCCATGACACAAAAAGAGGAATACTCACAGCAATTATCAAGATCAAACTGACGAATACAAACGTTGCTGCAGCGACGCACTGAAGAACGAAGAGACCCTTCGGGTAAACCAGAGCGGTACCGGCAAGCGGAGCGGGAATGAGGACGACTGAGTAATTGGTAAGTCATGCGTGGGACGAATAGAGAAGGGATGCTCACGTATGACAAGCAGGAATAGTCCAGTGATGATGCGGAAACGAGTCTGCGACGCCTCGAGCTTGGCCACTTCTTCGGCATAATGCGCCTCGGTCTCGACGGTCCGCCCACCTCCTTCCACCAACCTAAGAGCGGGTTCGTAAGTCATATCGTTTGACGCGACGATGTTACTCTGTATATGTGGGGGCACCTTCTCGTTCGACGGTTTCGACTGCGACGCTGGGTCCGGAGTCGCCACACCACGACCGATGGCTCGAGTGAGTTCAAAGTCGAAAGAGGCCGGCTTTATGAGAGACAGCACTATAGAAATGATAGCACCACTCCCCAGCGCCGACAGAGAACCCGAGAGAATGACTTTGCTATCGGTCAAAGTCGTGATAGATATCGTCTTCTGAGTCGTCGCCGCGGTGACTAGCCAAGCCACCATACCCATGACCAACCCGCCGATCACCCCCAAGAGGGCGCCAGCCTTGTTCAATCGGGTCCAGCACATCAGGAGGCCAATAGGAAAGACGGCGCCGGAGGTGCAGACTGCCATTAGGTAGAACAGGAAATTGAGGTCCAGGCCAATGTACGCAAATGCGGTGTCGATTCCAGCGAGGAAGATGGCCCAGATGATGACCACTGAAAAACATTAAACATGAACGGATTCAGCCCTTAGCGAACCTACCGGCATGGTTTGCTCTCATCATTTCGACGTTTGTTGCTGCTTTATTGATATACTCACGATAGCTGTTGAAGATGAGCGAGGGTCAAACAAGGCCAATACACGTCGAGAACCTACACATCATATGAGAAAATGGTCGACACCGCAACAAGTTGAGCGGACAACGCCGAAGTAGTTGCCTTAGCGACTGATCAGCAAGTATGGTGACAAATACATCTCGTACTCACCATGAATGCAATAATGGTATACATGGCTGGCCCTGCTTTGCCGAGGATCGTCATGCTCGCAAAAGGCCCAGCAAGTCCTCTAGAAACAAACGTCAGAACTGATCAGAAGGAGACCAGAAAGGTATCTTACGCCCCGATTTCTGCCAGAGAAAGACCCTCAGGGTAGGCTGGGAAGGCGGGATTTGTCGCTAGAGCCCTTGCGGCCAAGCCCATCGAGGATCCGACACCGAAAGCGACTATACCCTAGCATGAGTACCTCATGTTGACCTCTTTGGAAAGGACTTACCTGAGAAAAAGAAACAGCCAGCGAAGATGAAGGCCTTGCTTGTCCCCGCCGGCCGCGCTGCGATGCTGCGCTGCCAATATGACCTGTCATTTGCGGTGAGTCATTTTTCATGGTCTCGAGGAGAGGGTCTCACTGATCGCAAAATGACAATCCGAAAAAGGATGTGGCTGCTGTAACAGCATAATCTGTCTCCTCGTCAGTCCAGCCAACCGGAAGAGGGAGTTCACGTACACATGCCGCCCTCACTCTTGAAGGAGAGGTAGGATTCATGCCCGTTACCCGCTGCTGGGGTTTCCTGCGGCGTATTAGCCACCGAATGCTCTACTCTGGAGCAGTGTGGAGAGTTCTACCTTGGAAGCATCCAACAGAAGGTCATACAGCTTGCCAGGTGATCCTATAACGTCGCCCCGCGTGTAGGTTGCCAGGACAAGTACAAGGAGACACGAGAACAAAATGCAACAGTGGAGATAGTCCGCTCTACAGACGCTGATAAGCACTCATTCCCAAACGTGGGGGATATACACTTACACGAAAGTGGCTCGGAGCCCGCCAGTCAGGACTGTCGAGGGTCAGTAGGAGTGAGATCAGACTGACCGAGAACGGACCATAAGCGACGATTACCAGCGGCAACAGCCAGATGGCAGCATATTGGCTGATACCTGTCATTCCAGTGATGACTCCAGCACCGCCGATGAGAATTTCGCTGCCCACCACAAAGTTTGCGACAAGGGCCGCGAACATATACGCTAGATGACCAGAAACACCGAATCGTACCTTGGCCACCTGAAGAAACCTGCCGTCGGAAGATTAATTTCAAGCTTCGTACCGAAAAGCCGGTCGAGGACTTACGTCGAGGCACCACTAGCGTTTGCCTTGATTTTCGAAGAGACGAAGGCAAAAGCAGCGATTTCTGCCTTCTTGTCAGTTCCGCCTTTTAAATCACATTGAACCGGACAAACACCCTACCAACAAAACCTCCCATACCAAACCACCATGGTATCGAGACTCCGTAGAGGTAGGTGAGCGTGCCTGTTTGGAGGAAGACTGCAGCCCAAACCCAAGCCGATGTTATGCCGACCGACAGCCTAGATGTGTCAGATGCCAGCATCTCCTCAAGATATAGATTCTAACATACATTCCAGTCTTGACAGAACGAGAAGCCGAGGAGAACTCCTCCACCTTTCCGGGGTCGAAGTTTGTGTATCTCTTCTGCATCCAAGTGATGCCATTCATGAGCGCCGCAAAGAACGCGCCGCCAACCAATACTGCCTGTTGTCAGATCTTCCAGTCACGCTTCTAGGGCGAGATGACTTACTGGTTGCGTACCCGGCGCTTTGAGGTAGTAGAGACATGGTGTTTGGTTACTTATCGACACGGGCTGGTAGCAATCCTGCGTCTCTGACTCATCCCCGCGCCCATCTTGCAGATACCCCCATGTTTATAGAGAGCACAAAGGACGATGGCGCGAGAGACTCTCGGCAAGTTGTGATGCGCAAATGATCTCGGCCATCCGAGGGCATAGAATTCGACATGCAAGGGTCCAAAAGCCACATGGCAAGGGGATAAATCTATGGAGTCCTCGCCCTAGGAAAAGACCGAAAGCACAAATCGAGCGAATGAATATACAGGATCTTCCGCCGCTGAAATAGGAAATCTGTGGGGCTTGAATGCCTCACTAAACCAATCTGGGCAATCTGGCGGAACTTGGTGAGCCACTCAGGATTCATTCTCGTGACGAGTTCGCACGCCATCGCAAGACAGGAACATGGCTGAAGAAACCAGCGATCGGTCAATCTCGGCTTCATAAATCAAGGTACCTGGCATTTCTTATCATACACTCAAAGGTCGCTGACAAGCCTTGTTGGACTGCGTTGCTCAAGCCATACCATGTCGCAACTGGAGCCACATGAGGAACCCGTCGACCTGTCCGACATCAGGTGGAAGATGCTGGTCGCCTGTGATATCTGCAGGCAAAGAAAGGCACGTTCCTGGCGACTTCTCGCCCGCATGGCTCTTCCACTGAATCTTTCTGCTACAATAGGTGCGCTGTGATGGTCAGAGACCGTGCTCGAGATGCAGCAAAGGTGGGAAGAAATGCACCTTCTCGACGCCGTAAGTGGCTATCACGCCCGACATGTAAACATAGTCGATATGCTAAATGTATATAGACGGCGAGTTGTGATGCATCCCGAGGTCGCAAGGTAAGCAAGCGCTATGTTGAAAGTGACCGCTCTCGCTGAGATTCTTGACAGGGCATCAAAGCGCCCTAGAACAAGCTCTCTTCCTTCGAAACGTCTGGGGAGTTCCATGCCGAGTGTCTCATCGCCGGAACCCACATATTCGTCTACTGCTTCTATAATTTCAACTATGGTGGCACATCCCAAATCAGATGTGAGTAGTATGTCCTCACGGTCTCGCTCCGAATTACTCAACAACAGCAATAGGGGCGTGATACACCCTCCAAGTCAGGCAAAGAACACCTCCTGCTTATCGACTCTGATGACCAAATCGTCTACTCAGGACCTTCTACGGGGATGCCCATGTTTGCTCGCCTTGGCTTGCTTCAAACTGTCGAAGTATCGGAGAGCAACACCGCTAGGACAGTCTTTGCTTCTCACTCTGCAGGAGCTTTAGGTATAATTGGGGTCACGTCATCTTCCAGCGACTATTTCGACCTTTGCCTACATCATTGCTCGCAGGAACTCATGTTCAAGTTAATAGGCTATCACCTGAACAGTCGTAAGTTGGACCCCGCCGGCCGTTCTCTGTGTTTGAGCGACACTGATCAACTCTCTCACAGCCGTCTTCTTTCCACTACTTCATGCTCCTTCCTTCCTATCTGTAAGACCATCAGATCTATCTGGGAGATGAGGCTTATGACTGGCATAGGAATTCGTCGCAGTAACTGAGCGCCGGCTAGTATGCACTGCTCAATATGGCGCCCTCCTGATGAGCATTCTCGCGGTGACGGCGCGCCTGGTTGATAGTGCCAGGGTGCTCCTCCCAGCTGAGGAGCACGATCACCCTGGCGAGGCTTACTTCGAGCTTGCCCAAGACTTCATCAGAATCAGCAAGAACAAACTGGACATCCGCCATATCCTCGCTCTTTACCACCTCGCATTGTTTGCAGAAGGTTCCACCGGCTCTGCGAGTTCCGTCTCCAGTTTTGTTGCGGAAGCTGTTGGCTTAGCTTTTTCGACCGGACTCCATCGCAGTACCACAGAGTTTCATATGGACCCAGTCACGCTGCAGATCCGTACCCGCTTGTTTTGGGCTCTGTATACCCTAGACACCACTTTGGCCTATTCCCAAGGACGACCTCCACTCATTAGATTATCTGAGTGCAGCGTCGACCTTCCGGTCATTGTTGACAACGAATATATCAAAAAGACACAGATTCTTCCCCAACCAGAGGACAGTCCGCCACTGGCAATGGCAGCGGCTGTCAAGATGATCGAGATATACATGGTTCTTGAACAGGTACGTTGTGATCTCATGCCCTCAGGTCTCATTATTGAGTCATTTCTCAGGTTCTGTCTGCGATCAATGCGCCATCAAAAACACCCGCCACCGCTTTCTCTCTAGGCCACCCTTCGCTGCACCGCAGCGATCTCATGAAGCGGGCGCAGGAAAAGCTGGACAAGGTATGTACTTGGCCAACAGGAGGCATAGGACATCATTTTTGAACATTAGTAACAGGCTTGTTGAATAGATCGAACGGGGTCTGCCCCCATATCTGTTGCAAGTTGGCACGACACCTACTCCGACGTCGACCAATCCGGCCTCGAACTTCTTCTACTCATGCCGCGTCCGGACCGTCCTCCAATTTGTTAGGACCCTTATAGCCCGTCAAACCCTCATTGATGAGTTGGAGACTGGCCCGCAGTCCTCGAAGGAAGAAACGAGTCTGGCCACATCGGAAGCTTGCCGGCTCTCTGTGGACACCATCAAGACCTATGCACGCCTACGGCACCTAGGACTGCTTTGCTTTTGCGGCTTTCACGCCGTATCCCACGTCACTGCAGCCGCTCATACACTCATAGCGTGTATGTTGAGGAGCTCCAACCTCGCATTTGAGCACCGACCTGAACTGCTCACTGCCATTGACATACTGCTTGTCTTCTCGTTTCCTTACCCGTACGTCGAGACGGTCGCCCAGCTGCTTGTTCAGTTGTCTCGCACTCTGGATCACAATCATGGTTCAAACAGCCAGAGCGAAGCCGTTGCCATCCGAGTCCTCGCTCGGAGAATGGCACGCTCCCCTCCCCGATCGGAGCCACCTCACTCCCCGTCAGCTTCCTCCTGGCCATCCTGGAAAGGCGAACGTCTTCAGAAAGTTGAACCTGGATTTCGGCTTAAGGAAGCCACTGGGACGCAACCTTCTAACACGCACTCCAACCATGACCAGACTCCTGGCCCGAACACGGCCCTACCGTCTGCTCACCAGGATGACACAACAACACTCAGTGTGATCAATGACACTTCGGCCTGGTTTTCTGAGATACCCACCGATTCGACCGAAGCCCAATGGACCTATCATGCCTCGGATGATTCTATCTGGGATGATGGGTTTTCATTTCTTAATGACGGATTGTTCAGCAAATTGTAGGAGCTTCTACTGTCAAACAGGCATATCTTAATCCCCCCCATCCCGGCGTTGAGATCAATACATCAATCGTCCTCTAAGTCTGGATTCCTTGACTTCTTGGACTTGTCAAAGGCTTCATGGCCCTTGCAAACCATCGCAGAGTACCCCTCTATCTGAATGGCACAGAGGTGAAAACACTCCTCGGCGGTCTCTAGTCGATAAGCTCCCGGATGCGTTTCTTCCACGCCGGCCACGCTCCCCATCGTCCCTCGGCATCGACTTCATCTGGTCCCCCTTCGCCGATCAATTTCAGCAACCTTTCAGCATATTCAAATCTGCGCAGAATATCAGCTTAGCCAGCAGAGCGAGGCAAATTTCTACTCACTCCCCAGGGTGGCCGAGGACCAATACCGAATGCGAATCCGACTCCTCTTCCGGATGAGGTGTCAACTCGAGTGGTGTGCCTGACCAGTAAGCGGCTATTACTCGAGCTTGCATCTCGGAGAAAGGCCAGGGAATTGCTTCTGCGTGGAGCAGGAGGAATGCCAATGTAGGGTCCGGAAGATAGAATATCTGATGGGCGTCGAGGTTATGAACACCTTTGTCTCCAGTCAGTTGTGGATTATGCGCATGCTTCTCTGGTGGGGCAACTCACGGTGTCCGCCTTCCAAGGTAGCGGAGCCTACCATATCTTTTGGTGGTCGGCGGGACTCTGAAGGCACGTGTGGTTTCCTCAAAAGGGGTGCATTGTCGAATGGGGCGTCCGTTGGACGGCAGAATTCGAAGCGGAAGACGAATCCAGTAGCGAATATGATAACCTATGGGGGTTTCAGCTCTGTGGTTGGGCTCATGCGCTGGAAAAGACTCACGTCCACATCATCCAAGATTTCTTCCGAGACAGTGATGATTCTACCAGTGGTGGAAGTGGGAGAGGGCGCCTCAACGGTCCGGATGGGCGTGACGTTAGTGATGTATTCGGCCCATCCTTTCTCTCGTTCGGTGTCATAACGAGGCTTGCTCCTAAGAGACCGATACACTCGGAGTGGCGCCAGAGGGGACTGTTCGACGCAAAGCATGCCGAGCTCTCGGACAATGTCGGCACTTGAGGGACCGGCCCCCACGACCATAACGGTCTTCGTATCGTCAGCGGGCAGATTTGAAGGACGTGGAAATAGGCTTACTTTTCCGGCAAAGGCACTTGCCTCTCTGTACCACCTTGAGTGCAAGATTTGCCCGTGCCAAGCCCATAATCCATCTATGTATGGAATGAAGGGCCTCGAGTCCGACCCGTTTGCCACAACGACGTGGTCGAACGCTTCCTCCAAGGTCGTTCCCAGGTCTGGCGACTGGCTCATCACAGATGGCGTCCACTCTACCAGCCATCTCTTGCTGGAAGGATGGTCGTGGGGTGTATGCCGCACTCGTGTGACCACCCGATTGAGTTTGATATAGCTGGCATAGGTGGCAGCGTGATCTTGTTGATAACGATAGATGACTTCATAGCTAGGATACTCTGTCGTGCCCTGAGGGTAAGGGTGGGAGCGATAGGGCATGATATCCTTGACACGCCAACAGTGAGTGAGAAGTTCATGGAAAGGACTCGGGAACTCACCCTCGGGGTGTTGGCGGTAACACCGGCATACATGGGAGTTGGAGCCGGTGCTGGCTTACCAGACCGTTCGAGGTCGGTTAGAGCGATGGCATGGCCATTCTCGTCGAAGGAGATTTGGCATTGCGGTGGCTTTGGGTCGAAGTTCCTTCGTAAATCTCCCATGAGCGCGATGCTTCCCAAGCACGCGATTCCGAGACCGACTCACCAGAGACCACCTACACTGTCGCGAGCTTCGTAGGCCACGACGTCGAAACCCTTGCGCTTGAACTGCTCGATGGCTCCCAGGCCTCTGAGATTTCGATGTCAGCTGGTAGCTTTGTGGCTCTCAGGAAAAAGCTGCACTCACGCCGGGCCGCATCCTATGATGAGAACCGAGGGTTGCACTTTGACAATCATCTTGGGTGGTAGCATCTAAAGTTTGGTGTCTCGCAAACATGATCTTGAAGATATAGCTCGCAACCCTTGAACCGTGCACATGATGCTGGTCTTCGCCTCGGGACAAATCGTTGTCTTTCGGCTTGCAACTTGCCACAAGCACAAAAGACAGACACCCCTGAGTTCGGTAGGGCCGAAAGCACGCAATCTCACGCCTACCCTCGGATCACCGAGATTGTGACACATTCGCAGCGACCAGGCAAGACGTCCAGGTGGTATGTCCCTCCGTCAGCAAGCAGTATGGTCATCAGTACTTATCAAGGGCACATGGTCGTAAGCAGCCAAAGATACTCCATGGTGTGTAGTCATCCCTGAAGCACCAGAAATTGAGAGACGCAGGAATAACAGCAACTAGTGGAACATCAGCATGTCTGTGCCACTCATCATTCCCCCAACATCTCCTCTAATCGCTGGGCCTGATGCCGTCGTCCTCGACGCGTCGTGGCTCTATGAACCCGATCCACCCACACGCAACGCATATGAAGAGTTTCAAGCTGGCCCTCGATTGCCAAACGCGCGGTTCTGGGATCTGGACGCTGTCTCTGAGCCTCATCCCGACGGTTACGCTCTCATGCTTCCGTCGCCCGAGCGATTTGCCGCTTTTGCCGGTAAGCATGGCGTGGTGAAGGATTCACATGTCATTGTGTACGATGGCGAGGGGGTCTTCGCGGCGCCGCGGACGGCATGGACGTTCAAGGTCCGTTCCTCCCACCCACAATTGAGGGACCATCAGACAAGTTAATGACCCGTGGACTGCGCGGAACAGGTGTATGGGCACGAGAAGGTATCGGTGATCAATGGTGGTCTGCCGCGAGCGAAGAAGGAGGGCGTCAAGCTCGAGACGGGGCCGCCCAAACCTTTCCAGGTGCGTCTGCGTTAGCGGTCCCTTCTCTGCCCCCCTCTCCCTCACAACATCTGAGGCACGGCTGAAGCGACCGATGTGCACAGGAAACCGAATATGGCATCCCTACCTTGGACCGCGACGCGGTTGTCCGTACGTACCCATACTACATGGAAGTGTGTTCGCGAGACTGGACGAACCTAACCGCCCTGCAGAGTTCGACGAAGTGTTGAGGCTAGCACACCGACCGTCACCCTCGGCAGACGGCACTCTGTTGATAGATGCGAGACCTGAGCCGTCATACCAGGCCGGTCATATACCCACATCTCTCCTCCTGGACTTTCCATCATCCCTGCTCGAGGACCCTGACAAATTCACGTACCTGCGAGAACCCGAAGCCCTGAAGAAGCACGTCGCCGAGAAGCTTGGGCAGAATCGATTGGAAGAAATCCTCACTCAGAAAGTGACGGTCGTCAACAGTGAGTTTGGCCGTCTTTCCCAAGAAGAAGACCACTTCGTTGAGTATGGAAAACTGACAATGCTGCGAATAGCTTGCGGAGGTGGCCTGTCGGCAGCGATAAATTGGTTGTCCCTCAAGTCGCTCGGAGTGGACTCTCGACTCTACGACGAAGTAAGCTCCCTTTATCCCAAAACTCGACCGTCAAGGAATGTAGACTAATCGGTTTCCTGTTCAGGCATGGGGTGGCTATTCCGCCCGTACGGGCACTCCTAGAATAACTGGCCCAGACCCTTTATAAACCCTCCGTAGGGTGTCATTGATCATGAGGTTTCGTCCATGGTTTGCGCTTCCCAGATTCCAGTGATCACGTTCTTCCCTTCCCTCTCTTCGACCTTTACGATGGTCGTCGCGCTCTGCCTGAGTTTCTCTCCGTCCGCCTTCCCTTCGGTAACGTAGGATGTCCATTGTCCGACCACGCCCGTAGAGCCTGAGTTGTTTGTAGTCACAATGTTGAGGTCTTTGATCTCGACGATAGAAGCCACGAAGGCGGCGCGAAATTGGATGGTGATGAGTGCTACGAATTCAGTAGTAGTGAAGAAAGTTCCGTTGATCTGAGCAGAGAGAGATCAACCATGAGCATGGGCGCTTTGTGGGTGAAACGAAGAACGAGGCAACGTACGGAAATGTTGGCATCCGGGGCGAGCTCCGTGGCTAGCGCTGACGCTGCGAGCTGGTCATCGGGCTGGAAGAGGGCGCGGGTGAAGAAGGAGTCGACAAAGTCGGCCACAGCGGGGCGAGGCATCACTAAAAGAAGCAGACTGTAGAAGTACTGGACAGCCGGCGATGTTCTGTGATCCTTGGAACAACAGGGATTCTGTATTCGAAGAGTGACGAGGTGAGATTCAAGGCAGATTGTGGCTTGATCTTCCTCTTCTATGATTGTGAGGGACTGGCCTGGTGCAATGCTGGTGGATTCGTCATTTCGGATGGCCGAAATCATAGGTATGTACCTCGGTGAGCAGTCTTAGGCTTTCCTTGATTGTCCGATTTGACTCCCTTCATCTCCTAATATGGCTCGTCATAGTGGACGTCACATAATAATCGATCGTCGCCATAATACCACGAGACTGCAATTGGACAGATGCTGGCGTGCACGGGTAGAGGGCAGATTGAGATACTGGGAGACGAAACAACAAGGTCCGCCCACCCATTGTTGTTAGACTTCTGGTCAAAGAGGCATTGGATGTCAAGGGAACACAGTATCTGACAATGATGGCGCTGCGCAAGCCCCCAGCTGATGGCCCGTAAGTGTCAATGATGTAGAGGACATACGAGCAGAAGACCGACAAATTTCCAGTTCCAAAGGGTATTGTGGCCAGGACGGGACTGATCCAATGGACATCACTCCTTGCGCTCCATGCAAACCAGTACAATCCAATTGGGAGCAAGATACTGCCAACCATAGCCGGGAAGGGCGCTCTTCTGGCGGTAGATGCGTCAAATCATTGTTTGAACGGCGAAGCAGCGTTTACCGGCGGTAAATGGTATGGTCTCTTGTCACGAAGATGGCGGTCGGAAGAAAGACTCCGGTGCCGATTCCAACGAAGATGAAGGCCAGATTCGCCGGTGTTAAAGTGATAAACTTGGATCTCGGGATATGGGGATTGGGAAACAATGGGGAAGGCCGCAAAAAAGGCAAAGAGCACAGAGAAGTTGAAAGCCGTGTATATGCTGAAGAACAGGACGATGGACTCTGTGACCAGCATGCGCAAAGGCCGAAGAATGGTGACCATGATGATGAAGTTGATCTTGGACATGCCCGTGGGAAGAGGATTGGGTGGACCTGAGATAGAAGCGTTTTCCGCGCCTCTCTAGGATGATACGCTTGTAGGTCTCCGACCTGAAGGAGAGACACGACATACCTAATGATATGACACCCCAGAGGAGGATGAGCCACTGAGTCCAACGCCAGCCTTTTGATCAACTCACGCCATGCCCGGGGTAGGGGCTTGATATGAATCGTCTTTCTCAAAGAACAAGTTCAGCTAAGCAAATGCCAAATGCCCTCAGCTAGGCTCCGTCACTGTCGGGACACGATTACTCACTCACCTACAGTATGTGCTGTCAGCAACTTGAACACCGCAGAGCTTGTCCGGAAGCGGGATCTGCGGCGCCATATTATCGTTCCTTGCGTTGCCATCCACTTCTCTTCCCCCCAAGCACTTCCTTCGACTAGATAAATTGTGTTGCTACAGGTTTTCTATGTCTATGAAGCTCAGTAATCTCTGAAACGAAGTAGACCAACCGATATATCTCCCGTTCTCAAACGCTTTGCGACCTCGGTCGGCGTAACCGACAACTTGAACCGCAACTGCATCTCAAATCCGCCACTTTTTCTATTTCCTCCACCTCACCTTTACGCTCACCGTACCTCTTCCTGCAACCATGTCTCGCCATCATCCAGATCTAGTCATGTGCCGCAAGGCGCCGGGCATCTCAATCGGCCGTCTCTGCGACAAATGCGACGGCAAATGCCCCGTGTGCGACTCGTACGTGCGGCCCACCACCCTCGTGCGCATCTGCGACGAATGCTCCTTTGGAAACTACCAGAACAAATGTATCGTCTGCGGCGGCGAGGGCATCAGTGACGCTTTTTATTGTTTCGAATGTACCAGACTCGAAAAGGACAGAGACGGGTGTCCGAAGATTATCAATTTGGGAAGCTCGAGAACGGATCTGTTCTACCAGAAGAAGAATTTCAGGAATCAACAATATTAACCGACCGGGGAGGGATATTCTAGATTGTTTGAATCCTACGCCGTCTGCAGGCGGCAGAGCGAGCGGTTCTGGGTGGATGAAGTACGAGGCGAAATTGTTATGGGCTCATGCTTGCCTGCGGCTTGGACATATGACTCTTGGGCCATCCCAACTGAAATATCGTGGGGAGGTCAGGCCGGAGATTCATCAATCGCGTGCAGCCAAATGGCAGGGCAAGGGACGGCAGAGAACAGAATCGGCCGGGGAGGTCATGAGAGTTCTTCTCAAACGAGATGAGCACATCCATCGTCGCCGTGCTCAACACCATGAAGTTTACTACTATATGTGCCTAAGATCATGGCCGATATCACCGGAAGCAGCATGAGCTCGATGAAAAGCAGAACTTTACCCTCACCCAACATCCGTACGCCGCCCGAACTACAGACATACTGTAGCTACCAAATCCACGAACACAAAGTCTTCAACATCGTTCGTGTACGCCAGAGCACAGCACGTCGCGAAATTCCCGAATGACGGTCTGGTCCTCTTGACTGAGACAGAGACGCGGACTCGACGATTACGACGGTTAATGACTATGGACAATTCAGCCGAGTGAATCCAGACTTCGGCACTTCATTCTGAAACTACTACTTCTCATTGCAACAGCCTGATACTATGCTCCAACACTGATAGTCTAGGGTGCAGACGGGCCGAAAGGGCTTCTCCCGTTGTGTGTACCACAGTATGTGCCATGAAAGACGAGGCTCGGAATCAAAGCTTGATGCAGTTCCGACTCAGAGGCGCAAATTACTTTCTTCACATCATTGCCGACTAAACTCGGCAACTTGATGCCGAGCCTTCACAATACTCGCTGGCCGCAGCTTCAGCAATTCCGATAGCATTATGTCCAGGCCATGGGAAATACAAATAATTATGGCATTGATAAGTCATGAGAAAAAATGGGCGTACGCTCCGAGTCCTCCACGACATTGTCATGAATCTCACTACCACGCATTGCGTCGTTCGGTATCTTTGCATACCAATAGAAAAGTGTCTTGTCTCCTCCTATGTTTTTCTACCTTAGTTTATCCAAATGTACTCCTTCGTCATCGGATGTCATGCCGCAACGAGAGGCGCCGTCCCAGCGTACTGGTACATTGAGCACGAGCATATAGGCATAACCACAGTACCCAATGTACCAAGTATCTGTACCACACACAGCGCCAATACTCGCAGTCACTGCATATCTAGGTACAGTTCTACCGTTTCCCAGGTCTCTTGGGTCTAGCGAACCCGGGTCTCGGCGTACCCGTACCACTACCTGGAGCAGAAGAAGCGTCACCATTCCCACCTTCTCCTTCCGCCGAACCAAGCAGGGCTTTGACCTCTTCCTCGACTCTGCCGCTCAAGTCATCCGGCTCGCCCGCCTCGAGAGTCTTGAGGATTTTGACACCCTCAGCCTCAGCGAGGTACAGCACACTCCTCCGCGAGCTAGCGTAGACCATACGTTCCTTGACCCTGCTGGTCCCAGGACACACATATATAAAGATGACACCATGAGAGTGTGATTGCGATTGCGTTTGCGACTGGGTGTGTGGAACCGCGTACAGCGTGTAACTTGGCCGGTCGGCCGGAATCAGGGTATGCACTTTGGCGGGCTCAACGTCGGATTTTGAAGAGAGGAGAGTGATGGTCTCGGAAGAGATATCGATTCCCAATTGGACCAGGGAGCCCGAAGTAGATGGCAATTGTGCCAGAGCGCTACGGGCTTCGTCGGTGATTTTCGTGTCCAAACGATTGCCGCCGTTGTTGCCGCCGCTACTCGAGTCATGATGGTTCATGAGATTGTGGCCGCGGGTGCCATGTCGTTCTTCCTCCTCGGCGCGCTTGACGGCTTGTAACTCACGCTCTTCGATACTTAATAGCCCGATATCAACCCCGCCGGGTAATTGCTGCTGCTGCTGTTGGTGTTGGTCTTGTTGCTGTTGTTGGCTGGGGCCACCAGACCGTTCTTCCCATTGAGCAGGATCGAGAATCTCTTCACGCTCCGTCACAAAGACGGTCTCGACGAACTTGTCGCTGCCGAGCTCGCGGACCAGCGTGGCCCGGGTGGATGCGAACAGTGTCTTTTGCCGCACGGGCGCCCGTGAGGGAATGTACGTGACGGCCACGAGGTCGGGTTTGGATTGCTCTTTGCGCAGGAGAAGGTATAGTGGTCGTGTGGGGTCGAGGATGTTGTCGAGACTGGGCAGGGAGCCGTGGAATGTCGAGGATGATGATGGGAATGGGATGGTCGGTAAAGGAGTCAGCGATTCCGTCGTAATGGTCACGGGCAAAGAGAATAGGTCGTGGTCCGAGGTGAAGTCGGAGAATGCTTCGTGGAGGTCCGAGGAAGCTGGAGGATTGTAGTGCGGCGGTTAGTCAGGGCACCGTTGATCTGGCAATGGATTGCTTGCAACGACAGGGTAGGAGAGTCAAGGTAGTGAGCGGCTGCAGGAGAGGGGGTACTCACCTGTTATTCCGGACTGCATCGTGGAGAGAGTAGCCTGTATGCAGGTACGCTGAATGGGGTTTGCACAGTGAAATGGGAAGATCTTCTCAAGGTCGAGGCTGGACCGAACGGTGAGATGTGTCGTGTAGTGTTCGTGTACAACGCAACGTGGACAGTGTCTGCGTTGGTAGCCCCAAACAACGTACTAGCGGGGCAATTCCTCTACTGTGGCCTGTTCAGTGCCGACGTGCGATTGCGGTAGGGATTCCAGGCTGCCACAAGTTGGAGAAGGTCAATATCAATGATAATGCAGACTGGGAATCTACCTCAGGCTTATTATTGCAAGCTTTACAGTTACGAGTCTCACCACCCAACTGTGACGGCACGGCGCGGGGACCGCAGCCTGATGCGCTGCCCAGTACTTTATTACTCAGCCTTGCCTGGCCCCGTTACGTGATGGGAGTTGTTTGAGGAAGCTCATGGCCAGACTTTCGCCGGTATAATATGGCCAGCCAGATGGATAGCTAGGTGGAAATCCTTGCGGACAGGAACATGTACTGACTCTTGTTCTTTCGAGACTTGAAAGGTATGCATTCCATGCTAGGACAAGCGCGTCATCTGTCGGCTATATACAAAGAAATAGTACTAGTGGTATCTGGCGCATGAATAGACACTTTTTTCTGTCGCTCGAGAAAAAGCACAAATCACACCCCCTTCCGCATCTCAATATCGCATCGGAAACACGCGGCGCGTTTATTCTTCATATGTCCCGCCCACGATCGCCCAGTTGCTATCTTCCAGCTTCTTCTTCAAGAACTCATACACGGTGAAAGTGACGGCCTGGCCGGGGGCCACCCGCATCACACGGGGAGTGATACCCTTGTAGAAAGCTCTGGCGCCCTCCTGCTTGAACATGTCTCTTGAGATGCCGACGATGCGCGAGATTGCGGTCTGGCCAGGCTCAGCGGGGGTCTTCTGTAACCGAGTCTTGATGGTATCGATGGGTGCATTGGAGAAAGGACCCATAGCGCCCGAAATCAGCCCAATGATGGTTGTTTGGTAACCTGGCAGATTCTTGCCCTCGTACTGCGGCTGTGCCTTCTGCAAGAACTCCTTGAACTCCGAATACGCGGTGAAGTTGACGGCCTGATTCGTGCCTTGTCGCAACGCGGTCAACGACACTCCACGGTAAAGGGCACCAATGCCTTCTTCTCGCACCACGGTCAACAGGGCATGAGGGGCGCTTCGGTATTTAGGGACGTCGAGGGGGTCGGATAAACTGTGGTATTGGGCCTGCATTCGAATCTTGACCACCTCCATGGGCGTCACGACGGCCACGGCTTCGGTCACACCGGCACCCAATCCCGCTGCAGTGCATCAAGTCAGCCATCTAGCACATTCATTTTCGCAAGATATCTCATCAACTTCAAACATACCTAGAAAAGTCGCTCTGGACGACACCATGCCGTTTTCGTCCGCCAGCAATTGCTTGTACCACTCGTACGAAGTGAACCGGATGGCCATCTTGGGGATAATGCCCGTCAGGACGGCACCCAGACCTTTGTAAAGACCGAAGAACGTTTCCCGCTTCACAATGTCCTTTCCGGTCTGTAAAAAGCCTCGCGACTTCTGGCCTGGGGTTCGTCCTCTTCTTGAAAGCTGCATTCGGACTTTGATCGTGTCGAGCGGATGACACACAAGCGCCTCCATCATTCCGGCACCGCCTCCAGCAATCAAGTTGGTAGCGGCACTCGCGGGCTTCTTGCCGCCTTCGCCTTTTACACTTTTCGCAGACATTCTGGAGGCCGATCGTGTGTACGAGAGAGTAAGGTAGATTGGGTTCGGTATCGACAAACTCAACGGCGACTAACGGAGCCTTTCAAGTATCGTTCAATTGTACGCTGTACAGACAACCGAGCTACACCGAGCAGGGCTATTTGTGGACTCTGGTAAGGCGACGGAGAAAACGTGAAAGAGAGAGTGTGTGTCTGTAGCAGTGCTGAGCTACCTCTAGGGCAGGCAAGCAATCACTTTGTATGAGCAGAGGGACTCGGAGACAAGGAAATGATCTGCCAGCAGCGTGCCACGCCCAGCCCAACGCCAATGCGAGCAAACGAGTCCGGAGGGGAGAGGAGAGGAGAGACGAACGAAGCGGCGGCGATCTTGAAGAGGGTGAGATCACACAGGCTTTTTAATGAAGCACTTGCAGAGGAGTACTAGTATGCGGCCACTTAAGCTATGTTTATGACTCGAGAGTCGACGACCCGGATGGCCGTTCTGATCCGAACAAGAACACGACGGTGAGGGCAGAACCGCACTGACATGCGCGCGCGGGTTTCGATCGCATCGAAGAAGGTTTGCGGACTTTCCCCCTTCCGCCGAGGTAAGTGTGGGCAGCACTACCGTCATGTTAGCGAACCGGGGGTGCGCATTTCATCACTGCTCTCCCACTACTGGGCCAGGGTCGAGCCCAGGCACGGGACCAAGCTGGACCAGAGGAGAAGAAGCCGACTTGTTTGCTTCCGTCTGACTGGCCACAAACTGGGTCGACGCTGAAGCTAAAGAGTGTGGAGGTTCTGGCCTTCGTCCAACGCGGAAAGTGGACGGCGACGGCGACTTTTCTGTTCTCGGCGTTTGTGGGGGAGAACGTGAAGAGATCGGAGGAGACAGAGCCATGCATTGCAGAGCGCTTCAACGGTATACTGTTCCAGTCCTACAGCGCCATCTTGCGTAGAATCTCCAGCTGCACCTGTCGGGAAGACAACAGACACTGGCAGCATGCGTTACAGACCGATGAATGCATGGTCTTTTGCATTGCACAACCAGCAAAATACTGATACGAAAGCGCTCTACTCTTCCCCGCCAAAACATGTGACTGTCCAACCTCGGCAAAATTGTTGTTCCATTCCACAACTAGATGCGCTTCGCTTCCGCCCTCTACCAACACGAACACATTGCCATGTGTCTTTTGTAGCGAGCACTCCAATATTCCCGTCGGTGCTGCTTATTACTCTCCTGCAAAAGAACTTGTTAACTCTTCTCACGATGCTCAGGCTCTCTACAGATACAACAGGACACTGCACAGGCAGCTTGAACTCGGACAATCCCCCTTGGTGATCCTCGCACCCTCGGCCACCACCCCGAGCATTATCCGATCCGCCGAACAATCGATGTAGCAGCAACCTTTCCGAGTCGTCAGCCGTACCCCAGCCTTTCCCGAAAATCTCCGAGGTGTGATGTCGGGTGTCTCCCGTCTTTCAGCCTCCTCCTTGTCCACCCGCACATTCGTATGCTACTATAGTAGTAAAATAGTACGGGGTAATCATTGCCCACAGCGTAGAGCTGTAACCTAAGATCCATTTGACTCTCAGAGTCATTATGATTTCCAACGTCTGAGTCATAGCTGTAGCTGGAAAGTCTTCCCACAGCCTTTAACCCTTGAACTGTGATGCATGATAGTACGACTATAATGATGAGTTTGATTGCAGCTAGCCTATGACTGATACACGACTTGCTTAGGAGGGTTCTCCAGTCAGCTCCTTTAGGCGACAATCGACACCTCGTCCTGAGGCAACATTGGCCGCCTTCCCAAGAATGTCCTCCTGAAAGCCCACCAATGTCGACACAACGATTGACTAAACGAGCCTGTACATGGGTTGTCCACGAAAGATGCACCAGAAAAATCCTCCTGAAACTCCAGGTATGAGCCGCGAGGCAATGAAGTTGTAGAAAAGCAAAAGGCCACCCACCGAAGTCCATCCATCATCTTCAGGCATATAGAGTACAACCCTCCATCCGCTGGGGTATAATGGCATTTCGCGTAATCAAAAAAGAAAATTAAAACGGGTAGATGCATGGATGAGCAGGCCTTCTCCCAGGTTCGTTAAGGTTGCCATCAAGACGAACGGTTGAGCATGCGGTTGAGCATGCCTTCCCAGTTTGCCCGGTTAGAAGACTCCATCAAGACAAACAAGCAACCATCAGGGCCTCGTAATGCTTGTCAAAATGGATTTCCCCTTTGACGCGCTGGATCAAGTCCTTCTTGTAGCGATGAGCATAAGCACGCTTGACCTGGTCGAGATGGGCGCGGTCCCAATGGACCCTGACGACACGCTGGACGAGCAGTTTATCTTTTGTGCCGGGGCCGGCCATGGCATCCTCGAGCTGGACAGCGTCGGACATGATACGATCAGAGGCACGACGAACCATCAACAGCAACGCGTCCTTCATGTGGCCTGAGAACTCGGACTCGATCACCTTCTCCAGACTGCTGTGGTACTTGTGCTGCCAGTGCTGGTTGATGGCGCGGATTTGGCCATCGCTCCGGTTCGCCAGGATGCTGCATACCGTGACCTGGTCAGTACCGATGCGGGCGTCCATGGCGCGATGGAGATCCGAACAGTCGCGGTCGAGGTCCGCGGGAATCACGGGCGTCGACTCCTCGTTCCGCGTGGCAGCCATGACCATACTGAATAACTGCTCTGTCTTCATCGACAGATCGCCCTTGACGTCGGCCTCTAGCGTATGCTGAAAAGTCTGCTGGTAAGCCTGTTTGATGGCGCGCATGTCGGCGTTGGACCGGCCCAAAAGGACATCATTCAGGACCGACTCTTTCGTTCCCAGCCCCTTGATCGCGTCGTACACGTCATACACATCGTTCATCAGTGGCCCCCGCACGAGCGCCACCAGGCCGTCGCGGAAGTATTTCGAGGTTTCGGATCGTATGTCCTTTTCCAGATCGCGCCGGTGTAGCTGGGTATATGTGTTTCTCAAAAGTGCCATCTGCAGCGGGTCCGGTTTCGAGAGGATCCGGATCAACGTCTTTTCATCCGTTCCAAAGCCTTTCATGGCTGCGCGCAGGGCGTTTGCGTCGGCGGACGCGTCTCCATGCGCTTGTGCGCGAGGGTCGTATCCTGGTGACGGCAGGGCAGGCGGACCGCCGTATTGCTGCGGTGGATATCCGCCTGGGCCAGGACCATAGTTGCCTGGAGGAGGGAATGCGCCTCCTGATTGAGGAGGATATTGACCTTGAGGAGGAGGCCCGCCGTAGCCTCCATGCGGAGGCGGAGGATATCCTCCTTGGGGTGGTGGAGGATAGCCGCTGTGCTGAGGCGGACCTTGTGGAGGGTATGGTGAGCCGTAACCTTGCCCGGCAGGAGGATAGCCTCCCCACGGAGGCTGACCTTGCGGAGGACCGTAGGACATGGTGATGTTGGATTTCTGAAGTTTGAGGATACCTTCTAGTCAAGGGACACACGCGCACCCAGTGAGGACAAGAGATTCGAGCGATCGGTGTCGCAATGCAAGGATACCACAGTTGCTGTCTTTCAGAAGATGAGTGTCAGATTTATACAGTCTCTCCAAGATAACGAGCACAAGCTACGAAGGTGTTGGCTCCTTGGCTTTGCACCATCTGCTTTTCTTATTATTTACTAGCAATGCCAGCGACTACGCCATAAGTGAGGGATCATTGGGACTGCGGGGCAGAATGACAGAAGTTGAGCAGTGAAGCGCAGTGCCGCGCCCTACAATCTATTGTACTAGTAATCGTGGCTTGGATGTTGGACCGCGCCACACCAGACAACCGCCGCTGTGATTGGACCGCCACAGGCCTCGGCTGCGTGAAGTCTACCAGTAGCGCGAGGCTGAGCTGTGGCGGAGCCTCGTCTCGTCGTCTCCTACGGTCATAAGCTGCAGATCTGCTCCAGTACTGTTGTACAACACAACATATCACTAAAGTAACATACTGTCATCGCAGGACCATCAAGGCCCGCAGCTGGATACTGAATAATGCTTGGCGACTGATACAGGTAACAGAATCGCATCGGTTCGACGGTGCAAGACCATTCATTGATGACACAGAATACGCATTCGTACTATACCTAACTAATAACCACAATTTCATGCAAGCAAGTTTACTTCAGCATCATCGTTATGCCCCTGGCACACAGCTCTGTCAAGAGTACAGACGTGCAGCACACTGCACCGCGCTACTCGGCAGGCTCGTCTTCATGGAACACCAGAGTTCTGACCTCGATACTCTCCCGAGGAGGGGCATCCACCGTCTCAGGATTGACAAAGGCGGTATGTGGAACCCTCCTGGCACGACCGTCGAGTTTGGAATCGAAGCACTTGATCAAAACCACCTCTTCGGGCGTCTGTCCGTACAGGTAGTACCATTTATGTTCCGGATTCGGACGGACGGTGTACGTCTCGCCCCGACGGTCAGGGTAGATCAAATCCACGCCCACAAGGTCCGAGTCCGGCACCGAGTGGGCGTCCGCGACGGCGAGAGGATCTTTATAGATGGTCTTGATGGGTCTCCAGACGTTGATGATTTGATAGCGGGTCTTGAGCAGCTTGTCCGCCTCGTCTGGAAGATGGTGCGGGACTCGGGACTTGGCTGCGCTGTAGCTCTGGTCGATGTGCACTCGATTCACAGGCCCGCGGAGGTTGACGGTAGGAGTCTCGCCGCGTTGGTCCTTGGGCTGACGGCGGATGGTGTGGTCGAAGATGAACACGCGCGAAGCACCGGTTCTGTTTGGTGAGTATGTGGGTTAGCATATGCAACCTCGCCGGAAGATACCGACAAAAGGTAAAATGGTCATCACTCACGCATCCTTCAACAGCTGTTCAACCTCCGGGTAATATTGGGCTTTGATCTGTTCGTCGTCCAGGAACTCCTTCTCCACGCTTGCGTGACGGTAGATCTGGAATCCGTTCTTGTCCAGAGTGTATTGATCCTCCTCGCCCCGGATGTCGTGGACGGTCACGTCCAAGGGTTCGCTTGGTCGGTCATATGTCTCTGGTTTGCCGGCAATGTTGGGAGGGGGACGACTCCCATCACCAGGATATTTGTAGTAATTCAGCTTGGTCTGGACATGGTGCTTCTCTGGTTGAGAGGTCAGACTACTGCCCTTGACCTGCGTGGTCAATGGTTCAAAAGAGGTGGAATGCCCCGTGGGCTGCTGAACTGCTGCAGATGCCATGGTGATGGTGATGCTGTTGGTGGTCGTTATTGATACTACTCACCATGTCAAGTCCAAGCCGGGGAAGACATAGCCCCTTATGTATATGTTGTATATCTATTTGTGATTTGTCAGATAGCACGCCATCTCCCATCTCACACGCGCCATGATCGTACAATACGTGGGGTAAGGCGATCCAAGACGTGTGTATATCAACTCGCTCCAAGTTTCAGAACCAATCGATGGCTTGGAATTAGGATGACGTGCCCACATCCTGGGACATCGTCTTGGGGTATTATGCCATACAAGAGGGCAGGTACAGGTCCGTTCCAACCGTTGGATATCGTGCTTATCAATCCTCTATATGTGATTATATTTCCTTGCGCACCAATTTGGTGATGGTGGTCCCGTCGCTGAGTATGTCGGCTTCCTCCTCCAGCCGATAACCCCTATACCGCGGTAAGGCCACGGTCCAGACGAACCAGTAAGCAATTCCAAAGACGAAACTGTGGTGGCGTCAGCAACTGGCCAGACGGATCAAGGGAACCAACAATGCTTACATGACCAAGCCCACCAATGCATATGTTGCATAAAAGAAATTCACATCTGCCGTGCCCTTCTTCGGAGGAAACAAGGGCGCCGTGATCAAGGATAGACAGAGCAAAATCCTAAGCCAGACAGCAGGAATCCAAGCCTTGAACGGGCGGTAAAGGTCCGGTCTCCGGGCTCGTAGGTAAATCAAGCCAGAAGCCACGGCCAACGCAAAAAATTGACCCGCGTAGCCTTCAACATCCGCGATGAAGGAATAGACGGTAGATGAAGGCGGCAAGACGATAACCAGCACCGATGGCACGTAATGAACGATAAGACCACCCATTGGCGACCCAAACGGTTTGGACGAAGCGAGGATACCTGCAAATGGTAGAAACCCTTGTCTCGCTACTTCTTGATTGACTCGGGCCTGGGGGAACGTAGTTAGCCGCAGGGGGAAGAACGAGAGCAATCAGGGACCATACCAGGGCGAATGTCACTACCATGACATTTCCTACCGCACTGAGGGCAATTGCCAGCGGAAGAAATTTGTTTCCAAACCCAGCCCCAAAGACACGCTCGAAAAAGAGCGCAGCGATCAACTCTCTGCTCTGCTTGACCTCCTCCAGCGGGACGACTGCAAGGTACGCAATGTTGATCAGGACGTACATGACGCAAGCAGTCAGGAGAGCAGCAGGCCCCACGGTTTTGATGGTCTTCACGGGGTTCTTCACCTCGTTAAGGACGTTGTTGATATTGCTCAAACCGGCATAGGAGTAGAGCACTTTAAAAAACGCGGTTGACAAATTATTCCACTCCCAATTCGAGCCCGTGAATAGTTCATCCCATGCCGCCTCCGAAGGAACCTCCAAAAGGCGTGACGACGTGTCGGGACGAAAGATGACGACAAACAAGCCTGTAAGGATCATGAACACGACAAGACCGATTTTAAGCCACCCGAGCATATTTTGAATCCAGATTCCTGTCCGGTAGAAGCAACTGTGGACAATCGTGATCCAGGTGAGAAGACCAACAGCAAGCAACTTGGTGTTGAAATCCCCTGGAGTGGCCCCCGCGGCGAAAAGAGTATATTTTGCAAACACGATGCAATTGCTGGCCGTAAAGCCCAACAGCACGGCTTGAACGGCGACCAAAGTGGAAGCGAGAAAGCGCGGTTTGCGATAGGTGTACTCCAAGTAGACCTTGACGCCGCCTGACCGAGGAAGCATACATCCATATTCCATATCAATGGCTAGTCCAGCCCAAGCAACGAGAGCTCCGATCACCCAAAGTACCAGAGCCAGTCCCGGACTCCCGACGTTTTGCACAATCGTGCCGGGCATAGCAAATATCCCGCTTCCGATGACTCTGGAGATGACCAGGACGTAGGCACTGCCCCAACCGATGGTTCGACCGGTCGTCGACGTTTCTGGGAGGACATCGTTGTCGACCTTCCGCTCCTCGGCGACGGTCAACAAGGGAGGCGACTCTACATCTGAGGAAGCACTGTGGGATGAGGATGAACTCGGGGACAGCAAAGGGGAGGTTTCAAGGTTGCGCATTTCCACGACGGTCGAGAACTCTGCTAGACCTAGGTCGATGTCCGCGGTGTTGTAGGGCATGTATCAAGGGATGGGAGGCATAAACGCAACATCGAAGCTCACTCCGGGCAGAGTCCCAGCAAGCAACCGTGTTGATCGACGTGAAATAGATGTACACGGAGATATATGCTGACAAACTGGAGACATGGTAACATGGACATTGGGGCGGCAAACAGGCAGCCCGACCGATGGCAGGACGAGACGACTTAGTCGCATCATATCGCGTCGGCTGACAGTCGCGTCAAAGAGGTACGCTCAGACGTATGATTGACTTGTCCCTGTTTGAGCTCTGAAACTGATAAGGCAGCCAGGTTTGTGAGTGGCATTCCTCATCTCGCTCGGCCATCACGCAATTCCAGGGGTCATTGGCACTGGCAGCCAGGGACTTGGCCAGGATTACAAACTCTTTGTTTCGACGTAGCCGTGCCACCCGAGGGAAACACTGGTTGATAAGTTAGTCCATAAGCATTGCATTAAAGGTGCACCGGGGAACATAGGTGATGGACATCGTTGGACCAAATTTGACGTGAATCTGTCGTCGAGAAATCACAGTCCATCGTCCGTGGTCATGTTTGACAGTCAACGCTGTCGCAGCCCCTATGGTCCGCCGAAGTTCAATTACGGCGGTGCATTACTGTGCTTGATGTAGGACAAGGGGCCGATTACTCATCATCCGGGGAAACCGATGATTGAGCCTCGGCCCAGCAAGACATCGCGAGCGTGCGGGCATCAACGTCCATCAGCATGCAGCCACATTGTTCACATACAGCTGCGAGGGCTTCGTGAACAGTGTAGATTGTATCCTGACTCTTCCCTCTTCTCCCATTATGCTTTCAGCGTGAGAACCACAAGATAATTGAGCAGCTGAACCGAGGAACCCATCACAACTTCGTTCAAACTCCATGAGGTGTTGATATAAATACCTGCTATTCTCCCGTCACCCAGGAGATACTCACCACCTGTCCGGATATTGAACGTATCCGATATCAGCCTCTCCTCCATATATATACTTTATACTACATTGTCATCCAGTGCACCATTCGCCTGACATTCTTCGGTTCCCGTTCCTGGCTCAGGCAAACCGACGAACAAACAAGACAATACGACAGCAGCTCGATCCCCCACGATGCCACCCGACAAGATCAAAGTCTACAACGACCCACGAGTTTCCTTGCACAGCGCACACTTGAACGGCATCACCTACGGATACCTATACAGCCCAGCATACGCCAGCAGTTCCACCTCTCCCAATTCCTCTCCCACTACCTCCAACTCATCCCCATCCCCATTCACATCCACCAAACCAAAACGAGGCACCATCTTCCTAGTCCACGGCTTCCCCGACCTCAGCATGGGCTGGCGCTACCAAATCCCATACCTAACATCCCTAGGTCTGGACGTGATAGCAATCGACTGCATCGGGTACGGACGCACCGACAGTCCCCTATTCCATCTCCAATCCTACACATACCGCCGCGTAGCAGACGACATAGCCGAACTTGCCCGCCAACTTGGACTTTCATCTCAAGGAATCATCCTAGGCGGCCACGACTGGGGCGGCGCGATCGTCTACCGCGTGGCCCAGTACTACCCCCAACTAATCCGGGCTGTATTCAGCATCTGCACGCCCTATTTCCCACCCTCTCCCACATACGAACCATTGGCTCTTCTGGTGCGAAAACGACTGCCCAATTTCGGGTACCAGCTACACTTTGCCTCGGGCGAGATCGAGGCGAATGTCCAGTCGAGAGCAGAAATCCGCCAGTTCCTCAACAACATGTATGGGGCGCGGACGCCGGAAGGGACATTTGCCTTCCACGCCGAAAAGGGAATCGACTTGGCCGCGCAGGCCCGTGTGGGAAAGAACAAATTGCTCGATGACGACGAGATGGATTACTATGTGGCCGAGTATGCCAGACATGGCCTCAATGGGCCTTTGAACTGGTACCGCAATCGAGAAGAAAACTTCGTCAACGAGTGGCGCGACCTTTTCCACCATGGCGCAAAGAATCCCCAAGACGTGCTTCGCGACACCACCATCCAACAGGAGGTCTTGTTCGTGCTGGCTACCAGGGACCAGGCTCTGAAGCCTTTCATGGCTGATAGGATGGCTGACCGTATCCCGAATCTGACGAGGCGCGAGGTCAATGCTAGCCATTGGGCACTCTGGGAACGGCCAGACGAGTGTAATCGTCTCATTGGCGACTGGCTGAATGAAAAAGTCTTTGTCAAAGATAGGGTGGCTAGTAAGCTGTGACGGCAGGCTTATGGTGGTTGTTCGTAAAAGGTCCATGTTGGCAAATGCGCATGAATGAATGACATACTTGTCGATAATACTCAGGCAACACTGTGTCATGAAGTATGACTATAGTAATCCCAGCGTTCGATCTATCATATATGGAAGCTTGGCCAATCTGGATACCTGTCTTGTTGGTGACCAAAAAAAAGTAAAATATAAGAATAAAATCCTAGTTTATCAACAAACGAGAAAGTGGGAGCTTCTGCGTGGATGGTTGGGTACAGCCCTTTTCATCACCTTCCGGGCATATTCCCTCTGTATTGATTCATTCATAATTGCATTCCCCTAACATCACTCAAAATCAACTCGGCAACCGGCTCGGTCAAAGTCTCATCGACGCTCAGACTCAACAGTTTCCCGATCTTGACATTAATTGCGCTCCTGCGGTCATTGACAATGCCCCAGATGCGGTCTTTGATGTCGAATTCTGTCTGATAGTCCAACAGGAGCCGCTCGAAGCGCGCCTTGTGGTCCAAGACGCTCAGCTGCGGGTCTGATCCCAGTGAGATTGTAAGGGCAGATTTCTCGTTCTCCTTTTCGGTGTCTTGTTTTGGCACATGCACAACTACGGACGGCGTCGCAGGGTACGTCTCGATAGTCACGACGGCGTCACTTGTGCGGTCGTGCCCGTCAACCATGACTTTTAGGTTTTGTGGGATCTCGGTGATGGCGAGGAACCGGAACGTCCAGTCACGAGCACTTGAAGCGCGCACTGTGAGCTCGCCCGGTTGTTGTTTGTACTCGATTTGAGTGGAGCGTTGTTGGTCGCCTGTAGTAGCAGGAGCAGCAGTAACAGCAGCCGCTTCAATCCCCTCGGACTTGTTCACCTCCCAATCGTCGGCCAGATCTTCGATGACATTGAATTTCCCGTCACGGCCGACGACAACAAGAACCTCAAAATGTTTCGGGTTCGGTCCGCCATTCTCCGGTACAGGGTTGGCATCCAAGGGGATGATACTTCCCTCTCCCGCCAGTACGGGGATCTGATCAAGCGCGCGGTACATGTTGAGTTCCCTGTCACCATCGTAGACCGTGCCTGTGAAGATATCTACGTGCCTACCTGACGGAGGCAACCATACCTTGACCCGGCCCAGGTTTGTCCGCTTGTCTTTCGGTGTCACGATTGGCGCCACAACCAGTTCCGACCCAAAGAAGTACTGGTTGGGCACTTGGTACGCTTCTTCTCGCTTCGGGAAGTGCCAGTACATGGGTTGAATCAGCGGTTCATCTTCGATCGACCCGAGCACGTTGCAGGTATGGAGGTACGGAATCAGACGATGGCGGAGACGCATGAACTTTTCGATGATGGTCTCGTTCTCCTTGCGGTACAGCCAGGGCTCCTTGGACGACCACCTCGAGTTGGACGAGTGCAGCCGCATGATGGGGCTGAAGACGCCGAACTGCACCCACCGTGTTACCAACTCATCGTCTCGAGCGCCACCATAGTGGCCACCGATATCGTGACTCCACCAGCCGTAACCGATGTTAGATGCGGTAGCAGTGAATTCGGGTTGGAACGCTAAAGATGCCCAGGTCGTCACCGTGTCACCGGAGAAACCAACTGGGTAACGATGACTTCCAGGGCCGGCATAACGGGAGAAGATGAGTGGCCGCTTGCCGTCATGGGCGCTGTCGAGAAAATGGAAATGATTTAGGAGCCAGAGAGGATCAATCCCTGGAACTTTGGTATGGGTCCCCTGTTGCCAATCTACCCACCAAAAGTCTGCAATTTTTTCAATGTTCCGATGGAGGATGGTCAAATAGGCCTCCATGAACTTGGGGCTGGTCGGGTCGAACAAGATAGGATTTCTCTTCGAAGTGTCGTGGCCCAGAAACCTGGCCATTTCCTCGTACGCATCTTCATGATGGTGAATGCCTGCATGCGGGTGATCATTCAATGTGATTTTCAAATGCCGGCGGTGAAGTTCGCGTCCAAAAGTCTCGGGATCAGGAAACAACTTGTCGTCCCACGTGTACCCCGTCCAGCCTGCATGAGGCACTCGCTCGTCGTCCACCAGATGCCAGTCCATATCAACCACTGCAACCGATAATGGAACCTCTTTCTTCCTGAACTCGTCCATCAACTTGATGTACTCATCTTGGTGGTACTTGTAATAGCGACTCCACCAGTTGCCCAGGGCCCATCTGGGCAGGATAGGTTGCTTGCCACTAAGCGCGTAGAAGTCCTTGATGGCCCCTTTGTAGTCGTGGCCATGGCAGAAGAGATATCCATCGATACGGTCCCCGGGGAGCCGTCCTGCCACGAACCCCTTGCCATCAAACAGCATGGATTTACTATCGTCGACGTCCGCGTATCCGAAGCGGGACAACACCCCCGTGCCCATGTCGCAACGACCATCACACTCGTCTAGAGTCCTGGCCGTACCGCCTAGGTTCTCGCGCCTGTCATTTTCTTCGCCGTACCTCCATTGAGCTCCCCATAGCGTGACTTTGGCGGAAAAGCTACACAGGAGCCCGCTGGGATTGAAGCGTTTCTTGTCATAGCTGAGGTGGAAATGGTCGGTGATGATCTCGAGCTCATCTGGGTGATCGATTGTCTGGAACTTCGGCACCGGGAAGTCGCGGTTGATGGCAAACGTCGATGCGCGATCCTCAAACTTGCCGTCGTAAGCCCACTCGTAACGGAGCAGGCGATCTGTGAGCAACGTAAAACGGTAGTGAGGGCCCTGGACTATGACCTCAGGGCGAGCCAGAGGCGTGCTTTCAAAATGATAGCTTTTCATGGCTGGCTGGCTCGCCGGACGCTTGAGGGCACGAAAAGCCCAAAGAGCAGAAGACAGCCTACGATTGTGATAAATCGTGACGGATGGGTCGGAGTTGGGAATACCAGTGGTGCTTCGATAAGATTTTAGGACTCAACTCTTTTATGGCAGCCGCAGCTCAGTCGTCGTATCCTCAAACTTGACCTTGAAGAAGATTAAATAAAGCAGGCATGTCCTCTGTTCGCCCTGGCGTTTGTGCCGGTGACAGAATCTGAGGCCAATGTCATCATGATCTCCATCACTCTCTTGCGGAGTATTGCTCGGTGAAAAGAGAGGACCACGCCGTCAAAAGTGGGCTGATGAGGATGCCGATTCTATCCACTCTTCTTTATACCGGCTGGTCTAGTCTACTCCTCTTGGGTTATATCAAGGTCGCTCGCTGCTTGGTGCAAGGGAATGAAGGATCTCAGAAGCAATAGGGTTGTATTGGTTGCTTCTTCTGAATTTACAGAATCTACAGTCTTATTTATTTGCAGTACAAAAGGTGTGTCACTGTCTTCAACACCACGTTTAGTGAATACTGGCCACTGCCTGTAGTATTAACACACTACTTCATATATCACTTGCCACGAGGTCCAACAGGAAACCGGTTCATGAGTCTGCCTCACAGAAGAAGCCGAATCAATCCAGTATCAACATTACCAGCATACCGTCGCTAGGTAGTGAGAATTTACTACTATATCCAAGCAGAATATCATACTGCCAACAATATCTGAGGCGATCCCTGTGCAGCACTCGCTGCCTCCGTCACAAAAAAAGAGAGCCCCCCATTTACGGTACCGCCTTCTTACATCCTCCACAAACAGCCTCTCACTTTCCAAAGGACGATAACAATGTGCGACGAATTAGTCCTCCAAGATATGTCGTCAAATGTTGATACACATGTCAGATGTTCGTCACTGCATTCCCTTCCATTCCTCTTTCCCAAGAGATGCTGGTCATCGCGCGGCATCCATCGAACGCCAGTCAACTCCGTTGCTCCTGGCAAGTAAGCATGATGATATTCCTCCTGCCCTAGATGCAATTTCCATACAACCGCTGCTAGCACGCATAACATACTTCACACCCAAGTTCGACGCTTCATGGACTCTGTGTTGCAAGCGATTGCGTTTCTTCCTCTGTTTCTGGCGTAAAAGCCTCCTTGGCGCCTCTTGCTTCTGCAAGGAGAGTAGCTACCTCATTCAAAATCTCCGCAATGGGCATTGCTTGATCGACGAGTGCAACTCCTTTGCGGAAGGGCCTGGTCATATGTCGAAGTTGTAGCGTTGTCGCGCATGCCTGAAGATGAAGCTCATGTTAGTCATCCACATGAATGTTGAGCATCTGCGACTGCTCCTGCTTACCTCGACTCGAGTGACCTGATGCTCCAGCAGATTCATCATAAACCCATCGGTTTGCACACCCCCACGCTCCTTCATCCTGGTAAGGAGGCTCAGTTCGGGCTTGTGGAGTCCAGCCGCTCGCTCGGGGGCTTCCAGACAGCTACACAGCATTTCTAGCCGCAGTGCAATGTCCCAGAGCTTCCAAACTTCGTCAAGCTGTAACTCCTTTAGTTGAGTATCCTTGCCCAGGCTTCCCGGCTGGCCTTTATCCTCGTTCGTTACTGGACCAGTATCCCCAAGTTGAACCTGCTTTTCAGCTCCAGGTGGGATCGTTAGCCTGCCAGCAAGCGAATGTGGATAGATCAAGTAGAGGTATTCAGGGTTCTCCAGTCCTTTCAACTTCTTCTCTCCTAGGTCTTTTACTTCGAAGCCTTGGCTGCTGAGTTGACGAAGTTCTCTGCGAATCTGATTTGCAAGCGGGTCATCATTTACCGTCTCGTCGGAGCCGGTGGAATCTCGGCGATCATCGTCTGCATAGCTTTCCAAGGTCCTTTGAATCTCGTTGATGAAATCACTGCTTACGCTTATTTGCCCACCGTCTGCGACGGCGGAAACACGGGAAGCTTTGTTGACCATAGGACCAAAGTAATCCATTCGGCGGGTGATCGGATCCTGTTCACACACCGGCCGACCCCAATGTAGTCCCATCCTCACCGACAGCCCTCGATAAATGACATTTCGATCAGCGTCAAGCTTTTCTTGACAATGCACCGTCTCCAGGATCTCGGTAGGCCAGGGCAATTCCAGAAGATGACTTTGACAACTGAAAGCCCATAGAAGGGCGGACGTGACGGTCGGAAATGACACCATGAAGGCGTCACCTTCGGTCTTGACCTCGTACCCACCAATGATACGAAGCTGTCGTCGCATGAGCTCGTTGTGCATCATGATCGCAGATCTCATGGGCACCGGAAGTATCTCCCATAGTGCGGTCGAGTTCTTGATGTCCGTGAAGCATATCGCAACATCCCCCACAGGAGGTTCCGGTTCTTCTAGCCTGGCGAGCCGAGAGTCACCGACAAGCGTTTCGCCCTTGCGTCTCGCTTTTCGTGAGCTTGGAAAGATCGCCCCCTCATCGAGTCCGATTTCTCTCGCCATGGACAGACTAGTTCCATGGTAACGACGGTCTCGTCTCTTTCGTAGATCTGAAATGCCTAGGACCATCACCATGATCTTATCCCTGGCGCCAAAGCCCATGGCAAGGTCTCTCAACTTCTGCGCAGCCAGCATAAGATCACCCTTCTCGGCCCGGGCCGCATCAACTGCCACGTCGACCGTGACATAGTCCCAGAACTCACGAGTAGCCACAACAATGAGCTCATCTGATTCACTGACCTCGCAATTGAGAGTGTGTGGGGCGGCGATAACAGCTGGCATATGGCTGTAATAGCCAAAAGCTCGACTGACTTCGAGACTTTCATTGAGTTTGCCCTGTCGTGAGACATACCCCCCAGCCTCTCTGATTCGCTCGCGTTCGGCGGGTTCAGCAGGGTCGTGTTTCTGCGTCAGCTGGCGATGCTGACCATTCGACTGAATCAGAATTGCATCAACGTCACCAACATTAGCCACGTAGAGTTGTTGACCTTTGAAGTATAGCACTGTCGCCACTCCTCCAGAGCTCAAATCGTCGGGCCCTAGGGTGTTAGCGACAGTAGAACCTCGGTGACCGTTCGCGAGCCGGTGTTCTTTGGTGTCAAAATTGCTGCTGGCGAAATTTGCCATATCCTTGTTCATGCTCAAGAAAGCCCGTCTAAGGGCATCAAGCGAAGTCTCTTTGGAGTTATCAAGCTTTTTCAACTCCCCGGCGAAGACGCCCGAGAAGTTCTCGTGCAAATACTTTGCAACCCTGGAACCACCACTGGACATGGTTTGGCCGTCAAAAATGGCAATCAGGATCTCGTCGTCCTGACCTCGGAAGTTTGGTTTGAGCAGGTCGAGAGTGGACAGGTGTTCGTTCTTACCCAACGTGTCTGCCATCCCGTACGTAAGTGCCCCAACCAACGAGGCAGAGGTCCGGACGCGGCGATCCTCATTGTCATCTGGAATCGTATTCGTCAATAGTGTCACATCCATGAGACCCAGAACTCGTAGGTATTTCAATGTGTTGAAACTCGTCAGATCTGTCGTTTCGTTACGATCCATTGCGTTGAATTGTGTAGGGTTTTGATGAGCAGGCTTGATCTCCAATCGCCTGTTGGCTGAAAAGTTGAGGTATTTCAAATTGGTGTTCCGATTCCAGTTCCAATCATAGGGCCAGTTCGAGACATTGTATTTCAAGGCATTGCTGCCCACGTCCAATGTCGACAGCTTGTGGACGTTGCAGAGCTCCGCAGGAAGGACCTGAAAACGATTGGCATTCAGGTGCAACACCTTCAAGTTGCTACTCTCCTCGAGGTCATCCGATGGCAGGGATGTAAGCCGATTGCCTGAAAGATAGAGCTCGCTTAGCTGGGGCCAACGACGCAAAACACCTTGAGGAACGTCGTCGAGTTCGTTGTAAGACAAGTTTAGCACCCGCAGTTCGGGGAGAAGGGCCAATTCCCGGAACACGTCGTCATCCAGCCGGTTGTCTGCAAGGTACAAGAACCGGAGAGATCCAGCAAAGGTGTTTTGAAGCCTTGCCTGCGACATGTTGGAGTCTTTCCGGGTGGCGGTGCTCATGGAATATTCTGTATTAGTCCGTGAGATCGTCGAAGGCTTTCGGTGAGGCTGGATGGACGACGCAACAGAATTTTTGCGCCCGCTGCTTGGGGAGCTACCAATGCTCATCATCCCTGCGGAAGCCTGGCTGGGGCGCCGCGCTTGAAAATCCTCAAGTTTACCAAGCTCCTCGAAGCTGGGCGACGTTGATAACCCCGGGGTGGTGGTCGGGGTCAGGTCTTTGACATCAAGAGGAGGCGGTGCTGCACCCTGCTTGGGAAAAGTCTCCAGAACATTGGACGAAAGGTTGAGAGTTTCCAATCTGCGGCAATACCAGATCTCAGGTGGCAGGCTCTTCACATTGCATTCGCGAAGATTGAGGAACTTGAGCTCAACAAGACATCCGATCGAGGATGGGACTATATTGAGCGGATTTTTGGCCATACTCAAGTACTCCAATTTTGACAGCCGTCCAATGTGCGTAGACATATTCGAAAGATGGTTCTTGTTCAGGTTGAGCTTTTGCAGGTTAGGCATGTAGTCGAACATGCTCTCTTTGAACTCAACCAGCTTCGCTGAAGCAATGTTAAGGCTCGTCAAAGTTGGAACAGCTTGATCAAGTTCGAAAGACGTGACAGGGCAGTGGTCCAGCACCAGAATACGGAGCTTTGCGAAGGAACCCTTGAATGTGGTTATGTTGTTGTGTCCGACCAGTAGCTGCTCCAGGTTCGGAAGCTGAGTCACGCTGTCAATGCTCGTTATGCCATTGAAACGTGCATCGATCTCTTTGAGGTTGGTCAGACTGGCAAAGCTCTCGTTGAAAGGACCTTTCAGGTCATTGTTGGTCACCCAGAGTCGTTCGAGAGTCGTCAGTTGAGAAATCTTGGGCAGAGACGAAAGCTTATTAAAGCTTATATCAAGGTCTACTAAAGATTTCAGGTTGCAGATATGTTCAGGGAAGGTGGTGAAGTTATTTGACGACAGGTTGAGGCTGCGAAGTTGCCGGAAATATGCGAAGGGGGGTGGGAGCTCTGAAAGTCGATTGTTCGCCAGCTTGAGACTCACAAGTCCCATAAGCCTGTGTAGCTCAGCATGGTCGAGTTGCTCGAGTCGATTGTTGGAAACATCAAGAACGGTCAGTCGAGTGGCCGACGCCAGGCTAGCTGGCAATCGCCATGCCTCGTTGCCCGTGTACTTGATCTCCCGGAGATTGATACAGGCAGTAATAAAGTCCTTGGGAACTCGCAAGGCGAGGTTCCGTGACAAGTTGATGGAAATAATCTCAGAGGCTTTCGTGTAGAGGATGATTGGAATCGTCACGAGTGATTTGCCCGACAGGTCAACATGGCTAAACTTCTGCATCTTGTTGAATGCAGGGTCATTATCGAGACCGCTCCCGTACCCGGTCTGCTTTTCATGGCTGAAGGTGAACCGAATGAGGTAGCTGTTGTCTTCTCTACCAACGTCTTCGATGTGATCTCGCTCGGTATAACCTGCAAGTTGCAACAGTCTCTTCTGCATGGCTACGGGGCGTTCGGAAGCCCCAAGCTGTCTGGAGAGTTGGTGCTTGCGCATGAGCAGTTGGTAGCTGTCAATGGAATCATGAAGGACGGACTTCTTTGCCAAAGACTTCAGCACTTCCGCTACAGTAGCATTAATTGACATCGACAAGGTCGCGAAGGTGCCATCTGTTCTGAAAACTCTCATGAAGTAGGATATGCCGTCCTCCTCTTGGATAGCCGGAAGGCCGTTATCGGTAGCTTCAGGCAGACTATCGAGAATCTCATCTTCCTGGCCTTTGACAGCCCAGCTATCAGGCGCATCCCAGGCGGGTGCGGACAGTTCTGAAGCTGGGGTGGCAGCGGCTTTGCCGGCCCAGATGCCAGCATCACCAGATATTTGGGGCACTTGCGGTTGCGCAATGATATCCGACAGGTCATCGAAGTTGGTGTCGAGACTGAAGACGCCTGCTTGCATTGGCGCCTGCTGATTCCCCAGTCGGGCCTTTTCCGAGGCCTCACTCTGACCGCTTGGTCCGCGATGCTTGCCATGACGGGTGAATCTCCCGGACTTGGACGAGGATGTAAAGGTCCGGTCGATTTTGGGCGAGGGATCCGGGGGCTTGATGGTGGAAGCGCTATCAACGGAAGCGATACTTGTTTCCCTATCTCGCTTGTTCTCCGCTGCTTGCGTCTCCGTAGATCTAGTCGACTGTGACCTACCCTTCTTCGATTCTTCCGGGGATCTGGCAGGCTCGACAATAGGCTTGACGGGCTCGGGGGGCTGTAATTGTTTCTCCTTATGCCGCGATTTCAATTTCGAAAATAGCGATCTCTTCTCCGGCTGAGGGGGGTTTTCTTTGCGAGAGCTAGGGGAGGGACTTGCATTGCGGTTCAGCGCTGTGGAGGAACTCATCGGCGTCATGGTTTGCGGGGTGTTGCGAAATGACCCCAGATTGCTTGTGGATGCTTCTCGACTGGTGGAAGGTCTCTTGGGAACAGATGTTGGAGGCAGCAGACCCTTTGGTGGATCCTCCTTGCTCTTTGTGTGGCGATGGAGGAGGCCACGTCGATGGGACGAAGTGCTCGAAGCCCCGGACTGTAGAAATTCGCTCTGTTGCTCCTGCCGTATCGGCGCGGACCCGAAATTGGAAACATCCTCGAAGTTCTGGTAAGCCCAAGGCGTCACATCACTAGAAGGAGGGGGCGCTGGAGTTTTGGGCCTGTCTTCCACCGTGTTCTGCGTCTGCACAGAATTGCTACGCTGGCCTGGCGGCTTCTCCGTGAAACTGCCTTGGGGTTCTTGGTCGGGGAGATTTGACGACGACCCTTGCCTTGAATCCATCGGATCCTCGCCAAAGAAGCCCTTCAAGCTTTTATGATACCGTCCATTGACCGCGCTGCCCCGCGAGCCTGTGCTGCTGACTGTCGTGGCACTGGCAACGGAAGGCCGTCGTGCATCGATGTCAAAGTCGGGATAATCCGAGATATTCGTCCTAGCTGTGTCTGGCCGCATCGACAAGCCTTGTCCTTCCCGGCCCATCGGGACATCGTTGAAGTACGACTGGTTGAACGGCCGGGTGCCTCCCATTTGTGCCTGGGGATCTTGCTCCCAAGGTGCAAAGTCAGCATCGTTGGGTGGGCGACTTGCCCAGGGAGCAATATCGGCGGAAGTTGCTTGTTGGTGAGCAGTCGGCAGCTGACGATTGCCGGCATTCGACGCCGGGCTAGAACCGAAGATAGCCATGACTATTGGAAAGGGAGAGACCCCAGTGGCCTCGCTCCGCAAAGCCGTACTGCTCGACGTCGAGAGTCTTGGTGACTGAGACAACGGCCGCTCTAATACGGGCTCGGTCTGTTCTTCCAAGAGTGTGTTTCCGCAGCGCTCGTTTCCGGACCGGCCGACCACCCAATGTCCACCCAAGAGTTCCCTGATCAACCAAAGTCGGTCACTAACCTCGAGGGTCAGGTCGATGCTTTGAAGAGAGCAGAAGCTCCGGCAGGAGGCGTCACAGTCATAGACTAACCCTACCCACGCGGTGCGTCCCAAATGTCGACGACTGGTATATAGCTATCTTCTCCTGCGTATAGCACCGGACGCTGATGGAGCGGGAATCTGTCCACTGCACGCAGTCTTCAGCTCATGGTCCTCCGTGGTCGGTCCGTATCTCGCTCCTTGCGGAGATTGCTTTCAATGATCATGCTAGAGCGTCCGACCGGCTGTATGTAGGATGATACGCGGAGGATTCGACGCGCGACGGACGATAGGCGGCGTGTTGAAGCAGCCTTTTTGACGAGCTCGACCACGCCTCAATTGGATACGAGAGTAACAGAGGGCAGATGGTCGGTCATCGCGCGGCTCGATCTGCTTCAGGGTCTTGGACCACGGTGAGAGGCGGTTGTCAAGACTGGGAGTCCACCTGGGGGTGTGTTCTTCGATCGAGGCGGGGAAGAGCGTACACGAGTCGCGGAATCGACGGGGAGAATCAAGTCATCGACGAGCTCGGAGAGACTTGCTGGTAACGAGGCGCGCGCCGCTCAGCAGGCCAATGGAGCAGACGAGGAACTACTGATCAATAACTAGGTGATGAGAATGGCTCGAGCAGCCTGATAGAACACAGAGCGCATGGCTCAGCAGTGGAGATGATGGACGACTAGAACAGAGCGCAGGCTCAGGCTCAGGCTGGTCTGGCTCGACCATCATGTATTATTGGTATGATCCATCCAACAGGCCTCCCGAACCGTACAGTACACCAGTAATAGCCACACCCACTGGCACTCGCTGACTGCAACGACAGGGTCAGTGCCTCGCCGCCGACCGAGTAACGAACCATTCAATTCCCGCCCGTTCGGCAGTGCCCCAGCAATAAAATGCATATTAGGTACCCTCGTGGTCCCCCGCCCGACACATCAATTCAGCCCGCAACATTGAACTTGAATGGAAACAACCCATGAACCACTGCCCCAACCCAGCGTTGGACAAGGGCTACCCAGGCTTCCAAAGCATCGAATCCAATCATCGCAGCATTCAAGTTGCTGTCCGTCATTCCCCTCAACCTGCCATCGTTTCATCCCTGTCAAAAGAGAAAAATAGGCCCAAGAGCCCTTGTCGACTCTGGGTCTACGAAGACTCGAAGGGCTACGGTGCGTGGTACACTGCAACATTCTTTCATCTGTCCACATTCAACTCGAGAAAACTCTTGGTGTTGAAAATACATGCTTTCCTCTCCATGTCTCAGCCTATCGTGAGACTCCCAATGACCTTCGGTTGGTACCATGCCACCAAAAGTTCTGGTTTCATCCGCCCAATGTCACGTGGTTACAGTTGTACATACTGTACACCATCCCCCGTGCTGAGTCGCATCCAGTCCTGCCTTGCTGAGAGCCAGTTTCGGTGTGCTACAATCTGTCATGTAAGATGACGAGTAATACCTACTGGTAGGTGATTTTTGACTGTACTATCGTGAAAGGATTCGTAGAATTCGAAGAAGGCGGGATCCGTTGGTTGAAAAGATGTCATATTACTATATTCGTGTTGCACCGGGCATCGTTAAAAGAGCACAGCATGGCAATTGATCCACCTCTCGCCATGCTGCGAACCAATCCTGTGAATCTGTGAGGACGCACAGTCGATCAAGCCGACGTTACGTCCACTGCGGGTTTCGCGTCGCTCTTGAACCAGGGCTGGTCCTTACCTGACGCTGTAATCGTCTCTACGCTCGGCAGGGACTCTGGCCCAGACAGACTCGGGGTTTTCGAGTGTTCTGAGACCGGCGTTGCGGAGGAAGAGCCTGAGCTTTGAGCTGTATTTGTGTTCCCGTTGTGCCCGCCGAAGAGACTCTTCCACCCACTTTTGCTCCCCAGGCTACTTTTCTTTTTGCCCTTCTTGTTCTTTTTCGACTTTCGGTCGCCGTCCAAGTGCTCGGCAGCGACGGTACCAGGGTCGACCATTGGGCGGCCTGCTGGGCCTGACGGCGCTGATGCTTCCTGAGGAGGGGGCAGGGAGGACGATGATGGATGGGAGCGTTGCTGTGCCGAGTTGGACGAGGCAAATGAAGGAGAGCTGGAATGGCAGGGTGATCCAGTGGGCGTGTGTGACATTGTCTCAACCACATCCGCGACAAGGTCTAATTTCAGCTTGCTGCCTGACTTGCTCGCATCTTGAGCTTCTTCGGCGCTGTCGACCTGGACTGGCACTATTTTTCCGTCCTTCTTTGCAAGTTTCAGCTTTAAAGGCCGAATAGGCTGAGGCGTATCCGAGTCACCGAAATCCCGGGGCTTCAGTCCAGGCTTGATTGCACTCTCAGCTGGGATCTTGAGGAAATCATCCAACGCGGTCATGTCGGCTTGGGGCACACCTTTTTCGAGACCCTGAGACTGCTCTGCTGGCGTAGGAGGCATTCTGGCAGGTGAAGCTTGTGCTTCTAATTCCACAGGACCAGGTTCTTTCTCTGACTGTGTTTGGGACTCCTTCGATGCTGATGGTGCAGGGACAGACTCTTCCACATCACCTGCAGATTGAGTTGCCATGCAAGTCTCCTCCGGTTTGGCGGCGTTCATGTCAGTTGTGCTTTCTCGGTGGGCTTCTCCTTCTGGAGGGGATTTTACTTTTTCGTCGTCCTTATCCGGTATAGACGTAGACTCTACAAACGAAATTGCCGCAACGACCTCCTCTACCGGGATTTTGGTCGGGCCAGCCTCTTCGGACAGTTGTGGAACGAGTTGTACAGATGGCTCAGGTTCTCGTCCAGACTGTTCAGTTCCGTTTCCGGGCTTTTCAAACACTGGCTGCGTGGTACTTGAAGACTCCTCGCTGGACAATGGCGGAGTCGAGCCGGCAATCGGGCCGAGATCAATAACCATCCCAGCCTCCGACAGATATGTCGGTTCTGTGGCGATATTTGCAGGCATTTCCGGCCCTGGCTCACCCAGATCGGACTGCTCCAAGTCTTTGGGTGTATTGGAGGAGGAGGGGCGTATCTCATGTTCGTCGTCCGCAGGCAACTCCGTAGGCGGGGTAGCCATAGACATGACAGCCGGATGGGAAGTAAAAGCTGGATTCCGAAGAGATGACCGTCGGGTTGCCGGTGATGAGCCCACGATCGAACCGTGGGCGGAACCTCGCATGGCAGGAGGGGAGCTTCGATTCGACTGTACAATGGTGTTGTTGTCAGGTGTGATCATCCCTATAAAGAGAGCTCCCTCATGAGATGTGAAGTAATCTGCTTTTGTTCCGGAGCCTGGAGCGGAAGTAGTGACATCCTGCACGGGTGTGCCTTTGGATTGTGTAGATTGAGGCGTGGGCAATAGCCCAGACACTGCCGGGGATTTTAACAAGTCTCCCAACGCTTTTGGGTAGTATATGCTCGACGCTCGATGCTCTGAATTGTCTCTAGGCATGAGGCCCAAAGTCATGCTCAAGCGATTCTTCACAGAGACAGGGGCTTGTCGCATCATCTCCTGTGGGACATCCGCTGGCAGCTCAATGGGATGGTTATTTGCAGGTCGTCTGTTGAATTCCTTAATAGCTGGGGGACGCTGCAGGGCATGCTGTACTCGAGGTTCATCTTGAGTCATTGCTGGAGATGTGTAAGATCTTTGGCAGAGTCCTGCTCGGAGTTTGCCCTTGCCTTCAGGTGATCGCTGCAATTGACTAGTTGAAGAAGTTGAATGGGCTGCCATGCCGTAGACTGACTTTCGGCCACTGCTGGGTCCAATCGTGATAGCAGTAATCTGTGTACCGCGAGAAGAAGGTCTTGAGGAGGACTGTCGACCTGGTTCTGACGGCAATGGCTTCAGATCCGCAAGAGAGGTGCCTCGAGATTGTGCACGGCCTGGTCTTGCGAGATTGGGCTGATTCGACTTCTGTGCCTTTGCCTACAATAATTAGGGAAAGGACAACACGGAAAAGGCATCGGCACTTACAATCAGATTCCTGCTAACAACGGCTGCCCTCTGCTCCATCTCAGAGACAATCTCACCGAGCTTCGTAAGAGACCCGGCTAGCTTATTGCCTTGGAGATGCAGTTCCAGAAAGGCGGTGCGCCAACCTTCCACATTTCCAAGCATAGCCACAAGAACCGCCTCATGCTCGGGCGACTCCCGCCTCCAGGTGGAACTGAGTTTGGTCAAATATTTTTCCAGCACATTAGTGGCATCAAAGCCCTTTTGCACGTCTTTTAAAGCATCTTTGGTAGCCCTCTTAGTCCGTCCAATAACGTGATCAATTTTCTCATTGCCGTCTAGAATGGATGCTCGAAAGGCACGGTCCTCCAGCATGCGATCGAATACTTCTCCGTGTGCCAACGGTAGTTTGAGACATCGTATTCTTTCGTGGATGTCACTCTGGGCAAGATCAAAATCCTCCGTAGTTCGCTCCAAAAAGCCGTCAATGTCGTCCACATGGGATTGTAATATTCTCATCACCTCCTCCTCCGATATTGCCATATTGTGGGCCAGCAAATGCATCCCGAACGACATTTGGGCGACCAGTTTCCACAACGGATGGTATTTTTCACCCGGCTTCTGCGTCCATCTGCCAGCGATCACCCGTTGATATGTTGGGGCCTCCAGGAGCATGGTCCTTCTCGTCATTGCGTCTGCGGGTACGTCTTCATAAAGTTGATTGTTGATCGACTCGATCATGGACTCTTCGAACGGTTTCTGTAGCTGCGGTACCGGATGTGCGGGGGGTTGCACCGGCGTTTGGACATCTTTGATGCTTTTGTCGGAGGGCATATTGGATGGGTGTTAGGACTCGACCGCGAATGCACCCTGGGGTCATCGAAACAAGAAAAGGAGGGTATCGGGAACTCTTTCTGTTCGCACGTGTCCCCTCGGCCGTCTTGTCATGTTAACAGTACAGATGTACCTGCCCGCAGTGACATAGCACTGGAGAAGAAGGGCGTGGACGATCGCGTCGTTCTCTAAGGAACCCCGCCGCGGAAAGCGATCACTAGACGACAGCCTCAACTTGGTTCTGCCAGCTGAGACGACGTCTGTGCGACGTTTGCGTAACCAGCACCTGTCAGATGTCAGCTGTAGACGCCTGTGGTCATCGGAAAGAACGAGGAAGTTCGGCGTCAGAGCAGAGAGGCTTCGAAGATAAAACGGGGTCGTGAGGAATACGTGTATGGTCACAGTTCGATATGTAACGTGGTGGGACAACGTAAGACAATGGCAGAGGAGTCGGAGGATGTTACTATGGACTTGAAACCACACCGATGGATTTTGGGTTGCCTCGAAATAACCATATGAAAGAAAAGGATATCAGGGTTCAATGCAGCACTCTGACTGCTGATCGCGCCTGTTCTCGTGCTCGTGCTCGTGCTCGCGCTCGTCGTTTGCGCCGGACGCCACGTTCAAAGAAGCGAGTCGGCTGAGAAGATCAGGGCGGACGCACATCCGTCGAGCCTGGGAGCATGCACGGGGGCATGGATATAGAGACCCTCTTTCCATGCTCGTTCGGAGGACCACGGGGGTCGCTGCACAAGGTAAAGTATGGTTTCAGTCCTCATGGTAGTGCAAGCAACAGCGTGGAGCCTCGAGATACTGTTCATAGCAGTCCGTTGGACTGCGGGCGACTTGGAGCACATAAAAGTTGAAGCAGATTGGCCATGGAAGGGAAATGGGCAGAAATGGTGAAACGAAGCTTGCAGTTTTGTGGCGTCAACGATAGGCTGGCAAATCCCCGAAAACGCCTGCCGAAGGACCGGACAATGGGTGATCACCACCGACATCACAGACGAGCTGCCGGCATCACTCGCCTACCACTGCACTAGTAGTAGCTGTACATTACTACCTAGGTAGGTATTGTTTATTGAAAACACGGTACTAGCAGTCGACGCGTGCCTCATGCTGGAGGGCGTGTCTGGAGAAGGCTGCATTGACCGATGGCGACTAGCATTGTACTAGGGGTGAATACCATTCTGCAAAATTGAGTCCAATGTACTACTGTACCTAGGTAGTATATCAACCATCCGAGGGGAGGGCGACCAACCTGTACAACTTATTAAAAGCCCAGGAATATCGTGCCTTGCGGTGGAGGAATCGGTTACTGTAGGTGCAGTGCGTGGATGCCTAAGGGACTTATTATCTGCAGGCGTGATGTTGTTGTGGCTTGTTCCCCCTCCCTACCCGATGCCTGGAAAACCGTCGCTGTTAGAGTGCTGGAGCTGCCCGGGAGCTGCCTGAAAGCCCTACAATAAAATGTAAGGCCACCACTAATTCCGTATAGTACAGGTGCGGACTTCCCTGGCTTCTTTTCCCTGTCCCAACCCATGTCCTCATCCCCTTCTGAAATGTACCTCCATTCGGAATAAATGCACACTCGTCCATGACCATTTCCATCTCTTGGTTCTCTCTCAAAGCCCGCTTCAATCGCATATTCGATGTCTTCGTATGCGCGATTCTGCAGCTCGCCGCTCTCTGCCAAGCGCCGCCGGCTGCGCAATGAGCGGATTTGGGCGTTCCTGGACGACCTCGCTTCTCTTCGCTAAGGTATTTGTGGTCCTGTGCGGTGGTCGGGATTCTCCAGGCAAGGCCCCTCGGCTCTGTACCGGTCACGCTGCGCCCGAGACACTGCTGCACTGTGCTGGTTGCTGTTAACTCGGTTTAGTAGAGCTGTATCCAACCTGTATTTTCGTCCCTGTTCACGCACGTGTCCAACTTGAACCCAAAGAAAGAAACCCGGTCTCAGTCCCAGATCGTCACAAGAAACACCATGTCTCTATCTGCTTTCCCTCTCGCCCCAAAAGATGCTTTGCTGGAAGCCTACTGCAACTGTAGCTTACGCGAGCTTCCTGTCCCGGCGGCAGTGATAGATGTTGCAAAGGTGAAGGCAAACTGCCAGGCGATGCTCAATGCCGTACACGAACTTGGGTGCAGCTTCCGCGCTCATGTCAAGACTCACAAAACGGCAGAAATCACCAAACTCCAGGTTGGTGCAGAATGCAAGGATGTCAGGCTTGTGGTGTCAACCGTGATGGAAGCAGAACAGCTAGTTCCGCTCCTGACAGAGTACAGGCAACAAGGTGCGAAGGTCAACGTGCTGTATGGAGTCCCTCTCGGCCCTTCTCACGTACCTCGACTTGCTAGTATAGCTCGTCAGCTGGGAGAAGGCTCCGTGACTGTGATGATTGATCATCCTTCTCAATTGCGGGCTGTGAAGAACTTCAAAGAGGAGGCAGGATTTCCTGCCTATTTGTTCATCAAGATTGACTCTGGCTACCATAGAGCCGGATTGCCCCCAACCTCAACGGACATGAAGACCCTCGTTCAAGAAGTAAGCAAGGGCGAGCAGCAAGGCAATCTGAATTTCCTCGGGTTCTATTCTCACAACAGCTTGTGTTACCAGGGGTCTTCTCCGGACGATGCCATGGACATGCTGAAGCTGGAGATTGACTCTTGCAGGGAGGCCTCGCAACACTTTGAAGTCAGGCGTGAAAACGCACTCGTGGTGTCTGTCGGGGCTTCTCCTTCCACATTGGCATTGCAAAACATTGTCCCTTCCGCCCCTAGCTCCTCGTCATCTGCTCAGCGGCTGGAAGAATCTTTGGAGCTGACAAAATCCAACCTGGAACTGGAGATCCATGCTGGTGTCTACCCCATTTTCGATATTCAACAGGTGGCCACACACAGCCGCCACTTCACGTCGGATCCTCATGATAGCATTGCTGCGTCAGTGCTGGCGGAGGTTTGTTCTCTATATCCAACTCGCACAGAACAGCCCGAAGCCCTTGTCTCAGCGGGCGTTTTGGCCCTGACGCGGGAGCCATGTAAGGACTATGCGGGATGGGGTGTGGTGAGCCCCTGGAACATGCCGGAGGGCTACAAAATCAATCCCCAGGAACGAATCATTGTCAGCCGCATCAGTCAAGAGCATGGTATTTTGGCCTATGAACAAAACAACCCGGAAAAAGGTCAACTTCCGCTAGAATATGGACAAAGGCTCCGGATTTGGCCGAATCATGCTTGCATTACCCTAGCTATGTTTGGCTGGTACTTCATCGTGGATTCCAGCACTGACTCCCCCGACAAGGTCATGGATATCTGGGTTAGATGGAGAGGATGGTGAAGAGATATAGGGAAGCAGATCCTAGTAGGCGGAACAACTACCCAGCAAACCGAAAACACTTTCCTAGCCTCTCTACCTACTACGTGCATATTGACCGGTGCCCATGAAGCTAAATGATCTCGCCAATGCTCAGAATTGGTGGGCGTTGCATCCAGCTCGCTATCGTCCCTAGGTAGGTATAGGTCAAACAACAGTTTCGGCCACCGAAACGAAAGCGAAGTTGACCCTGCCATTGATCGACCTTCTGTGATCAGTCTTGGTTGTCATGAGGTCTACGAGGCTCTGGTCTGCCAGTCACAATCGCCAGGAGCCCTCCCTAGCCGTCTGGTCCACTGTTTCGCCCCGGTCAGTGCCGGTCCACCTGGATTCTTTTTTGGAGCCCTTAGAGGGTGAGCGGAAATACTATCCAGCTGATGTTGGGTGATGAAGTTGAGCAAAATTGCCATTCAAGGCAACTGACTTGCCTAGCCGGGATTGGAAGCGTCGATAGAGGCCGCCGTCCTGTCGACTGTCCCATGGAAACTATGCACCTCATGACGCGGAGGGGGCATGTCCATCCCTGAAAGAGCTGTCCCACCACGGATCGATCTGAGTTATTAAACACCAACATCGGACAGACGTTCCGGCCTATGGTGCCAAATATCTACGGATCCCCGTCAGCAAATGGTTGGAACCAGCTTGTTGGACGGCCGTCATATCCGATTATGTAATCATTCCTGTGGAGTGCCGAGACGCGGGAAGAGACCCCCAGTCACCTAAGGTAGTCGGCTTGGAAGGGCTAGAACCGGGTGACCGCCATAGTAGACGCCTCCCATCACCACTTCCTCACGGAGAACCCTTTGCAGTGAAGCTGTGTGGCTATCTTCACCGGCAAGCGGCATCAAAAGACCTTCTAGAGTCCAGCGATGAGGCCTTCTGGACCCAGAATTCTACAAAGCGCACAAGATTGGTTCAGTCATGACATCTGGTGTCTGGTATCATTAGACGTAAGGTCTGCTACGCGGAGTATCAACTACGATCAATACGCAAAAGCATCGCTCTGGTACTAGAAGCTCACTGGCGTATACACTCAGTCGCTCAAGCAGTCAATAACTGGTATAGGACGATGATGAATTTATCAAGCGATCCAGCAGCCTCAGGCTGGTATGGGACTTAGGTAGGTAAGAATGACCTCTTGGTACAAGGCATCACTGTATATTTACACGTGAGTCACCTGGATCCTCACCGCGGCCAACAACGCACAGAACACCAAGCAGAAAAGAAGAAAGAAAGAGCAAAAAAGAATGGTTGGTTTTTGCCAGCGCTCAGATTCGAACTGAGGTCTCTTCGGATTTGTGCAGCTTGACTGCGCCCCTACTCGCTCCAAAATCTTGTCTTCTATACTTCCAAATCTCCTTTCTTTTTCTAAATCGCGACGGGGTTCCTGCCACAACGAAACGTGCTAACCACTGCACTACGCCGGCTGAAGAAGACGCGGAAGTCTTTATTTGTTGGGAGGAATTCCGCGAATTGAATATATATGTGTTAAGACACTAGTTAGGTGAGTTACCGCAGTGACAATTCTGGCCTGCGCGGTGAAGTGAATACCCCTTAGCGTGAAGAGCCAGACGCGAAAGTGACAAAGAAAGTGAGGTGGAAGTGACAAACGAGCAAACAATGCCAAAAAGGGGGCCAGGGCCACTCAGAAGGAACTCGGAACCAAATATCGCGATATGGATGGGCCATCATGACGGGGAGGTACGCACACTCTCTCACAAATATGAACGGATTACAAGTAGCTACAGTACCTAGCCAGCGCGGATACCTACATTTGGGAGGCCCATGTTTGAACAGTTCATGCCATGGTTTGTTCTTGAAGAGGATCGGATTGAGGCGTGTATCAATTACCTATGGCCGTGTACAGATTGAAGTCAATTATCAGATTCAGATTAGACCAAGCAGGCTGATTGCCAGCACCTTTTCTTGCCTGTCGGTGAGCTGTACATGTAGACTGGCACTTCACCTCCTTTCCGACCCTCGTCCTCACGTTCATCCTGCAAGAAACTGCTCGGGAAACCCGGTCAATGACTCGCTCCAAGGACGGGGTTGGACTCTATTTGGAAACAAATACGACTAGACTGTGGATAATAGCCATAACTCGTAGTATGAATGCCAAACTCGGGGACTTGACAAGTATTAATTTAATCACATTGATACAGTAGCAGGTTTATGCAGCGACGGCAACATATTCAGTCGTAAAAGCATCCCATTATAGACGGCATGCTATGGGATAATTGTTATTGACCAACGATATTTGAAATACTACTAATACATAACCTTCAACGTTGGGTCTGCGTATATTGGCTCATCGATTCGTAATTCATGCCCGGGACAAATAGCGGTCCCAAAGCAACAGAGGTTAAATGGAACCAGAAGCGCTTTCTTTCACTGAATAGTGGTTGTGTATACACAACTGCTCTCAGCAGTCCATGATTTCCTGACCAGCAGGTAATCACATCAGATGTTCCCGATAACGACCATATACCTCAGTCTGCCCTCTTTGCTACTACTTGTAGCCTTCCCGCTGGAGATGTCGCGGTCTCCGAGCCCGTCGTCAAGCTGCATCTGGGGGCTCTTCCAGCCCCAGCTCTTGCTCAGATCGAACTGGTCCGGCGCGCTCTCATAAATGCTTAGAAGCCGGCCTGCCCTGCTGGGTGAATAGATCTTGAAGTACGTCTTGATCGTGGGCCGCGAATCCATGTATGGAGGAATAGCCGAGACATTGTATCTGGGACGGTTGCGCAGTAGTTCATCATCTTCTTCGTCCGAATCGAGCATCTCGGCGTCTGCATCTTCAGACTGACCGAACCAGCACTCATCCGTCTTGGAATATGTCCCAGAAGCGGTCTGTGATGTTTTTCGTATTTGCGCAGTTCTATGTGGGGCCGAAGACGATGAAGCAGTGCCTGTGACTGGGACAGAATCATCAACGACACTGCCAGCATAGTCGAACTCGTTTGACGACAAGGTGAGCCCATCCCCACGTGGAACCTCGGATCCTCGGGGTGCTGCTGCTGCTGCTTCAGTCAGCCGCCACGCTTGATTCCGCCGCTCGCTCTTGCGGAGTAGCATCTCGCGCTCCAGTTGGCCTATACGGTCGTCCACCGTGGTGGGAACGAATTGGGCAAGTGGATCGTCGTGAGGCTCCTTATCTTTTGCTCGGTGAAGATAGATCCCCAGTTGCTGAAGTTTCCCAGTGTTGACACGCTGGATATACAGGTTCCACATACTCCCTGCGTACCATACCGTGTGCGAATAGACCCTCTTCCTTTCCTTGAGAGTCCGAGGGTTGGGAAACTCGGCGGAGAATCTGAAGGGCGGGTAATGGCTGTACCGGGGTCTGGACGTCGGAGAAGAGTTTCGGGACGGAGGCCGGCCACTTTCGATGACATTCCCCGTGCCAAAGTCAAAAGCCCATGCGACATCGGTGGGCTCAAGGCTCGCAGACAGCCTAGCTGCCTGTGTGCTCCATTCAGCTCCGCCCGTGGTGTTTGCGGCAGTAGACGCCTCACGTGTGCCGCCCATTACGCACGAAACGTCGTGGTCCGGGATCCAGAACTTCCGTGGCTTGCCATTGCCGTCCCAAGACCCTGACTCCATATCCTCTGCGGGTGAAACGGTCGTTGCGTGGCCCAGCTCACGTAACTTACCTTTGCTCGAGGTCGTGGCGGTTTCAGCTCGAAGTACAACCTCTTCATAGTCTTCTGCTAGTTCACTCAGTCCAAGCTCGATATCGTCTTCTTTTGCATTAAGAACTTTCTGTCGGAGTTCTAGTGACATCCACAAAGCGTCTGAAATCACTTTCTCTGGGAGGACCGGAACGCCTAGGATGTCCCTCTGGGACCGGATTTGCTGCAATTGCTCAAATCGAAGATGAACATAGTGTATTCCTTCGTCAAGCAGAACCAAGATCGGGGATATCTCAGGCGATGTGTATAAGGCGATCCATGGCTCATCCCTTTCTGACACGTGTCGATGATGTGACGCGACTCTATAGGGAGTGTCGAACCTAACAGCGAAGAACTGGAGACTACTCGGCTTCGGTTGCAGGTATTGTCCATGAGGCGAAACCAATCCATTTTCAACCGCTTTCGCCCTCAACCGCCTATTCAACAGCTTCAGGGCTAGATACCAACGGTCCCATTCACCTGGAATAAAGAAGGGATCGCCTCCAATGATCTCGCGAACCATTTCTGCAGGAATATCGTCCCAGTATTCATAGGGCATCTCCCAGCCTTCCCGGCAGAGCATGGCTTTGGCGGACGATAGAATCCGGTCACCTGGTTTGCCGTAGTAATTGTTAGTTACTAACTTGATCAAGCTGTGGAGTGTGGCAGGCTGCATTTGGCGCAGGATGGATTCAACACATGAATCTATCAGGTCAGGCATGTCTAGCCAACACGCTGTGGCAAACAAGCCCACAGCTTCTTCTTCCTCCTCCTGGATCGAGCACTGAGTACCATAGATCCTCTTCAAAGCGAGCTCGAAAGCCACTTTGGTGATGTTGGGATCGCTCTCTTCGGGCGCGATGGTCATCACCTTTGCTGTGCTCTCCAACCAGGATCCGGAGAACGCGGAAGAGAAGAATGGCACGCGATCGAGGAGCAGCTTGTGGAGCTTGTACCCTTGACCAAAGGCATACACAGTAATGTCCGAGTGACGGCCTTCTTCAAAGCCGTTGTGCAGAAGATGCCCTATCAATGTACTCGTATCATGCAGACTCCGGCCTGTGTCGGACCGGGGACGTAAATGTGAGGGGCCTCGAGAAATTGCTGGGGTTGTGCCATCGCTGGGAGCGAACAAGCGGGCGAGGGCAGCAGAAGTGTTTGCGGTGCTGCCATCACCAGAGAATGCATTTGCGCTTGCAGTAGGATCGTCGACATCCTTTTCCAAAGTTAGTAAAGGATGTCTATTGCTAACAGGGCCAGGACCTGGAGAGGGGGATGGTGTGATGCCCCCTCCCCGAGGGTTGGGGCGTCGGCTTCCTCCAGCATTAGTCAATGCTGCGAATGGGCCCGAAGTGCTGGAAGACATTGCACCACTCAAGGAAGCCAAGGCCGTGTTCGCGGAGACAGAGGCAGTCGGCGGACCTGACACGAAGATTGAACGAAGAGGGGGCTCAAAAGTGGTCGACGAGAAGCCTTGTTCACCATACAGCATTGGTCCCACTTGGCTCGCAGACGCCGCCCGCCGCTGAGGCAAAGGTCTGGACGTCGGGGTGCCGCTTGTAGGCTGTTGAAGAGGCGACCTAACAATACCAGAGCTTGAAGGTTCGACAGGATACTGCGTAGACCGAGAAGAAGAGGCGACAATGTCCTCTCTCCTCCATCTACTCGTCTCAAGTTCTGCATCTGACACCGAGGCTTCGAGGCCTGCAATGAGCCCGTCTATGTCATCTCGTGGAGCTCCCCAGCCCGAGAACTGCTCTTGATCCATGTTGATGTCTCTTGAAGCCGTTAGATATGTCCCCAGGGCGACCTCCTTCCTGGGGAAGGGCGGGCTGCTGTGTATGGAGCAACAATTCACTCGAGATTCATTTGCGGCAGGAGGACATGGAGGGAGAATCTCGACAGCTAGTCATCTCCTTGCAGTAAGGGGGTTCCCGGTCGGGCTCTGCTTCAGCACGAGCGCCACCTGAAGCACAATACAAGCCAGATGTCAGCACAGAGAAGAACTAGTAGGCTGCAATTTTGGAAATGATTGCACAAGAGTGAAACAAAAGGGATCTGGGCACGCTGACAGGGACAGTCAAGAGATCAGTCTCTGCTGCATCATCATATCTTTCTGCTCTCGCCAATTGACGATGACGAAGATTGGCAGGTGACAGGTGAAAAATGTAGGTAGGACAGGATTCTGAACAATAAATGTCAGGCGTGCATGATGCCAGCGAGTTGGACTCCAGATTCCCAGATTCCAAATTCCAGGTTCGAGACGAGCAACTCCGGCTGCGGTGGGGCACAAAGTCCGAGATATCTCGGAGATAAAAGAAAGCCTCCTGCAACTTGAGCCCTTGAAACTTCCTTGCGGTCGCTGGCCGCTGGTCGGTTTCAACATCACAACTCGTTGCATTCGTGGTTGGTGTGCTTAATACGCCTTCATCCAGGTACACACGTCCATTACTGAAGAATACTCCCAGCGCACGTGTCTAGTCGCCCTTCGACCGTCGATGGAACAAGCACGCTTATGAACAACATGGCAATCCGTCGATGCGGTATCTGGACTGCTCAGCATGGACGGGCCTACAGGAGCAGCAACCCGTGAGAGCGACCATTTAGACACTTCCCGGGAGCCTCTGATTCCCCTCGATCTCCAGCGTCTGCCCGGTTCACGCATTCCCCAGTCTACTCGGCCGGAAGAGTCAGCTAAAGATGACACGAAGTCAATCAAGGGATATCCTCTCCCAGTTGTCCCGAACGGGACCTCGCCCGCAGAAGCAAGACCAGGCCTACAAGAAGCGGAGGTAGTTCGCCCGTCTTACAATGGTCCAAATGATCGAGATGGTGTCGACAGGAATACCAGGCCACGGGCGATGGTTGACAACGAGTCAGCAGTTGGTTCGCACCACCGACTAGACACGGTACTGAAAAATAACACCGCAATCCAAAACGGCACTTTGAACGGCCAATCTCTAACACCTTCTCCCTCGGGAGAGGCTACCCCAGTGGATGAGAGTTTCATACAGGAACCTGGAAAAGTTCCCAGACTATCTGCCGATGAATTGCAAGAGCTCATGTCATCTCCCGCATCGCTCGCGATTCGGCCTTTGGAGAAAACTCGCTCACAACGCTCTATCAGTGACTCTATCAAGGCCACTGTTGCTGGTTCACTTGATGGACGGGCAACCGGGCCGGTCAGCGGAGATGCGTTCGCCTCTAGATCACCAAAGGACGCAGCCGAGCCAGGAAAGGCTCAGGATGGGGAAAAGCAACGGCCTCGCAACCTTACCATAGAGGTTTCTGAGCATAACATGCGGCCCTTGGTCAGCCCCAGGGTGAGACCTGGAGTCCCTCAGCGAGCTCTTTCGACTCCCACTTCACTCAAAAGCCCCATGTCTCCGGCGAGGCCAGACCGCGTGCGCCCAAGTCTCAAGGTTCCGGATCCTCTGCGCAAGGACAACGTTGACGGCCGAAGATATTCCTCCTCTGGGCGACCTCTTCCTTCACCAATGCCCCCTTCCATTCCGCTCCCTCCTATGTCACTTCCGACCTATTTACAACTGGAGCTCTCGTCGCAGCGGCCTTCGCCGCTCTATGTACACCGGTCTTCGTACAGCGAGTTCCCGTACGAGTCTTCAAGCGCCAAAATCGAAAGGTTGGTCAATTTTCTGTTGCTTCCACCTCATCTGGAGAGTGTGCTATGGTTTGGAATGCTTACGTGCCTCGATTCCTGGCTCTACACGTTTACGATATTGCCTCTTAGGCTTATGAAGTCCTTCTACCTCCTAGCCAAGTCATGGGTCATCAATGGCATCAAGGAAATGCGATTTGTGTCCACCTTTGTCTATAATGGTGCAGGACGAATGTGGGAACGACGCCGCCGTAGGAGCAGCGTCCAGAGAGACTCTTCGGGAACAAGTTCGAATCAGGTCCCTGAAGAATCACAAGGACAAAACGCGCCAGCCCGCAGTCGCAAACAAGGCAAATACCATCAGAGGTCGAAGTCGATCCCATCAACGTTGCTACCGGATGACAAGGCGGACATACTCAAGGGACTCCTTATCATATCCACATGCCTCATCCTCCTCAAGCTGGACGCCAGCCGGATGTACCACTGGATTCGAGGGCAAGCGGCAATCAAGTTGTATGTCATCTATAACCTCCTTGAAGTATGCGATCGCCTTCTCTCAGCCATAGGCCAGGATGTGCTGGAGTGTTTGTTCTCCAGAGAGGCACTTGAGCGCAAGCCCGATGGCCATAGCAAAGTTCTGCGGCCATTCTGGTTGTTCATCCTTGCACTCATTTATACGGTTGCCCATTCCACGGCCTTGTTCTACCAGGTAATCACGCTTAACGTGGCCGTCAATTCCTACTCAAACGCCCTTATCACGTTGCTGCTATCGAACCAATTCGTGGAGATCAAATCCACCGTCTTCAAGAAGTTTGAAAAGGAAAACCTGTTTCAACTGACCTGCGCCGACATTGTGGAACGGTTCCAGCTCTGGCATATGCTGATCATAATTGCCTCGCGCAACATAGTGGAAACGGGAGGGTTGAGCGCCGGGTTGAACGCCCTGACAGGCTCTTCGTCATTGAGCACGGCAGCTACATTGGTCAGCAACAGCAGTGTTCCTCTTACGAGCGCCTTGCCACCGAAGTCGTCGAGTTCAATTCTTCCGCGCTCGTTCACACTTGTGCCTGCGGTGGTAAATTCGATAGCGTCGTTTGCGCCAGCGGCCAGTCAGGTGCTGGGTCCCTTTCTCGCGGTTCTCGGTTCTGAGATGCTAGTGGACTGGATCAAGCACGCCTATATCAACAAGTTCAACAACACCCGTCCAGCGATCTATGATCGGTTTCTGGACGTTCTAGCTAAGGATTATTACACAAACGCATTTGGCGACCAAAATTTGACCAAACGACTGGGGCTACCGGTCATCCCCTTGAGTTGTCTGCTTATCAGGGCCAGCGTCCAGACTTATCAGATGTTCAAGGCAGCATGGGTACCGTCTACGTCGCCAACCTCCTTCAACAGCCTTGCCAGCATTCATGAACATTACTCGATGGCGCGGTCGAATATGCCAGTGACTACCGGGGCAGCAATCTCTAGGACAGTCGATGATATCATCAAAGCAATACCCGCCGTCATTACGAGATCGCGCATTGTGACGCACTTAACGACTGTGCTGGTGTGTTTGTTGATCTTTTTGATCCTCCTGGCCTGTAAGCTCGTCCTAGGGATGATGCTTCTGGCATTTTCGCGGTATCGGTACCACTCGATGAAGTTACGTGAGAAAGATCCAAACCATCGGGTGGAAGGAGGGCGACGCGTTGGCGGTTGGGGGGTCGTTGAAGTCGACGAAGACAAACAACGGTGGATCTATGAAGATGACCCGGCTGGATTGCGATCCCTCCGCGAAAGAGAGGAGCGAGAGAAAGCGAAGCAGCAGCAGAAAAACAAGGAGAAAGGAGAAGCGGCTGATGGCCTCGACAAAGTCAAACGATACGACATGGTCGCGAAGCGGATATGGTGACCAGGACGCGACGGGTTTGCAAAGCATGTATGCACTACTGGACCGGAAGCGAAGCGTGCCCAAGCCGTACCGCGATCCAGGTATTCACTCGAGAGAAGCCAATGGTGTTGTCTACTCCGATCGGCAACAGCAGCATTTCAGATTGAGGCGGCGTCATGATCGCGAACCGATTTGTCGCTTGGGACTTCCGGTTCGCAAACTGTGATTGCGACTGCCGCTGTCAGGGCCCTCGAGGCTTGTCCTTCGGAAGGTTGGAAAGTATGACAGCCTGTCAAGCCATAGGTGGCGTTTTTCGGCTACCAAGACCAGCCGCGCAGTATTATTATTGCCTATACCTGTAACTACTATATTGCTTTTATAGCCGTTCTGTTTCCACCTCAGACGAATGAGATAACAATGTCCGGGATGGGTGAAACAGGGGAGCGGCACGGGAAGGAATTAACGCCAGGGCCGTTGACCGTATTCTCATAGATTCTTCCCGCGAAGTTTACGGCCCAGTAGGTTTTCTTTCGGCTGGCTGGATGTAAGGGCGTCGCTTGGTGATTTCGGAATGACAAGGTTTCTCGGCACAACACCCATCTCAAAGGGCCAACTGGCCGGAATGGTGGATATTAGGTTTTTATTATTCATGTTTGACCGTCGTGCTGTAGTAGTAGAAGATTGTTTGTTTGATACTACTGTAAACTGTACGGTTGTGGAGAGCGACCTGTCAGGATTGACCTGGCTGTTTTGTTTTTATTCCACCAGGACATGCACACGGCATTGGCAGGGCAGCTTCAAGTTACAGCGGATGTCCCTGTTGTAAATGTGAAGCGCCCGCTGCAAGCCCGGACCAGCCACTAGCAATTGATAACACGAGTCTCCGACCACGATATATAATCTCCATCCGAGGCCGTTGTTGGTTCCCCGAATGCGCGGTCCGGTGGCGTCCTTGACGTCGACCGGGCTGTTTCAGGATATCAAGGATTGAGATTTTGTTATTGCTGCGCGGGCACTTCAGTGGGGAGCAGGCGGTCACAGTAATAATAATGCACTCTATATTGTACTAGTAGTAGTATCAGGTCATAATTGCGCTCTTTGGGCCAGGACCAATATTGCAGTGGCAACAGTATGTGCGGTGTATATGCAGACTTGAACAAAACGGTTCTTTTGTATATATGTCTTCTTACGGTTGTGATATGCGGCCGTTGGGCATTTTAAATTTTGCCGCACGTGGGAGTGGCAGTGCACGCATTTGCTCATCCGGAGCAAACGAAGTCTGCCTGGGATCTGCTGAAGATCACGCACGATCAGCAGAGGATGATGCATATGATAGGTAGCAATAAATAGTTGAGGAGATGCCCGGACCATTTTCCATCATTGGCAGAATAATATAATAATATCCTTGAATCTGGTTGGAACTGATAAAGGCAACTTTCAGTGTGGCAGACTTGGCCGTGAAAGCCACAACTGGATTGACTTGGAGCGTGCAATTACCACCCACAAAACATCGCATGCATCGAGGTAGTAGTAGTAATGTAACAATATGGGATATCCGCAGGAGACGAGGACACTAGCGAATATTCTCTATACTCTGGCGATAGAGACACGGGTGGTGGAATTGCATCCCATAGGCTACGGTTATATTACATTCCAGGATCAGGCGAAGGCTGGTGGACGTACTGAGAGATACTGAAGGCTTCATGGTTGAGGCGTTGATTGTGGCTTCAGGGCTTGGTATGATTTAAGATTGACATTCTATTTCGTTCCCGTCGGCGGGCTTCCAGTCAGTGGGTGCGGTACAGCTACCACTCCCAAGCTTGTGCCTGGTAAATGCCTGGTACCGCAGTGTTTGGAAGATCCAGGGATTCAGGGTCTAGGACCCGGTCATCGAACCCCAATCCCTGACGCTGTCATCAATCACGCCCAAAGCAATAGATGTACACTGCAGCCGTTGCTGGAAATCCAAGATGCGCCTTGCTGCTGCTAGTGATGCGGCGTGACCAACCCAAGCAAACAAGCCATGACTGTGGACTGATTGATTGTGAAGTTGGAAGAGGTACTGTAGCGTAATAAGAGAAAGTCTGTAGGAGAAAGATTATAGATCGGCTGAGCTTCGCGGTCTCTGTTTTGCTCAAGCATAAGTTCCAGTTATAGGCACACAAGCTTCGATTGATCATTTCAAGTTCACCACTCATCGAGCTCTCTTCCACGGCCTCTCCTGACCACTGAGTTGTACCGCATCTTCCTTGCCATCCAAGCGCTGCTCTTGTTCCGACACTGCCCATCTCATTCGGGCGCTGCCACAGCCTCTTTCACTTGTACTGGGATCTTGGACAACCACTGGCCGGCGCCACCCCCAGCTTTGTTTCTTGTTCGTCCCCCAGGCGGGAGAGCCCAGTAAGGAACAACGACGGGGTTGGTCAAGCAGTGAATCTGAGGCAACCGGGCTTGCATTGCGGTGTTGGTTACAGGATCGGTCAGGAACAGTATAGTAGTAGGCACTGCAGTGGTCCGACTCCCCCCAAGCGCACCTTTCAGGTTCAAGCACAAGTTTGGCTGGACTGGACTGATTGCACCGCTGCCCGCCTGCTGCTGTTGCATTGCTGGACTAGTAGTGCGTGACTACGTGACAGGCTGCGTGACAGACTGCGCTGTCTGTCTGTGTCTGTCCGCCTTCTGCCAACTCCGACTCCAACACTGCACTGCACTGCCAGTGCACCGCAGCGTCCTGCCCTGTCTTGCCCTGCCCGTGCCATCTTGCTTCAGTCAGGACACGACACTGGCACGACACCATCACCACCACCACCTCCTCCTCCTCCTCTGCCGCTGCCGCCACCTCCACTATTGTGATACTGCACCGTACTTGCCAGCTCTGTCTCGATCGGAGGAACCATGGACGTGAATGCCGATGTCCACGGCTCCAGCACTTTCAAGCGACGTCGAGCAACACTGACCAAGAATCCTCCACCCTCCGCCTTTCACTTCACTCAATCGCTACGCAAACCTCAGTCGTCCGCAGCCCTTCAGCGAGCGCCCTCAGCTCCTCATCCTCGGAGTCAGACAGCGTCACAGTCGTACCGCGATCCTCACCAGAGAACTCAGTCCTCCGCCTTCGCTTCCTCAACCTCGTCTCTGGAACACTCAAGCAGAGATCAGTCCCCCACCATACCATCCTCCGACTCCTTCACAACCACGGCCAACTATCCTCACAGTCCTGCGAGCTCTGATGACCGTCACAAGGATTTGATCGGTGCGCCCTTCGATGCCTCAGGTCTCCTCTCGTCCTTCCAAGCCGTTACCATGAACGAAAAACAGAATCAAGATGCGCAGTCGCCGCAAGCGCCCCCATTCAACCACTACAACACTAGCCCCGATCTACGACAACATCCTTTACGAACCTCACAGACAATGGGCCCTGCGGGCATCGCCTTGATGGAAGTCACTCCCCCAAAATCAGAGAATGGTATTATGAGTCCCAAGCGGTTCTCAGGGGATGGTCAATCGAAACCACCTGGACCCTTTCGCAAGAAGAGCGGTTTCTCCACATTTGTCAATAACATGCTCGGCTCGCCGAGGACAATCAAGATCTCAGCGCCCGAGAACCCCTTACACATCACCCACGTTGGTTATGACAATCAGACCGGGCAGTTTACGGTGAGTTGTTCCCCCTATCGATCTGGCGTACGATCGAATTCCACTTCCCGAGCGGGTTGACTGACAGGTCATGAACAGGGACTCCCTGCGGACTGGCAGAGGATACTGTCCGACAGCGGAATTTCAAAAAATGAGCAGGAGCAGAACCCCCAGATGATGGTGGACATTGTTGAGACATATCGAAAGAACCTCGGCGACACAGACGACGGCGTTTGGCATAAGTTCGACCATGCTAAGCTGTCAGATTCTCCCCAGAGCGCGGGCAGCAGTGATCAGGGTCCTGCACTCAATACTCCAAGTGCTGGGTCCGGTTCCACTGCATACTCGCCCATTGTTGGTATGATCTCTCCGCCAGCGAGTCCACGGTTCCCGCAGAATCATGAAGGGAGTTTTGAACATCCTCGTGCACCACCTCCTGTTCCCAAGGGTGTCTCCGCAGGTCATGTAACTGGCCTCAGACCTCAACAAAACCCCATACTGTTGCCAAATCGCGTGGCTCCCAGACCTCCCCAGCAGAATCCGCGAGATTTGGTGCCGGCACGGGCAGCTCCGTCACCTGCTATCATGCGAGAATTGCCGTTGCGGCCGTCGGAGGAACAGCCAGCAAACCAACATTCGGCAGCTGCAACTCCGATGTCACCACCACCTGGTCCGACAGATGCAGCACGCAATCGTTCAGATTCGAGAGCCGCAGGGCTGACTGCTACCCGGACGCAGGCAGCAATCCAGTCCCCGGCCCAATACCAGCAGCAGCAGGAGCAGGCAATGGCTCTGGCCCAACAAGCCATTCAGAGCAAGCAACTTGACCGTAGTCGGAGTCAACGCCAGGTCACTCAGGGAGCCCCTGAGGTCCCGCCCAAGGTGCTTCCGCAGCAGCACAGCCCTAATGTCCCACAAACACAGTTCGCTTTGGCAGAGTCTCCTGCTTTACAAGGCACACAGCAGATGGCCACCGTTGGGCCTGCCCCAGGACCAAGACCTCGCACTAGGCGACAACAGAGCAATATGATAGACATCACGACCAGGTTGAAAGCTATCTGCAGCCCGGGAGACCCAACTATCAAATACACCCATCTTAACAAGATTGGACAGGGAGCATCTGGAGGAGTTTTCACAGCGTATGAAGCTGGCACCAAGAGATGCGTCGCGATCAAGCAAATGAACTTGGAGCAACAACCTAAAAAGGATCTCATTATCAACGAAATCCTGGTGATGAAAGATAGCAAGCACAAGAACATCGTGAATTTCATAGACAGCTACTTGCATGATGGTGACCTCTGGGTGGTGATGGAATACATGCAGGGTGGAAGTCTTACCGACGTGGTGACCTTCAACGTTATGAGCGAACCTCAGATCGCCGCTGTCTGCAGAGAGGTAAGTGGCTCTACTTCGATTGCCGCGGGGTCATAGCTAATTGTCTCAGACATTGTACGGATTGCAGCACCTGCACTCAAAGAACGTGATCCACCGAGACATCAAGTCTGACAACATCCTGCTTTCGGAAAGAGGCGACATCAAGCTCACCGATTTCGGGTTCTGTGCTCAAATAAATGAGACGCAGAACAAGCGTACGACTATGGTCGGCACCCCGTATTGGATGGCTCCCGAAGTTGTGACTCGGAAAGAGTACGGTCGAAAAGTTGACATCTGGAGCTTGGGTATCATGGCCATCGAAATGATCGAGGGGGAACCGCCTTACTTGACTGAATCGCCCCTGCGAGCCTTGTTCCTGATTGCCAAATACGGAACCCCACGCATCAAGGACGAACAGGCGCTTTCACCAGACTTTCGGGACTTCTTACATTTCGCCCTGAGGGTAGAGCCAGAAAAGCGAGCAAGTGCTCATGATTTGCTACATGTGAGTAACTGTATTACTGGTCTTTCCGGCCTTGCGCTAACGTTGTATACAGCATCCTTTCCTCCAGAATTGCGCACCCCTTACCAGCCTTGCCCCGCTTGTGCTATCTGCTCGCGAAAGCAGGGCAGCCGAGAAGGCCAGTCGGGGACACTGACTGATATCTCTTTCCGGAGATCCTGTACAACTAAACGGAATGCTACCTGTGGTTCGGAGGGGCGCTGCTGCCAGCATACCATCGAACGATATCCCCCGAACTTCAGCACGTGAACATCACACGGCAGCAACACTTTTACACCCCTTCGACCAGATTCGCAAAGACTCTCTACCGCGAGCTAATTGGTGTTTCTGGAACGTTTTGGTGATACCCTTGACATGACGATTGGGTCAACCGACATCGAACTACTCCGAGGTCTTTCCGTCTTCTTTTCCGCTCATAACGCCGAGAGAGAGGACTTTGCAATTGTTTATTTACGAGATTCAAGGAAGCTTTACGACTACACGAATAGCTGGCCACGGAGTTCGGCCGATCAGGCTTTTGGACTGTCTTGTGGCTATTTCAGGGCGTAGATACCCTGCTTTCGGGGCAATATCTAGAGGGCTGGCAGGAGGCGCAAAAGACGAGCGAGAGACTGGACACTTTGGTGTGTATCAGCAAAGACATGAGCTATGTAAACGACAGTGCCTCCGAAGAATAAGAAATGCCTTTAGCGTAGTAGGCCGCGCTAATGTGCATCCCATGCCAGGTGACACGTAACGATCTCAACTACTATTATGGTATTTTGGTGTGTACCTAGGTACGTTGCCTTGTGATAGCGGCCAGCACAACTATATTCAAGTCGTAGTAGAGGTGTGGCTGTGCTGGATCTAATCTGTGGCGCCGAGTTGCTCGCCCGCCTCTTTTTGCGTCACCGCCCGTGAGGTTGCGAGGTTCAAGTTAGGCTCCGGCCGCATTCATTCATTATTAGTATTGCAGTCCAAGTTGTGCCTCGCAATTTCAAAGAGTTGATCTTATGTTTATAGCGTATCCGCCATTGCATCGAGACCGCGATCCTCTTCCTGTCCTGCGAGCTAACATACTTCCCTGGTGGCCATCATGTTCCGGGCCCAGCAGAACGCCTTTGACGACGTCGTTGGTAAGCCGCACGTGTGTATTTCGGTGTTTGTGCTCAACTGACCTTCCTCGTAGCCAAAGCGACGGACGAGACTTTGACTTCGGAGAACTGGGAGTACATATTGGATGTCTGCGACCGAGTCTCCTCGAACGAGAGCATCGCCAAAGATGTTGTGGCAGCCATGATCAGGCGGCTGGCGCACCGCAACGCCAACGTCCAGCTATACACCCTCGAACTCGCCAACGCCCTCTCACAGAATTGCGGAATCGCCATCCATAGGGAACTGGCATCTAAGAGCTTCACGGACCAGCTGCTAAGGCTGGCTAACGATAGGGTTGGTTTGAGGAAGGTCGTGAGTGGGCAAGATTATCACTGACAATGGATTCAGAACACACATCAACAGGTCAAGTCAAAGATCCTGGAACGCATGGAAGGCTGGACAAAGGACTTCTCGAGAAATACCGAGCTGGGTATCATGGAACAAGCGTACATGAAACTGAAGGCGCAAAGTAAGTGACCATGTCCATTCGAACGCTGGTCAACGATCACTAGTACTGATCCTGCCCAGATCCAAACCTACAACCCCCTCAGGCACCCGTGAAAAAGCAGATCACCGATTACGACCGACAAAAGGAGGAGGAAGAATTACAACTGGCTCTTAGGCTTTCCATTCAGGACAAATCCGCCGGCCCTGCTCCAAGTCAAGCATCCGGTGCGGCTGCAGAGCTCCCCGCCCAAGCCTCGTCCTCAGCCTCACAACCGGCACCCCGTCAGCCGGTACCTTCGGGGACGACAGCAGCGACGGTGTCAAGAGTACGTGCACTCTTTGATTTCCAACCTTCCGAGCCAGGCGAACTGCAATTCCGTAAAGGGGATATCATCGCAGTGTTAGAGTCGGTCTACAAGGACTGGTGGAAAGGGTCGCTCCGAGGACAAACGGGCATTTTCCCGCTCAACTATGTGGAGAAGCTACAAGATCCCACGCCGGAAGAGCTGGCAAAAGAGGCGCAGATGGAGGCGGAGGTCTTTGGCCAGATCAAGAATGTCGAAAAGTTGCTGGCCTTGCTAAGCACAAGTGCTGCCGACATGAGCGCCAGAGACAATGAGGAGATCACCGAGCTCTACAACAGTACATTGTCGATCAGACCTAAGCTCATCGAATTGATCGGCAAATACACGCAAAAGAAAGGTAGGACGAGCAAAGATAGGTCTGTGGGGGCTCAACAAGTTGCTGACTTTGTTTCCTATAGATGACTTCCAGCAACTGAACGAGAAATTCATCAAGGCTCGCCGAGATTATGAGGCGCTCTTGGAAGCTTCAATGGCTCATCCAGCACAATATGGTCGGCCAGGTGTCCCTGCCTACGGATATCCTGCGGCGCAAGGCTACCCTCCCCAAAGATACTTTACGCCTGGTGAGTCTGAACGCCAAAGAAGGGGTTTGAAGATATTCTAAACATGGCATCAATTCCAGACGGCCAACCTCCCAACAATGCGGTGCCGTATCCGCAACCCCCACAACAATCATTCCAACCCCCTTATCCCGTAGCCTCGCCTCCTCCGCAGAGCCATACTCCAGCCAGCCAGCAACCACTGCCAGACACCACCTACCCTTCGTATCCGAATCCCCACCAACAAATGGCAGGCCGTCGACAATCACAGCCACAATCACACTCCGACGGTTATGCAGCACCGTACCCATATTCGGACACCAACACAGCATATGCCGCTGGCCCTCCGCCATCGGACAGACCTGGTTCCCGGCCTGGGCAGCAGCAACCATATCCAGCTAGTGTTTCACAACTCCAATACCCGGATGACAACAAAGACTACTCGCCTTCAAACTACTCGACCGAAGATTTGCATGTTCCTCCCCCTTCTCAACAACAGCAGCAGCAACCACCATCCTCAACTTCGCAGGCCTATCGCCCCTCCGGCCCTCCACAACAACAACCACCAAATTTTAACCCGGGATATCCTTCATCGACTGCCCCTCCCCCTCAAATGTACGACTATCAAACAACAACCATCCCACAACCTCCTGCTCCTAACCATGGGCCTCCTCCTGTCCCAGGAGCCGGAGCCGCAGACAACCGCCCACAGTCGCCTTCCACCCAAGGCCTTGCATACCCTGTTTTTTCGTCGCCAACCACACAGTCTGGCAATCCACCGCCAGCCGGCCTCCACCAGCAGTATCAGCCGTATAGTATCCCACAACCGACGGCCCCTGGCGTCGGGGCAGGAGGGGTCAATATGAACAGTGATTACAGGTAGTAGATCCCACGGAGCGAAGCGGAGTAGGTATTATAAATAATACCTGCCTAGCAAAAGCCCGAGATATGGTCAATGAATTGAATACTAGCTCTGTGTTGTTCTGCTCTTGTTTCCCTGGATATTGTAGAAGCGTCGAGGTAGTTCTCTCTCGAGGACCCTCGGTACGGGTTTTCCTATTGTGGTTTCATGTCTAAAAATTCATATAGGGTGTGTATGGGAGGAGATTCCGTAGTTGAACGACTGGAGAATCTGGTGGAGAGATTGTGCAGTAAGTAGGAAGGGGGTGAAGTGATGTGTAAGATATGGGCAGTTCCTAGGTTATATAGACTCGTGGCGGCGCACAGGGGAGCTTTGCCCGTCCTTATCTATCGCTGGGCAGTGTCCTTGATCCCGATGAATTGGAAAACTAAGACGGTGAGCAAAATGAACGAAACAATATGTAGCCCACGGGTGACCAAAATGCTAGAAGTAGTAATGCTTGGTGATTCCTCGCTTTGTTCTGGACGTGGTTTGGGCATGCCAGCGCCGTGGGGGAATAGTGAGAATGCTGGATCAGTCTTGGGTGTTCAAGTTTATGTATGGCTGCATGTATCGATTGTCCGGTGCTGGACTGGTCTTGCACATCTGGCGACGAGGTGTCTTGTTGTCTCCTTCTTGTCTGGCACGCTGGGATGTAGCCAGCCCCCCGGGCATCCAGTCTATCAACTTCAACTTCTGATCCAGCCTAGAGTACAGCCATCCATCGTAGGACAGCGATCCCACCACCTCAGCTTTAAGTGCACACCAATCTATTTGTTCTCTTGGTTTTGCATGTAGGTGTATCCAAAGTATGCAAGCGCAGCTCCAATCAAGACAATGGCGTACATGGCGACGCCCAACCCGGGGCCACTGTCAGACCGTCCTCCAGGACCAGCAGCAATCTTGTCAGTGGCACCAGCCTTGGGTGCCGGATCGCCAGGCGCTCGCTTGACGTTGCCGACTAGGAGACCGTTGAGGATTTCTCGTGCTTCGTCTGAGTGACCGACATCTTCGAAGGCTTCGGTTGCATCTTGGCCGCCGACGTCGAGAAGGACTTCTTCACCGCCACTACAAGACAAAACACACAAATGTCAGCGACAAGGTACGATACATGGTCAGATGCCAGGATTCCATGATCTCAAACTTGGAGCACATGGGGTAGAGAGAGAAGCTGTTCTGTTGCCTCTCAATGGCATGTGGGGCTACAGAACAAAGTGTGTGGGGGATGCAGTGAGAGAAGCAGGTCTATCTTTGACTGGCGTTGGGATCAGAGGCTGGCAAACAAGGGCGGACGTACGGGTGCTCGTCGACGAAAGAAGAGACATTGTAGACCTTGTCATGGATGACTACCCACAGGTCCTTCTTGGTCGAGTGCTCTGACACCTCCGAAAATGTGAATTCTTTAGACATGGTCGATGACTTGTGGGTTTGCGTTCAGGGAGAGATATCGGTGTGTCCAAGCGCCGATGCAAGTGCAGGCTGAAAGGACGAAATAACGACGCGCGATAAGGGATGTTGTAGAAAAGAAAGGAGGCGAGTCTGTTCGCTGCTAGTTGAGCGCGTGCAAGGTGCAGTGATGTAGTGAGTGATGGAGTTGAGGAGGTGGTAGTAGTATCGAGTTGCGAAAGATTTATGATTATTATGATTCGACCACCGCAGTCTGAGAGAGTCGGATGTGGACAGTTGTGGTGAGCGAAGATGCAGTGGGCTCGGAAAGTGTACTTTAAACAGGTCGAGCTGCCAGTGTAAAGGCAGAACAGCGCCCGCGGTGGAGCCACGACGCAGCAGTTGTCCCCGTAGCCTCGAGGCAGCTCCGACTGCAAGGGCGGAGAGTCTCTCGGCACCACGAATCGGAAGCCCGTCAATTCAAAGGGCCATCGACGACGGGACTTGATGCCCCAAACCTGCCACGCCTCCGGTGCCTGTGGTGCCTGCGGTGCCATTCAAGTTTGTGCCAGAGCTGCTGCCCACTCAGGCTCCTCGCTGTTGATTCCTCGCTGATGGGCTCCAACGCAGCCCTGATAAGTAAAAACCGCCCGAAGTGCCCCCCATCGCGCTGAATTCCGCCCTTTCGGCCTTTCCCCATGTACTATCTGGTGCTGTCAAATCTCGCTATCATTCTCGCGGAACACCATCGCTGCTCGGGCCGCTCATATCTACTGGATCTACATTGTTGTTTATAGTTGTAGTACTATTTAATCGTGGTGATAGAATCCTCGCCATCATAACCACAGGCAAATAGGCACATTATTAGAATACCTAGGTACGTATAATCAAGCTATGGGGTAACAGAGCCTTACAGCTCTGCATGTTTCAAGGGCTGTGATGTTACTGTACCTAACGATGGGAACTTGACATGCACAAACATCTGCTACTACACTGCACTGGCAGAGCAATTACCCTGGTCACGTGCTTGCGTGATTCCCCGACATGTTGTTCACGCGCCCCGCGTTCTCCCCGACCTCATTCTGTTTAGGTACCTTAGCACGCCATGACAGCATCCCGCGAGTCGCTACAATTCTGTGACAGCCATGTCGGGCCATATCGTGTACGACGGTGTTTCCCGTACTGCTCAGGATGACGAACACGATGATCATAGGCTTCCGCAACTCTTTGCAGGGCAGAAGTTGTGGTTCCATCACCAAATCCCCCAACGGAAATGGCTGATTGACAATGCCAAACTGTATGGTGCGACCGTCGTTGACCTGGACAAGCACGCAGACATCAAATTGGTCGACCATGCGAAGAAGAACAATGCGCCAGGCACACATTCCTACAGATACGTCGAACTCTCCATCCGAAAGGGCAGGTTGGAGAACCTCGCAGACCACGCTGTCGGGGCTTCGACAAGGGCAGGCCGAGCTGTCGGGAGTACTGTGACTGCGCCAAGGTCAATAAGGGTGAACTATACACCGGAGGATGACCAATTCTTGTGGAACTGGCTGAAGCCCTTTGAAGATAGTGGTGGCCCTGTGAGCGGAACCGAGATCTATAGACAGGTAGAACAAGCAAATCCCAGGCACACATGGCAGAGCTGGCGGGAGCGATGGCTCAAACATACAAGATTCCAGAAGAGACAGATTACTTCCTCTACCCCCCAGACCCAAGAACAGACCGAGGAACAACCACAAGAGTCTCCGGTCCAACCACAGCCAAGAAAGAGGAGGAGAGATCCGGAGGATGAAGGCGACCTGGAAGCAAGCCATCGAAACCAAGCGCGGCAACAGCGGGCTCCTTCATCGTCCTTCAAACTTGCCACTCTTCCAGAAGTTGAAGCAAACGTCAAGCCTGTTGAAAAGCTCGACGCACCAAGACCATCACAACAAAAGTCTAAAAGGCCTTTTCAGCAAAGTGCTACAACTTCAGATGCAGATCGCAGCAGTTTTTCGTTGCCAGACAATAGATCATCAATCTTTCGCACTTCTTTCTCCCGCGACGACTACCGACAGCTTTATTTCCTGGTACCTAAGTTGACTGACATCACTCTCGACGCCTTTCACAGTACGTGGGAGAAGCTTGCCGCTTCAGAGGATTATAACCATCATACCGCCGAAGAGTGGAAACTATTCTGGACCACTCGGGTCATTCCTGACTATTGCAGGAAAAATGGTCTATGGATCGAGGAAGTCGCTCCCTACTTACTGCGTCGTTCCAAGGAGGGTTCTACTACGATCTCGCACAGCCAGGAGACAGAACAGTTTACCAGCTCGGCTCCAAGGAAGGTCAACGAATCAAGAACCATTGTCTGCAGCAACTGCTTCACGACAGAAAGCAACAAGTGGTGTGTCAACAAGAGCAAGGAAGGTGAATATCTCTGCAACCCATGTGCGGTATTTTTGAGACGCCACGGGGTACCTCGCCCATCAACCGTGCGCCTGACAGTCGAAGGTGAGGACGAAGCAACTCCCCACCAGTCTCAAGCGAAAGCATCATCAGCAGCTGCCCCTCGTCAGCCTGAGCTTCGCCTTGCTTCACCTGCACCTACTTATGCAAAGCGGCCGGTTCAATCATTCCTATCAAATCAAGAGGAAGCCAGGATTGATCACCAAACCCCACCCAGATGTCTTGACCCAGATCCTCGACCTGAATCCCCTTCCTTCCAGCCGGAATCGCCCACCTTGATGAGACGTCCAGAACCGAACGAGGCCAGAAAACGAACGGGCAGAGAATCTCAGTCACAGTCCACACAAGGCTCCAATAAACCTACATCGCAAATTGATTCAAAGACAGCCTCAGTCTTACCCGTGGGAGCTACAATGGGACAAACAGGGTCAAGAGAAGCGGGGACAAAATTTGCACGAATGCGAAAAGATCCATCACCGGAATGGCGGGTTGCATCTAATGTCCAACCTCCTCTGAAGGGACCTGGAGAGAAATCGTCGCTAAGCTACGACCCTCGAAAGGTGGGAAGTGGTGACGCGTTTTCCTCCACGGGTACTGATCGTGCTTCTTCATCTCACCATGTCGAAGACCCCTTCTCGGAGTATGATGCCAAGCCCACTCCTCAGGAACTTGATGCCTTAGATAAGTCGACTGGAAATGTCGATAGAGATACCTCACCGTTATTCGTGCCTGAAGAAGGGGCAGAAGACTCTAATCCAGAGTACGAGCGCAAAAACGTCCAAGTAACGACTGCGGAAGTCAACCACAGCTTTCCATCCAACGTTGCAGATGACCCTTCTGATCATGTTTCCCAATTCATGTCCGAGAACTTGTCTGATCCCGTGCAGTCAATGATGCCCACGGAGCAATACGAGACTGGACAACAGTCTTTGGAAGCTTGGGAGACCGCACCACAGAGCCAGCGATTGCAGAGTATGCCACCCACCAAAACACAGGGCGCTCTCGAGATCCCTGAGACTGCTGATGATGGGATCGCCTCAGACTTCGACCTGCCTGAGCCCGAGGGTGGCTGGGATAAGTTTCTTGCCGACGTTCCTCCTGATGCAGATAATGAGGCGACCAATAGCGAGCTATCAGATATCAGCAATGCAGCAAGCTCGGCGCCTGTCGAGGGTGCTGCGAGAGCGAGCACTAAGAGCGAATTCCAGTTGAACGAGCTTGAGTCGCTTCCTCCACCTCCCCCTGACTTCCTGCCCACGCAGGCCGACGGCACTACTGATGAAGATGACGAGGCCCGCAAGATCGATGAGTGGATATCGCAGCAGAAGTCTCTCTACCCGAACATCCACCGACTCGAGGCTGTTCTGTTCAAAGCACTCGAATCCACGACCTTCGACCTTGGCCTTAGCAGCGAAGTGGTTCGGCTCATACTGAGGGAGCTGCGGAAACGGGGACTCAGAGGCGGACCAAATGTGATCGTGGAAGAGGAGATTGTACTCCCACAGAACATGAAGGGCGTCTGGACGGAGGAAGACGATAACCTGTTGCTCAGCACTAACTCCACAGACATAGAACGAGTTTTAAGTAAACACGGTCGCGAGGGAGCTAGCGCCCGGTTCGACTTCCTGGAAAAGGTAGCGGAGGATTGAAGAGTTGACATGGTTGAAAAATGGCACAGCTGTCCTTCTCTAGGATGGGATAGCTACGACGAAACGAGAGCGAAATTCGATGGAGCGATTTGGGTAAACAAGGAATGCTGTTTTGCTGACGCATTGCGGCTATCTTGAGCGTTTACTGCATAGAGTCCTTCGGTGGGTTGATGTTACCCGATAATGAGGACTACCACAGTCCCTATGACATGTTCGTGGCATGAGAGCAGAAAGCATCACTTGAAAGCCTCATCTAGACACTTGAATCGGAACGCGCCATGGCTTGCCTAGCTAGACAGACGCTGCCGGACTGAATGGTGCTAATTTTTGGCTGTGGTGTTGATTGCTCCAGCTTGCCAGGTGAGAGACTCCCGCGACCGAGGGCCAGTTGCTAGAGCGAAATATCCAAGGGAAGCGGGTCTTCGTACTGTTCAAGTTCCATATGAAGTTCGCCGTCAGCTCCCACCGGTTCACCATGCGTTCGTTTCTGCAATCGACGCCAAGTCCCCATTAAACCGCAGGTTCCTTGAGCTGTCATCCATGATACCGCATCGGAAACTCAAAGTTCTCCATTGCCTTAATGGCTGATTCCCCCCAGAGCCAGCACCGCCAGCAAACGTCAAGTAAGACGACCATTGTTCCATGAAATGGAATGGCTCGCGAAAGTATTATACAACAATTTGAAGCTGGAAAGAAAAGTTTCGCACCATACATCATCAACTAGAGATCGAGACAACAAGGCCATCAATGTTAGTTATTTTGGGACTTTTCCAAGCGTTCAGGCAGGTACTACTATTCGGGGCGGGGGTTTCTGTTTGCGACTCACTTGAACTTCAGATGGTCCTCGTAGAACTTCAGCATTGCCTTCGGACAATGCTGGTACACCTTATCCATGGTGACTTTCGTCTTGTTGCCGTTCTTGAATTTGATGTAGGCGACCAGCTGGCCGGCTTCGTTCTTCTCCACGGTGTCCACTACGTCAATCAATGGTTCCCAGTCCTTCTGGCTGGGCAGCCAGTCTCCTTCTGGTTGTTGTGGATCTGCCCCTTCTCCATTGCTGCGCTTTTGTCGTTTGGAGGCGCGCGCGGGGGACTCGGACGCGGTCGACCGTCGGCGGAGAGATTGTTTGGATTTTGATTTTCGGACGTTCTTTGCCGTGGGCGGGCCGCCGAGTGCTGTGTGGTAACTAGCCAGGATTTTGGCGGCGTGACTGGCAGAGCAGAGCTAGGGTTAGCATACAGTAACTCCTTCATAGATGCCCGGTAGCTGTGATTGATTGCCGCGTGCATGCATCGTCGATGCCGAAGGCAAATGCGCGCGCGTTGGGAAAGCAAAAAGTGATGAATACTCACGGCAGCAGATTTTCCTCGGGTTCATATGTGTTTTCGCTCTCCTCGTAGCCCAGCCATTTGATCAGGTACTCGACTCGGCCGTTGCGTACTCGATGTGATCGGATCGCTTCGACGACGTACTCGTCTTCCCCCTCCTCGTCATCGTCTTCGTCCACGTCTTCGTCATCTTCGGGCGCGTCAGCGGCCGGTGCCGCCTCTGCCTCTGCCTCCTCCTCTGCTGCGGCCGCCGCTTCTTCTTCCTCAACTTCGTCCTGGAGCTCTCCATTTATCTGGTTCTTGGCCTCAACGTCGGTCTCTACTCTGGTCTCTTCGATCTCTTCGCCGACATCGCTGCCCTCGCTGCCATCAAGATCGTCCGCTAAAACTTCGTCGCCTGGGTCATAAACGTCAGTAGATGTAGAAGATAGGTTGCGCAACCAATGAGCTTTACTTTGCGCGTTCGTGGCAGCTTGTCCTGAACTGACCTGTTGTTCGGGGCATCTTGGATGAATAGTGTTGTCGCTTTTGGGGCGAGGAATTTGCACACAGCACGCGTCGGAATCCACTGAAGGGCGTAGTAGGATGGGCGCGATGCGATGCGATACTCTGGACGAGGACCTATTCTATGCTTTGGAAAATGAAGGATAGCCGTCGACGAATTGGCTGAAGCGAGTTGCGCACGACTGACGGGTCGCGCGTGGCTGGGTGCGCGAGATGCTCCCGCTGCTCACCGTAGGGCTGCCTATAGAGTACCAGTGCTCGACAGTAGGCGGCGCTCAGAAGGCTGAAGTTGGACTTGGCATCAGACTGCGCTTCGAGAAACTCCAACTCCAAAGTAGTGGCAGTCTGCGGTCAACGTGCCAGGTTGCGTCCGGAGATTCCAAAATTTTGACCGAGCCATTCCACCCCTCAGCAACGCTACTATTCGATTCAGACTATTTGACGACTCCCTGGATTACCCCGGAGACGACGTATACCTCGTACGGAGTTGCTCGAGAAATCTATGAGCGAAGTTCCAGGGCGCCCATCCTCATCCTTTTCGAGATATCACGCTTCCGGAACCAGCCCTTAAGAGACGCTCATTTACACCGGGGACGGAGGGATAGTTGCTGAGTGGCTTGTCATAGCAACACATACTCAAGATGGCGATGCAACTAGACCTGTCTCAGGCACAGGTTCTGAAGGACGAAACAGGCAGACCATTCATTGTGGTGAGGGACCAGGGGAAGAAGAAACGAACGCACGGCACCGAGGCGGTCAAACAACATATTGTGGCAGCAAGAACTGTGGCGAACATTGTCCGAACTTCGCTGGGGCCTCGAGGGCTGGACAAAATTCTCATATCGCCGGATGGCGACATTCAAATATCCAACGATGGCCGCACCATCATGTCGGAGATGGAGTTGTCCAACCCGATCGCGAAGCTGATGGTCGAGTTGTCAAAGTCACAAGATGAAGAGATTGGCGATGGAACGACCGGTGTGGTGGTGTTGGCAGCAGCATTATTGGACCAGGCGGCGGATCTCATCGACAAAGGCATCCATCCCATCCGGATTGCCGATGGCTATGACCAGGCATGTGAAGTTGCGGTGGCGCAGCTAGACAAGATCAGTGACGAGATCCCATTCAGCCGGGAGAACCAGGAGAACTTGATCAAGGTTGCAAAGACCAGTCTGGGGAGCAAAATCGTCAGCAAAGCGCACGACCAGTTTGCTAAGATTGCCGTGGACGCCGTCATGTCTGTCGCCGACCTGGAGCGAAAAGATGTCGATTTCGAACTGATCAAGGTGGATGGCAAGGCCGGTGGCTCGATAGAGGATTCTCTTCTCGTCAAAGGTGTCATTGTTGACAAGGACTTTTCCCATCCGCAGATGCCGAGCGAAGTTAGAGATGCCAAGATTGCCATCCTGACGTGCGCCTTTGAACCGCCCAAACCAAAGACCAAGCACAAGCTTGACATTACGACAATAGAGGAGTTCAAAAAGCTGCAGGACTACGAGAAGAACAAGTTTGTCGAAATGATTGAGCGGATCAAGGCCACCGGCGCAAACTTGGTCATTTGTCAGTGGGGTTTCGACGACGAGGCGAACCATTTACTCCTGCAAAACAAGCTGCCGGCAGTGCGATGGGTGGGCGGCCCCGAGATCGAGCTGATTGCCATCGCCACAAACGGGAGGATCGTGCCCCGGTTCGAGGATCTCAGCGCGGAGAAACTTGGCCATGCGGGTGTTGTTAGAGAAATGACCTTTGGCACTACACGAGAGAAGATGCTGGTTATCGAAGAATGCGCCAACACTCGGGCGGTCACGGTGTTTGTGCGCGGCAGCAACAAGATGATCATTGACGAAGCGAAACGGTCTCTAAACGATGCCCTCTGCGTCGTGCGCAATTTGGTCCGAGACAACAGAGTTGTGTATGGCGGCGGCGCCGCAGAAATTGCCTGCTCATTGGCCGTCGAGGACGCTGCTTCGAAATCGCCCGGCTTGGAACAGTACGCCATGAGAGCCTTTGCCGACGCCCTCGACGCGATCCCTATGGCCCTTGCCGAGAATTCGGGCCTCAGCCCTATCGAGACTCTTGCCTACGTCAAGTCCCGACAAGTGAAAGAGCAGAATACCCGGTTAGGTGTCGATTGTATGGGCACCGGTTCAAACGGTAAGTGGTGGTTTCTCAAGGAATATGTTTATGACGCTAACTTTGGGCAACATAGACATGCGTGACCATTTCGTCATCGACCCCCTGATTGGAAAACGCCAGCAATTACTTCTCGCCACGCAGTTATGTCGGATGGTTAGTGTCCTATATCCTCCGTTATTTCACGCCCTGCTTTTGTGGCTTTTCCCACCGCTGACTCGGTTCTCTTCTTACTTAGGTGTTGAAAATCAACAACGTGATTGTTTCCGGTAGCGACGAGAACGAATTCTGATCACGCAACTACCTTTGACCCAGCCATTTCTATCAAGTCTACAAGATAATCATCCTAAGATCCTATGACGTTCTGCCAAAGAAGAGCGGAATTGCTTGCCAGTGGCCATGGGCAGCAAAAGGGAGTCCTGACCTGACATGAACTTGGTTTCTTGTCAATTCTGTATAAAAAGCCCGCAACCGTGATGCCCCACGACAAGAGTGTGAAATAGAAATGGATAAAATTGAAAAGGCATTGAAAGGTTTTGGTTCTCCGTCCTGCGGAATCCGGGAGCAGAATCCGATCGGCGTCGACACCGTTGGTTGCAGTGGTGGCTACGCAGAAACCCAAGAAATTTCCTTCCCATCCATTTTAGGCCACTGATTGAGTCAGTCAGTGTATTGCTGTGACCTGCTCGTCGGAAAAGGTATATGTGGCTATGGGTTCCAATTCACGAGAACCATTCTGGTAGATAGCGCACCCGGGGTCTGGGCTGTCTCTTTAGACAAGATAGAGCACCATTTTGTACTGCAGTGTGGCTGCTGGTGAAAAAATGAATTAAATATGTTTGACCTGAAGTGCTTTTTGTTCTGGACCTGCCCGTAGCTGTTATCACTTCTTATATACACTTTCCCCAACTTTCACCATCCCAAGGCTTAGAAGAGCATGTCTCGATCCGTTCCGACCTGGTATGGCATTAGCAAACTCGCGTTCCTGAGCATCTCCCCATCTCCGCCCCTTTTTCCCTTCTGAGTGACATCACCAAAGAGCAAATGCGATTGCCTCTTCCCAAATAGGCATAATATCGCAAGAAAGCATCTCTGCTCAAGCAGGTAGGCACCCTTTGTGAATCAGGCTCAATCAAGGAGCACTCATCAAGCATTGCCATTGCTGACTATGGGCCGGATCCAAAGCTAACAACCAGGACGAATCAAGGATGAGACCGAGATTTCGAAAGCCTTCCCCCTCACGCCCAGCAGCAATTTGGATCACCTATGAGCCTGGAGGATCTGATTGTACGTTGGGAGACGATGACAACACGGCGAGCACTGTCCACTGTCTTTCATGGAATGGTCGCCATCAGGAAATAGTGTGAGAACCCATTCAACACTAGATGCAAATAGCAGGAAGGGAGATACAGACCACGACAAAGCAATAGGAAAAGAGCAGAACCCTCAACAAATGGTACGGTTATGTTGTTACCGATATTTGAACCAGTTGTTCAACACTGATCTGCGTCACATTTGAGTCGTTGCACATTGTTTAGGATTACTCCTGTGGGGGGCAGCTTTTGTTGCGGACCGGAGCGATTTCGAGGTTGACGACTGGTAACAGAGGCGACACAGTCAATACTTGGTAACAACTGCCATTCTTGCCGGGCGGTCGGACCAATGTTCATATTCCCAATTGTCAAATCAGGACAGCTTCGATGGGTTGCGAAGATGCCGCCAAAGGCCACATGAACGCGCCCCGGATATGTAAAAGGGGAGTTAGCAAACAACATGAGCATTCATACTTTTTAGGTTTGGGGATGCCCCTGCAACTGAGGGTCTTGATATCAGCAGAGATGTCCAATGCAGCGCGCTCCTTTGGTCCGTGAACGGCTGATCTCGTCTCTGTACGTCGTCGAGCTTCCTGTTGAAGACAAGCAGCAGGGAGAACGACATGAGAGACACAGGAAGTGGACTCTTGGAAGCAGCTAGAAACTCGCCCACTTCGTCGGAAAACGCCCAGCGTGCAAGGATGATGGTGTTGTTGTTCAAGAGGAAGTCAGTTCCGGTAGCCACCCACCAACGGACATTGTAGCAAAGTGTGCTTGAGAGGGAGTAGTGTCTCGCTCATAGTATCTGTGATTGAGGGGGCCACGACAAAGTTTGGAGTTTAGCTCCCGGGATGAACCTACATGATACAGCCTTGTCTTTCCCATTATAGGGACTCCCCGCACTGAGAGTGTCGTTTCAAGCGCTTGTATGGCACCGCGGCTTATGGCTCAAAAACCTTATTGCTTAGAGTGGTCGATGTACGCGAATCGGGTCGCATGTAGAGACCTTGTGACGATGCGGTGACTCAGGTCTGATGGAATGTCCCAAGGAGCTGAACCATGTCGATTATCCGATCGTTGTTCACTTCATAGGCAGAGGGCTGGTTCTTGAGTGGCAAGAGCAAGGGTTGTTTTGCTTGCCCTTGGAGATTCCCTGCCGCCAAAATGCATCCTTTCCTTTACTCAGTGAGTCCGGGGCGCATCTATGTCTGCCATATCTGCGACGTCTTGCGCTGCTCCAGTCCTTCTAGACGAGACAAGCGAACGATCGACAGCGGAAGGTACGGAAAGGGAGGTCCGTGGGCATATTATATGTACATACTTACATCTTTTGGTTACCCCAGGGAGGCTCCCTAGGCTTCAGGTTCGATGACAGTGGCAGGCAGTTGACGTGCAGTGGTGCTTAGCAACTGTAAGTCGGGCGACTATGTCAGATGCATCCGAAGCCGAGGTCAGAATACTTCGGATCAAGTGCGGATCCCCGTGCTTCAATCGAGGGGAAAGCCACTGTCAGATTCAGACTCGATGCGAAGGGATGAATTAGGTAGGATGCTTGGGACGAAGACTACCTCAGGTTTGATAGCTTGAGGAAGGTCGCATCGGTCAAACTGTGTTTGAGGGTCGCATCCGATACGACTGCACTCTCGAAGTTGGGGGGCTGATTTCTTCTGGGTAGAAAGACCGTGAAGACGAAATCCGAGGACCACTCGCAAGCAATTACACAATCCATGGTTATCGTCATACTTCGTATTTCGAAGTGTTGCACGAATCGCAAGGCTGCGCGGGAAATGCGCTCCAACGAATGTAATGCTCGAAATTCCGACATATGCGGCGTATCCCTTGGCACCTGGGACATCTAACGACTGGGTATCGCCGGCGGCAGACTTAATCTGACCTTGTCGTTGGATCGAGGAGGTGCACACTGCGAGAGAGTCTGGGGAGCCCTGTCTTCGAGACACATCCGGAAACTGGCGATGAAGTTCCGCGCGGCATAGCCCAACCTAAGGATCAAATGATACGCCCGCCATGGCTGGTATAGACCAGCAAGACTAGCACGGCACCATCTTGAGTCTTGTCTTCTGACAAGTAAGGCGGATTACAACTCCGGCTTGGGGACGCCGGTGCAGATCGCGATATGTCCCAAGTACGGGTGGTGCCAAAGTACTAGTAGTATCTAGGATGTTAGAAAAGGACGTCCCGCCTTCGGTGGCTCTCGTCTGAGCTGAGCTGGTATTCTGTTGTCGAATTGCCGCTCGTCTCGAGACAGTGATCCTTGCTGATTTTGGAGTCCCGAACAGGGTGTTGTGGACGGTCAGGGAAGAGATATATTGGAGCAGACACAGCGTGTTTTATTTCAGGGGGAAGGATGGCTGTCAAAGCGCCCTCCTGATGCTAGGGATATCTTAGAGATGACCTGGCGGCTTGCCCATGTCGAAGCTGCTCGGCACAAGGGAGAAAAGCACCCTGACGCTTCACAGGCCGAATGAATGGTCCTTTCCCACGACCGCACAGGCAAGGGAATCTTGTGATTTTGTGACTGCCGACAGCAAGATTACAGGGTGGCTTGGATGTGGCCCCTTAAGGTTCCAGTGGCAGCGTCGAGATGGCCACTGCATCCGAGCAGTCATGATTTGTTGCGTTTGCTAGGAGTAGTTGGTATGAAATGCCAAATCTTCCACGTATGTCTGCAATCCATGGGCCATTGTGTGGCGCCTACACGTTCGCTTTTGGGTCTATATCCGTCGAATGTACCAGAGCACTGGGCAGCCTCACGCACCCGTGGACAAGCCTCGGAGGATGAAGTAGGACGGAGCCAGGGGAGGGGGCTATGTTGTGGTGAGTTACACATGCCAGCTGCCTGTGTATGTTGATAGTAAGCTCGTGGAGTACAGTTTGGCAGAGGCAGTGTCAGTGGTGAGACAGATGCGAAGAGTCGCGGATAGAAACAAAACAGCAGCGCTGAATGGCCGGCAACTTGTCAGCTGGACGTGAAAAAGCAGCTTCGTCGATTCCCACTGCACCGCCCTTTGGTCGCACGTGGACGCATTTTAGTGAGACGGGGAAGTCGGATTCGCCGCCTAAATAGACTGACATGCTTTAGCGCCTCGAGCTAGCTCTTCCTGGCTCAATTCAACCTTCTCTAACACTGAAGTGCTCGTACTAGGCCCAGCTTGCACAGGGCTAGACAGGCCAGTTCTGCGGAAGTTACATGCGTGCCGAACTGAGTAGCATCATATCGAGTCAGCTGCTTCGACGAGGTCGTCCTCGCATTCAACAAAATTTGTCTGACGCAACGTGTAGCACCCTGGCGTGGCTAACACGTACAGTATACCGGCATTTTCAGTCAAACACGATCAGGCCCGCTATCACTGTCTATTGCTATTGCGTGAGAACACGTGAGAGCAGAGTCTTCCTGGATAACCAAATCATAGTAGCTGGTAGTAGTTGTACTACTAGCAGTACTACCACCTGTACGTTGTACAGTGTGGGCTTCACATGTGACCCGATGTTGGTGCCTGGAGAGTCGGAGCCGGCTATATACGTGGGTAATAATAGTGCTAGTTGGTAGGTCCAAGTACTAGTAGCCGACAGGGACGCACCACTGCCGGTACCACAGTTTTGTCACCTCTCCAGCTAACTCAACTGGCATTAGTGCCTACCACAATATATCGCTAGCAGCGTCGGTCTTCACAGTTGTCCCACACTCCCATGCCACTACAGTTGTACACCGCATGCCACGGGCCTGAGCTCTCGGCGTGGGCTTTTTGTATGGTGGCTACACAGCTGACGTTGCACAGTAATCTTCATGGTTGTCCGGACGGAGATCCCAAGTTGGATAGGTCACGGCTCGGAGTGAAGTAGTGATGGGCAGTAAGCCTTCCTCATACAAGTCGGCACCGGGCCATTTATCATTGCCTTTAAATTACGATGCCTGGCGATACCTACCGCTTCGGCACAATTGGGGCAGAGATTCGGAACAGACAGGGCCTTAAAGGGTGTGTGGGGGCAGCGGTTATCGATCGTAGGCTGGTCAACTCCCCCGATTTTCCGCTCAAAGAAGCAACGCCTCGGCCGGCATTAATTGCCCCAGCATCGACAAGTTGCGCGTCTTGACCTGTCATTTCAAGTCTGATTCCCATTACGCGCAGTACCCCAAGGCGACAGCAGGTCACTAGCGAGTGTCCCACGTAGCAATAGGCGCTAGTCGCTCTCTTCCAGCCCTTGCTCGCAGGCCAACGTCGCTGTCTCCAAAGTGCCCGGTCCCTCTAAGCGTGCCCCCGAGTGCCCCCGTTGCAACCATTCCCTGTGTCTCGAACCTTGGATCAACGCTACGACTGGCAGGACTTGCAGGCGCACAGTAGGCCTGGACAATAGTGGGCAGCCGCCAGCGGGTGCCTCTCTTCTCCACGCTCCCACTGCCAGCGGCACTGGCACCGCCGGACGCAGTCACAGTCGGTCACTCCCCCTTGTCCCTGAATTTGCCCATTTGCCCATTTTTCCAAAAGCCCAACTTCAAAGCCCGTCCCGAGAGACGGCCCCCTGCTCGTTTTCGTGCCCTGTGCCCTGCTCCCAGACTACGACTGCGCTACTGCACTGCGACCGCTGCATCTCGCACTTGCGCCGGTTTTGTCTTCCATCTGCTTATACTTGTCCTCCCCATCGCATCTTCCACGTCTTTCAACATACCCGACCTGCTACACGTTCTCACCCTCAATCCGACAGAGTTTGGCCCTGTACACCCTCCCCATACGCTCGACTTCCATATGGACTGACCTCGAGTGCCGGTCGAGTCCACATTCTTCAAACTCGACACGTTCTTTACCGTAGTGATCGTCCCGAGGTCTGGAATTGCGTCACAAGCCGATCCCAGCAAATTCCCACCGTTTGCAGTCAACGCCGTACGGGTATCTACCGACTCCAGCGGTGCCTGCCCCCTACATCAAGTCCCTGCGGGCCTGTTCTCTCGAAATCAAACCCTTCCTCTCCATTATCTGGTCCTCCCTCTGTGCCAGAAAGCGAAAACCGTTCTTTGAATATGCCTTCGCGCTTAAGTGCGCCCGTCCTGTCGTTGGACGCAGGCAAAATACATGAGATTGACCCTTCTAATGCGTGCAGTCTGATGGCAATGTGGTCCATCTTCGCCAAATGCTCCGAATCATTAAAAGACGGTCCACGATTAGAGAACATGAGTTGGCGAGTGTGGTCGCGCGAGTCGTTGTGCGTTGCTGGCGTTGACTCGCCCCCGGCAAGATCAAGCCAAGTGCCGTCCTTGTCCAATTCCTACTCTTCAGACGACAGTATGAGCGACAAGGTCTCCTGTCGCGGCAACTCACGATCTAGATCGTTCGGCGGTCACGATGATAACGCCAATTCTCTCTCAAAGTCACGACACCTGACTCCCAGCGTGCTCGAAAAGATTGTTGTCACGATACAAGAGAAGACCGAACTATGTCCTTTATCTCCTTCTATTGAAGCCAGTCTGGAGGCCTTGCCCACTACGTCTCAACCCCAACCTCAACCCCAACCCCAAGCCGTCCCTAACGCCGAACCTACTGTTGAAGCCGAGAGTAAGCGTCTGCGAGACTCGACCGATTCCTGCATTTCCAATACCACAACCGTAACCACCGCGAGCACGGCTCATCAAAGTCAACATCGCGACTCTGACACTTCAGTCTCCTCAGACGGTCTCGCCCGAAGTCAGTCGATTGTCCATGGATTCTCACCCGCCGCCACGTCCTCGTTCCGAAAGTCGAGTGTTGGTGTTCAGCCCACACCCCCTTCCAGGCTTGTCCCGAAAGGCAAAGCCCCGATCAAACCGGCCATGTTTACATTAGGAGGTTCTTCGGAGGATGACGAGTCGTCTTTTGAACAGAGAGTGCTTGCCCAAAGACTCGCCCCCCAACCACAAAAGAGCTCCTTGTCTCAGAGTTTAAGCAAACAAAATCTTGCAGACGCTCCTAGGGCACAAATGCAGCCGCAGCAACCTAAACGGACGTCATTCCGGGACATCATCGCCGCACGAAGAATACAGGAAGACGCAGAGAACGATGAGGGCGCCATTGCAAGCAGTGACGAAGAAGAAGACACGGATGAAGCTATCGAGTCCGCGATCGATGAAGACGAAGATGGCGATGAGTGGGAAGATTCCAATTCAGATGATGGAAGGGCGGCACCAGAGCCAAACCTTTTCCGCAGAGTCGAAAGCCGACCCGACTTGGTCTCACGGCGGTCAATGTTGACGCTTGCCCTCAACAAAGGTCAAGGAGCGATGAACTATGCGTACTCGCAACCTGTCCTACATCGACCTGGTGTGACATCTCCAAAGGGCAAGTCTGCCGCAGGCTCACCCGAAGAGGACGATGGCATGATGATGCAAACGTCCAAGAGGCCACCCATCGCTATTTCCCCTCCCAAAGCATCCGCAAAGGCGGTGGCACATTCGCCGCGAACCACGAGACGCAATATGCTGGCCACCGAGTTGACCGAATCTTTACGTAAAAATCTCCTTTGGGAGAGACAACAGAAGTCTCAGACGGCAAATGCTTTCCTCAAAAGAAGCCGGAATGCTCAAAGCATGGCGAATCTTCAGAGACATGCCAACTCGGCGGCCGGTCCTTCTCAACCACCCCCGCCCCAAGAAACGTCCAAGAACAACTCTTGGAACCACTATTTTGACAATCCCTGGGAGTACCATGCCAAAGGCTGGTAGAAGACTTGACCCTGGGGGCGGACATTGTTTTTGTTCGATTTGTGTTTTAGTTTGCTTGCGTTCAGAGCGGAATGATGCTGCTTAATTTCACGCGTTTCATGACCCTACTGTCCAGCTCACATTTCGGGCCGAGCTGGACATCGGCGCCATATGGTCAGGCATCCGGGACTTCCGACTGATCAGGTGCATTCGGGACTTTTCGTTGCTCTGTATAGCGATGCGGGTAATTGGGGAGTCGGGGCTGGCGAGAGGCCTAAAAGTCAAAAAAGACTTGGTTCTAATGCATGTTACGGCCACGGTCTTTGAAGAATTGCGGATAGCAGAGCCTTGTGAGAGAGGCCACGAAGCCGATGGACGGACTGGACTGGACTGGACTGAATTTGAGCTGTCTTTTTCCATACCCATCTTGCGCCATGTACCATTATCACGACATTATGGGTGAATACCTTGAGCTACGTGAATAGTTTCTTGGTGGCGGTTGCTGTGATGCTGAGAGAAATAAGCTTTGTACGAATAATTAAGAGCTATCGATACTGAAGATGCCATGCCGCCGTCATCAATTATTCTGGTCGATGGCAACATTTAAATCACGATTTTCTGAGCACTTCAATATGTTTATTTCTGGACTTTTCGAGAGTAGGTGTCCATATAGCAAGGTACTGCGACAGTTGTCTCGGTATATGGAAGTCAATGTTAAGCGCAACCACTTTCGTTGTTCTACACATGTCGTACTGCCAGCGCAGCATTTTGGATGTCTTGTGACACAAAGAGCTCAGGAAAGTCGAACCTTACTAATTAGGACTTCCGCAGCGAGCCGGGTCAAGAGAACAGAACACTGCAGTAGGAGTGGTTTGACCAGCACCAGACATCCAGGGTACTACTGTACCTAGCCGCTGCACTGGATGGTCTGGCTTGGTTTGGTACTACTGTACAGCCGGGTAAGGCCCGAGCCTGCAGGTGGCTGAGGTGTGCAGTGAGTGTGTCTCCTTGACCATGTGACTTTCGAGGATACTGCGTGTTCTGTATCCATCTGGATACTACGGAACACGCAGCACTGGAGTCTCAGGTGGTTGTATACAACGTTGTATCCCACAGTAGTGGGTAAGGAGGGGACTCGTTTCAACTTCTCACGTTGTGGGTAAAATAACAGTGGACATGTGTCGGTGGTGGGCACGTAGAAGGCGGTGCCAAATCTTCTAGAACATCACCCACTTTGGTTTGAAACCTGCAGTATAGTGGCAGCGGTCAAATACCTGGTAAGTTGTATTTTGCCATGGTCGAGATTGGTGTAAAAAATCACAAGAGAGGTGATGTTTACTACTGTATGTACCCCACTGAAGAATCTGTACCTGTCCCGCTGCCAGTGCCAGTGCCACCGCCAGTGAGACTCTGGTCCGCAGCGTCGAGCCTCGCGGCGCTGATATGATGTGGCAGACAGGGCTGAGATGCAGTGGTCACGAGGTTGGGCTCGGTAGAAAGACACCGAGGTGCATGACGGGTGACAAGCCGGGCCAATGGTAAGGTACCCTTTTTGCTCGAGACACTTTCACAAATACTGCACTGCATGTGCTGCAAGTATTGTCTTGACAAAGATTTCAGTTCGCCTTCGTTCATGTTGTTTCGTTTGACTTTGTGCATGTTTGAGGGCCTGATCTGGTCCGCTGACATGCAGTAGTGATATGCGTGAACGTCTATACGACTTGTTGCGAATCTATCTCAGCTGGACACGTGAGGTGGAGATTTAAGATGCCTGCAGGGGATGCAGGGGGCCTGGCCGAGTCTGGATTTACACGTTGTAGGTAACTGTTCAAGTTAACGTATGTACCAGGTATATGTACACCTTATACTACTGCAACAACACTGGTGCTTGAAGCTTGACACTGGCAGGCGTTCCGTTAATCACTCAACTTGGATAGAGTGCATTTTCGCTCACTTCCAGGTACCTAGCGACTGACCCGAGCGGCCATAATAGTAAAACGCCTACTAGTACAGCATTTACTGCCAGGGCCAAATAGCTGGCATCTGGGTGGGTGCTCTGGCACTGCAATGGTACCTACGTTAAGGTAGGTAGGTACTTGGAAGCTCTCCATGGGAAATACTGTACAACTAAAAGTTGTACTAGTAGTTACTTTACTACTTGTCTGGAATCGCTCGGGGCGAACGGATGGAGATATACTAGTACGGTACCTCGCGTGCCTACCAACTTAGGTACATTGATACTGTACAGGACAAGCAGTGGAGGTGTTTCGACCATCTTCGACGTAAACGCACCACAATAGAAGGCAGCGCCGGACCACTGCATGCTACAGTTAGGTACCTTACGAACGGAGAGTTTCCCTTGGTCCGAGTGGAAAGGCTGGCACATGTGTCTGAAGTTCCTCCCCAAGCTCTCCGCTGCAGCCAGTGTCGGAACGATCTGGCTGAACGGAAGGATGAGCTTGAGCCAGGATGACCATGTCCGAGAAGGGTTTCTTCTATTTGTCGAGTCGATCACTGCACATCAAAGAATTCAAGTTTCGTCTGACTGAGATGTTCAAACGCCGGTCAGGTCAGGAGTAATAATAGTTTCAATTTCAATGATAACGAATCGCTTTTACGAGATGGTCCTTGGAGGGAAAGCGGGAATGTCGATTATGATGGAATAGTGTCGATTATTTGCCCAGATACCTCGGTCCCTTTTTGATTACCACTTTACTGTGCACAGCTTGTGCAGTACCTTTGAGTGTACCATCTCGCGGAGTCGGATTTCTCAAACCCCCGTCTTTCCCCGAATGCCTTCTCCAGGCAATGATATTCCAGCTCTGCGTCATGGCTTCACTATTTAGATGGATGATCAGCAAACGAATGCCCCTCTGATTCACATAATACGGGCGCAATGATCAAACTGCAATCTCACCATTCCTGGCAAGCATCTCGGGCCTTGGTAAGAAGACCTGAGACCGTCCCACTCAGCTCAGCTCAGTTGGTCTCGTGCATTGTCGAAACTGATCGATGGTAAGCGACCTGCCAATTCTGACCATCTGCTGAAGAGCCGAGACTTCGAGTCCCGACAGACTCCACGACCGACTCCACTTCTTTCAAGCCTCGAGACCCGGTGCAAGTCTGTCCTTTGGGGCAGCCGAGCCCCGGACTCTTCTTGTAGGAATTGCGGGGCCCCTCGGCTCCCTTCAAGTTCTGCTGCCTACAACGATGCCCGGGGAATGAACTAGCAGCAATTCTAGAATTGAAGCGACTGCCTGCCTGGGAGTGACATCCGCGACCTAGTTAGTAGTCAGAACCTGGCGCGCCCAATAGTTCTGTATCTAATTAGTACCTGGGTACAGATCTCGTATGGTCATACAGCTGCTTCCGCCGGCTACGAAAGGCCTGTGTTTGGCACTATGATAGTACGGGCAACATTTGCAACTGTTGGAATCCTTCCGTGCTTCAGGCCCCTGCACCAGTCCTGACCTCCGATGTGTTCCGTACCCCATTCAAGAGTACAATGTGAGCGGAGCAACTGTCGGCAGAGCGTCGAAATGGTAAAGCGAAACGGAGGAACTCCAGTTCAGGGGATTGGGTGGGCTCTCCCTCCGAAAATGAAAGGTGTTGCATTGTCGACATATGAGAGTATTGTGATGGAATAACAAACCTGGTCATGAGCGCGTGGAGAATTGCCCAAGGGACTACTGCTGAATGTGGGGAATTGCCGGTTCAAGTGAAGGAGGGCAGCAGCATGGTAGTATCAAAAGAACGTCGCCATGGGTCGAGAGGGGCTGGTAGTATACTTACGGCCGGGACAGTAGAAGCGAAATTGCATGCCTGGCTTGGAACGGCGAGAAGAGACACCTGGGCACAATACTGCGTCACGGCCAACAGCTACATACCTTGCCCAAACAGTCTTATGGACTGTGCTTACCGGGAGTGTTCATTTGCTAGAACTGGTCAACAAGGAACCCTCGAAGAGCAAAACGTTGAGCTGCTGGGCATAAATGGCTGTACAAGGCTGAGACGTGGTGGACCAGTCACCGACACTGTACAGTGACCTGCTGGACGCATGTGCCAGCACATCACTTTCGCAACCCGCGGGCAGGTTCACATGAGCCGACAGAATAGCCCTATCAATGTACAATCATTGGCCAGATTCAGGCCGAAGCAGAACCAGGAAGTTGGTCGGACGGAGTTTGACCATGCCGTGCTGCCAGTATAATCAATGTATATTTGGGTTCTCGAAGGCTGGGCCAGCACATTCCGTTCAAGTTCAGCACGACATGGACTGTCTGCAACCATCGGCGAAGGCCTTCTCTCATCGGGTCGTAGTTCATGGCGATCAAGCGCATGATTTTTCGTTCATTCATCCTTGCTGCGGCATGACATGAGATCAGACGTGAGCTTGGGACCCTGGCTAGTGAGTTGAGCGGGCGCGTCCTTGGTTCGGCGGGAATATTTCTACCACCGCGACTCCCAGACCGCTTGTTGATCAATCTCGTCGGCGAGGTATCTGTCCAACGAGTGCCTGCATATCAAGTCAGCTGGGCAGACTCGGTGCCCAACGGATGTTTGAATTGCAAGGTTGCTGCCTGCTCCCGTGCGAATGGAAGGGCGTTAGTAGGTGCATAAGAAAAGCAAGCATGACATGGGATCGACAGCTGGCAAGAAGGCTTCAAAGTCGCGAGATCGTTTTTCCGGCAGGCGAGTGTTCATTTCTTTGGTGCAGAGTGGTGGTGTGATGGCTGAATATGCACGGGAAGAGCATGAGCAGACAAGGGTAGCATGGGCACAACCACCTGACTATTCGAGATGCAGCAGTGGGAGCTTGATCTCAAGATATACTAGTACAATTTAGTAGAACAGGAAAAAGGAGCCTGATTGCGAGGAGTCTGAGGTTGCGCCAGGAGGGACCGGGGGCAACAAGTGGCAGGGAAGGTGAGGCTCGGGACATGCAAGCTTGATTCCGGGACTATGGGTCAAATGAAGCGATAGGAAGAAACATGTGGTAGCAGATACTGGGTAACATGCAGATTATGGAAAGGTGTGATATGGTGGTGGTTTGGATACCAGGGTCAGAGCAAAGAGTGTGTGGGGAAGCAAGCGGTCACTACTAGTAAGTACCACCTTACTAAAGCAGACAAGTCGGAAAAAGTATCGAAACCCACGTGGGATGGTCGGCGGAGGAACTTGACCATTTTTATGACATGCTGAGTGACGAGAAAGGAACTTGGAGGTACCATTGTACAGCAGGACCGGGGAGCAAGACAACTACGAATCAGACCTGCGACGAAAGAGAGCCCAGTTGGGCAACCCGAACTTCATGCTGGCCGCAATAAGATGATTTTACCCGCTGCATTCAAGTCTCGAAGATTGATAAAAGACGGCACAATAATTGAGCGAATAATGGTTGCCAAATTAACAAAGATAATATGACTCGAGCTGACTCGAACTGTGTCATAGTGACGGGCGCATTGCTCCTTGCCAGTGCGCACTGCCGTGGAAGTTGGTCAGTGGCTGAATGTGTTTCCAGTTAAAGCCTTAGGCACGTCAACGCCTATAAGCCACGAACAACACTCCCAGATTGCTTAACAACACGCCTAGCTGATAGATCAGTAGCCTGTGCCACCTGTCTTTGCACTTCACGCTGTGATCCTGTTCAACAAGTTGCACTTGCTTTCCTCCTCCCCTTCGCCTGCTCATTTCTTGGTTCGAATTTGACCTCATCTGCCTCCTGAACTACGTTCCTTTCCTCCTTCATTCACCCTCCACTAGCGTCCCATCTAGGCGAAGAATCATCAGCCGACCTAAGGAGCACAGATTCAAGTCAGAAACAGCAGTGGCTGGGCCTACCGCCAACTCACCAACTCACCGACCCATGTCACCTGACACGATTGGCCTCAACGGTGAGTCCGCCACCTACGTCGCAGTCCCGTGGTGTTTTTGCTGCGCCTTGCTTCTGCAGTCTCGGACCCCGTGCTCTGTCCAGGCCCCCAGGGGAGACTGAACCTGCTGTACTGTCACACGTCTGGCTTCCGGCCCGAGCATGCAAGCGCCTCCGCATCGCATTCGTGTCGGATCTGGCATGCTGCTGCGTAAGGCGTAATGGTTCCCTGGCAGCCGGTGACACTGTTCACCGGTCATCTGATTGCTTCGTTGTACAAAATGTTGATCAGTTTTACTCGCCTTTAGGCACCAACCAGACCGACGGTCCAGTGGCTCAAGCAAACCTCCCTCAGCCTCGAAGCGCCCCTGATTCCAAACCGGCTCAATCGCGGTCTCAGGTTTGTCGCTTCTTCAATACAAGTAAAGGTTTGTTCTGTACCCGTCTTTTACACCGCGTTCTGCTTGCCGACTTTGGGCTGTAATTGAAAGAGGGCAATGTCTAAATTTGCCTCATTGGGAATATGGGTTACCCCAAAAGGGGCTCAGCCTGATGTCTTTGAGGCATTCTGCCGGATGAGACTACTGAGCAGCTCATGCTTCCAGTGGAGAGGGGTCTGAGGCTGGTTGACTTACCCTGGTCACTGACGTGTTTTGAACCCTACAGGTTGTCGTGCTGGGTCTCAGTGCCCGTATCGACATGTGACGCCTAAGACGCAAACCACGGCGACCAGGCAGAAACAACAACAGCAGCAGCAGCAGCAGCAGGCCCAGGATGGCATCGACTCAACAGCCACAGAACAGCATACTCTGCCCCAGAGACCGAAAACAGATAGCTCGACACCAACTGTGGTTCCGAAACCAGTGCCACAGTTGCAACGGAACAATCCACGTGAATTTCAGATTAGCCAAGTGGTGAGAAGGTTTACGCCGGTTCGCAGAGATCTCGACAATGTCACGAATCTGTCATTCACGCTAAATCCTTCTGATCCCGACTTTCCCTTTGACCTAAACGGCTTGCAATGCACCCTAACCGTTCCCCAGTCCTACCCTGGCAGTGGGAAGCCATTGATTCGAGTCACCAATCCCGAGATGCCGCGGGGCTACCAGATTAATGTCGAAAAGGGGTTTGACACTCTTGTAGAGAAGGCGCCTGGAAAGTCCTTATTGGGTCTGCTCAACGAGTTGGACAGAAATCTTGAGAAATTCTTGACGGCAGAAAAAGCGACAACAATCAAAATTGTTCCAAATGTCGATAAGACTAGCACACCCCAAACATCTGTTGCAACGGCGCCGCCCAAGCCACATGAAGCAACTTATGTACCCGTGGTTCCTTCGCGGCCTTCATGGACACCACAACAGAGAGCTGAGGCTGCGGCCAAGAGACAAGCCGATGTTCGTCAACTTGAAGCGCGCATGGGCCGTTTACCAAACTTTCACAAGAGCTCTGATGGGATCAACTTCAATATCCCTGTAAGCCTGCCAAATCCCAGTAGGCTTCCTCTATCTTTGCAGTCGCTCAAGGAGGTCACCCTATCCGTCCCCAGACTATATAACCTGGAACCGTGTACCATCCATCTGAAAGGGGTTGTGGGCCGGGAAGCAGAAAACGTCGAGATGGCTTTCGAAAGACATGCACGCGAGAACCCAAACATGACGCTGATGGCACATATCAACTACTTGATCCAGAACATTCAAACCCTGGCATCGATTGTTGCGGAGAAGCCAGCATCCCCGCGATCCACGCCATCCGCTTTGGACACTCGACTGCCTTCTTCGCCGAAGCCAATTGATACCTCAGCTACGGAAGATTCGGAACATGAAGAGAGAATCTTGGACGAAGAACGCCCGCACCTCAAACTGATCCCTCGCCCTCCAGAGTGGAGTCAGCACGAGTCTGAATCGGACTACGACTCTGAGACCACCTCCGCCTCCGGAAGTGATACTGACTTTGACGAGGACGGAGAAGATGGGGAGCAGGGAGGTGGTGCTTCGCTTCCTGCCCCTTCTACTTCTTCCGAGAGAGGTATTATCCTTTCATTCCCCAACCTGGAACTCCATAACATTGAAATCCTGTCTGTTGCCTCGTTGTCGCTGTCCGTCAAATGCTTACGCTGCAAGTCGCCGCTGGACATCAAAAACATCAAGCCGAGCAATACGACCACCAATGCACAGTCGACAAGCACACCAGCAAGTCCTTCGAGTGTACGCGCGGAATCCTGTCCCAAATGTACTACTCCTTTTACGATATCATATACCTCGGATCTCCTACATGCCAATTCTATTCGCGCCGGCACCCTTGAGGTTACCGGCTGTACAATCACCGATATGCTGCCCAGCACTTTCCAACCGACGTGCTCATCGTGCTCCACCACCTTCCCCGTACCGCCGGGTATGATTTCCGTCCGTGGTGACACGCCCATCCAGGTGTGCCGGGCGTGTCACGCTAAGATGACTTTCACCATTACCGAAGTCAAGTTTCTACGCGTGTCCAGCTCGGCAGCGGCCCTGCCAATGCGACGTCCCAAGAAGGAGTCTCTAGGCATATCGGCAGGAACGCCGCTTCCGAACAACGGTGTATGTGCGCATTACCGCCACAGTTACCGCTGGTTCCGCTTCGGCTGCTGCGGGCGAGTATACCCCTGTGACAGATGCCATGATGCCGCCGAGGCGCACGTGAACGAACACGCCGACCGCATGATATGCGGCTGGTGCAGTCGCGAGCAACGCTTTAAGCCAGAAGACTGTGCTGTTTGTGGCAGAAGCGTGATCCGTCGACGCAGGGCCGGTGGCTTTTGGGAAGGCGGGAAAGGGACGCGGGACAAAAAGTTAATGAGTAGGAAAGACCCAAGGAAATACAAGCGGGCTCCTGGTGGTACTCTACCTTCGAAGAAAAAAGCCTAAGGCGAGGAGTAGATGATGTTTTGGATCTTGAAATGTACATTACAGCCCTGGCCAGCTCTGGCCGGCACAGGGAAGCTTATAAGACGCAAGACGGGAAGTGTCGAGTTGTCCCAGTTTACCTCTGAGCGAAAAAAGCGCTGCGGGAACTTGGAGATACCTGGACATAGTCACAGTGCTCGCATAAAGTGCAAGTACCTAGCCATGGAACAGGGATCCTTTTGGGTTCATTTCCTGCATTGGATCAGCTCATTCGCCTCTCAATGTCTTGCTGTCTTCAAAAGCGACAGCTCTTGTTGCCCTGTTCTCGTCGCCGTAGATTGAGGCCATAAGCAGCCTAGCCGAGTGCCTACACGCCGTCAAACGGAGGGACGGTGGACGAGAATATAACAATGGCCCATCATTTTGCATTCTTTGAACGTGCTCTTGTTGACGACGAGGAATGCGCTTCAACATTCGAGCGAACAGCATTACGAGATTGCACCGATTCGGGTAGTCATCCCGGTTTTCGAGATGATATTCCAAATCCGAGACAAGGGTTCAAGTTGCTGGGGATTTCACGCTCATCTCTCGTTGGATCCGTCTGACGGGATGTGTTCTATAATTCGGCTGCGAAGGGAAGCCCGAGCCTGCTTTATTCTACATAGTAATGTCACAAATGGTCATTTGAAATTCCAGTGCTGCGGAGAATGCTCGGAGCTTCTTCTGTCGAAGCGTTACAGCAGCAGAAGTTCTGCCCGTTTCAGTTCGATTCTCTCGTAATCCATGAAATCCCACGTCATGATCATTCTGCTGAACCATTTGCCGTGCGTTCCCGGGCGACGGACCCTATGACGGCTTCTCTACCACATTTGTCGAGCAGTCATTGAATCACGCTCACCTCATGCTGTTGATTTCAAAGCCGCCGTAGAAATTTTAATTGAGCCTCAGAAGGCCCGGCCACCAGACTTCGCTTTATAAGAATGAGATTCGCCCAGTAGACTTGCATTGCTATACAACTAGTTTAGTCCACTACTCATTCGCGCCCAATCTCACCCCATACATTATAAGCACAAGCGATACTCTCCGACCTGTAAGAAGACTACTATCACATCACATAACACATCATGGGTTCCATAGAGCAAAAGCCTCTGATCATCAACAAGGCCGCTGAAGGCATCTCCTACTTCACTCCAGCCCAGAACCCGCCCGCCGGCACAGCGGCGGTGCCTCAGTCTGATGGTCAGCCTGTTCCGAAACTCTTTCAACCACTCACGATCCGAGGAGTCACTTTTCAAAACCGCATCTTCCTGTCCCCTCTCTGCCAGTACTCGGCACAAAATGGATATCTTACCGATTGGCACTTGACACACTTGGGAGGGATTCTCCAACGTGGGCCCGGACTTACCGTGGTTGAGGCGACGGCGGTCACGCCAGAAGGTCGTATCACACCCGAGGATGCTGGCTTGTGGGAAGACGGGCAGATTGCTCCTATGAAACGGATCGTCGAGTTCGCTCACAGCCAAAGCCAGAAGATCGGCATCCAGCTGGCCCACGCTGGCCGGAAAGCCTCCACCGTTGCGCCGTGGTTGAGTCTGGGAGACACCGCCCAAAAGGAAGCCGGTGGTTGGCCCACGGAGACGCTGGCGCCCAGCGCCATTGCCTTTTCGCCTACCTTCCCGCATCCCAACGAACTCACTCTTGAAGGAATCCAAAGAATCAAGGATGCCTTTGTTGCCGCGGCCAAGCGAGCGGTTGAGGTCGGCTTTGATGTCATTGAGATCCACAACGCCCACGGATACTTGCTGCACGAGTTTTTGAGCCCTGTGTCCAACAAGCGGACCGATCAATACGGCGGTTCGTTCGAGAACAGAACCCGCCTGACTAGGGAAATTGTCGAGGCTGTCCGAGCGGTCATCCCCAAGGATATGCCCTTGTTCCTTCGAATCAGTGCAGATGACTGGCTTAAGGGACAGGAAGAGTTCCCTGAAAGCTGGACGGTCGAGGACACAGTCAAGTTGGCTCCAATATTGGCCGAGTTGGGCGTGGACTTGCTCGACGTGAGCTCTGCTGGTCTTCACCCGTCTCAGAAGATCAAGGGTGGTCCAGGCTATCAAGTTCCATTTGCCCAAGCTGTTAAGGACAAGGTCGGTGATAAGCTTCATGTGACCGCTGTCGGTAGCATCACCTCCGGACCGCAAGCCCAAGAGATTGTTGAGAAGGGCTTAGATGCCGTGTTCGTCGGCCGATATTTCCAGAAGAATCCTGGCCTGGTGTGGGCTTTTGCCGAGGAACTCGGAGTGGAAGTCCACATGGCTCATCAGATCGAATGGGGATTTGGAGGACGTGCAGGCGGTAAAGGGAAGAAGCATCATTAAAGTAGCATTGACAATCACCTGCGTGCTAGAGCAATTTGGAAAAGAGTGGTACAATACATCTGATATCGGTCCTTAGTGGCCTGCAGCGTTGGCGTTTGAGAGAACACGGGCGGGTGTAGAGATAGAATCATCTACATAGAGAGAATATACAAGCTCACGGTGACTACAAATCAGTTTGCCGGGATGAGGCAATTCTATCCTTACTTCATGTTGTAAATAGGATCTCCCGATACCCCTGCCACTGGTGGAAAATTTCCAGACGAATATCCTCCGAATCCGTTTCATATCGAGAAAACAGTCCGAGCCGGCCGGGTCGAGTTCAAACCCGTGCGGAGACTGCCGCGAACGGGTTCCTGCATGAGGAACGTTTGAAGATCGGATCATCGACTGTTCATTGGCTGACACGCTCACTCCAAGGGCGTGCTAGGCTCTAGCCAGGGACGGCTGTGCCTAAATAAGCCTAAGTCCAGGCACGGAGGGCGATGCTTATGGGTCTGTTTATGCCTAAAGGTCTATAGCGTGACTTTGGACCTTAGGCTGGACCATCCCCTGCAGGTCCCTGACCCCTGGCGCGGACTGTCAATGTTGTACTGCAGCGGTCGGTGCTAGGCCGAGTGCAATTCTCCTGCCTGCGCCGCTCCTCATCTCCTTCACTTCTGGCTGTTTTGGCAGTGCAAGGTGTTCAGCTCCTCATTCAGTCCAAACACAATCGACACTCTCTACAATTGTTGTGTCAAGTCGTTCATTCAGCCAACCACACGCTCGCTATCTCTTTCATTCATTGTTCTGCTTTCGACACGCTTAGGGGGGCCACCTTCTGGCTCAGCTTGCTCAACTCACCAGCCTCCCCTTAACCTGCAGTCCTTGCCTGCGCTTGGTCCACCTGCAGCCTTGAAAGCTGACGACTGCAGCACAAAAAGTCAACCTTTTAACGATCTCAAAACCTGTATCGCGGCTCAAGAAGAGCCGGAACGATAGGTCTGGGAATACACTCGCCTACTGTCGCTGCCTCCCGTGGATAACACCACAACCGAAAGCGATGCAATAAAGCCCGGACAGACAAAGATCACGAAGTGCAAGGCAATTGAGCTGGGCTCTTGTTACCTTGACCAACGGCTGCGCCGTGCCACAACACCATCCGTCCATTCAGCAACACTCTGGTTTTCGAGGCCAGACCTGCTCACCGGCCGCTCGCATGTGGCCAGCCTCTCATTAATATTATACTCATCTGCTGCCCGGTCGCAGCCACATCTCTACCAACATCACAAATCTGAAAAATCCTCCCTGCCATCGCCATGGGTTGCTGCGGCGGTGAACGGGAGAAATATGGCAATCTCAACGCCGAACAAAAATGGGAATACATTGTATGTATTTATGTTGCAGTGACAAGTGACAGCCGATCTAACAAACACTGCAGAATCTCGATGACTTCAAATCCAACTCGTGCTGGACACCTTTTGCCTATGGCTACCTCATTGTCATGCTGATCGTCTCCCTCTCCGTCTACGCCGTCGATACCTTTACGGCCATCAACTTGCTCGCATTTGACCGGTGGGCTGGGCAGATCAAGCCAGAGATTCCGCTGCATATCTCTCGATGGATCTTTGCCGGATGTATTATCCTTTCCTTCGTGCTTCTCATCTATCGATGGATACGTGCAATTCGAGTCATGCGCCAAGGAGGAGTTGCCAAAAGCTATCTCGACCCTCTCGCCGTGCGCGTGCAGTCGGTGCGCTGGGGTAAAGGAAGAGGGTGGAAACGGTTCTTGGTGTTCGCCGAATTGACGAAGAGTAAAAAGGGTGCCGACTACGTTGCACTCTTCACCTATTTCTCCTTCGAGGCATGGCTCCGAATCGTCTTCGCCGAAGGTCCGCGCCAAGTCGTCAACGCCATCACATTATATTCTGTGATGCGGTTAAAACTCATTCCCCAGGGTGAACACGCTCCCGAGGATGGACACTCACCCGTGGTGCAGTTCTTTGTCAACATCGGAGTCCTTGCAGACGAGAACCACCTTCAGGCTGTCATACTCTTCGGCATGCTTTGGACTCTATTCATTTGGGTCATTTCGGTTCTCAGTCTGATTGTCTCGGTCATTCTGTACCTCCTCTTCCTCTGGCATCATATTCCCACGGGCGACGGAGGGCTAACCGGCTACTGCCGTAACAAAATTAACAGGAGGATGGAGCGGATTGTCAAGGTCAAGGTCGACAAGGCATTGAGGAAGGAGAACGAACTTCGCGCTGGCCAGGAGGCCAGGGCAGTACGTGAAGGCCTGTGTGTCAAGAAACAGCCTACCTTGCCGAACATCAGCACTTCTGACGTCGACTCTCTATCTGGATTGTCAAGACAGACGACGATGACAACCCTGCCTGAATACTCATCTCGTCCAGGCACGGGAAGCAACAGCAATGAATCTATCCCGACGTTGCCTGATATCTCAGGGCGTCCAATTATGCCCGTACGAACCGTCACGCACGGCTCTGCAGCATCTTTCTCTAGCTACAGTTCGAACGCGCCTTTGGTTGGCGCAGCGGGAGACATGGGCCAGATACCTGATCGGTCGCAAACTCCTGTCGGAGATCCAGCCGGTCCATGGTACGGTAAACCGCTACCAAACCGAAGTATGACCGGACTTGCCCAGCCGCCGCAACGGCCTTATAGCCCTGCCCTCGCGCGGCCTGGTACGGCACAAGGAGACAGGAATGGCGCTGGCTCTTATCAAATGGACTCCCTTCCTCGTCCTGGCACAAGCATGTCAAATGGGCCAAGACCAAGATACCCGCCTGACAACGGCGGCGCCCTTCCATATCCAGATGATCGCAGTTCTACCTCCTCAGTGAAGCCGCCTTCATGGTCGGGACCCAATTTTGATGGTACGGCTGATCCTATGGGTCGACGTACCCCGGCGGCTACCGTAGGTCGACCTTTCCCTGGCATCCCGGAGGAACGAGGTCGCAACTCTCCACTACCTGGCCCCCAATTTCGATCCCAGAGCACAACTCCAGGCTTTCCGGAAAGACCATACACACCCAACGGAGGTCCGACGTTATCTCGCCCTCAGAATCCAGCATCTGGTGGGTACGTCCCTTATACCGCTGAACCGCGCTCTATGACACCAGTGTCGTCTGTTCCTCCAGGTGCTGCACCGCGTAATGTCAGTGAACCACCACGGTCATACTCACCATTTGGACGGCCAGGGCTTCCCGCTGGTCCGCCAGGCTACAGGCAGCCACCTCAAAGACGGGGTAGCGCTGTGGACGACATTCTGGATCACTATTGAAGGCCTGGAACTGATCTTGGTTTCGCGCTTGGCTCATGACGACGAACTTAATGACGATACTAGCTAGATGCTGCCTCTGTAACAAAATTCCATACCATGATACCACTGTCAATCTTGGGTCGTATGTTCTCGTGTAGAATTAGATTGCGTGCCGTACCAGTGGCCTGACTGCAAGATTAAGTTTGGTGGAAATGGATGTTGTTTGAATGCGCTCCGATTGGTCAATGACTGGCTCCGCCGACTCCTACATGTCCATCATTAGTAGATACTTTCTACTTCGAGATGCCCATGGACTGTTAGAAGTCGTTCTCTGATGACTTGTCGATCTGGCAACTATTAGAGGAGGTTTCAAACGCAGTGCATCGAGTTCCTTGACGATGCTGCCTGCGTCGTCAGGCTTCGCGCGAGTCCTGCGCGAGGCTGCGCCGAGCCTGTCGAAGCGCTTCTTTGACTGCAGCCGCAGTGCTAGTAGTACTGGCAGTCGACGCATCAGTTCTCTATCATCGAAGCAGACGAAGCGCGTGGCATCTGGGACGACGGCACAAGGATGCACGTCCAACCAGCAGCATCATCGGTCTCTTAGCTCGGCAGCCCCGAAGACACAGCAAACGTTGACGGGACGCTCGTTGCAACCGTCGTTATATTCCTCGTCATTATGTTCTCGGAATCTTCGAACCGATGTCACAACAACCAGTCGATTCGTCCTCGCTCGGACCTTTGTCGCTTCCTCTTCGGCAAGGACAACGATGCAGACGAATACAGCGACGGCAAATGTACAGGATGCAACTGTGGTGGGAGCAGCAGCAGAAGCAGACAAAAGTGAGAGCAAGAGTGGGAAGAAGAAGTCGTCGTCTTTCCCGGACACCTCGTCAAATACAGTGGCGTACTGGCTTCTCGCGAGCGCCGCGAGTGTTTTTGGGATCGTCGTTTTTGGCGGGTTGACGAGGTTGACGGAGTCTGGGTGAGTTTCTTGTTGGAATTCCCTTTGTTATATCACAGTTTCAGACAAGTCTCCCAATACCAGGATATAAACATTGCTAACAGATGCCCTATTCTCCGTATACAGGCTCAGCATTACGGAATGGAAACCAGTCACCGGATCTCTACCACCCATGTCCCAAGAAGACTGGGAAGCCGAGTTCGCAAAGTACCGCTCCAGCCCTGAATTCAAAATGCTGAACTCACGCATGACGCTGGAGGAATTCAAGTCGATTTACTGGATGGAATGGATCCATCGACTATGGGGACGCTTCATTGGACTCAGCTTCGTCGTGCCGGCCGTCTACTTTGTTGCCCGAAAACAAGTCTCTCGATCCATGGCCTGGCGGCTTTTGGGGATTGCCGGACTGATTGGGTTTCAGGGGTTCATCGGCTGGTGGATGGTGAAATCCGGGTTGAAGGACGACTTGTTCGCTCCGGGCTCGCACCCACGCGTCTCGCAGTACAGATTGACAGCACACTTGGGCACCGCATTCATATGTTACCTCGCCATGCTCTGGAGCGGTCTTGACATTCTACGCACGAACAAACTACTCAAGGCGCCAAGGGAGGTCGCCGAGGCTTCTTTGAATGCTCTGCGCAATCCGGCTCTGAAACCGTTCAAGCGGTCTGTCGCCCTGCTTGCCGGTCTGGTCTTCATCACCGCCATGTCAGGTGGCCTTGTGGCAGGCCTGGACGCTGGACTGATCTACAATGAGTTCCCATTCATGGGTCTGGGCCTGACACCGCCGAAATCCGAGCTCTTCGATCCCTTCTACAGCCATACCGAGGACCGGTCCGATCTCTGGTGGCGTAATATGCTGGAGAACCCTAGTCTCGTGCAGCTCGACCACCGGATCCTCGCGACCACCACTTTTACGGCCGTCATGGCTCTCTGGGCGTACTCGCGCACGGGCGCCATGAAGAAAATCTTGCCTGCTGCGGCCAAAAAGGGCGTCCATGGCGTCGTCGGGTTTGTCTGTCTGCAGGTCATCCTCGGCATTACCACTCTGTTGTATCTTGTCCCCACTCACCTCGCGAGCGCACATCAAGCTGGTTCTCTGTTCCTCTTGACTTGGACCGTCGTCCTCGGCAGTCGCGTTTGGTTCCCGACGCAGGCCGCGCGCATTCTCGCCCAAAGGATGCAGCAGAGCGTTGGATCTGTTGGTACCGCTGGTGCAAGAAATCTGTCCTCCTCTGCCGCCGGTGCGCATGGTAAGAGTGGTGCAAGTACTGTCCTTGCCGCAAGTATGATGCCTGCCGTCACGGCTGTCGGACTGCTGCTTAGCACGAACGCCGAAAATGGACTGAGGTCGCAATTGCGGTCTAATGCGCGTGCACAACATGCAGATGCACACTCTCTCGAAGCAAAGGCGCAGTCGGAAGAGTCATGAAGCCAGAAAAGCATGAGCGGAAACAACAGAGTTTACGGAGAATGATAGGAAGGGGAAACGGAAAGGGAAAGGAAGAGGCCAAATTCCCCGCCGTTTTTGTTCCTTACTACTTTCCGCCCACTTCACGATGCCGCTCCGTCGAAGTCCTATAATACCGCATTGAAACGACTTCTTCTCTGCTTTCCCACCTCACCTTTGCAATATCGGTACCGCGAACATTCAAATATGATATGCATATACACACTTACTAGAAAAAAGTGAAACTTGGCATCTGGGATAAAAGAGAAGATGGGCAGGGTCAGGGTTATCGATGTAAGGTCATGTTGACACGAGATGCATCAAGAATGAATACTAGAGAGAAAACCCCCTGGGTGTACAACATTTCGGAGGGGATTGGCTGGTTGGTTTTTGGATCTGGATCTACGCCTTGCGTGGTGTATCAATAAAGACGAAAGAAAGTGTTGTGTGTTTTTCGACGCAAGGACCGCTGATGACGGCTCATCTCACACTCGATGTAGTACAACTTATTCATCTCATCTCGTTCATTGCATATATACTATACTGTACATACCTAGGATATGGGATGTTCACAATACTAATAAAGGAGTTGTTCCTGAAACTCATAGAGAAGGCATGTCTACTGTCAGTCCATAATTAGTGCTTGCTTGCTAGGGGCCAGGGTGGGGGTGGTGGTGGTGGTGGTGGTGTCTGATTTGAGATGAGTTCTTAAGGTTGTTTAAGTTTTTACTGCTTAGGTTCTGCTCTGTCCCATGCATGTCCTTTGGAGTCTTTCTCTTTGTCTGTTCATCTAGATACTCTACGGTTCAAGTCTGGATTTCATACTCCCGTTTCCAGGCCAGCTGCCAGTGTGTGTGGCCACTGCAGCAACCAAGATGGATTTCAACAGCAACATAACAAAATGACATGATTCTGGGAATCCGGAGCCGCTTCTAGCACTTCATTTCACGGATCCACCACCTGGTCGTTTTTCAACCGTTGGTGGACGTGCCCTTGAGCCCCTGAACTTGTCTCGTGACACATAACCTGTGACTGATAACCCGTGGAGCCAATGGCCAAACAGACTCTATTCAACAGCATGTGCTCGGAGGGACGGTTTGAAGACCGGTATGAGTACTCGTTCCATTTCTTGCGCTCATTTGTGTGCTGTAGAGTAGAGAGTAAAGGTCAGCAAGGCGGCATAACGAGATTGAAAACGCCAGGAAAGCAAATTCAACGTCTATAGGGAGGGGATACAGCGCAACAACTCGTTGGTTGGTGTAAGACAGAAGGAAACAGGAATAAGATGTGACCAAAGGATAGAAGGTCTACCACTCACCAATGCCTTCGGTAGGGACAGGCTCGACGCCAACAACCTCAGCAGCCAGCTCCTTCTTGTCGGCGGCCTTTTCCTCCTTCATAAATGGGAAAGCCAGGACCTCGCGGATGGTGTAGTTGTCAGTCAGGAACATGACCATACGGTCGATACCCATACCCCAACCACCGGTTGGGGGCAGGCCAAACTCAAGACTGGTGCAGAAGTTCTCGTCGATCATCTGGGCCTCGTCGTCGCCCTGGGCCTTTTGGCGGGCCTGCTCCTCGAAGCGTAGACGTTGATCAAAGGGGTCGTTCAACTCGGTGTAGGCGTTGACGATTTCCTTCTTGCACACAAAGGCCTCGAAACGTTCACAGATTCCGGCACGCGACCGGTGGTACTTGGCAAGCGGGGACATCATCTGCGGATGACCCGTGATAAAGGTCGGGTTGACGCACTTCTCCTCGATGAACTCGCCAACGAGCTTGTCGAGCATGCGGGCATTGGTCTCAGGAGGCGGGCATGTCACGTTGACTTTTTTCAACACTCGCTTGAGGAACTCGTTGGTCTCGGCGGTGTGGAGCTGGTCGCCAGGAGGGAATTTTTCGCCGGTGGCTTCCTCGAGGGCCGGGATCATGTCGACGCGCTTCCACGGCCGAGACCAGTCGACCTCGTACACCTCGCCGTGCTGGGTGTGGAAGGTGGTCTTGTAGCCGCCCGTGACTTCCTTGACGAGACCCGACACCAGCTCCTCGGTGCGCTCCATAACATCGTAGACGTCGGCGTAAGCTTCGTAGAACTCGCATGTGGTGAATTCCGGGTTGTGCGTTAGGTCGGCGCCTTCGTTGCGGAACTGCTTGCCCAGCTCGTACACGCGCTCGATCCCGCCCACCACCAACATCTTGAGGTACAGTTCTGGGGCGATACGCATGAACATGTCCTGGTGATACTCGTTGATGTGCGTGATGAAGGGCTTGGCCGTCGCGCCGCCCGCAATCGAGTTCATCATGGGCGTCTCCACCTCGACGAACCCGTTCGAGTCGAAATAGTTGCGGATATACTTGACAATCTTGGCCCGTGTGAGCAGAATGTTGCGCGATTTGTCGTTAATCAGCAGGTCGAGGTATCGCTGGCGGAATCGTGTCTCCACGTCCTGCAGACCAAAGTGCTCCGAAGGGATCTGGTGCAAGCACGGTGTGAGGAGGACCACCTCTCGCGCGAATACAGAGAGTTCGCCTTCGTTCGGTCGGTTCTTGGGCGCCGTGCGGCCCGGATAGCCTACAACACCGATGATGTCTCCTCGTCGAAGGTGTTCGTGTTGAGCCTCGAAGCTGAGCTCGCCTGCCGCCTCTTGCGCCTGGCACATGATCTGCACTTTGGTGCCATTGCCCTTGATGTCGTAGAAGACCAGCTTCGAGCCTGCTGCTCGCTTGGTGTACACTCGTCCTGCCACGCGGATCTCAACATCCTTCTGCTGCTCGCCCGGCTTGAAGTGCGAGTATTCTTCCACGAACTTGCGCACGTCCGTGTTGACCTGGAATTTGTGAGGGTAGGGGTTGGGCGACTTGGTCTCTCGCAGTCGGTTGATCCGTCCACTTCGGATCTCAAAGTATTGCTGCCGGGAAAAGTGTCAGCTTGGGGGATTTTCGGCTCTTTCGGCTTTTGGGCACGATTAGGGACTCCAAAAGGGAGATCGCACGATCAAGGACCGAAACTGGGATGTATAGCAACTCACATTGGGGTTGAGATTGCTCTCGTCTAACTCTGCATTGGCGGCCTTCTTCTCGGCCTTGGGAGGTGCAGCAGCGGCCTTTTCTTTCTTCTTTTCCTCTAATTGTCGTAGCTTCTGTCTCTTCTTCAATTCCGACTTGGAGACTCGTTCGCCGGTAACCTCGTCTAGGTGCAGATTGGCAGTGTCCTGCGCCAGGGAGGTGGTGGCGTCAGCCATGGTGAAGGGGCCCGACTAAGTGATCTGGAAAACGGGAAATGTACGCCGGGAGGCTTATCGAGCAATTGGAAAGCGTTCGCCGCGAGAAGAGCACGTTCTCTACAATGAGTCGTTGGTGGTGGGATGGGTTTGTGGTTCAGGTTTGCATGCAAAATTTTGACTCATGAAGTCGCAAAGTCACCAGTGAGCGTGGGGCAGCATGACTCTGTGCCAGCACGCGCGCCGCCAATACTGCATTGCATACTACGAAGCACAGCAAGAAACACAGATACAACCAGGACCTTTGAATGCACCAGCCTTGTTCAATTGCAGCTTGGTGGACTGTCAACGTTTGTGCAGGATCTTCTGCTGAAAATGCTATAATACAGATTTTACTTCCAGTAAGGCATATTCCAGCTAGACTGGCCCCTCGCTTCCTATCCCCTTCCTGTCACAGACTCCGAATCTACTGCAGCAGCTTCAGAGCCGTGGCACCGCTCAAAGCCCAGAGAGCACCCTGCAACAACCAGAATCCACCACCGTACATCCGACCCTTTCCATCCTTTTCGCTGGTGATGTACCCGTACGCATAGATGGCACGACAGAGCAGCCAGCCGGCGCCCAGAGCGGCCGTGGCCTTTGGATATTCCAGGCCCGCAAAGAGCATGTACAACATGGTTTGAGGCAGGTTTTCAAGAAGGTTGTAGTGTGCCCGCTGGGCGCAGTTGAACTTGTAGGCGTCGCGGCTTTCCTTGGCTTGCTGAGGCGTCGCGTATGCATTGGGGTACGGCACGTTGGCCTTCTTTCTCAACTGTGTCACGGCAGAACCTTGGACGAAGGAGAGGAGAGGAGCGACTCCCAGTGAGAGGAGGGCAACGTAGCTGTTCGCGGAACGTCAGCATCTCGGCTCTTTTTTTGAGCTCCCGTGGCCGGGCTTGCGAAGGACATCCGGAATTCCACTCACCCGTAGCCATCTGGCACTGTCACGGCGAACGGCATCTTGGAACTGTGGGTGTGAAACTGGGATATCGAGATAGATCAAGTTGTACAGACAGTAACGTAGAGCGAGGAAGAGGAAAAGCAGCAGTATACCTAGTCCGACACCTTTTGTAGTGTTTCAGTATGAGATTGGATACTTTGAACAAGTCATGCGGACCAACATCAATCCGGCGCGATCGAGATGCTCCGTGTCCTTTCCTGGCCCGTCGACTTCCCCGATTCTTACCAGAATGTTCCAATACTGTTTTGTTCCCCGAGTGTCACAGCAGCCTGCACTGGCACTGCACAGCCTGCACAGCATTGGCAAAATCCACCTTTTTGTCTTTGATGCCAAATTGTCATTGCTTGCCGCGGGACAGCGTCCGGGCATGCGCGGCTGGCGCAGGAGAGTGTTTTCCGCTCGCTCCAGAGACATGGTGCGGTTCAGCCATGGAACGCAGATTGCACAACGTTCATTAGGTTGGAAAAGACAGGAATGTAGAAAGGCACCTGACAGGAATGATCCTTATATCTGTCTGGCTTTCTAGATTAGTATGGTCTTCAGGCTTGCATCATTGACGCCTCATATGGGCCGCCTTGATTGCGTGCTGACTGCCACACAACCAATAGTCAACTTGCTCAGGCTACGACTATACTGTATGTGTGATTCCTAGTATCGTGCAGCTGGAGAGAGCCTACCGTGGGGAGCTCCTGAATTCGATTTTCTGGATTTCTCAGATAGATACTCCAGTCATCAGCAAGTAGGTAGTGTAACAACAGTTTTGCGCCTAATCATGGTGGGTTTCTCTATCGCACTCTCGCCTGGGAATGGAAGGACTATTTAACGCTTGTGAAAGAAACCGCCCTGTGATGCCCGGTATTGTGCACCGTGTGGCCTTTTTTTGGTCATCCACAACAGTTGATCACATAATGACCTCGTTGGCCACGTCGCGCTTCAGTTCCTTGTAGGGCAGGCAGATACAGTTCTGAACTCTGACCTCATCGCCAACATGGCACTCCTTGCCGAGAATAGTGATGCTCTGGACCTTGACACCGTTCTTGATGATGCTGGTCGTATGATTACCGACGGGGATCGGAGTGCCTTCGACTCGGGCCCATGCTCCGACACGACTGTTCCAGCCGATGATGGCGTAAAGAACACAGGCGTCATGCTTGATTTCTGCCTCCTCGAGGACAATGGCATCCTTGACACGAACGCCCGGCCCAATGACGGCCTTGGGTCCAATCGACACGTTCGGGCCCAGCTTGGCTGTCGGATCAACGGTGGCAGTAGGGTGGATGAAAACTGGTGGAATGATGTTGGCGGACGGTTTGGCGATTTCCTCCGACTGCGACTGGAAGGCCTTTTGAAGGTAAAGCGCGTTGGCGGGCACGGCCGAGCCGGCGGTCTTGATCTGGCGCCAGAAGTCCTTAGTTTCGTGGACGTAGAAGCGGTTGCTGTCGGCGAGATCGGACAAGATGTCTTGTTCGAGCCGGAGCACCTCGTTCTTTTCTCCGTCCTCTTCGGGGTCCGCAATGAACGACGACTCAACATGTTCCGAAGATGGGTAATTGATCATTCGCGGTCTCTCGGTCTTGCGTTTGATGGCACTTCGGATGGATGGGAAGATGCATTCGGTCGAGAAGAGGTAGACACCACAGTTGATCAAATTGGAGATGTGGCCCTCGGGCTTCTCGACGTAGTGCAGTACGCGCTTCGAGTGGGCGTCGGACACGATGCAACCAAAGTTGGTAGCCGCCTCGTTACTAACTCGCGTCCCCAGGATGACGGCATCGGCGTCCTTTTCTTCGAAGAGCTGAAGCATGGCCTCCAGGGGGAACGAGCAGCAGACATCCGAGTTGAGCACGAAGAACTTTTCCGGCTTGCCCTTGAGAATGGCATCTCGGAAGTGGTACAGACCGCCGGCCGTACCGAGTGCCTGGTACTCTCGTAGATACTGGATCTTGATCTGGGGGAATTCTCTTGACGAGTCTTTAATGAAGTCACGGAATACATTCTCGTCGTAGTAGCCGATCAAAATGACTTCTTTGATGTCGGGCACTTTGGACACAGCCTTGAGGCAGTGCCAGATGATGGGGTGGCCGGCAACATCGAACAATGGCTGGACAGGGGTAAAGTTGTTAGTCAGGACACGTCAACCGATCTACGTGCGTGTAACACCTACCTTGGGGACATCAAGACTGAGAGGTCTAAACCGAGTTCCTCGCGACGGGCCTCCAACCTGTTTTCCTAGTCAGCAACGGACAAAATAGGGTGGCGTGGTCGAAAGACATACCAAGATAACGGCCTTGGTGAGCCCTTGGCCACCAGCGGCCTTGTTGCGCGACGGAACCTTCAGCATTGTGGAATGTTGTGAGGGCAGCCAGACAACGCGAAAAGGCTTGACAACAACTAGGATAACGTTGCAAGAATAGAGGAGCAGTCAATTCGTGATTTCTATTCTTCTTCTTTTACTGCGGTCTTCGACAAGGAGACGGTGAATAATGAGGCCACGGGTCACTTTTAGATGCTTCGCGACCGACACGCAAACTTGAAGGAGCGAGACCTGTCAACTGTCACCGCCGCGCTAGTCCATTTATGTCCTAGTCGCTCTTCAACCCCTTTACAACTTGAACTTCACGTTGAACTCGAAGCTTTATGCCGTCTGTCTCCTGAATTGTTCACCTGTGGTACTGTCAACGGCCCCATGGCTCTGCTACATTGACAGTTCCATCGCCGTTCTTATTATGGCGACCAAGGCCGCATCTAGATCAGTCTAGTAACATGTTCGTTCACGTTCCTGTCACTTCTCAGCACGTGCGAACAGGGCTGATTCTGGCTCATCAATGGCTTGAGCTTGAACGTTGTATTATTATACCTGACGGCGGTGCTGATTGTCCATTCTGCTCTACAGAAGTATTTTGGGCAGTACATCAATTCAGCCTGATGCCAGTCATAGCCCACTATGAAGGAGCATTATCCCTACGATCTCTCCTTTGAGATATCCTCCTCCGAAAATTCTCGGTGAACACCAGTCTGCGCAACGCTACCTGTCAAGGCAGCCGTCCCAACTTCTTTCAAGAACCCCAGGGACGAAGTTTCCTTCTTCCAATACACGATGTACTTGCTTTTGACCTCGATGAGAGCCATGCGAGGATCGTTTGCTGTTCCGTCATGGACGCCATCCTTCAGATCCCCAAACCAAGCACTGACGCCTGGGCTGTAGATATCCCTGATCCGAGGGTCATCGTTTGACGTTGTGGTGACCGTCCCCGTGATGGAGATCCAGTCCTGCGTCTTGCTGTCCTGGATGGTGACCTGTACCTCCTTGTTCTTGGACAGATCGTCAAACTTTCTTGAGTTCTTGTTGGCCAGATAGAGGATGTCAGGCCCGGCGCGTTTGGCAATCGCCATCGAGCGGCCCACGGGTCCAATGCCGGAGCGGTAGGTGTTCAAGATGCTGATCTGTTTGCCGTCAATCATCTCGTACAGCTCTTTCCACTGCACGTCTTTGGGCGTTTCGCGGTCATATTGCTTGCTAACGGAGGGGTCATTGCCGGCCTCCACTTCTTGTTTGTGTAGCTGTTCAGGCATCTTCAAAGACGGTGAGTTGCTGAAATGTCGGTGCAGAGCTGGGTTTTGCGTCGCTACTCGAAGGGATTCAACGCTGCTTGGGGCACGTTGGAAGAATCTGAAGCTGGTTGAGAAGCTGCAAGAGTATATGGTGCGAAAGGCCGGTGACTTGAGAATGGTGGTCATACTAAATACTGCAAAACCAGGCTAGAATGTGAGAAAGCGCGAATATGTCGGGTATCACCTCATCCGCCAATTCTTTAGTATTCAGCTTCCTTACCTCATGTCAATAGAAATCATGACGATGTTACGCAGAGCTCTAGGAGAGGTATTGCAGGATAGCTGATGGGCTCCCTGCAATGCACCCGCGTCAAAGCCCATCCACTGGCAAGTGTCCAACAGGGTGTCTTCGCCGTCGCGCAGCTCGGTCATGCATTGGATCCGTGACCAGCTTGGTCAGAGTTGCAGGTCATTCTGGTGCGTCCTAGTGGACGAATGTTCGATGCTGCACAGAAGTCGTGACGACAGCGTTGCAAGGAAATTCCATGTGCCACTGCAAGGGCTGGGAAACCTGCCAGTGCTCGTAGCTCACCCCAGATAGGGAAGGGGGACGATGCCGCCCTATGCTCACCCCCGGCTCGCGCAGGCCGGGTGAGCGATCACCCAGATCCTAGTATAAGTTTATAGGTAGCCGTGCAGTGTCAGGCAAGTTCGCCGAGACGAGCTTTCATGGCAAGCTGTGCAGTGTCTCAAGTCATGTCGCCATGCCCATTCTCTAAGCCTCAAGGCTTGAAAGACCCCTGCTGCCTTTCTTTTCTTGTGCAAAGAGAATCTCTAAAGATGTTCATCACAAGATTACTAAGCTTCAGACCTCGGCGCGGGCACCCAAGGAATCTAAAACGCAACTTCGCCAGCATATCGATCCTTACGCGGGTTCCCGCAACTATATATCGTCTTCAGCAAGGACCACGCTCAAATCTTGTTGTTCCTCATCCAGAGGGCGAGGGTATACCGATCGACGAAGTTGAGGTAGACCGGGATGGACTTGTCAAGACTGGATTGTCTCTGAAAGAACCTTGTTGGTGTCTCTAGACTCGATACGTGGGGCCTATCCAACTCACTGACCCATTTGCGAATTGCAGTGTTCAATGGAGCGATCTTTATGCCCAACACTCATCTTATGCAGGAATTAACCAGAGATGCTTTCGATGCTTATCTGGAACAAGACGAATCGTGCAAGCCCATTCTTGTTCGATTGGCCAAGGGTAAAGCAAGAAAGAGTAAAATGAGCAAGATACGGGTTTGGATTGCTCACAACACTTAGGTACCATGGTTCCAGAGTCACTTCAACTCCTTCAACAAGACTCGCAATTCGCGTTACAACCCATTCCTACCCGGACATTGGCCGGTCAGAATCTTCCCCATATCCTTTCGCAATTACGATGCATTTGGGCGCTGACAACCCAGTCCAGAGCTGAACGAATACCTTGATGAATTCTACAGTGCCTATGCAACAATTATCGATGCTGGAGACTGGTATCAGAAGAATGCTTTCGCCGATGCCACTCCTGATGAAGAGCCCCATATTTGGACTGAGCTCTAAGGTGACACAGATCTACGTGCAGTTGCACGCGTCTCTTCTCGTACTGAAAGATGCTACACTTCCACTACCATCATAGTACCATGTCGTCTCTCTCCACTTACTAGTCCGTCCTGGTAGGAAACTTGACATGCCATTCTTTTTTAGTCATGCGGATGGCCTCATTATTCAGAAAGGAAGTAACTTCCGCATTCAGTTCTATCAAGGGTGAGATTTTGCCATGCACGCAGTTGTGAAGGTTCTTACCGTCCAAGGTCATTTCACGACTGGCTTGTAAAGAATAATGTTCGCGTCGTTCGTGTATGAGAATAAGGTCCTCAGGGAGAGTTGTGCCTATGGTTTGTTAATACTTGTGCAAAAAGTAACGTCCGGTAGTAAATGACCTTGAAGAACATGGTATACCAACACTTCAGGAGCCCGAAAGCTACGTACCAGGGATTGCTGAATTCTCGTATTCGGTCGCAAAGATGCACCATTGGGCCCTGTGGTCACCCTGTAAGTATGTAAAAACATCTGAAATGAATGCGGAAGACTTAGGTACTTTGATACCAGTCACTGGTCATTCCCAGTGGTTGAACCTTTCCATCGACGGTCATAAGATCCCAAGAAGGTGCCCCAGGCCGCAACGATATGTCACGCAGTCGGGTCAATGGTCCAGCGCTCATCCGAAACAGGTCCCGAGGGACAACTGTATAGCGGCCGAGCAGTTTTACACCCATTGTGATGCACACCGCAGAAGAACAATCGATGTGTCTGGCTTTCGAACTTGTTGGGACAATGTTGTATACGAGGTGAGCGAGCCTTAAAGCGGCGCCGTCTGGGTGAGCGCGCCGGGAGCGCCGAGCAGATCTACCATGCCCAAGCATCATGAATTCAGCAAGGCAGCAAGTACATACGAACAAGTAATTCGATGCGATCATATCAGCCAACTTTGTGCTTGAGAGCGTATCAACTTCTGCTCCCTAATGTGTGAAATCCCTCAGACTGTTTCTCCAATGCCAAAATAGACGGCTTTGGGGTGGAGGAGGCCATGACCTCGAAATGCTGCTTGTCTTTGGCGCACAAGTAGATGTCCTGCTTTTCGAGCACAGGATTCCTCCCATCGAAATCTACTTGGGATTATTTTTGGTAGCGCTGATTATGGCCATAACCCGTTTAACCCTTTGCAGACCGGCCTTGCAGCGGAGACAGGACAGTGCAAATATCTCTCTTTAATGGTACATAAGTTGGCAACCGAGGAAATCCAGACAATCGTGCTCCCTCTATGCAAGCAAAGGTTCCTCCTGAATAAGCATGATCGAGGCGTTTACGTTGTTGAAGCATTTCCATTCTCAAACAGGGGGAAGTGCTAACCCAGACCGTCGAAATGCGTGTTGTTGGAGGATCTTCAGAACAGTAATGTTACAAATCATAGCCAGTTCATGTGGCCGAAGCGAATCTCTTCTTCCTGGCCTCTGCAGCCAGACGATCCGCTTCAGAAGTAAAGGTGCCAGTCTGCTTGGTGACACCGGCTGGCTTCTCACCAGCTCTTCTCCGGGAGTTGTCTCGGCCTCCTCTTCCGTGGAATCTGCCACCTCTCCCTCTACCACGTCCACTGAAGCTTCTGATGAGAGCCGGGTCGTCCAGGGTGCTGTTGTCATCGGTCCTATTCCGCTTTCTAGCACGGCGTTCGGGTTCGGTGGGCAAAGCTTCGTCCAGTTTTCCCATTGCTGTCTGTCCTGTACCGAAGCGCTTTGCCCGCTCCAATGCCTTCAGGGCTTCTGCGTCCGCGCTTTCAGTGCCTGCCGCTCCTACATCTCCGTTCGCAGCGCTTGCGGCGGTGCCGAAGCGTTCGGCGCGTGCCTTGCGTTTTGCCATCTCAGCGTCCACTTCTGACTGGGGAAGATTGAGAGCGTAGGAGGCGGACTTCGCCGCATTATCAGCATCTGCTGAGGCTGTCTGCGTCGCCTCCTCTTGAGGGGCTGCCGAGTCGGGTTCTGTTGTTGTTGTTGCTGTTGCTGCGGCTGTTTCGCTGACCTCCGGTGCCGCTGGCTCGGGTTGTTGCTCAGGCGGCGCGCTTGTGGACTCAGCAGGAGGGGCCTTCGTTTCTTCTAGACAAGCGAATTAGTCCTTCGATGCGCTCATGTGGCAGACTTGACCGCGCAGCAGCAGAGGGAGCGAGGGGCGGCTTTAGGGCTGTTTACCATTAACTTCTGCTTCCTGATCGGCTTCGGTGAGACGCGCAACTAGCTCTGCTTTCTTTCCGGTATGTGGTAGATTGCGCGCCTTCAGAATCTCTTGCAGCTCGACCACTGTTTTCTTTGCATAGTCCACCATGTTTGGGGAATGTTGGCGCCAATGGCGCGATAACGTGCAGGAGCTGTCGTAGGCCCGGAAATGCTTGGAGGTCAAGAGTCAGAGGGAAGTGTATTTGCGATGTATGAAGATGGGAATTGCACGGTTTGATGGCAAATTATAGTATGGTTATCCCAATGATGGTAGCACCAGCAGCGTATGCGTTGTTGTCGCAAGTTGATGGAGAGTTGAAGTTGGTTTCCGCAAGGGGCTAGGATTTTTGCTGCTTTAAGACATGCCAGGGACCCCTTAAGTTCTGCTACGCAGTCCCTAGAACAGCGTTGTACATAATTCGGGACATTACAACAACTTCAGTTGGATCACCCAGCTTGAATCTGGAGAATGTTGTAATCCTGGTAATGCCTGGCCCCAAGTTATTTCTCGTGCGAGAGAGGTCGGTTTGTCACAACCCATTCCGCAACGCCTATGTTGCAAGCCTGCTTGAATGTCTTCGATAGATGCAGAATCGAGGCCTGGTGGTGGTTGACAATCCCTACCCTCCATGGGACCCTGGCTGCAGGTAGTCTGATATCAATCAGCCCGGCGACAGCCTGAAAGCACAATTTCCCCAAACCGGGTTAGGTGAATGTTTGTCGACTCGAGAGGAAGAAATATTTTGTTGAAGGTTCAAGTTGCGGGTAAACATCCCAATTTATGAGCAAGTTGGCGGCGATCGGTAGAGGTGAAACTGCAGCTACTCAAGAGCAAGCACCCCAGTTTGGTAAGAAACGAGCATCTTTAGGCTGACCCCCCTCACCTCGCAAACGCCCAGCTCACCGCCTCAGCCTGAGTATGACTTACCGGTAATGAGTCCTCTTTTGAGGGATCCAGGTTCCCAGCACCACCATCCTGTCGTTGGGCGTGTTTAATCCAGCATTGTTTCACCCCCGAAGCAGCTTCACTATTGGGAACAGGGTGGTTCAAGTTGTGAGGTTCTGGAAGGAGCAAATTCCCCCTTGTCAAGTTGTAACATGTGAACCGCTGCCTGACAAGATCTGAGTCATGCAGATCACAGTTCTATGAGGCGATTCTGTGCATTTCGTGTGTACTACTACACTTCCTCGCAGGACGGCTAGGTCAGGTGACACCAGATCACTTAGGCCTGTCACCTCATCGCTGGAAGCAGAGCAGGAGGGTGTGAAGCAGAAGGGCTAGTTGTGGTAGATTCAGCTCACGGATCTGGAGAAGATGATAGGGCAGGAGAAATGCGGGATGCGCCAACGGTCCCTTTTAGCACTTTTATTAGTGTTTAGCCTGAGCACCACTGGCAGTCACCTGGAATGATTTTTGGGGGTCCCGCGAGAACATTGGTTGACGCTGGAGAAATCACGGAGAAAAAGGAAGTTACCCAGACAAAGCGCGTGGGCATTGCGGCCGGCCCCTTACAAGTGGCAGATGCGGTATTATTGCCTCGTTGGTTTACTAGTTAAGCCCAGGACCGTGGCGCAGGAAGATACCTGTAGCTATAAAAAATCGGCTTGTCAAGAATCCGCTGGGCGACGACATTGTTCGCTGAAAGTCGCCGCCACCAAACAAGCACGGGGCGCTACAAACCTGCGGACTCCGACGCAGCGCAGGCATCTCCGTCCACAGGCACGAATCAGATCGCTATACAACTTGTAGACTTCTCTTGGTTGAGGGCGCCAGACCACCAGAGGCCAGTAAATCGGGTTGCTAGTACTTCAACTTCTCCAGCCGTTGGTGTTGAGCAATGGGGGCCATTCTGAGACTCGGCGTGGTTGAAGTCGGCTCGGGCCTTGAGCCATCCTTTCAACGTCCGCTTGGGGCCGCTCCTTAACCAAGAGTCCCCATAAGGTCCGCCTTCCAGGTCAGCCGCTCCTGCCAGAGCCAATGCCTGGAGCCACTGCACTGCGCCGGCGGCTAGGGATTGGGGGACCCATCCAGCCCCAGCAGACTACCCAGAGACCTAAGATATCTGAGTTACTGACAGTACAACATTGTACAACATTGTACATTCAAGTTGGCAGTCTCCAGAAAATCCGTCATATCGTGGTCTCAACCGCAGCTCCACTTCGCCGCAGTTTCTTGCTTCTGCGACTTCTTCCTCTCAACGACAGGCTGTCGTTTTTCCTCACTACTGCCACCTCGTTTTCCATTTGCGAATGAGAGCTATTGCTATTGCCTGCATGCCAGGGGTCCCTGCGCGATGGCTACGTTCTTCTTGAGCTGAATACGATTGCACCAGTCGTCGTGGCTCGGTATGCTCTCCTCGCCACTGCACGCCACTTCTCGGGCTCTCCATCGCAGGGAAAGTCTTCAAGAGCTTAGATTGATAGCCCTACCTATGATGGAGCTCCCCCTTCATGTGCCACGCAGATAGGACGGTACGCAAATCCAAAGCGCCGATCGCTGGGCACCAGATTGTCTCTTCAAAGCAGCCGTCAGCATTGCCGTTCAAGGCCTTCACCACGACCAGGCCTCGTGATGACCAGCTAGCCTGTATCAAGTCTTTGCCGTCGTCACGGGGCTTAGCTTAATATGCAGCTGTAATAAGCAGGATTGGGGTCGGACAGATGCCAGAGGTCACTTGGGCGTGGGGACCGGCCGGTTGACAATATCCAACAAGACGATCCCTGGACCACGCGACTGGGAAGTCTAGAACCGTTGAGTCCAACGCTGGAGCTGAGTTGCTGCGCGGGCCTCTTGCCGTTCCGCCGTCGATGCGAGAGAAGCCATTTAGAATCAGCCATCGACGAAGCCAAGGGGCCGCGTCGCAGTGCCGCAATCCGCCTCATGCATGTTGCTAAGCTAAGTACCCAGTTGTGTCTTTACTCACTCCAACTCTCCATGATCTGCCCTCCGCCTCGTTAGAAGATGCCCTGCAAGAGGCCCGCTCTCCTCCATGCGGCCCTTTGTCAGCCCGTACTTTATCATCCGAGCACTGCGCTGAGCTCTACCCTGTTCCTCATTTCCTCCCTCACATGTGTCGCTGTGTGTCTCCGTCAGCTGTATCAACAGGGTTCGGGGCATCATCACGTGTTGTCATCAGACGATACTATCCTGGCCTCGGTGACACCCCTCATATGTGGCGCATCGGATAGAGTCCCTCAGTCCAGGCATAGTCTTACAGACTTGAAGGCGGCCTTGAGGGCTACTTGACTTAACCAACACCCTTGCTCAGGCTGACTTGGAGAATTTCGATGATATCGGGACAGGATCTCTTTGTTATATGTTGCTGGCCAATGCTGCGGAAAGCGTTGATGTTCAATTAGTTTCAGAAAGTACCTCGTCGACCTTTTCGAGATCAAGGCTGGTCGTCTGCGCGTATTTCTACGTCGGGTTACAGCATGACGGTATGATTTCAACGTCAAGTTCACGGTCATCCGAGTTTTGGTTCATGGGCAGCGACGTATTTTGCTCGCTGGTACCATGTCACACAATATGCCGGCATCTGGCACCCAATACGGGGTCTCCAGACCGAAGGGTGCTACCGTTCCACGAGCTGTCAAGTCATCGGACAGGCAAGATGCGCCCGCGGCCGGGCCAAATCGATCTGACCCGCCGACGGCCTTCATCTCAGGACTTCCACCTCTTATGACAGAGCCGTCGAACAGAGTGAGAGGAAAACCTCGCTCAAGGCCAACGGGCATTCCTCGAATATCTGCAGCTCCCTCCACGGCACGGCCTGCTGCCCCTTCCAGTTATACGCAAGGATCACGGACATCAAGCCCGCCAGGTGATATTGCTGCATCTCTTACCCAGGAAGTCCCTCTGGTGATGGCTAGCTACACGTCACCAGGAATGCGAGAGACAGAATCCACTACTAAACGCCCACTTCGTCCTTTACAGGCCACAAATGCTGGATACGACGCGCGAGCGTGGTTGGATTCGGCTGCCGGCGAGAGATTCGTGTCGTCGATGCCCAAGCCGAAGACTCCAAGCCGACGGACTGATCTCCCTCCTCAATTAATTCCTGAATTACAAGCTCTGGCAGCACCGTTGACAAGGCGCCCCGAGGCATTCAACACGTCTGTGAGTTCAATAAGCAGTCCTTCGACCCGGTTTTCAAATTCTACGAGCCCTTGGAGTGTATCCACGACTACGACAACCCCAACATCATGGTCATCAGCATCTCCTGCGGCTGTACAGTCAATCTCACCAAGGGAGTCTGAAAAGAGATCACACATTGTGGTGCTCCACAGTGCAACTCGCGAGAAGTCCCCCGAAATTGCTCCTCGAACAGAGAGGCGACCTCAACCGCGCAGAGGCGAACGGTCTGTAAGCGCAAATGAATCAGACAGATCTTCAAGCACTCAGAGAGCGCGGCTGCAAACTCCCAGACCTACACCACCTCTGAGGACGTCTTCGGCACAGCAAACCCATGGTAATAGTAGCAGCAAAAGCGATAAGAGAAGTGGAAAGCTTGAACAAGTCACCGCTACGACGCCTGCGCGCACGGAGCGTCGTCCAGTCATCAACTATGCGTATGATAGCCCTGGGAAGACTAGTGAGTCTGTGCCTGCAACAGAACTGCGAAAGGGTCATGGTGAAGTTGTCCCTCTAGTACCTGCACCCCGTTTGGGGGTCATACACAGTATGACGGAGAAAATGCATGGTGTTACTGCAGCTTCCACAAGTCGACAACGAGCGTTCGCAGCCTCTGCTGAAGATATCCTACCTGTCAAACGCGTCAACGGGAACCAGACCAGCCATGACGCATCCGAGAATCGTTCACACACTCCTGTAAATGATCCTGGCATGTCTAAGTTCCCTCCTCCAAGTAAGCTCTCTCGGCTGGGTATGTTTGGCCGCAGGGGCAAGTCTCCGGCTCCCGCATTGGAGGGCACCACCTCACGGAAGCTACAACGCAAGGGGCCTGCCGCCGGTACTGGTCATGAGGGATATGGCAAATACTCAAGACGAGGTCGCCGAGCACCTGAGGAGAGCGTGTCAGAGGGCAACAGCGATAGTGAGAGATCGGTCAGCAGCTCTGGGAGGAGGCACTTCTTTTCGTCCAGAGGTGCAAATACAAGCCGCAGCAGCAGCCGCCAGAATCGCAGCAGCCAGTCCGACCTCGATGACTTTGCTGCTCCTCGCATGAGGCCTGTCCCCATCATTGGTGGTTCTCGAGCTGCTGCCCCTGCCGTTCCTACAGGTGGCAGCGGACTCGTTGTCCATGGCAATACTCTGTCCTTGTCGCCTATAGGCAGCGATGAGCTGCATATCCGGCAACAATCCCAGGACTCTGTACGTGAACGCCAATCGCCGCAGAGCTTTGACCGCGCCAGAGAGCTAGCCCCAAAGTCGATTGATGCCCCTACTTTGGCCGTACGTCGGTCTCAGCGATTTGGTCAGGACCACACGAACCTGAAGTTGCCAGCTCCGATCAGGACCGAGGAAATATCGGCGCCTTTGTCAGAGTGTAGTCCGGGAGCCATACGCGCATCTGCTACTCTAAGGTCCATCTCAACCCCCCGTACTTCAGCAGACGCCTTTCATGGTGACGCTTCCCCTCTGAGATTGAAGGATAAGACAACTTGGAGGGCTAGATGGAATATCTTTCGGAGAAGGGGTGCGAAGGAAGAAGGAGGAATGGAAGAAGTGGACCAGATTCGGCATCCAGCACCAACATCATTTGAGGAATTGCCAGTCAGCATCTCCGCGGTCTCTGCTCCACGGTCGTTGCCATACTATGCAATGATGGATTCTGAGAGTGAAACCAATACGGCGGACAATCCTGCTGACTTTTCACTGCAGCTGGGCGAAACGGCAGCAGCCAGATCCATCATGGAAACTTGCGAAGCGGTCATCGCGGATGGCGAACAGACGGTGCACCCTAGTGACAACAGCAATCTCCCCTCAGACACGTTTCTTTTCCCGATTGATAGAGCTACAAGATCGACGCCGCTGCCCGAGGCAACCCAGCAGTTCTGTGTCGACGTTGACGAGCCACTACAGAAGCAACCTCGCTTGGCCCGTGTCGGAAGGATTCCTCAGGTAGTCACACGGACTGAGGGACAATATACGCCCAGTCGCATATCGTTCTCGCAACCGTTTCTACGGCGCGAAGCTGTTGAGGACGCACGGGATCAGCTAGATACTAGGGCAGCTATTTCTCCGGGGCTGTACCAGAAAAGCATGCTTCCACCGTCGCGCAAGCCCTCTTCGAGGAGCTCCGAGATATCTACTTCTAGCAGCTCGAGCCGCTCTGCAGGGGTACTTGGCCCTGCTCTAGTCCCATGCCCGCCTAGTCAAAGCGAATTGGGACGGTCTGACTGTGAGCCAGACATTCAGGCTCCCAACAATCCCAGCTTTGACGAAGTGTGGAACGAATATGACGATTTCATTGACCAAGTAATGTCGCCCTCGACTGCGACGAAGGACGCGAGCAGCACCACCCAGGAAGGCAAATCCTGGCCGAGCCAGGCCGGACGGCGCTTTGGAACCCACACATCTCACGGGACGAGCATGAAAACGGAGGGTCATGTGGAGCAGTCAATGAGTCCCAAGGTAACTGTAACAGTTGCAGCGCATTCTGCCGTACATCACCCTTCAGCCATGCCCGACGCAAGAAGAGAAGAGGATACACAGCTGCGGAGGTCCAGGATCGTCTCTGCCCTACATTCGTCAGGTGATCCCGCATCACCCCTCTCTATCCGCGACTTTCTCAGTGAGTACGAAAATCATCGGAGCAGCAGCACAGGGCTATCTGATCGCTGGAAAGAGTCCTCTACCAACCGTGCCGTGGACCCTTTTACAACTTCCATGAACGAAGAGGGAGTAGAAAGGAATAGAAACCATGAGGAGCAAGTCGCCCTCATGGAGGTCGTTGAGCGGAACAAGGACCCAATAGCGCAATCAGAGCTCCATTTTGCTTCCTTGATGGTTGCCAAATGGCTTTCTTTTGGGCGGGTGCTGTTTTCCCCTGCGCATGACGAGCTTCAGACTCACCTTGAACGCCATATCCTTGTCATCGACGCTTTGGGCAATGAGGATTGGTCCATTTATTGTGCAGTCACATATGAGCCTCAACGAGCCTTTATTCACCACTTGAGGGAAAAACCAGCGGCAACTGCTCTGAAAGACTTCAAAGCACCTCAGAATATCCCTGATAACCATCGACGAGCGCAAGTGACCAGCTTCTACGAGCGTTTCCCCTTTCCACCAGCGTTCTTTTCGGCAATCGTGCTTCGGTTTCCCCCGGCAATGGCGGAAGCGAAGTTGAAGAACATCATATCTGAGTGCAGGCGGGTGCTACTTCCAGGTGGTTATCTCGAGCTGGTGCTTCTTGACCTTGATATTGTCAACATGGGGGTTCAAACACGCAAAGCCGTTCGGGAGCTCAAATTACGAATGACCACAGCAGACAGCCAAATCAGCCTCCGGCCCATAATCGACAATGTACAGGGTCTCCTTGGCGCAAGAGGGTTCTCAGGCGTCAGTCGTTGTGTCGTGGGAGTCCCTGTGGCAGGCCGCCCGACCGGCTCGACTGAATCGTCGTCATCCTCACGCTCAAGTGGAGGGTCAGAATCCTACCCGACCCGCGGCGTCGGCAGCCCACGAAAAGCAACTGCGTCGCCCCGAATGAACTTTGGTCACAGACGGAAGGGAACAAACCTGTCGTTGAACGATCTAGTCGCGGATCATTCCGAAAATGCCGATGCAAAGATAGGCAAGATCGTTTCCAGGACGGCGAGGGCGTGGTGGCAGCATTGTTTCGAAGCCAGTGTCATACCCGACGGCAACCTTTCCAGAAGCGTTCTTGCCAACAAAAACGTTTTGGCAGAGTGCAGAAGCCGAGGATCGAGTTTCAAGATGCTGATCGCATATGCTCAGCGCCCCGTTTTCGAGACGAGGCGCCGGACAATGAGCGAACCCATCGTGCCAACACGAGTCACTGCTGGGGCTCAAGGAAGGGCCCAGCAATGACCCGGCCCCTCACAAACAGTTCGACGTGAACATGAATCATGATATATACAACGAAATGATGCTCCGACATAATGTGGTCCAGGTGACCTTGCACATGAAATAATCATGCATGCTTTTGACATGACTTCGAAGAGTGTTTTCCTCGAGCGGATTTGGACCACATACCTGTTAGCGAGCATTTCCGAACGCCATTGCTTGCGCGTCCTATCTTTTCTTGCTGCTCGAGCATGAGCTCAGCGAGCGGAGCACCCAAAAGTCCATTGAGCATGGTAAAGATATGACCGGCACGGGCAAGACTAAAACGGGCGCAAGCCCAATTGACCAGGCAAACCTCTGCAGGCTGCAGGCAGCCAACTGCATGTTAGCTATAATATATAAGTAATACATCTTGTTTCATCCTTGAGGTCAGACTTCCCCGTAGAAACTTCGCCATTCCCGTTGGTTATTCTCGATGCGACAAGACCGGGGTGAGCATCTGGTACGTTTGGGAGCCCGGCTGAACTTGAAATGGGCGGCAGCTGGGACGTAGTGGATAGGGCGGGATTGGCGCCGGTGTATATTTTTGGGACTGGACTGATCGAGGCAGAGAGCACAACTTGAAGGGCATGACTGGAGCCAGCTACTCGGCTTGTGATGCTGTTAAGATACAGCTGGTGTGATTATATCGAAGTATGTTTGGAGTGAGTCTGGTGATGGGACAGTAGGAAATGGAAAGGTCTAGGCAACAGACTCACCAAGGCAAGATGACAGACGGGACATTTTACAGTCATTAGTAGGACATGGACAGAAGATGCAAACGCAAACCGTGACCCCGTCGACTGTCCGAGCAACCTCGTCTCAGCCGCAGTCCGTGGCAAATCATAATAACACAATGATGGGCGTGTCCTGTATCACCAGTGACTAGAATTATGCCGTGTTAGAAGGTTCCGGTTGTTTGGCCTCGCGTTGACGGCGAAGATCTCACGCACCACTAGAGGACAGGAAGCCTGCCTTTCTTTCCTCCGAGTCGCCTGTTCCTGGTCATGTCTTCTCGCTCCACATCTATTCCCCATCGATCATCAGTCTCGTCGACCACTTCATCGCAGCCTCAGCCTTCGCAGGGCACCCATAATTCTCATCGAACCCAACCGCCTCAAAGACTTACCGCTCAGCAACTTGCCGAACGTGTGATTTCGCCGGCCTCGGTGCTCTTTCGCAGCGGTTCTGCCCCGCCTTCTGGGAGAGATCTATTGCAACCGCAAAGGCGGACGTCTCGACAGATGGATCGGCGGCACCCCAGTTCCTTCCAGCAGCTGGAAAAGGTATGTTGCAAAGCGGTGGTGGACGTGGTGATTCTCTAAGGTAGCTAACTGGCGCTTTCAGCTCGGTGAAGGAACGTACGCCACGGTATACAAGGGCCGTAATCGACAAACCGGCGAACTGGTCGCGCTCAAGGAGATTCACCTCGATTCCGAAGAAGGAACCCCGTCAACGGCGATTCGAGAGATCAGTTTGATGAAAGAGTTGAAACACGAAAATATTGTCACGCTGTACGATGTCATCCATACCGAAAACAAACTCATGTTGGTCTTCGAGTACATGGACAAGGATTTGAAAAAATACATGGACGCACGCGGCGATCGAGGCCAGCTAGACCAGGTCACGATCAAGAGGTTTATGCGAGACTTGCTGCAGGGAGTTGCGTTCTGCCACGAGAACCGAGTCCTTCACCGCGATCTCAAACCCCAGAACCTTCTCATCAATACCCGGGGACAACTCAAGTTGGCCGATTTTGGTCTGGCTCGGGCATTTGGGATTCCTGTCAACACTTTCTCCAACGAAGTCGTCACTCTTTGGTACCGGGCGCCGGACGTGCTCCTGGGTTCTCGGACATACAACACCAGTATTGACATCTGGTCGGCGGGTTGTATCATGGCAGAGATGTACACGGGCCGCCCACTGTTCCCCGGCACCACCAACGAGGATCAACTCCAGAAGATCTTTCGGCTGATGGGCACCCCATCTGAACGCACATGGCCTGGTATCTCTCAGTTGCCCGAGTACAAAGCTAACTTCCCATCATATGCCACCCAATCCTTAGCTATCCTCCTGCCACAGGTCGACCAGTTGGGCCTCGATTTGTTAGGCAAGCTTCTGCAACTTCGACCTGAAAATCGAATTAGTGCTCAAGATGCTCTGAGACACCCATGGTTCCAAGATCTACCCAACTACGCGGGACAAGGACGGGCCCAGGTTAGCTCGTCCATGCATCAACCTAGTCAGCTCGGACATCAGGGCGGCGTTCCTGGTGGATATGGTACGCAACCGGGGATGGTTGGGCCAGGGGGTTACTGAGATGGTTGCTCCTTGTTGGAGGTTCAGTTTGGCTGTTGTGTTGCATTTCATTCGATTTGCAACTGGCAAGACGCAGCAAGAAGAATCGGGGCTGTTGAGAACCGATGACCAGGGAAAACGGACAGGATCACCCAGAGAGAGGGTCTGCTATATTGTCAGACTCGGATACTATGTACAATGTGATCGTCTCCAGTTGGGCAGGACGACGGTCGAGTTCCTCTATGTTGATTACGATTATGCTGGGTAGCATTTGATACCACGGAGTTGTTTGAAGCAAGGAGTTCTGGTACCAGCCTGTAGAATGAGGCGGGATGCTTTTCTCTCCTACTGTACTTGTAGATAATCGCCCACCCTGACATCTTGTCGTTTGGCATAATGCACTGCAAACATATCCTCCCGGCCGTAGTTCCGCAACTCACTTCAAGACAAAGGAGGTGAGTTGCTTCTGCATTCGATCATTAAGCAGTAGTTGTGTATATTGTACACTGTATATACCGTCGTACAAATCCCTACCTAGGTATGTATGTAGCCTGCGCGTGGATAGTGTCAGCCACTCCCTGTGTTAGCATTGCTAGCGCCGCAGCATCGAGGGATGCCAAGCAGCCAGTAGTAGGGCGGCATTGCAGCCACTTGCGGTCCGGATCAATTGGAGCTCCGTACGACTAGTGTGCTTTTTTCGGCCTCCCAACAGCGATTGACAGCTCAAACACCCGTGGACGGCCTTTCTTCAAAGTAATCCCGGTGTCGTGTATTGCAAGTTGCTTTTGTCTCCTCTTTATCCGCGCCAAAGCTGTCTTTGTGCGATGTTGTCGCGAGCCTGCCTCCGGGGCTTTGGCCTCCAGACGCTTCCAAAGAGACAAGCTTATCAGCTTGCTCGCAGATCCGTGACCACCGACGCTGCCAGCTCTCACGCGGAGAAAGAGGACGTTCCTGAGGTAAGGCTTATCATTCAATTAGACTGACCATGCACAGAGTCTGACTGTGACCATTAGGAAGATGACAAACACTTCCAAGTCAAGCTCCATGACGAGAGCTTCGAGACCTACATGCTCGACCCGCCCCCATACACCCTGGACACCACCAAGCAGGAACTGAAGCAGATGTACACTGACATGGTCACTATCCGGTAAGAGACGACAGCGTCCTGTGGGCGGCGAGCATTGTGCTGACCAGTGCGCAGTCGAATGGAAATGGCCGCAGACAGACTATACAAGGAAAAGAAGATTCGAGGTTTCTGCCATCTGTCGACTGGTCAGGAGGCCGTTGCTGTTGGCATCGAGCACGCCATCACAAAACAAGACGCCATCATCACCGCCTACAGATGTCACGGTTTTGCCCTCATGCGTGGCGGTACCGTCAAGTCAATCATTGGTGAATTGCTGGGCCGCAGAGAAGGCATTGCTTACGGAAAAGGAGGCTCTATGCATATGTTCGCCCCCAACTTTTACGGCGGCAACGGTATTGTGGGTGCCCAGGTACCCGTTGGTGCCGGCATCGCCTTCGCCCATCAATACACTGGCAGCAAGACGGCAACCATCACATTGTACGGTGACGGCGCTTCCAACCAGGGTCAGGTCTTTGAGGCATTCAACATGGCCAAGCTGTGGAACCTGCCGGTTTTGTTTGGCTGTGAGAACAACAAGTACGGTATGGGAACGTCCGCTGCTCGGTCATCGGCCTTGACAGACTACTACAAGCGAGGACAGTACATTCCCGGTCTGAAGGTCAATGCCATGGATGTGCTAGCCGTGAAAGCGGCCGTGGCATATGGCAAGCAATACACAGCCGACGATAAGGGTCCCTTGGTGATTGAGTACGTCACGTACAGATATGGTGGCCATTCCATGTCCGACCCTGGCACAACCTATCGAACTCGAGAAGAAATCCAGAGAATGCGCTCTACCAACGACCCAATTGCCGGTCTCAAGCAAAAGATCCTGGACTGGGGTGTATGCACTGAGGATGAGCTCAAGCAGCTTGACAAGAAGGCTCGGGAAGATGTCGATGCAGAGGTTGCTGAGGCCGAGAAGATGGCTCCACCAGAACCCACGCCAAAGATCCTCTTCGAAGACGTCTATGTCCGAGGCAGTGAGCCACCTTACCTACGTGGCCGCACGCCGGACGAGACTTACTACTATTCATGAGAACGGTTTCTTGATCAAGGGGTTGGGGCAAATGCAGGCTTGAAGCATTGTACTTTAGTCATCCTAGCTTAGCTATTGAGGAGCGTGTTCAGTATCAATGGATTGGTTGGGGCCCGGATGCCAGTTCACTGAACCGACCATTAATTTCGGCGTTGAAGTCGATTTTGTCCCTGCCAGCGGGTGCTTACCACGTAAAATGTACTCCTGATGATTTACATTACGACTTACCCCAGGTACCAGTAGCAGTAGCTGTTTGAATTGGCATTGCAATAGCACTGCTCCCTCCTATATGGATTAGGTACTGTCAAAGGGACTTGGTCAGCCAGTAGCAGACAGTTATGTAATACTGGCAAGCAGAGAGCTCGGACGTGAAGAACCGAGCTCCAAGCCGATGATGCAAATGCGGCCGAATCCCATGCCAGTGCAACTTTCGTCTCGCAGCGGAACTTGAACCGAGCCACGACTTGTCTGAGGACTGCAGCGGTGTCCTGGCCTAGGTCTTTGCTTCCTCACCACAGTCTACTACTGACTTCTTCTGTCCACTACATACCTTTGTACTGTCTCTGCGACCAGTTCGGCCCTTGGTGCCGGATTATGGCGACTGCCATTGGCGAATCTTCTCCGCTACTTCCTCAACACACGTCTTCTGGGGCCTCACCGTCGCGCACTGGTGGACGAAATCCACGTACCGTCACGTTTAATCCTTTGACATCCGTTAGCACTCAGGCAGGAACTACATCTTCAGGATCTTTAAGACCGATGCAGAGTCCGTCGGCGGCCCTTGGGGGCTCATCCCAGAGCAGCCGGGAACCACAACCCATGCTCAGTGCGTTGAACTCGAAACTGCGTCGGAGGAATAGTCATGGTGCCCCGCTACCTACCACTCAGCCATTCCATCCGGCTCCTCGGGCGGGTGCGCAACGGACGACCAAGACTATTGAAAAGCTGAAGATCCTGCCCAACCCCGACATCGCGGAAGAAGAACCGGACGAAGAAAGTGGGAGGGATGTGTATTCGCAGTTCACAAGAATCAAAGATCCCACGGCGAGAAGAGATGCTGCCAGATTGGGAAAAGCCGACAGAGAGAGGTTGCCTCGCGTGACGGCGTACTGCGTGGCACAGGGCTATCGGCTCGATGCAATCATGAAGTTCATGAAAGCCAGGGCGCGAACTCGAGGCGCGAACCCGAAGCTGTTCGACGAGTGTCTGTATAGCCCGTACGACTACGACTACGTGAAGAAGCATGACAAGAAAAGGGGGGATTCGAGGAGCAATAGCCCAGTACAAGAACGAATTGCGAGGGTCATGGCCAGCCCAAGGATCAATCCGGGCGAGCGAAGGTTTTCGGACAGCATCGTGGAAGTTGAGGACAACAAAAAACAGCGAAGAGACGATCTGATCGACTTGCAGGATGAGCTGGGCCCTCCCAGTATGACCGCCGAGCCCGACGAGCTCGCAGTGACGGCAAGCCGCTCTTCTACCGACCTTCGACATCCCGAGGGCGATGAAATGCACCAGAGGTCCAACTCTGAACTCTCTACGAAAGTGGACACGCCCGAAGTATTCATATTCGACTATGGCACCGTTGTCATCTGGGGCATGACTGTGCAACAAGAACAGAGGTTCTTGAATGACATGTCGAAATTCAGCGAGGCGCCATTGCCCCAGGAAAGCGTGCAGACGGAAAACTTCAACTTCTATTATACCAAAGAGTACCAGGCCCGCATCTATAACGACTTCATCAGCTTGAGGGACCCGCGCAACTATATGATCAAACTGGCCATCAGTCATGCACTGTCACAGAGCGTCAAGACGAGTCTGTTCGAGGATTTGGTCAGCGAGACTATCGAGGCAACGAGTCCGCTTCCCGCTCTGATCGCACAAACGGGCAGCGTTAACCTCACCGGACGGCAGCTTAACATGCAGATAGGAGAGTTGTTTATCTTGAGAATCAATATTCACCTGCAAGGGAGCGTCCTTGACAGTCCCGAGTTGATGTGGGCTGAACCGCATCTGGAGCCCGTCTACGCCGCAGTCCGGAGCTATCTGGAAATCGAACAGCGAGTCGGCCTGCTGACCGAGCGACTGGATGTCATTGCTGGTAAGTTCTTCTCGTGACATGGAACCTGAAGACTTTAGCACCGGGCTGACTATATCGTCACAGATTTACTGGCTGTCTTGAGGGAGCAGGGAAGCAGAAGACATGGCGAAGTACTGGAATGGATTGGTATGTGGACATCTATCTCCCTGCAACACCAAACACGTACTAACGTTGTCACAGTCATCGTCCTGATCGCCGCGGAAATCTTGGTTGCGTAAGTCATGCACTGTTCTCTCCTCTGCACGATCTGTTCACTGACTTGTGCTCGGCAGCGCCATCAATATTGTTGTCGACCTTTACGCGGGAGTCGAATAGACTGCCCTTCCTTATCATCCTGTTGACCGTTTCATGTCATACCTGCTATTGGCATTTGTCCCGTCCAACTACCTGCTGGATCCGCACTTGCAATACCAATCGGCACCAAATCACAGTGTGCACCGAATCCTCCCGTCGAATTAAGGCCAAAGGATGGGGTCACCTCTAACACCCAGGTCCCCATCGATCTCAGCATTTGGTGAACCCTTGTTGTCTTATTATTAATGTCATACGGGTAATCTTTAGCGGGGGCGTTGGAGGAAAGAAACTCTCAAGCTGAAGGCTGTCGATATACCACTTCCTGCGGGTTAGGTCCCGTCTGTCGGCGTGCATGGGTGGATTTCTATTTGTAATATCTTTTACTCTTCCCCGGAGATGTGCTCAAGTATGGAAGGGTTCAACATTGTACTATTGTCCAGTCAGACATTGTCGAACTTGAGTGTGGGACTCGGAGTGTGGTTGTAAATATGCTGTGATGAAGCATTATTACTGTTTTCAAGGAATCAAGGAGACATTGTTGGCTCATCTGATCACTTCTGCCATATGAAATCTGTTTGTTATTCCCTCAACTTCGCAATACTATCGGCACTGCATTGCCTTATCGCTGACGCTAACTCCCGTCGTCTTCATGTGCCTTTCTCGCCCAATACCTGGTGTGTTTCGATCTGTGATGGCTGGCTGGTCTTCATGTCATTGCGGAACGGCCAGTGTCAAGTACAGTACCTAGGTACAGTGTAGCCCATACTGCAGTGGTCTCACAGTACCTCAGCTGGCTGCACTGGTAGTCATTGCCTTCTCACTGTGATCAGTCCATAGCTTAGGTACTCAATGCTCATTGCCGCGTAGATATTGATGATCATTCGTCCTGACTCGAGTGGTACATACAATCAGCGTCCACAATCCCCAATCCACCCACCGATAGATACCTAGGCCTGGTTAGTGCTCACACCTGGGCAGATGGATACATACCTTGGTAGCTAGGCACTGAGCAGCACCACCAAACAATCGCCACGTATGTCTATACTTTAGCTATTACAATGTTCAAAGACAAGAGTAGTGGTTTTTGAGATATTGAGTATTCTATGAACATCCACAGCCGCTCCCAACCTCCCAACCACAGATGTGTGTCTATCCTAAAATCTATGAACATCCACAGCCGCTCCCAACCTCCCAACCACAGCTGTGAAATCCAAATCCCGACCAGCAGCACCCAAGAGAAATCCTCCAGAAAGAAAAGTGAAGGTCGCCATAAGGGCCGTTTGAACCCTTCCTAAGAGTTTTCGAGACAGGCTCCCCTGGTTCCTCCCCCTGCCTCGAAAAAGAAAACAAAAACAAACATGAAGGTCGCCATATGGGCCGTTTGAACCCTTCCTAACACTCGAAAACAGGGTCCTTCCCTTTCCTGCCCCCTGCCTCGAGATTTGAACAAAAGAGATGACCAGCTACATAACCATCACCATTACTGCACCACAACCAGATCCTCAGATCAACAACACCATCATCCCCATAGTACTGGGCCCGCCGACCCTGCTGCTGGTCCGCTCAACTCTTGCTTTCGGACCACAGAGGATGCTTCCTCCCAACCACTGGCAATGGCCCACGCCATCTGCTCTCTGAATGTCCTCCAACTTTGTGCCGCATGCACCTAATCTAATCCCCGGGCCACAGTTTCGCCTCCTTCCCCAGAAACAGCACAAACCAAATATAGGCTATTCTTTTTTCTGTCTTATGCTTCTTGTTTTTCACGTTTGGCCTTCTTTGCGGGCATCTTCTGTTCTGTTTTTCTTTGTTTTGGCCTTTTTTTTGTTTTGGTTTGGTTTGTGCAATGTAACTGGAGGTTTTGTGATGGCTTGAGGTCGAAATGCTCCCTCGCAGTATCTCTCTCTCTCTCTCCCCCCCTCCCCCCCACCCTCCCCAAACAGTATTCCACTGGACATATCCTCGGTGCCTCTCCCCCCAAGAGATTCTTCACCGAAGATAAGTCCAACAACATGATGTGCCTGCTGCACCTATGTACTCCCTCGGGCCACAGTTTCGCCTCCTTCCCCAGTCACGGCTAAGCTAAATTTGGCCTTGATTTTTGTTTTTCAACTTTTCTTTTTGGTTTTCATGTTGGCCTTCCTTTCTGGGCTCTTTTCTTTTCTTTTTTGGGGTTCTGGCCTTTTTTTTTGGTTTTGTGTGAATGTGACTGGGGGATTGATTGATGGCTCGAGGTCGAAATGCTCCCTCTTCCTTTCCCTGCCCTCCCGGGCGCAAACATCCTCTGCGGTCCGATCCTTGCGTCCTCCCCATCCCCCTTGAACAACTCCCAACTCCCAAATGTGCTGACACCACACATATTGCCAAATGTCCTCCGCCTGGCCTGCAGCACCCTTCAAACTTCAGTGCACTCTCCAAATAGCCAAATATCCTCCGCCTGGCCTGCAGCACACGTCAGACTCCAGTGTAGCTGCACCCTCCCACCTCCCAAATCCTCGGATACATTCAGACACTTCAACTTTGGCCTTGTGATCTTGATTTCTTGATTTTTTTGCTTTTCTTTTTGTTTTTGACAGTGGCCTTCCTTTTTTGGGCATCTTTTCTTTTCTTTCTTTTTTTGGCCAACATTGGGCATGTTGACATTTTCTTTTGTTTTTGGTTTTGTCTTTCTTTTCATTTTCACTTTTTGGCCAATTCCACTATTGGGTTTCTGTGTTGAAGGTTGAATGTTCCTCTCAATCAGCAAGACATACTCTCTGCCAATGGACCCTGTCATGCTGTGTCCTTGCGAAGGTGTCGAGGCATTGGAGGCAAGCCCCGGCACCTTCGAAGGTGCGGTGTATGAGAGGAAAGAAGAGAGGAAGAGGAGGAGGGGGAGGAACGAGAATAAGTAGGCCTGTCGGGGCTTCGCCAAGGCTCACTGTAAGTGCGTGGTCCCGTGTGCACCCTGTGTTCAGGACCTTGGCTGGTAGAAGGCGGGAGAAGGTTGGGCAAGTGAGGTTCAAGTGAGGTGAGACTGAAGTGAGGTTGAATGTCGGACTGCGGAAAAGTTTAGGTTCTGGGAGGCCGCCGCGAAAACGGTGCCAGCAGAACCACTACCTAACTCAAGGATACTTCAAGGTCCTCCAGCCTTACGCTTGTTGAATTGAACAAGATTATGGCTTCAGCAGGTTCTCCAGGGCAGAATAAGCTTGAATCTCCATCCAGAATTGCCCAACATCCACCGCGCAACTGTAGATATCTGTTTTGTGGCGTAGTATCGATTGCCTCTGTGCTGCAGTGGGCTTCTCCCTCTCCCATGGCATTTTGATATCCCGGCGGGAGCCTCGTCCAACATGTAATCTCACTTCACTTCGCGTCGCAGCCTCGTGATCTCGAATGTCGCAGATCAGCTGATTCTTCCTTACCCCGGATTGATCTGGTCGCTTCCATCACGTGGTCGTCTCAGATCATAATCCTGAACACAGGTATTTCCCAATTGGGCTGATCTGAACATAGGCAGTGATCCCGAACACAGGGCGATTCTGAACACAAGCATTTCCGAATTAGGCCGATCTTAACACAGGCAGTGATCCAGAACACAGGATCACGCGTACCGCCCAAATCAACCTCCCGCCAAGACTAAACTCTGGCGCTTCCGAATCCAGATCTATAAGTATCCCCTTCTCCCCCCAACTCTTCTCTCTTTCTTTCTTTTTTTCTCTCCAAAGTCGAGCAAGACCACTCTGTTGCTGCCTGTCCTTTGGGGTTCTCTCTTGGACAGTTTAGGCTACACATGATTCTCTGGCTTTTCGATGTTCTCATCGTCAAGCTGGAGGATATCACACTTGCTGCACAACATGGTGGCACCTTGCTTGAGCTCAATCAAACCTTCAGTTTCCTCTCTTGTCCTCTCGACGGGATAGATGTCTGGGTTTGGAGTTTCCCCGACGCTGGCAAGGGGACGACAAAAGCCAAGCAGCCCTTACACTCATTGCCGCAAGATTTTTTTCGGGTACCAGTGTGACTTACGAGTCTTGTTCTTGCTCCCCAGGGGTCTCTTTGGCTAGGATTTGCGTTCCGATTTAGTTCCGGCCTCCTCCCGTAGGAGGAGTACGCCTCGATAGCTGCAACTGGAAGTCTTCGGACCTACAGAGTGCCAGAGGCAACGCTTTCCGATGATGCCAGGGGCTCAAGCCAGTTGGGATGCTGGAGGGGGGTTACCTCGATGACCGCACTGTCGGGAATGCTTTCTTGCAAAGCAGTTCCCTGCCTAGAGGGCCCCTTACTAGGGAGACGCCCTTGAGTCAACCGGTGTAATGGATTTCCTGGATTTCCAGTGCAGACCCGTCGCCGAAAGGCAATCTTGCAGGCAAGGCAGTTTGGCTTGCAAACTTCCGTCCTCTCGATGGTTGTTTGTTCACACTCAATTTTTGGAACCTTTTCCTCCCCCTGTAGGCTGTGTCCATGGATACAAGCTTTCCACCTAGTGGTTAGCACACTTTGCAAAGTACTCAATTTTTGAGCTTCTGTGTCTTTGGGACACCATCTTTCCCTTAGTGGCCAATTCCACTCTGTGGTCAGCAATCTTTTCCAATTTTGGAACCTTTTTCATCGTACATCTTGGGCCCTGTGCCTGGTTATGGAGAAGAAGAGTCGCCGCACACAGTATTGTTTATTGTACTGCTGTGCATGTTTTGATTTATTCGGCTTTGCTGTGTATCATTTCAATCCTTTCGACTCGCCGCTCTTTACGGATGCACTTTGCCAGAGCAGGGTTGACTTGGGCTTGGTGCCGACTACTGTTCTGCATCAGCTGGGAACTCTTTCGAAGAAGGTATTATTCATCATCTTACCAGATACGGCTTTGGACTTGAAGAATATGGATGTGGTGCGCTGCATATTGAATTCCTGCTCAAGGCGCTGACTTGAGGATCGCGAAGTAATGTTCATGTTCCCAACCAAACAACCTCCATAAGGACATCTTTGATGCCACTCTTCTGGCGCTACTTCTTTGTTGACGACTGTCCAGGTTGCTGTTGCTCCCGCTGCTGTTGCAGCATCTGTGCCATCTTCGCCCTTGCAGCCCTACTTCCGCCCAATTTCGGCCCTCTGGGTTCCTTCTCCGCCGCACCAGCCGTCTTCGACTGGCCTGAGGCCTTGTGTCTGTGGTGCCGCTCCGCCATGGCATCCATGAACTCCTGCCGGAATTGTTCAGCAAGTCGTTCATCTGCATCGCCGGCCTCAGCGTCATCGCCATTCAATCCCTTGGGACGACGCGGATCGTCCACATCATAGATATCAAGCTTGTGCTCGTGCAGCACCTGCTCCACAAGCGCGTCGCGAGCAAGATCCTCACTGTTCCTGCGTTTCCGTGGCCGCGGTTTCATCGGTTTCCCATCGCGACCAATACGTGGCTTACGCGGTTTTGGGGCGGCGGCTTCCTCCGGGATCGGAGGCTGGCCTGATTTGGCACGCTCCAATGCAGCTTGGATGCGTGCAAGGTTGATTTCGTGCGCTGAATCGCCGAGATCGACCTCAGTGAGCTGGCGGACAGTCGCTGGGTGGGATAGAGTTGGCACGTTTGAAGTCGCCGAGGCAGACTGTATCGTCGATTCGGTGTGAGGTTTGTCCGGCGGCGTCTCGACCTCACTGTCCTTTTCAGTGTTTTGTTGCTGTGCATCGTTCGAAGGGGAAACCGTGCGATTTCGTCTTCTAGCCAGTTCGGCGTCTATGAAGGCAACCCTTATCCTGTCAGTAAACCGCATCTGCAAAAGAGGAAACATCAGAAGGAGGGTACGAACATATGTTGATCAACGTTGATCGCCTGACCTGTGCTGCTGACGAACCGGTTGGAAATATCTATCGGCTTGTCGGCCGCTTGCTCTGCTCTGGCAACGGCCATGTCGGCATCTTCCTCGTCGGTCCTCGCGGCTGTCTTCGTGGTGGAGAATTGGACACCGGCAACGGGTCGGCGGAGGTGTTTTCGAGCCCGTATCAAATTCGGCAGGTCGACTTCTGATCCATCCTCGTTATCGCGATCAACGTTGCCACCATGCTGACGGTCCCCCTCCTCCGCTGGTGCTGATTCTATCGACGGTTTTGGTTCGGGGGATTCTTGGAGTTGAGCACGGTTGAATTTCCTACGCTTCGCCGAGCGGAAAACCACAACTTCGTCCATGGCGTCCGCCAAGGATGAAGCGCGTACCGAGGGTAGCGGAGGACCGGTTGGCAGGGACGTGTCACCAAACAGTCGGGTTTATTGCATGCAATAACTACTAGCCCAAAAGATCTTCCTTGACATGAAGTCGAGAGTAGCGCTTTTGTCTCCTTCTCACAAATCTCTATTCAATCAAGGTTCTTTCAGTCCTTAATATCCGTACGGCTCTTTGCCAGGGCAAATAGTTTGGAGCCTTGTCGCAAGGAGAACGCGACGTTGGGATAACCTCAGGGCAGAGCTGATCACGTGGGGCGCGGTGGGCACATGAGTTCTGTCACGTGGCTGGACTGTCTGCTAGACCCATAAAGCGGCTCTGACTTGTGCCTAAACAGGAACGAGATTTTGTCGGCTTGGCGCAACTTGACTTTCTACATCCAATGCAGTGCAGTGCTTTGATGTCCCAGGACGTCTCGATGCCCATATCATCACACGACCAGAAAGACGCCTGGCTTTAGCTGCTTCTCCCGGTCTTCTGCCACAATGTCTGTCCAGGCCCCTCCCGCAACGTACCGTTGCTGCCGTCTCGCAACCCAGATCCAGAAACGAAGTCTATCCTCACAATGCCTGCGGCTCTCGTCCACGAGCTCTCTTAACCAACAAAGACGGAGGACGAGCCCGACACAATCCTTAAGATCGCGAAGATGGCAATCGACCGAAGCGGCGGCTACGCCGGAGAACCCGAAGATCGCTAGCATCGTGGACCAAATATCACAACTGACGCTTCTCGAGACAGCCGACCTTGTCGCCAGCTTGAAGGTATGTTCCGACCAGAATCTCTGCCACAATGTAGCATTTTGCCTATACTATGCCTCAGTCAACGTCGCAAATGTTTTCAATTCATGAGCTAAATGTTTCCCAACAGTCGCGTCTCAATATCCCCGATATGGCTTTCGCAGCCCCAGCTGCCGCCCCTGGAGCAGGCTCCGCCGCCGCCGCAGCACCAGCCGAAGAGGAGGAAGCCGCACCGGCACCTGCGGAGAAGACCATGTTCACCTTGAAGCTGGAGTCGTTTGATGCCGCTGCCAAACCCAAGATCATCAAGGAAGTCAAGAGCATGCTTGGCCTGAGTTTGGTGGATAGCAAAAAGTTCGTCGAGAGCGCGCCCAAGGTTCTGAAGGAAAGTGTGCCCAAAGAAGATGCCGAGAAGATTGTTGCGGCTATGAAGGCGCTCGGGGCTGTTGTCAAGATGGAGTAAAGTCGGACTACATATGGTGGCCACGCATAATTCTTGCGAAGCTAGGCAAACGAACCGGCAAAGAATCTCCGGAATCGCGGTATCTTGCCTGGGGTGTCAAATGGTTTTCATGGGGATCAACAGTTGTGGCAAAAGATTGGGAAGCGTCCTCCGTCGATGTCCTCCTCGCGAACCGTGTCCGGCTACGAGTTCCAAGGGAACAGTTCTGCTTGCCGTTCCTGAGACGCATCTTCCAGGATGCCCCCAACCGATGTATCGCGTTTTGTCAAGGCGAATGTCTACTCAAGCGCCTTGTGTAACTATAGCCTATAAGCTGGCGAAGCGAAGACTTGGGATCCTTTAAAAAAATGTACATTTTGGAATACATCTGCTCTCGAGCACCCTTTAGCAAGCATATCAACAGGGTAGTTACGGTGGACATCGCCTTCCAAAGCATTCTATAGCCCCTGTAGCTTCTGTGCTGTGAGCAAGCACTATATGCAGAATCTCACGCCAGTCTACCACATAATTCTATGTCTATCAAATGTCCCATTCGTTCGGGGCTTCTACGGACACCGGACGCCCATGCCTGAGTGCAATATGCGTGGAGGTTCCCGACATTTCCCAAGTCGTGTCAAACTGTGATCCACGGACTCGACCAGCACAGTCAGTCAATTCTATTGCCTAGAAAACCGAGTACCATTGACATTTGTGACGCCCTTGCCCAACTCAGAGGCGACGACAGTTGCTTCTCTGATGCTGCGGGAGATGGTACCTCTGACCGCGCCCTCCTCTAGGACCAAAAGACCACCAATGGTGCAGCCACCGGGGGTGCTGACCTTCTCTCGAATGAAGGCGGGATGTTCACCAGCCAGCACCATGGCAGAAGTGCCGCGCATGGTCTGGGCGGCCATCAGCTGAGCCTCTTGACGGGGGATACCCATGGCGACGGCGCCATCAACCAGAGACTCAAGCATCAGGGCGCAAAACGCCGGGCCGGAACCGCACAGGGCGGTCGAGGCATCCATGGCCGACGGGGGCAGATGGACGACACGGCCGATCCTGGTGAAGATCCATTCGACTATGGCGGACAATTCAGAAGGCAACGGCGAGGTCGACGTCGCAATCACGGTCATCGACTCCCGGTTCATGGCCGCCGTATTGGGCATGACCCGTACAATGCGGCACGGGTTTGAATGGATGTGGATGTGGTCGGGATAGTCGGCGCCGTAGAGGGCGCGTCCAATCTGGTCGACGGGCACGCCGGCGCAGATCGACACCAGCAGTTTGCCTGCCAGAGCCTCTTGGATCCCTTTCTCTGCGAGCACGCTTTCGACCATGTATGGCTTGCACCCGAGGATCACCACGTCCGCGGCCTTAACGCCCTTGACGTTCTCATTCTGTAACACCGTCACGGGCGTCGAGTATTCCTGCACCGCGCGCTGGATGCGCTGCGCTGACTCGGGTCGTCGGACACATGCGATGAATCGGCTGGGTGTACGGACGTTCGTTGAGGACTCGGCGCTCGAAGATGAAGAGCTGGTTGCATCTTCCTGTAGAGAGGATAGGATACCGGTGAGAATGGCTGTGTTCAATGTTCCTGCAAACAGGTCAATGTGAGATCCAGAGTTGCGAGAGAGGCCAGTCCAGCCTTACCGCATCCAAGAAAGGTCACCGTCATCTCTGAGTTCTCGGAGCCATTGGTGCTGCCGTTCAATACCCGGAGCGCAGCAGCCATGATGTGAGTAGGATTGGGTCAACAGAGATGTGGTCTGGACGGACAAGAGTGTAGAGCGCACGAGTCAAGGCTGTCGGTTTCAAGTGCTATTCTACCGAGCCTTCTTCTAGCCTTCTTCTAGCCTGTTTATATCGTTGTCGAACCTGCGGGGCGTGCTGTTTAACTCCGAGTGTGCTGAACATTTTTCGGCAAGGCTGCGATCGCGGCGTAGTCCGCCTGCAAGGCACACCAATCACAGTTTCTCCACATGTGCCCTACCACAAGTACTTCTTCCGCCCCCATAACGGGCTGCCAGACAATCGGCCAAAGAACATAATCTTGTACCGAAAGCACATACATCTACGTTCGTGCTCTGTTTCAGCTGCTGTATAGGCTGGTGTGCTGTCGCTGTGCTTTTTTTTGTCGCAACACTTCACAGAAAAACAAACCAGTCAAGCACACCGTGACGCTGGGTCCCAGATGAATGGCGATAATCATGTGAAAGCCTGCCCCTGGGAAACCGACATCATTACTGTGATCTGAAAGCGCGCCGAACGAACGTACATTCCCACCCTCGGCGATCATGGCGGACCCCTTTGAAGTTCGCATGCGCTTCACGAACCTCCTCACACATCTCTCCGCTTCCGCGACAGCATCGATAAAGACAGCCCACTATGCCCTCAAGCACCGGGACATGGACGAGGATTTACACTCATGCATCCTAGAAAACCTGGAGCGGGGGAACAACATGAACAACCGGGCCAACATCATGTACTTTCTCGAGCACCACGCCGACATCAACATGAAGGAAGGCGGACACGAGCCGTACGTGGAAATGATCAAAAGAGACATCCGGCGGATCGTGGATGCCGTGGCGCAAAGCGGAGCCAACGTCAAGGTGGTGCGAAGAGTCGTCAGCGTCCTCGGCGAGAAAGGCGTCCTCCCGGCCGACGTGCTAACCGAAATTGAGTCTGGCTTGAAGGAAAAAGAAGAATCTCTGGGAAGACTACTAGGCGACGGTGACGAGGACGAGGATGCTAAGCCGATGGAAGAAGCCGACAGCAACGAGGCTGCTGCTGCTGCTGCTGGAGGAGACGTGAATGCTACTACTGCGGCTGGCACTGGCGCGGGAGGAGATGGCGGTGCTGGCCACAAAGCCACCCCTAGAACCGCCGGTTCACATTCGCACTCTACAAAACCGAATGGCGTCTCGAAAATGGACAAAAGGGCCATCGAGCAGAGAATCGAGGAGGACAGGGAGCGAAACAAGCGGTTACGCGAGAGTGTTTGGGCGGTTTCGGGCGACGACGATCAGGAATTGGATAAGATGTGGGAGGAAGGAAGTCAGCTCGGTGAAGATGACCAGGTCATTGCTGCCGAAGAGGCAGATGAGCGGCTTCAATTCGCTCGATATCATCGCACAATGGTAGAAACATGAGCGGTACAATACCAAAAAACAACTACTGGCGGTTACTAGTAGTACGGAAGCTTTTGGATTACTAGTTGGAATCAAACTGCCGATCGCCCTGAGTGGGTGCTCCACCCTCCGTGGAGGAGAAGCGGTTTCATACATCAGACAAAGAGCAGCTCGAAATCTGCCGTTTGATTTCCGAATTCATCAAACTACACCAGTCCTGGTGCGCGGGTATCCACTGATATGAGGTTTGAATCATGACCTCCCAGCAGCTCTGCTCTGAAATCTGGTTCAGCCTTCAAGCTGCTCGCGCCTTTTTCGGCGCGACTCTTGTTCCATCCGGCGACTCGTCGTCGTCGTCCTCGTCAGACTCGACAACCTTCCTCTTGCGGAAAGCAGCCTGGACAGACTTTCCATTAGCCTGTGGCTCTTCTGCCTGCTCTGCTCGCTCTGCCTTCTTCTCTCTTCGCAGTGCATAGGACAACAGAAGACCTTCATACTCGTCTTCTTGTGCTCGGGCACTATCCTCGATCTGCGGCAGGCGCTCTTCCAAAGGTACTTGTTGGAGCAAGTCCTTGTTCTTCTTGATGATGCGTTGCTTGAGCAGCGTTCGCCACCAGTAATAATTTCTGTCATCGGCGTTGGGGGCTCTAGGTCCTCGGATCTTGAGGCTGGTTAGGGATGCACCACCAGCAGCACGGTGCGAAAGCGGGATCTGGCCAAGAAGATACATCTCGACCATACGGGAGAATTGACGAGAGGCGATTTTGTTTTTGACTCGTATAGCCTCGAGTTTGTCTAGCGGAAGTAGAGACGCGGTCGGCACCCTCTTAAGGCGGCTCCGCTCCACCGAGGCGAATGGCGATGAGTTGATTTTGATATCTGCAGCCCTAAACTGGGGTTCGAGTCGATCAAAATCGTTCAGATCTCGCAGCTTGTCAAACTCCTCGCTTGGGTCCTCAACTGTCATCTCGACTATCGTAGGATCAGCAAGGACCTCGTCATAGATGGCTTGGTAAAGCGCGGAGCCATGACCATGTTGTTGATATGGGGGGGTAATCAAGAACTGCGATATCCGTAGGCGTGAGGGCAATTTCGTGGGCGTGATCTCTTCTGACGGCGGGAATGAGAAAGGGGTCAGATTTTCTGGCTGGGGGCCGCGCTTGGGAAACTTGTAGAAGCGGTACGTTGTGGCGTAGCCGACAAACGAGTAGGGACAAGCAGTGGGAGTCGGAGGCTCGGATGACTTGTGATACACGAGATAGACTCTCCATCTGTCCAAGGTCCAGTCCACATCTTCCAGGTTGATGAACTGGCCACCTTCGATGAAGAAAACAATCAGGATCTGGATGTTGTCGACCAAAGTCCGCATCGGCACATCGAGAAGTGAGCCCGCCCAGACCTCATAATTTTCTCCGTCTCGGGCATATTTCTTCACGCAGACACCCGGCGGCGTCCATTCTCTGGCGGCTCTCTGCAAATCTGCTTCGAACCCGTCCTCGAAGGCGACTGGGGGAAGGAAGGTGCCAAATGTCTTGTTCAGATCTAAAGCGCTCGTTGTGCCGATGGTCTTGAACTGATCCTCGTACCGAATTTTGAGACGGGGGCGCATGTCATGCGCTGCGAATTGTATCTCAATATCCAGACCTTTGTAACCAAAGATGGTCTCCGCCTCGCCGACAACAGGATAGGTGAACTTGGGATGGAACTCATGTCGTTTGATGATCTGATAGTTCGGACCGGGCTGGACTATGGATACACGGATTGCATCATTTGCATTTACCGAAACTGTGCATAGTTAGTGGAGGTGAACTTCCGATCCTCAAGTCATAGACTTACATTCTTCGGCCGCTGCGGCTGCCATGGTGGCTGGGTTGTCTTGTTTCGTGGGTAGGTTAGATCGATATCATTGCGACGGTCGCAATACCGATATTGGAAGACCTGTTGGATAGGTTGCCGATAAACGCGGCTAGAAGAACTATCAAGGTGAGGTTGAAGTTTGTTTCAATTCGCGGATGCAGATGAAGTCACGTCGCGAACCTGAAAGGCACTTTACGCGTCGATGGTATTGCCATATAGGGACTAGTGAGCTCTGTCCTTGGCGTGATACTAGTGCCTCACTTTAGAGGTTCAACGGTATGCACTAAACTATAATTGTACTAGAAGCACATCACAAGGTCGGTATTGACCGATCGCAGGAGTTTCTGTGGGACAGAGTCAAGTTGACTCACAGTAGTAGTGAACGTTGCGAGCATGCCGTGGACACCTCATATTCTTTTTCTAACGTGGCGTCCTTCCAGATATGAATGGCTAACTACATAGGTAACTGTCCTGTGCAATGGTAACGTGTGATATGCGGTGTATCACGGGCCAACTCACAGTAGTAAATTTCTAATAATAATAATGCAGCCTGGTGGTAGTTGCAAAACGGTCAATTCATTTTGCTGCTGATTACATAAGCGTCCTGGCTGCCAACCAAGGCGCTTGTTGTAGCGATTTCCACAATTGAAGCTGAACTAATCCTCCTGTAAGAACGGATTTCGATCACTGCTCAGGCACGGGGTGCTTTTGAATGAATGTTATTTAGTCTGCGCCTATGCCTGATGAGCCTTGGAAACATTGTACTAGTAGTCAGAAGTCGGGGTTCAGGGGCACCCACAACAACAGGGCGCCGACGGGCTGGATTAGTGGAAAGACGGAGCCATCCCGGGACCAATGGGTTTGCTTCCCTTCATGAACATGGATTTGCAGCTCCAGCCCCCAGGACCAGGGCTGTAGCTAGCGAGGTTCTCGTGTGCTAGGCGATGCCAGGAAGAAACTCGATCACGAACCTAGTGGTGGATTGTTAGCTCGAACCCTCACCCCAAGGGCCCTTGGCCCATCTGTGTTTGGTCTTCTTCTGCTGCAGAAGTAGTGGGCTGAAGCCGCTCTCGGCTCGTTTCTCAACCTCATCCATTTCTATCTCAGCCTCTCTGTCACTTTTCACATCATGCAGCAAAGAGGGCGTTTCCCACAATGAGCTCGCATTGTTTCGACCGTGGTGCGGCCCGTGGATTTGACACAATTCCGCTGAAAAAGCGCCCTGCGCTTCTCCTCAAGACCGATTCTGCCCTGAGATGATGTGTGTTGCACAATGCTGGTTACATCCCAGGATGCACGAATAGCGGGCTGGGGGTGCTCGGGCCTGTCATTGCTCATCTTGATTATTCGGATCATTACCTCGAGAGTCCATCAGGGCTCACTCGACGCCAGCTCTGGCATATGCATCGCTGCCCTGGTGGTTGTCTCGACTCGGATTGTGGTCAATCAGTACGTTCTCAGTTATGGGACGTCAAATGATGCAATCTACGGCAAATCTCAGTACTTTGACTCTCACGACCTGGAAACCTTGAAAATAGGCAGCATTCTCGCGTTGATTGCGAGGTTGCTTATCACCACTTTTTACTGGTTGCAGAACTGCCTCCTCCTGCTGTTCTATTCTCGTATCTTCGAGATCAGGGGGCAATGGACCACTATACTTATCCGGCTCTGTTGGATATCCATACCCATGACATACATTGCAGTGGTCATGGCCACGTTCTTGGAGTGCACCCCTTTCAGACTGTATTGGCAAATCAGTCCGAATCCGGGGACTTGCATTCGAGCATATAATCAGCTGCTTACCCAGGGCATCGCAAACATCCTTCTCGACCTCATCCTATTGGCCATTGCCTGGCCTCTCATTGTCGTCCGTCATCGAAGTATTGGCGAAAAGTTACGGGTCGGCACATTATTTTGCTTGGGATTTTTCTGCATCATCACCACTTGTGTCCGTATTGGATACATCTACGCCGAAGATTCCTATCAGCCTGTTCGCAGCTTCTGGGCATCCGTGCAGATGGTTGTATCGTGTTTTGTGGCAAATGCGCCTTCAATATATGGGTGCTGCAAGCTCATCAAGAGGCGGAAGTCCCAGCAAGCCGCACGGAGGGGTAGTCGACCGGAGGTATGGCTTCAGCTGCAGGCTGCCAACGAGAGCTTCGCCTCTCCAGACGTCCCTATTCGTGCCAGGCTTGCCGATTCGCCCACATGCTCTGAGAAGGCTTGGTCGCGCTGGGTGCCATGACCGTCGATCGCACCACCATCCCCGAAACCGAATGCTGCAGATTTAGATTACTAGAGTTCATGGGAAGACATCGGCGGCGACGAAGACTCCACACAGCTTCCGCTTCCTTGTTGAGGTAATGTCCTCACAAGTGCCAATGTGCAGCTGGATGACCTCTGCACCAAGACAGTGCGGTTGGATCCAGAAATGACCGGAAGTGCCATCCATGGGTACAACACGGAGTCTCTCCGTTCATCCGGACGGTCTGGGTGCAGCAAGAGGGTGTCGAGGCAGGACTGAAGCCTTTTTTTTCTGCGGGAAACGGTTTCTCGGAATTCTATACATACCCAGGAAGCACAGCTACATGACACCATGAATTTTCTATGTATAATCTGCGAGCCTCATTACCAGTAGTAGAGCCGCCAACCCTCGCACGTGATGATAAGCGCACCCTTATGGGGAACGCGTCGCCTGCAGTGTCAAACGGGGTGTACCGGGTACTAGTAGTAGCCTGCGCCTCTCAGGAGATGAAGTTGAACTCGCTCAGTAATATACTAGTAGTGCCAACTTTAATAGTCCTCTTTTCCAGCCCTATCTTATTACTAACGGGCACGTTTGAGGACAACATTGCAGTGGATTGATTGACCGTCTCAACATGGACTTTATGACAATCGCTTCTTCCAATACAGTCCGACAAGGTTGACGATCTTTCAGCTGTCCGCCAGCTCGTCTGCGTCATGGACGGGCTATTTACACTGCTCATTTTGAGCACTGTCATGGCCGTGGCTTCTTTTCTGGCCGGTATCCTCCCTCTTTCTCTCACTCTGTCGACGGCACAGTTGCGCTTTATCTCGACAGTTGGCATGGGCGTTTTGGTGGGCACATCTCTTGTCGTTATAATTCCAGAAGGCGTCGAGACTCTTTACAGTGCCAATGAAGTTGGCCATACTCATGCCCATTCGCATGCAAGAAGACATGCGTTGGTACCCGCCGCAGATGTTCGATGGCCAAGTCACCTTGGGCCACTGGCACAACACTCGCCCAAGCTGCTCGTACGCGCCGCAGACAAAGAACCTAGCCCATTCGATGTCCCCGGGCCCGTTATCCCCGCCGGGATGGACCCTCCACCACGAACCCCTACCAAACCTGGTGTGGTCGGCATAATGGATTCGGACCACAAGGATGATAAGGCAGCAGAAGAGAAGTCTGGCGCTGCGAAAGAGGAACACAATGGATCTGAACATGCATGGATCGGCGTGGCCTTACTAGCTGGGTTTATGCTCATGTACCTCATTGATAAGGTGCCGCAATACAGCGGACCATCGAAGCCAAAAGCACGAACACATCATATTGCCTTAAACAATTTGGGTCGACAGTTCAACCTCACTACGTCTCTTGATCGGGATGACGAGGCAGATACTTTTTTGGAGTCTCCAGAAGGGTCCCACGTGCGAAGTCGGAGTTTCGCAACGACCATCGGCTTGGTGATTCATGCAGCTGCAGATGGAATTGCTTTAGGAGCTTCGTCTACAGCTACAAATTCGACTTTGAGTCTGGTGATTTTCTTTGCAATCATGGTCCATAAGGCCCCTGCGGCTTTTGGCTTGACCTCGGTTTTGGTGAAGCAAGGGCTTTCAAAACGTGCAGCGCGGGGTCACCTTGTCCTTTTCAGTCTGGCGGCGCCGGCAGGTGCTCTCCTTACCTGGCTGTTCGCTCATCTCCTGGGCGGAGGTGGTAGTCATAACGCAGAGAAGACGACCTGGTGGACTGGGATCCTGTTGCTCTTCTCTGCCGGGACCTTCCTTTACGTTGCGATGCATTCCATGCAAGATGCATCTGACTCCCACCATGATGGGGCGAACGGCCATCCCAATGGGTATGTGGACGGTCGTGAAGGGCCTGTGACGGAGCCGAAACCGTCTTGGAAGGATCTTGGGGCGGCTTGCTTTGGAATGATCTTACCCTTGTTCATGCAAGTTGGACATGCACACTAATCTTTCGACTCCCCAACCAAAGAGGGGTGAGTTCGCCTGCCAATGGTATGGCTTCCACATTGGCGTTAGAATCCTTTCCAGCCTCTTGAAGTCAGCGTTGGCGACTAGCACTGTCAGCCAGAGCTCAGCGGATCAACAACCCGCCTTCTTATCTAGCCACAGACGATGTTGTCCAGATAACCAAGATGCTGTCTAAGATCTCACTATCGTCAGGAAGCACGTCTTCGCAGATATGAGCTACATGGACGGAAGGTATCCTGTTGCGTATACGTCGCGTTGAAGAGGTTCGATAAATGTGAGGAAGGGAAAGTATTCTAGAGTGCTCGACTCCGCCTGTTGATCCAGTTGATCGACAGCGTGTTTGGGTAGCATCCTATGTTTCCGGCCTTACTAGTAAGAGGATTTGGTTTGCCATTTGAGTTTGGTCAAGATGGCAACTACGTGCAAGTCAATTGATGGTGCAACAGACTGGGTGGATCTGTGTCCTTATACTAGTATACAGCGTCTTCAAGGACCAGCAAAAAGTGTCTTTGGCGCCTCGAGTTAAGCCGATAGTTGGGTAGATATTGTAACCCTTCCTGCCTATCACCATATGGGGTCATCTCAGCAAGGGGAGACTGCAGTACTATATTCGCAGCCTGCTGTGCTACTACTGCAACTTGCCAGACCGTCGCTCAAGGCATTCTGGGCAGCTATACCTGCAGGGTGCAGCTGTAGCGGTACCAGTCTTTGGCCTTATACCGGGTACACATACAGGTCGCTGCAGCTGGTCGGAGGCGTAAAAAGGTACTGTTGGGATTGTTGTAGTACTAGTACGTTCCTGAGCATGAGCAGCTTGCGATGGTGAGAGTCTGCGAATTAAATAAGCTCCCCATGTTGTATGAGCCTCTTCCTCTCCAGGCCTGCCAGTGTTCTACCAAACAACAAGCACTCCCGCAGTCAGGTCCAGGGCACCAGCAGCATCCTCAGCAGGTTGGTTCCCGCACCTATAGGCAACCTACCAGGTACCTTACCTACTAGTAGGTAGCTCTTTATCCGCTAACGTACCGTGGTACCTCCTATCTTATGCAGCCCGAGCACTAGTGACCGGCAAGCAGCCTGAGCCTGAGCACCACCACTACTGCAGTACCCAGAATCCCTGGGGATCACTTACTGCACCACCGGCACCGCAGCCTGAGGAACTCTGTCTTCCCTCCTGCGCCTTCAAGTCTTCGACAAGTCTCTCCATTCTCCATCCTCTCCACCATCACTGTAACACATTCCAGCGCCCTTAGGACTACAACTGCGGTTACAGTGGTACAGCGCAAACCCAACAGACGATCGGGATTTATCAGATCTGCGGACCGAACCCTTTGTCGACTAGCCACTGATCTCGCCACCGCTCAGTCCCCATCCGCCTCTCTTGGATCACATTACAACTGGTACTGCAGTTGCCAGTGGGCATTCTCTCCTCCTTCTCCTTGGGGCTAGGCCTGTCTCTTGCATGTCATAAGCGCCTCTGCCAACAAGACACCTGCAAACTCGACCCTACAGTACTACTACTCGACACTACACTCGACACCCGATGCCTATGCCCCTTCTCTCTGACATGGCGTTACTTTAGATGACCAGCTCTTCGAGGCGCGCAGAGTTCCAACCTTGCTGGCATCGAGTTTTCCTTTGAACATACCTCCAGCCCTTGTCTGCAAGTTTCTCCAACCCTCCAGCCTACCCGAAATACGCCAGCGTCCCACGCCAGGGCCAGCAAAAGAGATGGATCTCGACGATGACAACCGTGTTATGTCTTTGGACCGACCGCTATCCCCTATGCCTTCGCGGATGATGACCATAGACCCTGACCAACTCGCTGGGCGCTCCTACAATGGCCGACCGGCTGCCATCGACCAAGAAAACGATGGTCATTTTCCTGCGCCTCAAGACGCATCACGTTCCACCAGAACTCGACACAGTGTATCGCAACCGCGCCCGAAACGGCTGTCGACCTCAACCAAGGCCGGAATTCCTCTGAATATACTTCCCTCCGCCCCCGCCTCTCCTCCTACGCCCGCACCTTCTCCGACCCCGTATCAAAGGGCTCCTAGTTGGAACACTGCCGGCGAGAATGAGGATGCCTTTCTCAGAGACGCCCGGGAGCACTTCTCAAACCTGGATGCTTCTGGGAGAGAGAGATTCCTTGCTGAATTCCTCAATATGTGCGACAGTCACCTTCTGAGTTTTGTCCACCATTTCGTCTCTCCTCGTCTGAAGAAGGACCCTTTCGAGCATCTTCCGGACGAGTTGTGTCTAAGAGTAGGTTCCGCCATTTTTGCTCATGTTATCAAACTAACCTTGGCAGGTTTTATCATACATTGACGACCCGCAAAGCCTAGCCCGAGCCTCTCAAGTGTCGCATCGGTGGCACAAATTGTTAAACGATGATATGTTATGGAAGATCATGTGCGATCGACATGCATGGCGCAGAACATCCGGGGCCTCGAATGATGACGTTGAATCGCTGCATTTACCACAGGCCAGTCAAGGCCCGTATGTTTACAACAATCGATCACCCAAGCGCAACCTAGATGGTTCTATCATTGGCCCGTCTAGCAGTGCGCCAAATCTGTCGCTATTGAACCAAGATCAGGACTCGGCGAGTCCTCGATCCAAGAAAAGACAATCTCATTACTCGCATTTTAGGCACAAGTACATGATTGAGGCCGCCTGGAGGAAAGGCGGTGAGAGCATCATCAAGCATATCACCCCTGACCAAGGGGTGGTGACAAGTCTGCATTTGACAGACAAGTACATCGTTGTGGCCATGGACAACGCCAAAATCCATGTCTTCAACACCGTTGGCGAACATCAAAAGACCCTGAAGGGCCATGTAATGGGCGTCTGGGCTATGGTGCCTTGGGACGATATCCTTGTCAGCGGCGGATGTGACAGGGATGTTCGTGTCTGGGACATGTCCACCGGCAAAAGCATTCACACGCTAAGAGGCCATACCTCGACCGTGAGATGCTTGAAGATGTCTGACGCCAACACAGCAATTTCTGGTTCTAGAGACACGACCCTGCGGGTATGGGACCTCACCACCGGAATGTGCAAAAACGTTCTTGTTGGCCACCAAGCCAGTGTTCGATGTCTGGCCATCCACGGAGACCTGGTAGTTTCGGGCAGTTATGATACCACAGCGCGAATCTGGAGCATTTCCGAGGGTCGATGTCTCCGGACGTTAACTGGCCATTTCAGCCAGATATATGCGATTGCTTTTGACGGCAACCGCATCGCGACTGGAAGTCTCGACACCAGCGTTCGGATCTGGGATCCTAAGACGGGCATGTGTACCGCTATCCTACAAGGACATACATCTCTGGTGGGGCAGCTGCAGATGCGAGGCGATACGCTCGTGACAGGTGGCTCTGACGGATCGGTGCGTGTGTGGTCGTTGCAGACCAACACACCTATCCACCGCTTGGCTGCGCACGATAATAGTGTTACGAGTCTGCAGTTTGATGATCACCGAATTGTAAGTGGCGGTAGTGACGGCAGGGTGAAAATCTGGAGTCTCGAGACAGGCCAGTTGGTGCGCGAGCTCAGTCAACCAGCAGAAGCAGTTTGGAGAGTGGCGTTTGAAGAGGAAAAGGCCGTCATCATGGCCAGCCGGTCCAACCGGACTGTTATGGAGGTGAGTAATATCCATATCCCGGAAACTTTTCGTTGTTGCGAAAACGTTGGTGACTGATAATATGCTACTAGGTTTGGTCTTTTTCACCACCGGAAGAGCCTTGGGAACGAAGGTCAGAGAGTCCGTTGAGCTTACCTGAGCGAATATCCGCTGCAGCACATGATGATAAGGACGATGATGAACGGACAGCGGGGCGTCCAGAGAAGCAGAGCAGCGGCGATGTTGATGCTACTATGAGCGACGTATAGCGATATCGATAGTGATGGCGATACTTTATAATGTGATTCATATCATTGTATATCTCCTATCATCGTATGTTATTTTATGGCATAGAGCCTCGGGCGTTCTGTACAACAAGCATGCTCCTAGTTGTACTAGCATGTGTTCTTCAGCCAGCCCACCCTTGTGCTTCAAAGTGGCAACAACTCTGCGTTTGTCTCGAGCAAGTTAGGTGGTCTGTTCCTCAGAAATATATATTTGGGTTCTATTCCATTTCCATTTTTGCCAACGGAGACTGAGAAAAGCGCAAAAAACAACAACAAAACTGCCAGGTACTTCTCCCCCGACCATTTTTTCGGTTTTTGGCTCTTGTCCCGCAAGACAGACTGCTAGTTACCCATGGGTGGGTAGGAATACTTGCGTTTCAAACGGCTCTGGTCTTGTCTGTTTATAAGTCCCATCTCCCTGTACCCATCCTATCTATCTATTCTGTCTGCAGTTTGACTTTGCCCCTCGTAGCAAAGAAAACACAAAACTGCCCTCGCAACCCCGGGACTGGAAATGGAAAACCTGTGCCGTTTAATTTGCAATGCATCCAAACCAAAGCCGAATCCAAGACTGACAGAGCCGCTACGCTGACTCGCAGGAATGTCCCCTCTCACACACCCTCTCTCCTTCACAAGGCGAGGGAGAAGGAGACCACATAGGACTAATCTGGAGAGGATAAGTGGTCACCATGTCGGAAAGGGTAAGGAAGAAAAAGGGAAAAGCCCGGCGAAGGGCTTATTAGTGGCCGCCGGTGGTGGGTAGACCGAGCCAGACCTTGAAGGAGTCATAGCTGTAATGGTGGATACGAGTTAGCAAGGTCATTTCTGAATTTATGGCATGTGACGATGGGGATAGGGGGAACAGAATACATACATGAGCCATTGGAAGGCAGTCAGCGTTCCAATCATGACGATTCGAACGGGCAGGCCGTTCCAGAGACCCGAGAATCCGATATTGCCGTAGATGCGGCTCATGGCCTTGCCGGCGGATTCACCAGCTAAAAGTAAGACGAGTAAAATGTTAGCACATCCGTTATTGCTCATACATCCGTGGTCAACGCTCCTCTAGAGGGGTTGTTTGCAACTTTACCTTTTCTGTCTGAATTCAGCTTGCTCACCATGACATCGGCCGGATGACTGACGACAGCACAGGCGATACCAGCAATATAGCCGCCAAGGAAGCTGACACCAGTTTGCTGCAGTTTATTGTAGCTCTCCTTTGGCTTGCCCAGCTGCTTGTAGATCAACTTGACAGTCTCCTCGAACGTGGCGAACTTGCACATGGTGTAAGGGATTTGACGGCCCCAGAGCGGCGTGATGCCCTTGTACAGGCCGGCGATTCCTTCCTTGGCCACGACCTTGGACCAGCCTTCACGCAGGGTATGCGCGTACGGCGGGAGCGTGGTCTGCATGCGCACCTTGATGGCTTCCCACGGACATAAGAGTATGTCGGCCAAGAACTCGGCGCTCGCGCTGGCCCCCAGGTACACCAGGGTGCGGTTGCTGTTGGGGAACAGGTTGTCGCCGTACTCATGCTTGAAGATCTCGTAGAACCCGTACTTGCCTAGTCCCTGGAAGCTGTAGCCTACCAACGTTGGGGTCCAGCCGAAGAACACCCCGTGCAGCCCTTCCTTTGCGAATATCGTCCGCCACGCCGTAAAGTTCGACGTGTACATCTTTGGATCGACTTGTCTTCGCGTCTTGACCAGGTCCAGTGGCGTCACCAGCGTGTGCGTGGGACCACATGCGATCACACCCCCGAGCATGCATGAGGCGAAGTATTTTGCCTGTTTGATCGTTGAGACAACACGTCAGTCACCATGTCAGTAACCGCGCACGCATGAACGTTAAAATGGTTCAAATGAGCTTGTATGGTTTTGGTGGAAAGCGAGACGTCATCGAGCTGGCTTGAGGTACATACCGAGTTAGGTTCGATCTTTCCAAATGGATATGATTTGATAGCCCCACCTGAAGGTGGCTTCAGCGAAGAGGAGGCTGTCGATGCCATTTTGTTGCTACTTCCCTTGTTCGGCAGGGCAATGCTCGGAGAGTCGACAAACGCTCACGGGCGAGAAGTCACGGTGAAAAAGAGAGTCAAATCCACTAGCGTCAGGTTCCTGCCGTGCTGCTTGTGCTTTGCGGCTCGAACTCAAGCGCGGTGCAGAACTGGCAATCTTCGAGAAAGTGTTTGGATCACCTTAAAGTATACTCGCTGACTGATGGTTTCGGGATGTTCTGTAAGACGAAAGTAACGTTCTGGGCCGGCGGGACAACAAGGACAGAAAAAGGTGGATATAGAGGTACTGTAGCAGGAAACGAGACTGGCTTGGATCAAAGCGGCCGAATTTACTGCTGAGAGCCAGGACAGCAATCAATTGATATATCGTCGATAGGTAGTGACAGCCAGGAACAGACGATGTGATGCAGTGCCAGTGAGGCTGATAGACACTGCCAGTTGCAGGGCTGCAACTTGAACCGCTGAGACTGCAATCGACGTCAATCCCACCGGCGCCAGCGGAACCTTGACATCATCAACTTGAACTTGAACTAGAACTGAGCTGCGGGAGCTTGAAGCTTGTATCCATTAAGGATCAAGACTTGATCATTTTAGGACTGGCGCACCATCCAGTGTCCCACTGGCAGTGTGTTGTGCAGCGGATGAGTCAGCCAAATCTGCCCGTCTTAGTCATCCTCAGCATATACCCAAAACGATGCCAAAGAACAACGTATCAAGCAGTTTTCTACAATTGTCCGCGAAAGATCTTCCGCTCGAGATCTCGAGATGACCTCCAATTGATGTTACTATCCTCCTAGGGGTTCTGAACTTGGAAACCTGGCGGGACATCATAGATGCCTGCGTCGCTTTCGGGTGGGAACAGTTTATCCCATTCCGCCTACACATCCTGATGTCAGCGGCATCTAACAGCATTGAGAGGAACTTGTTCTTACCCAGTCAATATCCAACATGACAGAATCCCCTCGGGGAAGCGTAGGTGGCACCTGGGGTATGTTGACTTGGTCGTTCGGAAATCCTGATCCGAAACTATAAGGATTCTCATCACTTAGCAAAGCCTGATTTGCTTTCAGTCCCTGTGGCGCCTGCAGTGGCGGAGGAGGGACTGCCGATGCGCTGCCCGAGTCCAGAACTGTACGCCAGCTGGTCTGGTCGGCGCTAATTAGGGGTGGCCACGATTCATTCGTCCCCGAGTCACTCGGGCTGTTGAAATCGAATTGCTGGCTTGGTGAAGCCTGGCTCTGTTGTTGGCGCTGGCCTAACTGTTGGCCCGGCGGAGGCTGAGGCGCTTGCGCTTGCGCTTGAAGCTGGGATTGTGGTGACTGCTGTTGGTTTTGTTGTAGCGATAATGTCTGTTTAGCGTTGATCAGGGCCCTAGGGCCATAATCCGAGAAATATAGGGTTGCAGGCGTGTCGAAGCTCCACGCCTGATCGACACTTTCCTCCTTAATCAACGACGAAGTCTTGGTAGGAGGTACGAAGTCTGGAGTTCGAGCCAGGGCCGCAGAATTACTCCTGCTACTACTGTCATCGCCTAGCCGGTTAGGTACCTCAACCTTGACCTTCATGCTGACAGGCACCCGCATCCGGCGGACATCCAGATAGACCGCAGTCCGATCCCTGATGGTGGATATGATGCTCCTGGCTTTCATCGGCCGTGGCAGCGACAAATCGGGCTCGAAAACAAAGTCAATGATGTTCCAAACCCGCTCTGCGTGGGGCAAATTTGGGTCCTGATAGATGAGGCTGAGTAGCAAGAATGCCATGTGCCATTGTTGGTAGGCACCACTGAACCACCTCCATCTCTTTAACTCCGGGATCTGCTCAAGCGCCATGGCATTTTCCGTTGCTTGGACTGCGCTTTGGACAGTGAGTTGCCGAAGCCGTTCCGGCACTCGGTTGCTGGGATTGTGGAGGTAGCGATGTAGCACCATGACATATAACCTCTGAATGAATAAATTCATCACTGACTGGGCATATTTCTGCAACGGAACACCAACGTCGATGATCGGTGCGTATTTGGCCTCCATAGTCCTGCGGAATGATTCGATTTTCCCCAGAACATGTGTGAGAGACGCCTTTTTCTTCTCCATTCGGATCCGATCGAACCAAATGATCCGTTGCATCTCAACACATTCGAATCGGATTCGCGACATTGTCATATCAGTCCACTGGGTATGGGCTTCTGTAGGGTGAGCCGACAACAAATCGGCGTCGTCGATGTTGAGAGGAAATCTTGTGTCGTAATCCTCTCGTTTGATGCCTGGTCGGGGTCCCTGGCCCTCGCAAGTTCGAAAATCGAGCCAGCAGAGCTCAAACCACACAATCCGGCGAACATGACACTCAATGGGAGACAATCCATAGACCTCTTCGGGGTCGCGATGGAGTCCCATACATTCCGCTAATCGAACAGCCATGCCCACTAGTACTGAATGAGCGCGTGACACCTGGTCTCGACACATGGGAATCAGGTAAACAACTAGAGCCTGTAATGTCTCAAGCTTTGTTGCTCGGAGAAACTGGGCTTTACTCAAGGCGACCTCTGTTCCGGTCTGGAAGCTGCCAAGGATAACGCTTTTGGGCTGTGCGAAGATGGCTGTCACCTCCTCTTCCGCCATGCTAGCCACCGCCGCGAACAGAATCGACAGGACAAAGGATTGTTGCCAGGGTGGGGGCTCGATACCAGCAAGTACAGAGGTCCAAAAGTTGTCATACTGGAGCTGGAAGCTTGGCCAGTGCACGACGCGAGCAAGGAAATGGACGTTATCGTAATAGTTGCGTACCAGTTGATCAGCTGCGGTCTTGGTTGGTAGGAAGTTGATCAGGGATCTTTTGTTTCCAACATCGCCAAACAAGAACCCTGAGCCAGGAGCAATGTATGTAGGTCCGGGTGACAGGAAGTCTTCAGTTTCATCGACCAGTTCAGGCGCCGTGGCCGCATTGTGGTGGACTCCTGCCGATTCTGTGGCAGGATCCTCGAGTTGTTGATTCAGCTACATTGATTGTCAGATCCAGACTTCTTAGGAAATAATCAGGCAAATACCTCCTCATGAATGCGCGGACGAAAGAACCCACCCAGCCGTTCATTCAACCTGGTCAGCGTTAGTCTTACCACCAGGACAGATTCAACAGAACAAAAATTGTTCACCTCATTCTTCCTATCTTCACTCCTAAATCTAGAACGTCATCATTAGTGCTATCTTCATAAGAAGCATCGACTACTGCCAAGGGGGTTGGCTCGAGGCCTTTCTCGTCTTCCGGTACAGCAGCCTCGTTGTCAGAGCTACTTGTTTCACCTCCGGGAAGATCGGCCGATGTCCTCCTCTGGGAATTCGAGGGAGCAGGGCGTCCTTCTTTCCGGGCAATATCTTGCTCGAGGACTTTTTCGAGCGAACCCATCTTTTCCTTGATCTCATTTAGACGCTGTTGAGACACCGAGTCTAGAGCTGGAGCAAGGAAGAGACAATCGCGAGAAGCCCTGCTGCAATTGGTGCATGGGTGCAATTTGTCGCATTTGAGCTTTCGCCGACGGCACTCCAAGCAGGAAGTGATCATGCGATTCCTCCGCCGAACGCGATTCTGGGTCGCAGCCAGGGGCTTTGTTCCTTGGGTGGCATTGGCCCCGGGAGGAGACGCATTCTTGCCAGTGGTGCTGTCCATAATGGTCGCGATCGGCTACCGCTGGCAACAGCGCCCTAATAAAAGCAAGTCCAACAGTCTTGCCAGGTGGTTATGTCACAAGCATCCTTACAGAGACCCAAACCTGGAGGCGGGGAACCGGAGCGGCAATTGCTGGGCTTGGTTCTCGACCTCTGGTAAATCAGCCCTGGCTTCGTACAGAAGAGAACAAGTATGTAGGGTTTATGGTTAGGTGCACGATGGGCGGATGCGGAACAAGTCAGAGGAGCTGTTGGTGGGAGAGAAGTAGAACTGTATTCAACGTAACAGTAGGGGTGGAAATGATTTACAGTGATTCATCGACTTGTTCAAGTTGTATGGGGAACTTGTAAGGTGTAGGGCTGCCTGCGCGGGTTGCACGTGGTGGGGGTTTATTGTTACTACCAATTATTAGCTGAGGGAAAATCCAAGTCGACTCCCAAGTTCATCAGTTCATCACCACGACCGAAATAGAGTTGTAGACTCATATACCTGCCAGTGTACCTGACTACAACGGTACTGTATGTCAGATAATCACGGCCTGCCACAGCCCTATTATAGGCGCGGCCTACCTACAGCATCCAACCTACTACTACGACAGTATTTCTCACAGACGCCGACCCTCCAAGTTCCCACCCCTTCATTGCAACCCCTCTCCGTCTTCGCATAACGGCAAGCATGATTCCAGCAATGATAGTTCGATGTTCAGCCCCCCTCCTACCTCTACAAGAATGAGCGATGTTTGACTCAACAAGCTTCGGCGCGTGCGTGGATCGCAAGGACTTGTCCCGAAGCGGCCATGACTCTACATCAGAAGCTCGACGTGATGATCTGATGCAGCGACAAAAGATCGATCTCTGCCCTACGGGGTGATTGCCCTGTCGCATCTAGGCCCCTCCTCCGAGACGTGGTCGCCATGGCATCCCGAGCCAAAATCAGTCCTCCACGTTCCTGGCGCTAGCTAGCCTCGAGGGTGGGTTTGCAGAAACAAGCAATAGACATACAATTTGACAGAATCTGGACTATAAAGATGGGGTCCAGATGAAGGGTCAGGTGACCAACAAGAGCCGCCTTCTAAGGACTCGGGAGGGTCCAACATGAGAGCAGGGGTCACAATGGCCATCATCAAGCCACCCTAATCAACACTAGACCAACGGGGCCAACTTTGTCTCCCACGTCAACCGCTGCCAATCTCCGCCACCATCTGTCACTCTCGGCGGACGGCTCTCTCATTGCCATAGCGACCTGTCAGGCTTTGACGCCTACTACGTCTTCAAGCCGACATTGCGACTTCGTCCCGAGGCTTCCCAATATTACATTGTATGGTCTTCGTCTTCATCAAGTCCCTCGAATCGTTTCATGTTTACTCTTTCAGCTTCTGTGCCTGCCACGGTGACGGGCCATGTTGTCTATCAGTGTGGCTCCAGTTAGCACTCACCTCCAGTGTAACGAAAGAAATGCGCTTAAGGTTTCCAGACTCTGGCTCTGTACTGTACACAACATGTCTCTCACGAAAATCGGGTTCCCAAGCCCCCATCCGTGCACGGCGACTTGCTGTGACCATCAGTTACGTCGCCCAGGTTCCGGCACAGACGGTCTCAAGGCGCCGTCGAGCGCAGAGGTCATCCCAATGCTGGTGCTTGTTGCCACACACGTATTCAATTCCCCGGTACACCAATTAATGGTCGAGCTTCAATTTCGGAGCACTGAGGCTTGGAACACCGAGTAGTCTGAGCACTGCTCGTACCTGGCCGTTTCGTTGTCACCTTAGAGTTCAGCCTCGTTCTGGACCCGCGTTCAGTAGGTGAGTCTGCTTCGACATGTACCAAGGTCTCTCCCTATGTGGATGATGAGGACTGTGCACCTTGGAGACGATCGTCGGTATTGTTTACTCGCCTCCTTATGGTCATATATTCTTTCTGTTGTTGCTGGCCATTCTTTCGTGCATCCGTATCATACATTTTTCCCTTCGATATTGAACGACCAACAATTCAGCGGCGCGACATCGCCGCACATTCGTTATGAAGCCCTCCTGTCTCATCCTCTCGATATGCCTATGGGCCCTGCAAACCGACCTCTCTTTTGCCTACTGGCGCATGGCTTGCAGCGTTTCGCAAACCGCTAGAATCGACCCCATCCTCAACCCAGGAGGCGTGTCCGGACACGCCCACAAATTCGCCGGCGGAAGCAGTGCGTGCTGTACCTTATGTGGCCTGTACTGCTGCTAATAACGCAGGTGTAAACGAGAATTCTGACCACGACTCTCTCTTGTCTTCAACCTGTTCCTCTTGCGAGGTTCAGAAGGACAAATCCGCATATTGGACCCCCCAGTTATACTTTGCTCATGCCAATGGCGAATTCGAAGAAGTGCCAAATTATGGAATGACAGTGTACTACGTTGGTGAGTATTTCGCAAACCTAACGCGAAGCAAGCTGATTTTAGGACAGGACGCGGCGGAAATACGTCTAACACGGTTCCCTTTCCCAAGGGGTTTAAAATGATCTCTGGAGATACCCGCCAGCGCTCATATGATAACTCGACCTTGACATATTTAGATACACGGCCGGTGGCTGATAGGTTTGTTCCGTTCATAACAATGATACCAAGACGACTACTGACACCAATGCAGGGTGAGTTTCCGCTGCATTAATGAAGCTAATGATATTCCAGAGACGCACTATATCTCGCAAACAAATTGCGTGAACGGTCTGCGAGCCCAACTTAACTTCCAGTCCTGCTGGGACGGTGTCAATAATTACCTGGAGAATTCAGCACATGTTGCTTATCTCTCCGGCATTGACTACGGCGAGTGCCCGCCTACCCATCCCGTCCCTATCCCTGGACTCTTCTTTGAGTGAGTACCTGCGTCTAACCACTCTGCTGTCCTTTCTTACACTTAGTAGGGTGCTCTATTTCCCGAACCTAATTGATCAATCCGCTGGCGGTCAATTCGTGTTCTCTAACGGGGACCCTACCGGCTTTGGTTTTCACGGAGACTTCATGAACGGTTGGGACATGGACGTCCACACCGAAGCAGTGAAAAATTGTTTGTATACAGACAACAACGGAGTAATCAGCGCCTGCTCGTACCTTGCTGAAAGTGACGATGTCAATTTTGCACGCACGTGTCCCGAGCAGGCGTCAGTTCTCGACGAGCCTGTCCATGGAAATCTTACTGCCTTGCCAGGGTGCAACCCCATCACCCCAGGTCCCGGTTTGGCCGAGCAAGTAATTTGCCCAGTCAACTCCCACTCATCCAGCATATCAGGTACAAGCTCCGTTCCTGCTGGTACATCGAGCGCTCTCGAATCCTCGGTGAGCAGCTCAATCATTGTGGCAACATCTTCAATCCAGGCGCCGACCAGCAGTACAACTAGCCTTCCTGCTGCCCTTTCCTCCTCGATATTAACCTCGGCCATTGCATCCAACCCGACGACTTCGACAGCCACAGTATCCAGCTCTCCTGGGTTGTCTATGTCCTCGCTAAACGGACTACCCAGTACAACGTCCACCACAGTATCCAATGAATTGCCGCTCACGACGTCTGCGTCTTCAACAGATGATGCCGCAAGTACAAGTCCCGTCTCGACCGCTACCATTACGTCAAGTATGCCGTCCAGCTCCGAAACAACGCCGACTGGGAGTCTCTCCACAGACGCAGGGTCGACAAACCTATGGGGCCACGGCTGGTTTACTCGATCCGGTTCGGGATGGCCATGGAGGGGAGGCGGTGTTTTTGCGCAGCTGTCTTCGACAACCGATGGGACTCAGGCATCCATCAGCATCTCGTCTACTGAGGCCAGTCAGGATAACACCTCAGGCGCGCCTCAAACCACAACATCTGCAACATCTGCTCCAAGTCTGGCGAACACTGTGGGAGCGGATGGTTTGAGTGCGACCACTTTGCCTGTGGTTACACAAACAGAATTGTTGACGACCACAATCACAGACTGGCTTACCACTACCGTGACGGTGACGGTAGGTGGCAATACCGCTGGTAATTTTGTGGCAATCAGCAGCAGTGCAGATGCCTTGTCAGGTTCTGTAGCGCCAACCACAAAACTGTCTTCAACATTGGCACAGTCTAACACTGCAGTCACGGTTCCCAGCAGCACGGTGGCTGTCCCAACAAGCACCATCACATTGCCAGATGGAGTCACCGACGATGGGGTTCCAAATGTTGTGACAGTGATCACCGTAACCACCGTGATTCCGGGCACAACGATTGTCCAGTCAGGGACTACAGTCTCAATAGACGCGACGACTACCACACAGCCAGTGAGTGTCGTAAGCAGTGCTGGGAACTTTTACACTATCACCGGCAGCACATACACCACATTCTTTTCCTCGGATCCGTCTGCAGCAGTTTCGGCAAGCGGAACCCCGCTGCCGGCAAGCTCGTTCAGCGCTGGGGGTACTTTCTACACAATTACAGGGAGCACAACCACGACATTCCTTTCGGATGATGTAGCAAGCACAATGCCAGGAGGAAGCCTGGCAACTGGGCAACCGAGCACATCTCTCTCTGATGGTATCACCTATCCTACCACAGGAAGTGCATATACAACTGCTCCAGTCACCGGAGGGCTAAGCTCTTCAACAGAGCCGACAACAACAACAACCGTTCTCACCACGACCACATTCTTTGTAACGGTGACCCCAACAAGCACCCGCACAGTGAGCACCTTGTCCACACAACCGACCGCTCCTTCGAACAGCACTTTTATCACAGTCACCAGTGCAACAGCTGGAGAAGTTGCCAGCAGCAGCAACAACAGTGCCCTTGCCCCATCAAGTGCAACCTTCAACGTTGCACTTTCGTCTGTCGCCAGTTTATCCGACGATGTAGCGACCGCGTTCGTCACTTTGACCGAACCCATCACAGAGGAGACCACTTCCACAGTCGATACGACCCTGACTCTCTCCACGGCACCGTCGAACACAACATTCTTTACGATCAGGGGCCGTGAGGTAACGTATACCGGGAATTGAAACAACTCACTCTTGCAGCAGGGAAATTTTTATTCGACATGAATCAGCATTACTAACGACAGGAAATATTTGAGTTTGACTAATTTACAGGAACTTTTGATCAGGACGGAGGGAATGGCAAAACATTGTAGCACCACCGACATAGAACGATACCCACGGCATATAGTTGATCGAGCAACGACGACTCGAACAAGGCGGACAGCAGAATAGGGCAACGAGGGAGCAGGAGTGATATATTGATGACTCAGGGAACAACCACCATTGGGGTGGATTAAGGGAAAACTGGTGGTATTAATTTATGGACTTTATGTACGATATTGCTAGGGGGAAATAATAAGCGTTCCACAACAGCTTTTGAGAGTCATGCGTGTGCCTATCTTATGGTGTACCCATAGTAATAAACGGTGCTTAATGAGTAGTCGGTCTGCCAGGCAAGCAGATACAAGGCTCTCTGAGTTGACGAGGCTGCGCAGACAAGGCTGTGTGCCAATCGGTGCCAAGGCTGGCCCAATCAGTACGTCGTGATTAGAACCAACTGCGGACTGGCAGAACCGCTCTGACGCCGCGTTTAAGCTCCATTCAAATGATCACAGTTTACAACGCCGCTTGATAGGTTTGAGTGCCCATTCGATACCGGGGCTTGTAAGCCTCAGCAGATATAGTACGGCCTGCAAACCTGAGCGCCGTACTACCGCCAGCGCGATCGTCCCAATGCTATGAATCAAGGCTTCAGTGCAGCAAGCTGCATCTCCCACCAGTCCCCTCGATTCGTTTGGATATCGGACGCTCTACTTGCCGACACTTTCAGCAGGTTCTGCCATCATAAACGCTATGGCAGCAGCATTCCCGGTCCGTTGGAGGCTCAGCGCCGAGCCACGAAACGGAAGAACACGAGCCTGGCGCACTACGGCGAAGGAATCGCCTCCGTGGATCCCTCGGTGGTTCTAGGGAAGACTGCAAAGATAAACTGGTGGCAGACTCCGGCCAATGTGGAACGAGAACGCAGTAGACAGCCATCGGGGCACGATTTTGCATTTTCTCGCACCGATCCTCCCGGCGGCTCTCGCCTGCTGCCCTCATGGCTTTTTTCAGAGCCTGATCAAGCTGGACAACACACGCAAACTACGGACTTTGGCGTCGGCAGAAACAAAGGTTCAAGAGGAAGCACACGGCGGTCAAGGCGAGGGCACGAAGAAGAGCGGGTGGCACAATGCCAGAGTTTGGCCGAAATCCAGGATTTGTTGACAGAGCATGGGATCAACCCTCGCAAAAACAAAGAACTGGGCCAAGCCATATCGCGGCACATTTTGGGGTTTTCCGTTCCTGATATTGAGGCTTACCTTTGTGATCCGGTCTTTCATCCGCCTGGGACCTCCTTCCATTTGCAAATGCTTCCTTGTTTGCTGTCTCGCAAGTGGGGTTTTCAATCTTGGCATGCTATTCGGGATTCATTTTGTAAAGCGGCTGAACTGGGCCTGGTCAGCATCATGGACTTGCGAGCCATCGTTATGCAAGTGGCCGATGCAGGTCCGATGACTCTCGTCAAGGAAGACGGGAGGATTCAGATCGTCAAGTCCGCGGAGAAGGAACGGTTCATCTACCGGATCTTGATGTCCTTGTCGAATTCTCGAGTCATAGAACTCGACAACCTTGGCCACGAGTTCCTCTCAGGATTGATGAGAAAGATGGGACGATCTAGAAGACTCACTTCTACGTCGCAACAGATCCTTTGGAAGCTCTCTAGATGGGCCTCTGCCCGGGATGCTCCTCTGATCAGCCGGCTCATCATCCTGTACCTCCGGACGAAGTGTCGGGACGAGACTGGTGAAGAGACAGGACAGAAGCTTGCTGAGCGTCTTGCGACCATTGACACATCTGTTCTGCAACTGGCCCTGTTACAGACCACAGAGGAGTTGGTTCGTTTGGCGCAAGAAGACAGGACATCGACTTATGTGTATCTCTTTTATCACTGGACTGGGACACTAGCCTTACTGGGGTCGAGGAGCGGGATCCTTGAATTCTCGCACGACCTATGGGCGTCCCATTCCTCCAGCACAGGTAGTCTTAGCGCAGAGCAACGCTTCCTAGCACTTGCATGGACCTTCCTGGCTCTTGGGAAGAGGCAGCGAGCGTCACCCGCTCTCTCAAAAAGGCTGGCTTTCCTTGAGCTATTCGAGACCACTTTGGAGCCCATACCACAACTGGCCACTCGCGAATTTCTTGACCGAGCCATCCTTGCTATCCGCAACACACCTCTCCCGAACAGACACATACTACTGCATCACCTCTCGCGCCTTGGTGACGGCACTCCTGTGGTGGCAGGAACACACCCAGTTGGCCTCTCTGACGTGGACGGATTCCATGGCCAGACCTTTTCCCTGTTCCTCGACCACGACCTCTACCAGCACGCTCGACTGAACTACACCGATGTGCTTGCAGAGCTGGCCGAGTCATTGAACCAAGATCTTTCTCTGTTCAAGGCACTGTCGCGGAGAATGATATTCAAGAACCCGCGCTCATTCGAGATCATTTCCCGACTTTTGGAAAACAACATAGCTCTCAAAATAGCGCTTTCTCAAGCATTTATCCCTCTTCAAAACGACGCAACACAACAATTCCTCATCCCGACTCAGACCCGCACTATGGAAAACACTCATTCCTCTGCCTCCAAAAGAAACCCCCAAGATGGAACTAGAAGAAGCAGCCTCACTCAAGAAAGGCAGCCAAAAGGCAGCAGCAGCTCACCTCTTTCGGCGCCGGATTCCACATCTGATTTTGTTGCCACGTACCCCTCACCACACGAAGCTTTGGATCTGGTCAACCATCTCGCCGTCTCGTTTGCAACCTCGCCAGTGACGAGTGCGCGAGCAGCCCTCCGTCGCGTCTACTGGTGCTACACCTTCCTACACCGCTACGGCGGGCCCGTACGTCCGACCGTCACCAGAGCCCTATGGCATGTGGGCGTGACGCGCTACGGGGATTCGGGGACATCGCGCACCCTGCTGCAGTGGATCCTGTCGCTGATTAGACGCACCGAAGGCGAAGATGTGGCCCGCCATCTGCTCTGGAGTCAATCGTTACGCGAGCAATGGCGACGAGAAATCGAAGAGCTTGCGGCAGCCAAGGACGACCAGAAGGCCGATTGTACGGGAAAGGACGAGAAACAACAACAACGACTTTTGCCCGTGGAAGGATTGGGCGAACTCTCCACGGATACCACCATTGAGACAACTACAGAGTCGAAGAAAGACCTAGACACCGCGTCCAGAGAAGGAGACCTTTCCTCGGCCGCAGCTGGAATTACAGCTGGAGGTGGAGCCGGGGACGACACATCCATCTTAGCAGCGAGTCTGGACACGCTGCGGAAAATCCGCTTCGTCAAGACCGAGCCCCAAGAACTGCCCTTTTTCTTTGAAAAGTCCACCAGACGAGCGGACTGGGAAGCAATGACACAGGCTATGGATCAATGTAATTCCCAATCTGAAGGACGGGGCGGGTCGCCATTAGTAACCAGGGATCAGCCGGAGCAATCAAAATGATGTGCTTACAGTGGGGCAATACTGCTCATCTGAAGCACAATAATATTGATATTGAAGATCCAGGGAAACAACTGAGCTACAAAGCAGAGCCCATAGATGGTATTATATATACAATCAAGACAGGACACCTTTTGTCGGTTACGGATATCGATAAACGTCTTCTGAAAGGGAATGCATATGGGAGGCTCCCGCAACGTAACGTGGGTTCAGGCCGTCCAAGCGCTTGCAGCACACTGCCAGGCTACATATATGCTGGCATCTCTCCGGTCATGACCACGGCCTACTAGTAGCAATAGCCACCCAAGTAGAAGAGCAAAGAAATCCCGCCTGAGTGGTGACAGGCGAAGAATTGAAACAGGACAACAACGGATGACGGATGTGCAACAGACAGGTCGGGCCAAGTATTGTAGGTGTTGTAAGAAATGTGCTACAGTATGTCCCTATATGTCCAACGGGAAGCGACTGTGTCCGAAGGATCCACATCTCCGTTAGTAGTACCCTTGCCTACCTATGTGCATGTTCCTGGTACGACCGGCTCGGGGGCTTGCCACTGTGTGCTCATTTTTCGAGTTAGAAGACCAGCAGCACTCACCACAAAGCTGGGCTGGGTTCGGCGAAGAATAAAATTATTCTTTTCTTGAGAGGCACCACGCGCTGATATCGTGATTGTCCTACTTTGCTTCGGCCGGCGCCCTTTTCTTGCAGATCGATGAGTAGTAGTATGGATGATCTCCTTGCATCACGACCAGATTGATATGATAGCAGAAGTTTTGATGGTGACCACCAGTATTCCCATGTTAACTCCGGCCGAGGTTGGGACGTCGACCGACGCTGGGATTTGGATTCTGAGGCTTGCCGCCAAGGGCCCCCTCCTGGCGAAGGAAGGAAGGCAGGGCAGCCAACTATGTCGGAGAACGGTAAGCTGTGTCGAGGGCCTATGGAGTGAGTAGTAACACTGTCAGCAAGAGGCAGGGTATTGAGTGTCCGAGATCACAATCCAATGTTGGATGGCGTCTCACACGAGCAGTGCCGTACAGTGCATGCGTGGAATGCCTTTCTTACAATATCGCGAGCACCAGTCAACTTTGCCGCCCGTCCGGGGTAAAACAGAACCTCGCGTAGCTGATATTGGGGGCTGGGAGGCAAAAAACCTCGACCCGGCAGTTCGCGGCCATGGATGGTGAGTTGGCGAGGTTCAGGTCTTGTAAGCGTCAAAAATCTGACCATATTAAGCCGACACTGCAGGGCGGCGAAATGCAGTAAGGGCGGACAAGATTCCAGCAGGAATCCCTTCATTGGAGTCCAGAGGAGAAACCGCAGCGGTGGTACTGTCTCCTAGCCTAGTTGCGGGATCTAGATCTGTGGGTTATGTTACACCACATCCTTGGTTGTGCGCAAGCCTCGATTGACACGTTCGCTTGTTTTCAGGTAGATCGACCGGTTCAAGCCTCACTTTCAGCGATCTGCCGGTCCCTGCGGCAGAAGGCGACGTGCTGTGGTAAAGCGCATAAGAACCGGCTACGAGTGGTGGATCTCCCTTGCATTCCACGCATCTTCTGTCCAGTCCAATTCATGGACAGAACAAGCATTTTTTCAGGCGAGGGGGCCATTGTCCGCACAAGGCGCGGAGGTCAAATAGAGCACCTGTCATTGCGGTAAGGGGTAAAATGAGCAGCAATAGAACAAACAACGGTCCGTCTACTGCGTCCAAGTGCTGACTTGGCTTACGGGGTTTGACGCCAAAGCCATTCCAGAGGAAGAAGAACAAGGCAGGTGTGAGGTTAGCAAGGGAGCGACGATATGTAGAATGTCCCGGCTGGTAGCTCAATTCCGGATTGATTCGCATAACTTAATACGGCCACCACTTGTATAAGCATGCTGCAACACTTATCCTCTCAATGAAAGATCTGTATGTCTTGCTTAACGGCCGATCGTGGTCGAAGATGCGGTGTGGGCAAATAAAGACCCACGTGGTGCGTAGGGCTCCAGGCCTGATATGCCGTTCTCCCAGCTGGACATTCAGAAGACGTTGTGGCAGGCATTATTGACAGAGGCATGTTCCTGTGTCCCTGGGATCTTCCGCCAACAGGCGGATGAACGCTCAAAGCTATTTGTGACCGATGCGGCGACAGGTGGGATTGGGAGAAACCCGGTCATGCTGCAGGTAGAGGATGAGCGAGAGACATGTCAAGGACGGCCACGTTTTCGACGCTTTCATGTCGAGAAGGATTATGAATCAGCCACTCAATATCCTCTGGTGCAAAAACGTCTTGACCTCAACGTGTTGGCCAGCTTTAGATCTTGAGGTGCTTGAACATGGGTTTGCCAAGGAATGTATTGGACCGGGGCGGAGGCCGACTTCATCCTTTCACCCGCAACCAGCAGATAGGAAGACACAAGTGTACCTGGTCTCAGGAAAGAATGATACTGGTGCTGGTGACCTTGGATTGACGTAGCGAAGCCGCACTCTCAAGTGATAATGTTCGCCCAACAGATAATCATCATACCACGAGGCGATCTGCTAAGCTACTCAATCCACCCAGATCAACCGTTGCCGGATGCATTGATGGCGTGAATATGCAAGGGGCCTGATAGTCTCGTAACGAGGGATGTGGCTCGAGGCGGTCAAGAAGGACATCGACAAAAGTGACCAGTCAGGTGGAAGGCAAGAAACGCAGGGCACACCCTGGACACATCAAGCTGGCGTGACACTGGCCGTCATGCCGTACTAGACGACTGTCCTTAGAGGTAGAACAATGGTTGGACGAGGTTGGGCGTTGGCCACAGTCGACGCACGGAATCTCGGTACGGATAGGCAATCGATCTGACAAGGGTTGACACCTCACGGGGAGTGGGGGAAGAGAAAGGCAATCACTTTCCTGTGACACCGGCAAAACAGATGACAAACAGGTGTTCCTGAGGAAGTGAAGGCGACGCCGTGCTCTGGCACTCGAAATGGCGGGATAGATGGCCATGGACGAGAAAGTGGCAGTGGTCAGGACAGGCGACGTTGCAGCCGCAGGCGAGATATGCCACTCAGCTTATTAGTCTGGCAGTTGCAGTGCCGGTGAGTGACCCGACGATGTGGTCGGAACCGGCAGGCAGCAGCCCACTAAATAATGTTGCTAACCGAATGGCGGAATAGGCCCCTAGATCCTGATTCCTTAGCCCTTGCTAGGTTCTTCGGTACTAGTACGTAAGGCGGCACGTACGCATTGGTGCTATGTCACACCCCGTCGCCTACCTACCTAGGTAGGTATCGTACAAGATTTACCTGGTACAACTAGGTCCTGTACGTACAGCCGGGAGTAGTACCAGCCAGGCCTGGCAGCACCAGCTGTCCACCTGACCAGAAAAGGGTTTGCTAAAGGCTGAACATCCATGCAACTTGAACAACGGTTATTACAATCAATCACAGGTGCCAATGAAGCCGCGGGTTATTTCTGCGCACGTGCAACGAGCTAAAATGCAAGGTCAAAAAGTGGTTCATTGGACGGGTGCACAATGCGGCTGTCACCGTGACTAGTTTGTCGGCAAGTCTGACAGGAGCGAGACTCGAAAGTTAAAGGGCCGCTGGCGATTTAGACGCAAGAACCTGGAGGGCCGGAAGGGCAGACGACTAACAGACAGGAACGGCGAGCGTTGACCCCATGTTCGGAAAATGGACACCACGGAGACAGGGGATCGGCAGACTTCAGCTCTGGACTACATTTTGTAGTACCTTCCTAGGCTTCCGGGATCATCGGTGAAAGGCCAAGGGCAACTAGGCAAGGGGGAAGAAAGTCACCGGGGCCTGAAAGACAGGTCGACAGCGACCCGAAGGTGCCGCCACAGCTTGAGAGCAGCTGCTTTGGTATGTGATTCAGATCGCAAGAACGGTCAGGATATGAGGCGGGATGTTTTGTGATTCGAGTCATTGACTTATTGGCCGGCTGGTAGACAAGAGTAGCACCTGCGCACCAAACAGAACGCACCACACCGCACCAACAGGACACACACTCCACGCCTCGGGGAGGGTTGGGTAACGGGTACGGCAAGAGGACGCCCACCGCAGTACTAGCACCGCCTTGAACACCTTAATATTCTCGCCTGCCACGGATGTATTTCTGGACCACTTCGAATTCCGATGACCGCAGCCCATAGCACGCCACACTAACAAGCTTTTTTTGGTTGTCCACCCACGTCCCAGGGGCTGCAGTGGCAGTCTATGCCGCTGTTGTTTTGCCGGTCGACTCAAAAGAACTACCATCGGTTACCTAGCGCGACATGAAGCCAACAAGCAAAATCTGGGGTATGTGCTAGGTGACTAGGAGCAGTCACCTTAGCAAACTGTCAAGTCACGGGTGTTGACGTGAGATTCCGGAAGACAAGACCGCATTTCGAATTTCAAGATGGACGCCGCGGTTGACCAGCTCCACCCGACAGGATTAGAACGGCTGCGAGGTGCATATGGCGATTGGTCGTCGGTCGATTAAGGTATCTGCTAGTATGAGAGGCGTTTGTAGGTGGCGCGCTTACAATCTCGATGAACGCCTGGCAGGGGCCAATGCTTGGTCGGCAGCAGAAAACTTCGGAACGAGGTGTTGCATACATCCTTCCAGTGCAGTGCAGTAGTACTTAGTTCACATTTTTCCTACCACCTCATGGGCATTGATTGACTACCTAGGTACGGCATGGGTATGTAGGCACGCAGGTCTTTCATGGACGAACATTGACCCTCGAAAGAATGCTGTAACCTGCGAAATCACAGGTTCCTGTGACCCTGAGGATCTTACCTATAACCTCCAAGGTCAACTTGTACGATCAACAGCACCTCCTCCGATATTGTGGCAGAAGAACATGGTACGATCCGAACAGCTACCTGAGATAGGGCAAACACTCGGCCGCCCCATGCACTCCAACTAGTCCTGGCAAACTTGAAGCACTACTAGTAGACACCTCGTACTAGCTAAGGTAAGGGAGGTACATTGTAGGCAAGGTAGGTACTTAGCGGCCCACCACTGCGCTGGCATCAAGGATGATATTTAACTAGCGCTCTTGGGCTGAACGTCATTGTCCTCACCCCGGCAAGTCTTCGGTCCCTCTTTTTCTGTCTGGTTGCTAGTCCCAGATTCTATCCGTCTGACAGTCTCCGGGCGAATATGACATTTGCCAGAAGCCGCCGGTCAAGTAGACAGTGAAATGGCTCGGTTTGGTGTAAGCCTCGTACAGTGTGCTTCCAGTGCGATGAAAACCGAGAGAAACAGCATACAGGAGCAAATTATTGTGCTCAAATTTGATGACTCGTCCTTCCGTGTCTTTACCGGCCGTGGGACTTGGGCCTGGGGCCTTCAAAGTTGGGTCTCTCAGACATCGGCCTGGGCTGCTAGGACTACATTAATGGTACTAACTTTATCGGTGTTTGCAACCATAGCAAATGCATCCGAGACGCGGCCACCTCATTACCTAAGTTGTTGATGCTAAGGTAATTGCTGTGATTGTTGTGCGTGCCTTGTAGGAATTTCATGGTAGCGTGGCTTGGCCGAGAGGGATTGCCAGTCACGGTGGGCTACGACGCAGTGCAGTGCCGGTGCAGTGGTGCTGCCAGTGGCCCACGCCGCCGACTGCAATAATGCTGTGCAGCAGTGCAATACTAGTAGTACGCTAGTACTAGTACTACTAGTGGAACTGGGACTAGTAGTGGAAGTGGCAGTATACTGCGACCATTGGCACTGCGTACCAAGCAGTTCTGCCCTTTGCTGCTGTTGCTGCTGCGCTGCGCTGCATCGGCCAACTCGAGCACTGGCAACAAGGCATCACAATGACGGCCCGTGGCACCGACTCATCTTTATCCCTTCCACTCCACCGGCAAAACTCCTTCTTGGGCCCGCCAAATACGTATCCTCCAGGTTCTCTGTCCGATCGGATCTCGTCCACGCTGACTGCAAGGTAACGCGCAGGATGGTGGCGGCGAGGCCCCTGGCGCCATGGCTCGAAATTAAACTTCGCTGACAGACACACACTGCTCGGCACTGCAGCATCTCGCCTTTCCACCGCTTTCAGTTCGTGACGGGCGGCAGAATCCTCCCGCAACCTGTCAGCGAACTCGCCTGTTCTCCTTGGTCACCCACCTGTCAGTGGGTGCTTGTCAGTTCGCCCGGTCCACTTCCTCCCTTACAGAACTGTCACCTCGACAGAGGGGACGGTCGAGGTGGTGGACCGTCGTTGACCCAATACCGTTTGGCCTTCAGTGAGGCCACCATCTTCCGAGTCCACCCTTGCGCTGTCCACTCGGATGTCGCCATGATTGACTCGCTTTTGCCAGATGCTTTGTCGGCAGGATCGAGTACGGATGGATACTCCTAGCCCTCAACGCCTCCAGCGCCTCCTAAGCCCAGCCAGCCTCTCGAGATTGGCCCGTGATGCCTCGCTCCAATCGACGTCCAACGTTCCGCCGCCTAGGTCGATTCCATGACCATATTTTCCATTGCTACAGCACAGTTGTGTATTCCCATGGACGAACTGGAGCTTGTTGCAACGGTCCGGCCTCCACCTCATTGCTATGTCTGCGTCCGAGCGCTCCTGAGCCGCAGGCTACGAGTTTGGCGTCCCTCTCTCGATCTTATTAGGTGCCCAGCCTCATACCTGCCCGCAACCCATGACCGCCTATCCCTCGATAAGACATGCCTCACATCATACACCACATCAAACTGTTCCTCGCTGCACGGTACGGAGATTTGATTCGCCTTTGTACTCCATGGGCGTCGGCTAGGGTGTTGTGTCGACATCATCTAGCCTAGCCTCCTCTCAGGCCGGCACCCACTTATTACTCGATCGACAAACCCTGCCCCGGGAGCCACGTCCTAGGGGCCTCAATTCCCTGGTTCTGGCTTTTGCTGGCCGACCCATGCCAGTGCTTACCCCTGTTGTTCCACAAGAAACCCTACCCGTGCACCCGATACATCAGCGGGCTCCCAAAACCAACACATACTACACCGATTCAAATCCAACTCCACCGTCAAAACACGCCACTCACGCGCCGCAATAAACCTAAAGACCCAATGTTGAACTGGTTTCCTATATCTCAGATCACGAGTCCTTCTCCCGACCGAGCTGGCTCATTTTTCGCTTCTCTTGTCTCGTGGAGAGGACCCTCTGTTTATTTCCGTTGAGCACCACCCATCTTGTTATTAGGCAGATTGTCCCAAATTTGTATCGCTAAGTCTTAGAACGAAGAGCGATCTTTTGCTGTTGAGCTACCTGGTAAGTGACATCTCCATCTTTTTTCTCCCCAAATCACTTCTTTTTCTCCCGGCCGGGCGGATACCATTCGACTGTCGACGATGCCATGTCATGGCTGTCATGCACGCTTTTTGGCACCGATCTTCTGAAGCATGCATCAGTGGCATTTCGGTCCTGCACCCTTCTTTTCCAACTTTCATCGTGCTTGTCGTAGCACAGGACCCCGTGGCTCTAAAGCAGCTCATCCTGGTCTGACACAAACGACTACTCCCTGCCTTAACTTTTTCCTCTTCTCGACATTGACGAGTGCTCTCGTATCCCAGATCTTGTCTATTCTTCATTTCATGCCTTATGGATCCTTACGCTTCTTTTAACTGCCCCTCTGACCTCGAGCATACAAGACCGGCGCGCTCAGATCCACTCTTGGGATCTTCCCAAGTTCTCCTTGCACAGCAGCAGCAGCAACAGCAACAGCAACAGCAACAATTGCCACCTTTTCGAGAGGTAATTGATTCTCGCAAAACATGAACCCAGTTCTAGAGTAGATTTCTAACCCGAATTAGATCCTAGGAACTCGCTACCCTTCTACATCAGAGTCGGCGCCCTCAGGCGGCCCCATTGTCTATCTTCAACCAAGTAATATGACCAAAGGGACTTTCCATCCGCCCTCAGTAGCCTCGAGATCAGATCCACCGTCACCAGAGCACTCCCAAACCGGGAACAGCGTCGAAGCCTTCGACAATATGTCTGCACGCAGCGTCGAATCCGTGTACCCCGTGCCTCATCACCAGCGGCGTAGCTCGTCCTGGAATTCGACGTCGCAATACCCGGAGATGGTCGGCCCATATACCGCTCAGCCGCGTGCCCAGTACCCTTCTCAGCCCTCTTTCCCGCCTTCCAGAGCGAGTCCCAGTCTACCACCAATTCGGGACATCGGCGGTTATGATTCGCAGTACCCGCCTCCAACGAGCACCTATCCTCAGACATACACAAACCCGCCCGGGGTTGTGAACCATGGAACTCAGGAGGCTTACTCCTACCCAGCAGACCGGTCAGCTTATTATGATTCTGTCAATCGCTATGGACAAGGTTACCCACCCACAACTCGCCCAGCTGTTCCGCAGATGGATTATGCGAGATATGCTCCTTCTCCCTACGATTACCGGGCTGGGGTAGCGTACCCATCACCATACGGGACAGTGGACTACGCCTCAAGCCAGAACACGGTACATCATCCAACCTCTCCCACTGTTGGCGCGGAGACAGATACACGCAACAGGAGACGGAGAGGGAATTTACCAAGGCAGATTACGGATATCTTACGTGCTTGGTTCCACGAGCATCTGGACCATCCATACCCAACCGAAGAGGACAAACAGGCCTTCATGGCCAGAACTGGCCTCACTATTGCACAGGTATGCCTTTCTCACCGTGTGTGACAGAGGTTATGACTTACTGATGTACGTCTACAGATTAGCAATTGGTTCATTAATGCAAGAAGGCGCCAATTGCCTGACTTGCGGCATGCTCGCGACAGGGGCGCACTGAACTCGGGGGGTGACTATGACCCCGATCAGGCACGGCGGCAGCAGCAACACCAAGCGGAGTCTGCTTTGAGATGATGACCCAAGAGGATCCTGCCTCCAGTTCTCCTGGAAACTCTAATTGTCAATTTTTCTTTGGAGATGGACGACTGCTTTCGAGTTCTTAAGCGGGCACAATGTTCTGCATTTCGGGCGCCTCTCACTTGATGTCTGGGATTACCAGCAATTGCTTCAATGCTGCCAAACTGACGGCAGCTTCTTTTGGGCTGGGACATGATCAAGCAAACGAATGACGTGTAACGATGGTTCAAGATCGCTTTTGACATGGCTGCGTTGAGGCCACAGACCTGTCTAGTAATGAGAAAGATGCATTTGTGGGATATCCTCTTGGATTAGCTTCTCGGTCTCCTTGGGTGACTTCAGTCCGGATAGGCCCGTTTCTTGTCAATAATATCCACTACTATATTACGAGACACGACAGAAAAGGCGGTCGATCCACCGGCGCAGGGGCTGTGGGCGTGCGACCAGCAGATGAAGTAAGTTGGCAGGTGACAACTGGAGTCACGTCCCTCGGTCGCTTGAGCTCCCACGCGTGTCTCCAGGTCTGTCGTGCTGGTTTGTTGCTGGCTTGTGCACTTGAGGGTGGCTACTAGTACTACTTGCCGGGTCTCTGTAAGCAAATCTGAATATTGGCAGGCATACAACATGTGGTTGATGACTGGCAGCTGCAAAATGCGACATTATTAGTACTACCACATCAAAGTGGTACTGAGGAGATACCTTATGTTGTATTCACTCAGTGGGCTGGTTACGTTGACGGCCATTCAAGTTATACTACGAATTGACAAGAAAGTCGCGCACCAAAGCCTTATACACGGCACGAGGTGTCGATAGTAGTAGAGGGGTTGATTTTGGTACGGTTCGATCTGAACTTGAATTTGTCGACCTCTGCCACGCGTATTTTGTCGGCCTGACGAAGTAGAATGAGTCCCGATCACGGTGGCTGTAAGTAGTAGTGCGAGTAGGAAGAAGTTCCAGTTGTCCGCTGCTCATCGCCATCTGCCAATGGCACCGCTCTGAAGCCGTCAACTTGAAGCTAATTGATCCAGCAGTTAGGCGGAAGTATTTTCCTTCGGCAAGTCATGGCGGCGACGATGAGGGAGTCCAAAGACTTCTAGGCAGGCTTATCACTCCTTCTAGTGGCTAGGAGCTAATTACTGTTCCCTCCCGCAGCAGGGGAGCTGGCTGGGTCGCCCTCAAAACAGATTCGAGAGCTAATAAAAAGCAGCTCATCGCGCTGGGGGCCGGTGCTGTTAGTCCTGCAACCGTCAGTATCCGGCATATTTCTAGCACACCACGGCAATAATGAACGAGAACCGTGGCCAAAGGCACGCCGTCATTCAGACCAGCCGCCCTAGGGCCTACCACTGTCATGCCTGCTGCATTCCTGCCCAACTTCAGCTCTGTCGGGAGCAGTGTCAAGTAGCAATACGGTTGACCGATCGTCATGCTTCACCACACCGGTCGGCGATATACTTTGACCATCATCGCGAACGAAGACCACTTATCCGCGAACTCTCGTCACATCATCAGCCCGCTGCCAAGGGAACTGAACAACAGGGGGCGAATGACTTGGGCAAGAGATGCACGGATAGTACGGGCTCGCACTGAAATGATTGAAACTCTATTCGGTCTACGGACAATAGATCCATCAAGCCAGAGAAACAGCAACCGGCGACTCGCCAAACCTGGGGCAATGGTGTCCATCATGCAGTGCCCGGGCTCAAGTAAGAGGCCTAGCTAAACGCCATTCAATGCATAGTACTGCTGCTGGGACAACGGTGCGATCCCCGCTGGGCTACGCATGAGCAAGGCCCATCCGAGTCGGGGGCATCTATCGGGAGCTGGCCTTCTACCCACGGCGGCTAAACAATCTTGCACTGTCCTGAAGTCCTGTGAACAACGACAGAACATTCTGCGCCGATGAAGTTCTCAGGTTCATCGTGTTCAGGTTGTAGTATGCTTTCCTAAACAACCTCTCTCACTCATATGAAGCACTGCGACGAGGCCTTATACATAGCTTGCAAAAAGCCCCGTATAAGGCCCGTAAAAAACTAAAGAAAACTAACATTTGAGCCTGGCCATGGCCCTCGTGTACTACTGACCTATCTATCAACAGAAATTTCAACTGTCCGGCTCAGTACTCAGGCTGTCTGTGAGTGAGCGAGGAAAGGGCGACCCTCGCAGCCACCCAAACTCATTATTGGCGAGAGGATTTGCTCTCACCAGAAGCTCAAAAAGTCTTCTCGCCACTGATGCCAGAGTCAGGAGCGTTTCTTGTGGGTTTTCTGGTGGAGATATGTCAGTCTGCGCCCCGGATTGTTTACTTGGTGGCACCCTTCGGTAGCATCCACTCGATCATGATTTCAGACCGATCGTACCTTTCACAAAGAGTGCAGAGCAGCCCTAGGCCCTGGAAAATGATTGATTGCGGGCTCCAAAGCCCCCGTGGCTGTAGCTGCCACTTGAAAATCCTTCGACGCACAATCCCAGCCCCTTCTTGGAGTCGACAGCGGCTGTTCCTGAGCTGGCAGTGGGCAACAAGGTATCACCCCTAAAACAGAAGCAACTAAAAACCATCTCTTACTTCCTGGCTCTGCATCATTCAGCATGCTTCCCATACGCAGCAGAGCATTTAAACGGTCCAGGGGTTGAAAGCCGGCCCTGGGACGAGGAGGCTGGTAACGCTCCAAGCGGCGCCCATGGCTTCGCAGTGAGCCACCCAACTACTAGGTACATGATACATGGAAGCCAAGTGATAACCGGAAGCCTCCAGAGACTCTTTCGTCATGGTCAAGTTGAGGTCATAGCCCAGGATGTCACGACACCAGTCGTGTGAGGAGGATGGAGCCTCTTTCCTCCACCCACCGGCTGAAGCTCGACAGGCTTGAAGGCCATCATGATCTCTAAGCGAGAAACCTATACGCGGCTAAAGATGCAATATATGTGGAGATGGCACAGCAGTGGCTCCCACTACATCGCCCTCAGCTTGTAACCACTTGTTCGATTCCCATCATGGGTCACTGTCGCATCTGCCAAGCTCTTCCTCAAGGAGCAGCCATCAACATCACGAAATCTTGAAAACAGTTATGTTGGCTTGAGCCATATCAGACCTAACGTATCTCCTTTGCATATAGGAGGGGTTTCTGCCAAAAGATCCTGAAGACGCTCTTTCTACCTTCAGGGACCGCCCGGGCATTGACACTTGCGGGTCCGAAATTACCATGAACGGGTGCATCGTCTCGAAAACGCTGTTTGGCGCTTTCTTTATCCATGGCGTCCATGCTATGCCTTAGATTTATGCAAGCAGCGTGGCTAAGCGCTTTCACCCTTCATCGTCCAACCTTAAATCTTCTGTCGAGCCCCACGCCTGGATTTACGATCTGCATGAACCTGTGCAGCGTTGCTGCTCGAGGAGAACTGTGCCATGAACATCTCATAGCACAGTACATGCAGTGCCCAGAGATACCAATCTCAAAAGAATCAAGTGGTTGATCCGGGTAGCTACAAATTTCATTATACCCAGGATACTTCATCAGAAGGTAATGCTTTTGAAAGACCGAGTACCAGGACAGCAAAAGCATGGGGCATTTACGGACTTGTTTCGCGCTGTGGACATGATTCTTCCACGCTTCGAACTCTGGTTGTCCTGCTAGGCCTGTGGGTGATCCACGCTGTTGGGGATCCACCGTCGCTCAGGTTGAGAGGTCTGTCGATACGTACTAGTACAGATGGAACTTTCGACTGTATGTGGCGATGGTTGGGGCATATTACGTGTGGTCTCGTCGTCTGCTCAGACTACTCTAGGCCAGTGCAGGACCCGGCCAACTCTATACAGATACAATCCACGTTACCACCATATTCCCGGCAGCAGACTGGCAAAGATACGAGATCCGCGGCTGATTGTCCATAAACTTTCAACCTGAGATGCCAAAACCACGAGCCCAGGTCAGACCTTCGACTTTAACAGGCCACTTGTCTGGGTGGAACTGGGACCGCACCATGCGGAGCGAGCAAATCGAGAGCAGGCTATGATTTAGACAGCTAGGTTCAGAACAGTCCGTTCCCTAGTTTGCTGCCAGCCAACTCTGTTTTCAGAAAGTCCTCCGTCAACAACGGTGGAAGCCGCGGAAATAACTTCTGTCACGGCACCGGGCGTCCCCACTCCGTGGGCTTTCGTGTCGAGGGCCAGAAGAAGGTTCCAGTTTGAATTTCACACAAGGACCGGGCAGCTATGCTCCTTCGCTAATTAGTGCGAAGTGGAGTGTCAGAAGCATGCATCAGAAAGGGAGTGCTGTGTGCAGTGTGCACCGATGTACAAGCCCAACAGGGACAGCTGGGTGACCCAGTGTTTGGACCTCCCTAAGTCCTGGCAGCTAAAGGCTGTTACAACTTACGCTGGCAGGTGATTGTGTACGTCCTACCGTCAAATTGACATCAACACATTCTCAATGATGTACAAAGTTGTAGGAAGAAACACTGGCGACTCCGAGCCGAGAAACGCAGATGTTACAGTGACACCTTTCCCGCACTTTTGAAGGCGGACTACCTCAAAATGACACAGAAAGCACTCTGGACGGTGCTTACATGGTTTCTGGACATGCAGAGCCATTACCTGTGGATTTTGCGGGGGACGCTTATTACTCCTATTTCTTACAGGTGCTCTGTAAGGGTGTTGATGAGTTCCACGACATAACACTTGGATGTGCTGTAGATGGCATTGGCACCTCCCAAGATCACTTGACAGCTTCTGTGCTCTGGTTTTGAGTCTGCGAATATCCCGGTCCTGCGATCAGAACTATAATATTCATCAGCTCCAGGAATGAGCTTACGATTTCCACCCCATCTGTGCCCCGAAGTTATGGACGAGTCGAGGAAACTCCCAACAAGATGCTTCTATTACTTCCGTGCTCGGGCGGAAGTTGGGGAACTGCATATAAACAATTCGGGCTGATTGCTTCAGATGATGAAGCTGATGGTTTATCCTCGACGATCACCCAGCCACAGGAGCATTAATACATCATCCGTACTCCATCCGGGAGCACTTTTTCAACAAGGCGCTTCCGCTTTCTAGCCATGCCAGCACCACTGATGCTCAGTTCTTCGTCAGCATTTAGGTGATAACGGCTAGTCCAGGTCCTGGTTCAGCCACCATTCTTCCAATGATCACGAAATGGCCACCTTTGCACCAAAAAACGCGTTGAGCTTTGGACTTGACCCCTGGATAGTCCGGCATCAAACAGATGGACTCGGCATCGTCACCTTTACACAGCTTGTGGCTATGACTGCCTTGTCCTAGGCCAGAGGTCCATGTTATATATATAGTTTACATCATGATCAGAAAGGGCATTGTGCAGGGATGTTGCAACGGAAGTATAAGCTAACATAAGTACGGGCTCCGATTGACTTTTTTTTCGCACGTCTAGCACCTTCCCGGCCTGGGCTGCCCGTGGTGCTAGGTTCCATCCAAAATAACAAAAAGAGAGTTTTGGCAAGACTTGGTGAAGTAATCACTTGCTTAATGCATTCTTCGACCTCAAATACACTTTCAGCATGCAGTACTCCCTAGTACGAGCAGAGCTCAGATGCACTCAGTGCGCGGCAGGGATGATTCACTTACAACGTAGCCTGAGCCCATGACCCTCGTTGACTAGGACTGACCCGGAGTCCTACGATCATGCCTGTTGTTGCCCTTACCTTCTACCGCACCGCGTTCAGCAACCGCCTGCCTGCAAAAGCTGTCAGCTCAGAATTGACAACTTCGCAAATGCCCCCAGTCTCTACTCGCGCGAAACACCAGACACCGAAGATAACCTGACCTTGAAGAGCTTCGACGAGCCCCTGGTTCAACTCGACAACGCCTGGCTTTTTTGCTTGTCTCCCTGCATTGTAATCACTGCAGGGGATTCATTCAAGCACAGCCCGGAACACTTTCCTAAGAATGTACTGCGTTCCAGGGATGTTTGAGCTGGGGGCCATCTGGGTGATCAAAATCAAATCGCTGCTTTGAGTGAGGCAAGGCTAAGGGCGTCAAACAGACTCCCGGCAGCTGTTTGGCCGATGTTAAGTGTTTGTACCCAATTCTACCGTTTGCCTTGGAAATATGTTCCCATGGTGTACACATGGGTGCTGCTGATGGGCCACATTGGGCTTCAATGATACGAATACAGGATTCTCTACCGTAAATACCTCAATGGCAAACCACCGAGCATGGCCACGCTTCATGACTACCTTCTCCTCTACGCGTCCTACTTGACATACTTTGTGCCCAAACGCACCACTGACGACCGAGGAAGTTCTCAGCGTTGTTATGAAGAGTGCAGTATAGAAGATTGCGAAGCGCCACTCCTTCTATCGTGTTTTAGGAGCACATTTGGATCATGCTGGGGCTGGTTTCAGGACAGTGTGGGCGAATGCTTACTGGCACACAGTATTATACCGTTGACATCCTTGGTTCTGGCTTCAGAACCTGAGAAGAAAAGTGAGACGAATAGAGGTACTTCTTCAGGTTGTTTCTCAATCGTGCACAGCAGAGGTGGAACAAGAGTGTTATATCTTTGGTTCCCGAATCGCTCCGTCGCTCCAAGATTACGGCCACGATGATTTCTCGCGAAGTTACGGACATACCGTCTCTCATGATTCAGAAGCAGCCCGAGGAACCGAGACTCTACGAGAGTATCTTCTCATGGCACAAGTAAAGTTGGAAGGAAGTTGGACCTATGAGGTTCCAGAACGACACAACACCGTTTGGGCACGGCAATATCTTGTGGAAAAGCAAAGGCGGGGTCAAGTATTGGAAACAAGTGTCTGGGGCCAGTTGCAAAAACCGACAAACGAACAAGAGAACAGAATAGAAAAGTTCAGCTAGGAGCCCTGCGGAAGCCTGCCGTATTTTCCGGTGAATTACTCGAACCTTTTACCCTTTTGTCTGCAACAACTTGATCATGGACACGGCAAGAGCTTGCTGACTGTTGCGGCGGCATCAAAGGCACAGGGCCTACGTTTTTGATGAACAATGTTGACTTCATGGCCAGCAGGGCTGCATAGACACGTGGAAAAGCACGATCGATCGTTCAATACTTCGAATTCGGGCGGGCATGGCTCAGGAGTTTTGAACCGACACGACGACCTTCCTCCCACCCTTACGAAGTGCTATGCTACCACAAGAAAATATCGAACAGTGATGGCCCAGTACGAGGAAAGGGTGTCTAATTCCACTGTGGTCCATTGCTACCAGCAACAAGGAAGATATGATCTCGGAAAGTTTGTTCGTCCACAGTTAACCCAAAAAGCAGGCCACAAATCCGGCGTGTGGTGGCGCGAGGCTGTGGTGGTTCAGGGGGCGTGGAAATGTGCTAGCCACACGACTGCCACTAGCTGAACTAGATGTGTACTACCCATGCTAATTTCGTCTCACGACAGCGAGCACCAGAGTGATGACCACTACTTGGTAGGTACTACTACAAGCGACCAGACTTGTTTGGCCAGGACCGCTGTCATGGTACACAACCGAGTTGGCATACGTCAGTCCATCTCGGTTGGCTCCCGGCAAACCATCTCGGTACTACCTAACGTACTGGCAGATCCTTTCTCGCTGGCCAAACACTCGACCAAAGCCCCCGTTGACAACTTATCTCGGTACTACTGCACTTACCGCAGAAGCATGTATTTATCTGATGCAACGGGTGGTACTCATGTACCATGTACTTCAGGTACCTGTATCAAGGTGTGTCTGGCACCTGACCAGCGTAAGTCCTTTGGTCAGATGATAGCACCATTGAAGCAGTGCCAACAAGGCGGAAAGGAGAAGGGGTGGCAAGGCTGATGTAGATAAGATTAGATGCAATCTCCTGTGTTCCAGAACTGCCACTGGCCGTGCAAGCCCGCGTAATCACCGTTATCGGCTCAATCAGCCGCGGGTAAGGTGCCACCTCCCTATTTTTAATCCATCTTTGAAGATGGCATCAGATACGCAGGGGATGTCATAACATAATGCCGATAATCCGACTTGCGGGTTCCTGATACTGTAATAATTATGGTGAAATATGTAGCCACTGTCACAGATCCTAGGACTGCATCTCTATACGACCGAGTGTGCCCTGGTAGGGCTTCTTTGTACAACAAACAATGGTACAGTCCAAAAATGGCGGGTTGACACATCATATCTTATCCTATCGATCGAGATCAAAGCCCCAACGCACCGGCTTGTGGGCCGACAGCTGCCGTACAGCCAGTGGGATGCCTCTTGAAATACCCACTAGCGGGGCAATATTATGTGTGGTCCGACTTCGCCGCTGAGAATTTGCCTACTAGGAGGTTCGTACGAGAGATACCAGAGAAAGACCCAATCAGGTGGTGAAAGTGGGATGGTTCCGGTAAAATGGAATATTGGTCGTAGAAAATTATCAACAGCGAAAGAACGCGGAATATTGCAAGGTGCAGCCGTAAATAATAGCTGCAAAATAGTAGTTGAGCGTACCTACGGAAGGAGATATTCAGGGATGTCAGCCCATATCTGCCACTCTCGCATCTAGCCTGCGCAGGTAGGTATAGACTGGCAGGATGGGAAATCCAACATTTTTGGCGGAGCAGTATTTCGCAGCCTCCGATGATCATGCCGAACTTGAATGGTCTGAGAGCCTTCTGCGCGGCCCGAAGATGAATGTGAAACCCAGGGCCAGTGCCAGTACAGTAGTCCAAGCTGAGGTGGACTTGAAGGGAAAGTTCCCGCCGTTGGATTCAAAAATGGGCAGATTCCGCACATTCGCGGCACCTCCATTTCAAGTTCTCTGCAGCGGCATCTGAACGCGAGTCTTTGCCGTCCCGAAGTCTCTACCTCGGGCACTACTAGCACACTGCTGCATCACCTATTGTTACTACTACCTGGCTACCAGACAAAGTACTTCGTATCTCACACCTGAGTTCATCCTATTCTCTCTGCCCGAAAGCCGCCGAAAGAATCACATCCAGACCACGGCATCGCTTCCACCTTCCATCAACATCCCCATCTTCTAATAACAGTTCTCGACTTTTGTCCCAGTGGCATCTCCATTATTCGAGCCCCATCACGCCACGACAGTGCACCACTGCACACCACACTTTGGCCGACTCCATTTTTGCCTCCAGTTTTCGTCTGTCCGCTCTTCACTCCTTTGAGTCCTAACTTCAGCCCTACCGTTGCGACTGTTACAGATGATCAAATTGTACACCTTCAACTGAACACCGTCCGAGCCCTCGAGTGACACAACAGCATCAGCATCTGGTCAAAGTGCGTCGACGCGCAGGTGCAGGTGCAGGGCTCAATTTGGCCTGCGCCGCAGCTCGTTCCGCGCTTTACATCATCAACACTACTGGGCAAGCCCGTACGTTTCCCCCCATCCCACCATCAACCCTGTTGAACGTCCTGCGCAGTCTCCAAAACCCTTGGGATCTGAGCGAATTTTGTAATGCTGCCAAATCGTTCGAGGCATGTCCTGGCCTTTTGTTATTCAGCCTGCCCAGCGTGCATCGTGTTTACATCTTCGAGGGACATTGATTAATCGAGCTCTTCTCACAGGCGTTGCTCCCATCGTCCACGCCAGAACATTCACAATGTTCACTTCAAGCACGACCACACCCCGCCATCCTCTCCCTCTCGCACCGCACTCACATCCGAACAATCCCATACCTGAAGATCCTACGCGGTCGAGAAAACTATCCGTCACGGCCTCCCAGCTCAGCCGGTCGTCCGCTTCCACCATGACCAACACCGCCTACTCGGACGATGCCTCCAGTATAGACACCGCACCCACAACGCCCATTACAGAAGCCCTCTCGGACGATTCGTTGGATGAGATGCAGGACAAATCTAAAGCGAATGCGGCCCCTAGACAGAGACGCGCCTCCACCTTGTTGGTTTCGGAAGACTCGGAAGATGCACGACGCTTTCTGGGGGAGACAGGCACGGCCACCCGGATGATACAGAAGGCTTGCTGTGGTGGAGGATGTTGTATGTTGCAGGAGCTGAATCTGTCCACGGCGTCGCCGGGTGAAAATCCTATCAAGCCGCCGGACAACTCCGCGTTCAGAAGCTTGAAGCTCAAACTGGCTGGATTGAGCCTCGACAGCGAACTCACTGCAATTATCGATTTACCACCCAAGACAGTCTCGCTCGAAGCTCTCTCGACCTCACGTCCCTCCACGTACGCCGCGTCTCAACCAAAACCCACCACCGAAACCTTAAGACATCCTCCGAATTTCGTTACACCACATCCACCATATCAAGTCTTTTCCGCCCCGCTCTATTCTGCTCGCGAATTAACCAAGCCCGGCGCCGAAAAGAGAACCTATCATTTTGACATCGATGTCACCGATTACCCTGAAGAAGGAGGAAATGTGGATTTCGTTGTGGGGGGCGCCATTGGAGTCTGCGCTCCCAACCATCCAGAAGTGGTCGAACAGGTTTTCCAGCAACTAGGAATTCCCAAATTCGTCCGGGATAAACTGGTATTGTTGAAAACGACGTCAGGAAGATGGCCGACGATTTGGGGCGAGGATGAAGCTCGAGAGCTGGTGACCACGAGAAGAGAGCTTTTGACGTGGTGCTCCGATCTTCAGAGTTACCCACCTACCAAACAACTCTTGCGTGTTCTGGCCGAGTATGCGGAGGAGCAACACGAGAAGAAGATTTTGATGTATCTGTGTTCGGCACAGGGTCAAGGCGCCTTCTGTGATCTCCGAACCGGCCCCTACATCACCATCCCACAGCTTTTGGACGCCTTCCCATCCAGCAAACCGCCTTTGGAATACCTATTTTCCGTCCTCAATCAGCTCATGCCCCGCTTCTATTCATTGTCCCAGGACCCGATCATTTCGTCCGAACGGAACGGCGACGGATCTCGCCGATTGATCGAAATTGCCGTGACTGTACACGAAGCGCCTGATTATCGGGGCGGCAGTCGGACGGGTGTCGGGTCGGGATTTTTGGAACGACTGGCAAGAAAATTTATTGAGGCAGAGCAACAAGGGAAGAACGCCCGCGAACTTGACCTTCGAATCCCCATGTTTAGGGGCTTGATGGCCAACCCTCTTGCCCGCGAGTTTGTCACTGATGGACCCATGCTCCTGATCGGGGCTGGAGTCGGCGTAGCGCCTTTCCGCGGATTTGTGCATCGACGGTTGAAATCGGCCAACTGCGCCAACAAGGTCTGGGTTTTGCAGGGTGTCCGTGACAGTCTGCTTGACGAGCTCTATTCGGGCGACTGGGGCGTGCACGAAGACAAGGTCAAGAAGGTGGTCCAGTCTCGCCGAGGCGAAGGGAAATACGTCCAGGAAGAAGTTCGGGCTCAGGCTGATCTTGTCTGGTTCATCATCAATGCCGTCGATGGCAGGATCTTTGTTTGTGGAAGTTCCAAGGGCATGGGCGAAGGTGTGGAGAATGCACTGGTCGACGTGGCCATGGCCAAGGGCAAATTGAACCGAGAAGAAGCGCATGCCTTTTGGGACGAGAAAAAGAAATCGGGTCAGTATATTGCCGAGACGTGGTAGAAGGTCAAACAGCCTTGGCTGTTCATCAGGAGGAGGGTCGGGTCATGGTCATATGACTAGTGTTCCAAAGTTCAAAGGAAATTGCGAGCTTGGTTTCCCTGGTTGTTTTTCAACGAGCAGTGGGGCCTCACGCCGTATACCTAATAACGCAGCACCCATGAGCAGGAAGACTTGAAGGGAAAAGGGGGATGCAAATCACCTGAGGAAGGTACCTCAGGTAGGGTCCCTATGGAAAAGCCTTTGTCGCCTACCACGGGCATGCATGCATGCGAGCCAGGCAAAGCGGTTCAAGAATGATGCCATTTCGAATCGAATCATTGTATATCTCTTTCTGTCTGTCTTGGGTGGCCATCGTGTTGAAAAAAAGCACTTGTATCCAATAATAGAAAGAGCCAGAAAAGCAACAACAAAAGTCGACATCGGCATG